CCACTATTTGTGTCACAAATATTTCACTGGTTGTCGCATCTGACGCGGGCCTTGATTTTATGTCTTCTGATGTCTTTTGTGAATGATTACGAGAAGATATGCTGGTAAGAATCTCGGCAATATTTCTGCTCGCTGTAGAAGGTTTCGAGGTGATTGCCGCGAACATTTCTGCTTTGGTTGGTGAAACACTTTCTTTGGCAGTTGATTGAAGTATTAAACTATGGTGTTGAGCTGTGGATGTTTGAATATCTGCGTATAATGAAGCAGAGGACCAGCTGCTTTGTGATATAGACATCGCGGAACTGGGTGCATGAAACATCGAGGTGAATGATTTATCTGATAAAGCTGTTGATTTCTTAATTTCTGGAAGCATAGTTGATTTTACATTGATAGATGGCAATGGCGTATTTTGTACTCCTCCTGTGGTGGTAGGATTCATGATTCGCATTGAGGGATTTTCAAGGACAATTATTGGACGGGTGTCTAATGTAATAGTTGTGGAAGGGGTGTGGCGTATCTCTTGACGAAATGACATTTTGTTCAAAATGCTCGATGTATTCATCTTTGTGTGGATAACAACAGACTTTGTTTGAAAGGCTGTCGTCTTTGTGATATCCACCATGACTGGTGAAGTTGTGGTATTTATTAGCGTTGTGGTTGAAGCCCTGGTTAAAGTTATGGTTGAAGTAGAAGGAACGTGCGATAATTCTATAAAGAGCAGTGTATTATTCAGTTATCGTGAATTTGAGTAAAATACTTTTGTTGATACCTTAAACGTTTTGTTGTACACAGACACGCCTGCGATACCAACTGTGAAGAAGCCTGCGGGCTGCCGCGCATGTAATCATGCATGGTATATGCTGCATGCTGCGCATTGTATAATAGCTTAACCAACTAAATGCAGTCTTCTTATTGTTTTCTATTGTATTTGGGTAAAGATCCATTCAGGACACAATTCTTACTCGCAATCGAAGATGCTGCTACAATTCGTCTCCATCTTTCAGCTGTGACTACAAAAAAAAGAAGATAAAAATTTGTGTTAAAAAAACATTGAAAACACATGGCATGTAATGCACATGGCACATGGCATGGCAATGCATTTAAGAGCATTGCTCTTAAATGAAAATTTATACCAGTGTGATTGCAAGTTACAGGGCTGCGGTAATTCATTCTGCCTTATACCCTATCTGCATCGTACCAACTTTCATCGAGAAGGCTATTATATGCTGAGACGATCGAGTCACAAATGACTTAAAATAATAAAGAGAGTCAATTTTGACGTTATTACTCATGGTTCATTTGTGAACAACGCGTGGTTTTACCCCACGCGCAGTTGCGCGTTTTATCCAAAAAGTTGTAACCAAATAAAATGTGTTTAAATTTATAGATTTACATCGCATTATAAAACTATCAGTGGGATAGGTTGTTCCTTTAATTAATTAATTAATTAATTAATTAATTAAAAACAATTAATTTAGGTTTTTCAAAAAGGAATTGCATATTGAAAACTTAGAGGAGTTTTATATCATACTGTATATAATTATTTACATACCTCGAATGACATCAATTTTATTTACCAGTATATCTTCAAGCTGTGGTAATGTTGAGTTGTATAATTCTGATAATGTCATGTTGAGGGCTTCAGCAATGTATAATGGAGGAATTGTAAAATTTGTCGATAATGCCAAAATGTTTTTCTCCGTTATAAAATTAACTACCTGAATCCAACCAGGCTCTAAAAACGCATAAATTTTTTCTTTCGTTGTATTTAATCGTTCGGCTATTTCTTCAGTCTTGAAGTTAAATCTGTTTTCTAAAATTTTATACATTGCTTTTTGGATCGTTACGAGACGAATTTTATCATCTAAAGGAAAAGTGGTGTTTGAGACGCTGGCTAGATCATCAGCTGAGATATCAATTGTCCATTTGCTTCCATTTATAAATTCAAATTTGTCGACAGTTAAGCCATGTCCAATTGAAGCCAGTGCAAGTGTGACAATTCCCTCCAAAGTTTTGTCCAGTTGAACATGAGAAACATGTCCAAGGCTTTTAACAACGTCACTAAAAGTTACGTATTTGAAAAATATTGGATTTATTTGATGGACGAATTTTGTTATATTGCCTCGCTGTATTCCATCTTGTAACAGTGGACTTATTGTAATAGGTAATTGTAGCGTGGTATTTGAAGTTGTTTCGGCACAACCGGCTAATGTTGCAAAGAAAACTATAATAATATATGCAAAAGGCATCATCTGGTAAATATCACAACACTGATGATTACAATGGTTGCCTATAAAAGAAAGAGTGTAGAAAGAGGGCTGGTTAATTACTGTTTTACGCAGTAATAATTAAATATATTTCTACGATTAATATAGATCACCGCCACCGACAAAATTAAGCTATTATAGTGGTCTGCATGTGACAACATTACTGACTTACATTCATCAGCTGGCCGAATCTGATCTGTACTCGATATAGCTATATATTATCTTATGTTATAAATGTGTTATAAATAAATTTAAAAGTGTTCGTTTTCTCATATTAAACATGGTAAAATATTTTTCTCAACATTCCATACCAATAAAGACAATATTGCGATAGAGTTTCACCTGGCGAGGATCGTAATCGCCAAATAGTTGGTTTTATAAATTTAAAATATTTTGTCTTTTATCACAGAAATCTTCAAAGATAACTATATATACATTTTATTTAAAGGCTATTTAAAAAAATATTGCGACAATAATTATATAGAATACTGGTCAATAAAATGTTTAGTTATTTTTCATAAATTTCATAGATATTCTACACGTGTAGTGGATATAGTTTGCAAGCAACAACATGCATCTATGTAAATCTAATGATTTAATTTAGCCATTTATAAAGCATGACTTATATAGCTAACTTATATATACATCAATGTTTTTTTTATTCTCAATATTTCTGCTAAGAATGAGGATTTCGATACCACTTTAGTGGTTAACCAAGGAATCTTGTTATGTGAATAAAACTATAGGCTGCATGCATGGTATTCTACTCAACTCCTACAGTATCATATTCGCAATTGTCAGTGCGCTCGTACCTGATCTTGGTTGAATAATGTATATAGACCTATTTTAATACAAGACCGTCCATTTTCTTTTTCCACAAATATTCTATTACCAGCTTATTTTCAATGACCATAATACGAAAGAAAAATTTTCATCAATGAATCAAATAATTTTTTTTATTAAGAATGTCGCAATAGATCGAATCACATGATTTTTTAAGTTTACTTCGTTTTGTCATTCTGAAGGTAGTGTGCATCCTAATAATTTCTTCTCAACATCAAACAAAACGTCTTAAGACGTTCGTCTTCCTGTTGGAAGGAACAGGTTCTTTTTGCCACAATAGACATCGTGGCGCTCTATTGCTTATCGTTTCCTCTCCATCTAGATTCAATTTACATAACCCTATATTATAATTTGTATTTATTTCCACAGAATTTTAAACATCGATTTTGTCTTTTATTATACTATTAACTCCAGACCCATGATAACTCAGTTTTGTCGAGATGCTTCATGACGTCTTGATCTCGGATTAGCTGGTTGTGGTCGTGTGATGTCGTGCTTGCATATCCGTGAGCGAAATTTCTGATTTGCATGTCTATATCTCTAATTTTTTTTCTGCTAGATTTTATAAATGCTATGATTAAGGCAATTTTTTTCACCATAAAAAGAGCTCATTGATTGTTTTGGCTCTGCTTTATTGTTGTCTGAAAAAAAATTGGTTTACAATATAACTTCACGTGAAAATCCTGAAACGAGGAATTAGCCGTTCAAATATTGAAAATGATTGAAAACAAGCAACTGAGTTTTTCGAATGAATCAGACTGTAGTAATTTCTCTCAGCGAAAAAGCATTATTATGGCGATATTCCCGGACCAGTTTAAGCAAATAGCTATACATTTTCGTTTCGTGTAGAGCGGGAATTTGTGAAATAATTAACATACATAAAATAAGGTTGAATTGTGACGGGGTACTCACAATACTCCGATACTAAATCATGTTTGTGTTTCAACATTCATTTCTAAATACTTAAAAGTTATTTAAGTAATTATATATTCCTTCTCGAGTATAAGTAGTGTTGAAGTCGTGAATAAAAAAATGTTGCTATGCGAAAACAGTTTTGTTTTATTTCTCCCGTTGCTAACTGCTATACAGGACGCCAATAAAATTGAAGTTTTGTTTGTGGGCGTATATAACACGTCATCGCTAATGTCAGTACTGGTGGCCATAATTATGCAGTTCTTTATAAGCTGTGTCATGCAAATAGCTAGGTTAGTTGTAGTCAGTGTAGAAAGGAATTTTCTCATAACTCGTTTTTCTCCAAAGTATATCTAACAATGTGTATCTAACATAGCAGTTTGTCATTTCATGAGGATTAAACAGTCGATCGCCTCATGCACTCTATCGCAATAATATAAGATATTTTATCTTTTTTTAAAAATATACAAAAACAGAACCCGTATGAACTGACTGATGCATCCTGCGTGGCGTTTAAGTAGTAATCAATATTTGTTCCGCTTCAAACAAGGTCTAGTATAGGCTTTGGAAGAGGCCTTAGATGGTAATTGTAGGAGGTAGCAAAATTAAGAGGGTGAACGATTTATTTACCAATGTCTCCTGGAGCTATGCCGGCATGATCCTGCTTAATTCTGTTCAGCAGTAGTCAATACCTTTGAACCTCGATTTATCCTCAGCTATTCGTGGCATTACCAATCAAATACACATTAACCACGCTTGCTTTTGTCAGCTACCCCTGAAACCCAGTGGCAAGAGCATTGCAGCGTTATCGCAAAAGCGTAGGTTCGATTCCTGCCGCAAGACCTATAGTTGACTCAACTGTTCCTGGCTTGAATTTGAATTGTGTATAATTCCACTAGAAATTAAGACCCTTTTTGGTAATATACACGTTTTATTGAAAATATTGTAAATTATATAAGTATTTCTGTATTTGCAGACTATTAACACTGCAAAAAATTATTGTTGTCCTGCAAATTACATTTTGAATTACCTGCATACATTGTGTATAATTGGCACAAATAATATCCCATACAATTTGTTAAATTATATAATGCGGATCGTGCATTAGCTAAAGGTCTATTCGTAGTTATCTCTTTAAGTTATAGCCTTCCGTACGCTGACAACTTTGCCAGAAATAAATTATTATTGAGATGTTATATTTCATTCGATAATTATAATGTATTATAAGATAATCATATATATATATATAAGAAGTAGCTAGCGTCCTTTCCTCAAAGATGGTAAATCTACAATTACAGACAGAATTTGCATTAAATCAAGGTGACACAGTTTCGTTTTTTTAATAATAGAGGGGCCAACTTATTAAAGCCAGTATTCTTAGTGTTTTTTTAATATGATCATTAATAAAATTTTTAAATGAAAAACAATTAATAAACTTAGCAGGTTATTCGAATCTGCTAACGTAAGCAAAATTATGTGTAGATTTGCTAAGATATCGATGTTTTCTGATATATTTAACCAAGTTGGCCGGTATTCTTAATTTCAAAGTCATTATCTTCACCCGAGGCCGAGTGCTAAGAAAATTGAACGTTTCTTTAAAGAATCATTCCTGTACGACCCGGTTCTGTACGATACGTTAGTCAATTTGTTATTCATATAACTTATATACCTCTGGTTCATCTGGTTCCTTCCCCTCTTGTATTGTCTCTAAATTACTTATGCTGCTACTTCTCGACATTGAACGACTTGACCTGTCATCTCCACCTTTATTTACAAAACCTGTTGTTCGATTGTTTATGCTTTCCGTGCTTCCCACGAGTCCTTTGCTGGAAAGTTCTGAGCCACTTTCTGCATTCATTTGGTTAGCACTGAAATGAAGCATTAATTTAGACACAAACTCTTTCACTGCCCTCTTAAAGGCAGGACCACACCTTAGCTATATACACCCTCCCCCTCTAATTAACAATAGCTATAGCTAATAGCTATATATAGCTAGCTTTATACACCCCCCCCCCATCGCTACGGTCCTGGGTTCATGGTCCTGGCCCGCGTCATCAAACGCTACGTTTGGAGTTCTTTAAGCGCATTATAATATGTTTGTGCACTAACGAGTGTTGGTATTTATTAGGCTACGAAATGATCGAATACCTTTTGTGTCGTTGTCTTCTGTTCCTGATCCACATGATCAATGCAACAGCAACAGCAACCAGGAAAAGAACACACATGATTGGAACCATGATGAGAACGACAGGATCAACTTCATCTCCATCTATATTTTATGACGAATGATGTCAGGTATGTCAATTTACTCTACACCATAGAAATATTGATTTAGGAACGCTAAGATGAAAATGCTCGTTCAAGCGCTTATATATACCAATGCACGTGTTTAACAACGCATTTCTCACAACTCGTATAAATGAAATCAAACGTATACACTCGAACTAAAACTTGATATGCATGATAGGTTAAAGCTGTATAAACGATTTCTGCAATGTCGGTGTTTTTTTTAATTTGGCGAGACACAAACAAATAAGGAAGAATATCGTCTGTCCCAGACTATGTAGGTCCTCTATCATGCATGTCATGGCTGTTACGAGCTTACCTTCATCCGTTTCAAGTGTGTTACCTGCAAGAAAAATATGTTTCGTATATTTCAATTGTTTGTTCGAATTGTTTCATCTACTTCCTCAAATATAGACGTTTCGACACATAACACAACAGCCGTTGTATGGAGAGTGTGGTTTATTGCGAAGCATATAATTCATCTGTCTCTCATAAGTCACCGACAGTCGGCGATGTAATGTTTGTAACCGATGAGGAAAAAATGTTTAAAAAAAACTTATTCTCCATGCAGTGATCATCGATCATAACCATCGCCAACTGTCGGTGATCTTCGAGGACCTGGGTTAAAAGCTAATGAGATTGACCACTTTGGTAAAAATACTTAAGATGATGATGGTATAGAATGGTATTCAAATACGATCCTCGAATAACACTTTGCACACCTGCATGCTTGGTATAATTATAAGATTTTTTGACCTACCCTAATCATGCACGCAAACATTACTGACCTGTTGTTATTGAGATACTCTGGGTGTAAGATATGGACGATCTTGCAATATCTATAAGGAAAATGTGCAACGAGATATTTCTCAAAACCACAATGCATTGAGTGAAGACGCACGCTCTTTAAGAAATATTTACCCACGGAGAATCCTTAATTATCTCGGTAGAAAGGTTTTTACTTTACTACTATAAAAATTTCAGTCGTAACCTACATAATGACAGTTTATATATGATTCTATACTTTGATTAAAGTAGATCAATTCTTTTTAACTGATTTTCGGAAACGCATTGTTGGACTAAAACGGATATAAAGTTGATCTATATACACCTGTTTAAAGAGAATAAATATCAATCAGCATATACCACAGTTTTACCTTCAAAATGTGAAGATGATGCATGATATGAATTTAGATTGACAGGACTAGATGTTTTCCAAGTCACACCATCAGCTGATGTAGTAAAGGCAGAAGAACGTTCTAGAATATTTGTGGACTGTTGGTACTTCGTGTTTGTTGATGTTGTAGTAAAGGCAGGAGAACGTTCTAGAATATTTGTGGACTGTTGGTCCTTCGTGTTTGTTGATGTTTCTCTCGGATATGAAGGCGACAAACTGCTTTTTGTGCTCTTCAGTAAGCGCTGAGTGCTCTCGGTCATTTGAGATGTTCTGTGGGGAATCGAGGCTTTTGTTCCCATTTTTGATGACGATGCCATTGCTATCGATGCACTTTTCATTTTCGCTATTGAACTGCTTTCTATCGCATCAATGGTTGTCATATCACTCGTTACTTTGCCTAAAGAAGCAGTTGGCCCGGTTTTACTTTGTGTTTTAGATAGATTGTCGCGAATTGATGAATACGAAGATACGAGGAGAGATGTTGGTATTATGTGAGTAGTTATGGGACTTGATGTGACCACTATTTGTGTCACAAATATTTCACTCGTTCTTGCATCTGACGCGGGCCTTGATTTTATGTCTTCTGATGTCTTTTGTGAATGATTACGAGAAGATATGCTGGTAAGAATTTCGGCAATATTTCTGCTCGCTGTAGAAGGTTTCGAGGTGATTGCCGAGAACATTTCTGCTTTGGTTGATGAAACACTTTCTTTGGCAGTTGATTGAAGCATTAAACTATGATGTTGAGCTGTGGATGTTTGAATATATGCGTATGATGAAGCAGAGGACCAGCTGCTTTGTGGTATAGACGTTGATATCGCAAAACTGGGTGCATGATACATCGAGGTGAATGATTTATCAGATAAAGCTGTTGATTTCTTAATTTCTGGAAGTGTAGTTGACATTAGCGTATTTTGTATTCCTCCTGTGGTGGGAGGACTCGTGATTAGCATTGAGGAATTTTGCAGAACATTTATTGGGCGGGTGTCAGATGGAATATTTAGCGTTGTCGCAGGGGTGTGGCTTATCTCTTGACGAGATGACATTTTGTTCAAAATGCTTGATGTACTCGTCTTTGTGTGGATAACAACAGACTTTGTTTGAATGGCTGTCGTCTTTGTCATATCCGCCATGACTGGTGAAGTTGTGGTATTTATTAGCGTTGTGGTTGAAGCCCTGGTTGAAGTTATGGTTGAATTCATGGTTGAAGTAGAAGGAACGCGCGATAATTCTATAAAGAGCAGTGTATTATTCAGTTATCGTGAATTTGAGTAAAATACTTTTGTTGATACCTGAAACGTTTTGTTCTACACAGATGCACGCCTGCGATACCAACTGTGAAGAAGCCTGCGGGCTCCCGCGCATGTAATCATGGTATATGCTGCGCATTGTATAATAGCTTAACCAATTAATAAATGCAGTCGTTTTATTGTTCTCTATTGTATTTGGGTAAAAATCCATTAAGGACACAATTCTTACTCGCAATCGAAGATGCTACAATTCGTCTCCATCTTTCAGCTGCCACTATACAAAAAAAAGATAAAAATTTGTGTAAAAAAGACATTGAAAACACGTGCTCTTAAATGAAAATCTATACCAGTGTGATTACAAGTTACAGGGCTGCAGTAATTCATTCTGCCTTATACCCTATCTGCATTATATATACGCCACTAATTAGGAGATATCACGAGTGTTTTCATATATTTTTCTTCGTACCAACTCTCATGGAGAAGGCTATTATATGCTGAGAAGAGTCACAAACGACTTAAATATACATGTTGGGTAAAACCACGCGTTATTCACACAAGTATTAACTTCAAAATTGACTCTTTTTATTATTTTGAATTTATAGATTTATATAGACTATCAAGGATATATTGGTCCTTTGAAAAAATTAATTTTGGTTTTTCAAAACATGAATTGCATAGTGAAAACTTTTTATATTATATTAATGAATATAGTATAAGTAATTAAGCTTGTAGGTACACCACGTAAGTATTTAATACTGCGTGTTAAGTGTTATGCAGTATGAAATACTGACGTGGTGTACCTACAAGCTCAATTATACTTATCGATTCTCACCATGCAAACATACAAGAATATTTAATAAAATAATATAATTATTATTATTATTATACTGTATATATTTACATACCTCGAATGACATCAATTTTATTTACCAGTATATCGTCAAGCTGTGGTAATATTGAGTTGTATAATTCTGATAATGTCATGTTGAGAGCTTCAGCAATGTAAAATGGAGGAATTGTATAATTTGTCGATAATGCCAAAATATTTTTCTCCGTTATAAAATTAACAACCTGAATCCAACCAGGTTCTAAAAACGCATAAACTTTTTCTTTCGTTGTATTTAATCGTTCGGCTATTTCTTCAGTCTTGAAGTTAAATCTGTTTTCTAAAATTTTATACATTGCTTTTTGGATCGTTACGAGACGAATTTTATCATCTAAAGGAAAAGTGATGTTTGAGACGCTGGCTAGCTCTTCAGCTGACATGACTATTGTCCATTTGCTTCCATTTATAAATTCAAATTTATCGACAGTTAAGCCATGTCCCATTGAAGCCAGTGCAAGTGTCATAATTCCCTCGAACGTTTTGTCCAGTTGAACATGAGAAACATGTCCAAGGCTTTTAACAATGTCACTAAAAGTTACGTGTTGGAAAAATGTTGGGTGTATTTGATGGACGAATTTTGTTATATTGCCTCGCTGTATTCCATCTTGTAACAGTGGAGTTATTGTAATTGGTAATTGTAGCGTGGTATTTGAAGTTGTTTCGGCACAACCGGCTAATGTTGCGAAGAAAATGATAATATATGTAAAAGGCATCATTTGATGAAAATCACAACACTGATGATTACAATGATTGCCTATAAAAGAAAGAGTGTAGAAACGGTTAGGCTGTTATAATTAAGCCATTATATAGTGGTCAGTGAATGACAACATTACTGACTTATCATGGCTGCCCTCAAAATTTCGAAGTGTAAACTATATACTTCTCATAGAATCAGATCTGTACTCGATATAGCTATACAGTTTCATATAAATATTATATCGTATAGTTAGTTACTACGGTGCCAGAGTTATCACGCGATAAAACCTACACCTTGCGGTTCATTCGTGCCTTGTATACTCAGAATTTTAAAATCATAATTCTCGCGCACAATATATCCAGTACGTGAAAAGTAAAACTGAGAGATTTAATTATTTATGCCTAAATGTCAGAGTAGCTAATTCTGGTAACTAACAGTCCACAAAAAAGATAAACTGTACACTTCCAAAATCATAAAGACTGTCATATATTACTGAGCCGAATAAGGTTTATTTATAAAAAGAATGGCGTCGATCAGGCGACAAAATGAAAAAAATAAGCTATATAACATAGGATGACAATTAAGGTTTACGTTATCAGCTAAAGTATTGTTAGGCATGCATAGTCAAAAACATTCCAAAATAATGCATCTACGAGAGGAATGTGAGCAGTTTGTGTTATAAATAAGTTTAAAAGTGTTCGTTTTCTCATTAAACATGGTAAAATATTTTTCTCAACATTCCATAACCAATAAATACAATGACATTGCGATAGAGCTTTTTTTGGCGGGGATCGTAATTGCCAAATAGATCTTAGAGATTTTTTTAGTTGGTTTTATTTTAAAAAATGTTTATAACTTTAAAAATATTTCGTTTTTATCACAGAAATCTTTAAAGATAATTATATATACATTTTATTAAAAGGCTATGTAAAAATATTGCGACAATAATTATATTGAATACTAGTCAATAAAGTGTTTAGTTAGTTATTTTAGATATTCTACACGTGTGGTAGATATAGTTTGCAAGCAACAACATGCATCTATGTAAAACTAATGATTTAATTTAGCCATTTATAAAGCATGATTTATACATAGCTAACTTATACATCCATGACCATGTATTATTCTCAATTAACATGGATATTTCTGTTAAGAATGAGGATTTCGATACCATGCACTTTTGTCCGCTCCCGGTTAACCAAGGAATCTTGTTATGTGAATAAAACTATATATATAGTCTGCATAGTGTTCTACTCAACTCTTACAGTATCATATTCGCAATTGTCAGTGCGCTCGTACCTGATCTTGGTTGAATAATGTATAAAGACCTATTTTAATACAAGACCGTCCATTTTCTTCTTCCACAAATATTCGATCACCAGCTTATTTTCAAGTTTGGTACTTCACAAAATACTTTGGCGAAGATAAAATTCTTTACAAAACTTTATTAAAAGATTCCAACTAAGAATGATTTTCTCAAAAGCTTCAGCAAATTCATACAGTGTATTTTTGTAATTATCTTTTGAATGATTCCGGATTCCAACAGTCAGCATCAATCAGGCTTGACGGTTGTTTTGTGAGGACACAAAAGATCAGTTTGTGGTATGTTAATTTGTCGTGGGAACAACTTTTTCTCGCGAGGAATTGTTAAAACAACGTCAATCCGAAGTCCCAGGTAGTTTTTTTAGTTATCAAGTAATCCTATATAGCTAACACACAAACATCAACCATGTATATGCTTGTCGTTAGCTTTTAACAGATGTTTCAAGGCATTGAGCTATACTATAGCAATGCGAACTTGTAGTTTGCTCTGATTTATTTCAGGCATAATAAACTGTCTAGTAAAATATAATTATATAGAACATTCACTAAATTCTTATGTTAATCATAATAATCTTTGCATACTTGAGCTGGGATGGTTCACTGACGCCTGCTGGCATATTGCATGATCATTGGTGTATAGTACTTCATGTAAAACTTGAACTATGATAATTTGGCATATATTGTATTAGCTTGAAAGATGTGCACGCACGCATGCACGGAGACTTAGGTCCACTAAAATAACTGCATTTCGGACGTTATTTTTAGGAAACTTCATTTATTTGGAATTTTTTAAAGTTAAAGACACTGTTAGTCGTTTCCTCCGGGAACAACTAGTTTTACATTCAATCTCACTTCAAATGTGTGGTATAAGAACTGCCTCTTGCAAATATAAACAAAAAAGCTTCTCGACGCACTGCTATATATAAAGGCCTTCGTCGAAAGAGTCAGTTTTTCCTTCATTCCCACAAAACCAAAAATTGTTAAAAAATAAAATCTGCTCACAATGAATGTGCTCACAGCTGGCTCTGGGAGCCGCTCCTGTACAAATTTAAACGTTAAACGAATTTGAACACTAAAACCATGCACAAAACAAGTCAATAAGGTATATCCATGCAAGACTTGAAGACTATTTCACAGTAAAACTATACTCTGTATTTGTTCGGTGTCGTTACAAAAATTTAGAAGATCTTCCCTAGAAATTTATTCCAGAAATTGAGTTTTCATAATTCTTATAATTATTTCGGATAATTATTGTATGAAACTGTATAATATTATATAGAGCGACGTATCAAATATTATATACATCACGGGGACCAGTTATACGAAAGCAGGATAGCGCCATCGATCTAATAGTGTTTCTTTCAATCTCTTTATGAATAATTTCGCGCCACATAGCTTTAATTAGACCGCGAGTACATTAGTGATTAAACCTTTCATTGCTTTCAGGCTGGGTAACAAAGGTTGGAAAATCACTATCCGATGGATAGCGCCATGCAACTTTCGTTCCGGCCCCGAGCTTGAAAACGAAAATGAGCTTGAAACCTTGAAAAGCAATAAAACTATACAGATTTAAATATTAGGGCTATGCTAGCTTATACCGAACAACAGCCATTGAAAAAAGCACTATCCGTGGACAGTGCATGCCATCCGTCTTTCATATACAACCGGTCCCAGCCTCCCCACCCCAAGGGCCGGCTTAATTATTATTGCCCATGAAAATACCAAACATACATGCCTTTTCCGAACTGTGTTTTCTGACCATGTAAACAGTGAATATTACGCAATTTTGGGATATTGTTGGCTAGGAAAAAATCAATCTCCAGAGGCCGGTTGTATAAAACTCTTAACTATAGTCTATCATAGTTAAATCGTAGTTAACTAGAAAATACACGATTCTGATTGGCCAATTCTGACACTAACTATAGTTAAAAGTTAACTACCTGGCTGGTTTATTTTTATTAACTAATAACTTCGTATCAACCGAGCGCAAGGTCCTTACCGAGAAATATCGGACCGAGGTCTTTTTGAACAGACCTAGCTCAAAGAGCGCGAGGTTTGTACAAAAAGATCGAGGTCCGATATTCCTCGGTAAAGACCGAGCAAGCGAGGTTAATAAAACGTTTATTATATTGCAAGAAATGCGTGAGTTCGTATTAGTGACCTGGTACGCATTTGATAAAAACAAAAAAAATATATTGAATTATTTAGTTTATCTAAACTGTCTGGAGACGTCTTATTAATTTCAAAAGCAATTAAATTTTCTCTTGAGCATTTCTTTGTGCCTTTTTCATTCAGAATTTCTCTGTTTTTCATCTCGTTCTCAGCCAATCGCTGAGCTCCATTTCACCGGAAGTGACGCTTGCCTTATAATAATGAAAATTATTAAAATTGATATTCATTAATACATATGTCTATAAAACAGAACTACAAATATTTATGCTCAGAAGAGGGAGGAGGCAAATTACCGCCGAATATAAAATTCTAAAATGTCATCATCGAGTAAGACATGCAATTGGGTTTATTTATAAGCTTTTAGGTACACCGCGAATATATGTATATCCCGATAATATACAGTGTGTCTTCAAAAAAGTACCTTTAACAACAAAAGAATGATTTCATTTGAGGCCGAGGGTACTTTTTTGAACGGTACATATAGGCGAATCCCAAAGAAAGGATGAAGCCGATGAACAATAGTTTTGCATGAACTGCAGTCAGTGATCATTAATTCTATTCAATATACTTCTGCGGGGAGCCAAATGTTTGTCATATTATACTGAAAACATCGATTTAATCTACGTTGTTGATCATCTCGCTCCTAACTCGCCAAAACTCGCTCAGGTATAAAAATCTTGGTATTTCAAAAATTTCATAGGTATATATGCCTGCTTGGTGAAGTCAAACAGGACTGAAGTTGGTCGCTATAAAGACTCGGCTATAATTCTTTGTTTATCTCCTCGACTTATACAAACACGGATCATCACCTAGACGGATCTGGCAAGACGAACATCCTGGAAAATTTTTCTACTCCACAGTCTGTGTTTTGTGGCTGCTGTTCTACAGAAAAATATACTTCTCTATTTTGAGACGAATTTCACTACTCAATTCCGTCCAAACGATACGTCACTGGTATAACAGATATTGTGTATTATGTAAGTTGTGTTTTGGCTTTTAATTAAGTTGCGTATTAGCCGTTCTTTATTGTTCTTCAGATTCAGTATCCAGCCCGAACCAAACCAAGGTGTTCATAGATTTAATTCACTACCCATGTGCAATAATATTTGATATACTAAAAGTAAGATTTACAATGCAAAAGTCAAAGATTGATATTTTGAATTTTGATTATCATGGAAAGGAGCATTGATTGCAACATAACGTCGTGTGCGCGACATATCGCGCGTGATCGCGCGGTTCCACGAAAGAACGCTAAAAGCATTGTGGGCACAGTTTTTTTTAAGGATATACAGTTGTGGAACTCGCAGGAATTCTTGTCCCGCATAGTTATGCGCACGCGCGAAGCACGTTTATATTCTTAAACTGTGTTGTGGGTAAAGCCGGTTTTCTACTAGCGATATTCTTCGCGCGAAGCGACTTTATTCCTTTGTATTTGAGCAATTTGTTCCAGATGGTTGCAGTTGAGAGCTCTGGAACAAAAGTAAAATGTCGCTTCGCGCGAAAAATATCGCTAGTGGAAAACCGGCTTAAGAAGCGCGCCTTTTCAAATTTTCTTCGCTATTGTGTAACGCGTCTTCACTGATGGCTGATATTTTATCGATTATTTTCAATACATACCTTTTAATATGGATCAAGAAACGACAAGTTTGTTCGAACAAATCGGTAAACAAGTCTTCTTATTTTGTATCAGTGTTGCGTATTACCTATATCAACTTCTACGAGAAGTCATCCATATTGCATGAACACTATCCGCGTCAGTAAATGCTTTCTTAAACGGTCGATTTTGGAAAATACGTGAAAGCATGTAACGTATATATGCACGACTGAATCGGATTGATCTTCAACGAAGAGTAAAGATGAGTATATTTCATTGAATAAATTCGTTTATACAACTAAACTGCGTGGTGCTTAGTTGTTTAGTCCAAGTCCATGATCCAAGAACAATTATAACATACCACAATTATATTTCTGAAAATGTTCGGTAGATTTGGGCTTCATCATTGCTTGACATGTGTGCTGTTTCTTTCCTTTATATTAATAAACGTTTATTACGTTCTACATTTTGAACCAACATTACGATAACTTGTCTTGAGACAACAAATCTTAAGCGGGAAAACAAAATCACAGCTATAGCCATGCACGCACTTCCTTGTAAGAATTGTTTTTCAAAATTTGCATGCAATCACTACTAGAATTAGTAAGCATATTGCCAGCGATCCTTTACACGCGCGTTCGTATATTTCTTTTTATTTCTTACCAGGCATGTATCAATTTTAGCCAATTTAATTCCATCTCGTGTTTGCGATTCAACTTAATTATTGGCATGCATGAAAGAAAAAATAATTAACACTTATTTACTGCGAACGAAGAAAACATTATGTTTTGTGGACCCGAGACCTGTCCATGTTTTCTGAGTTCTCAGTAAATAAGTTTTTTATGTTATTATATTATTTATTGCGTTCGACGAAGAACGCTTCCTAATCGTGACGTCATGGCTGGATGCCAGGTCGTTTTGAGATTTTTGTGTGGCATTTTTGCGTTTCTTTCGCCTGCAGGATTTCGTGTCGCTTCCTAATTTTACGCCCTACCCTATTTTGTTGTTGTTTAGGAGTTAGGACCGGGCAATTGGGCTTTCGTATTCGCCTGTTTCATTAAGAAGTTATAGGAATTATTTTGATTTTGAAGTGTTTGAAATATCAGTGAGGATTCTTATCAAAGCATCAGGAATCTATCTTGCAGTGTTTTAACGATGAGAAATCTGATTACCGAACGCACTTGCTACAATCTTTGATTATACTTCTAGTATATATTATAGTGACGAAATTTTGATGTCGCCAGCGCGACACCCTGCAGAGTGAGATAACGTGTTATCTCGTGGGAAATAACAACTTTTATCCATTTGAAATTATGTCTTTTATGAATAGATATTTCGTTGTTTACCTTGTAGTTTGGTTTTTCTTTGACAAGTGGTACGTTGTAGTTTGATTTTTACCAAACTACACGGTAAACAACGAAATATCTATTCATAAAAGACATAATTTCAAATGGATAAAAGTTGTTATTTCCCACGAGATAACACGTTATCTCACTCACCAGGGGGTCGCCCTGGCGAGATCAAAATTTCGTCACTCTCGCGTGATCCGCTCTCGACCAATGAAACGCTACGAAAACAAAACTAAGGCTGTATTCAAAAAGCTCACTCACACTCATACTCATTGAGTGTGACATATAAATTTCGTTAATGCTAATCAATGAGAAAGTTTTTTCTTAATAGATGGAAAGATATAAGGTAAATCACTGAAAATCAAGCCCCTATTCGGCTGGAAATACCGCCATTGAAACGTTATGAGCAGATTAAGATCTCCCACTCAATGAGTTTGAGTGTGAGTGAGCTTTTAGAATACAGGCGTTAGACAGGTAGTATACAATAACATCACTTATATACACGCTACTGTCAGTAACAACTATAATCTGAGAGATTAGACTAAATTTATTATTCTACGGGATCTGAGCATATGCAGGGACAGCAAACAACCGAACCGATTTACGGGATCAGGGCGGTAGCTAGACCGCTTAATTGGGGAGGGGGGTTATATTCATATATTCATGTTTATCTACCGCAGGAACAATAGCGTACAAAAGAAATCAGTCGGGCATAAGATGAATTCATGAATAACAACCCCCCCCCCCAATTAAGCTTCTAGCTACGGCCTTGTACTGGATACGCGAAAAATTCACCAACATGCATGATCATGCAATGTTCTTTCGACCAACACACCTAGGCCTAAGACTAAGACTCATTGGTAAGTAAAAACAATTTAAAATAACATAAATTAAAAGATATAAATAAATTGGATAGAATGGACGATTTTTTCTTTTTAATTGAAAATAATATACACGCAATGCCGAATGTTCGTGCAAAACGTGCGTGAAAATTGCTCTTGAAAATTAAATTATTTTATAATCAATATATATCATGCAGTGCATGCATGATGTGGTTATATTAATGCAGATTAATATTTGCACAAATAGTTGTTCCTATACACAAATATTATTATTCTCAACAGACCTAAGGCAAGTAAAATGAATATTGGTGGAATTATCGCCGGTTTCCTTGTGCTGCTATCTCTTGCATGGCATATCACATGCAAGGACACATATGACATTCCAGTTGCCATCAATGCTCTGATACAGGATCCCGACAAAGTAGACGAAACAGAAAAATTCTTTTATGATCAGGATAAAGACTTCTATTCTAAAGTCACACCATTTGATGTGGCTAAATCTTTAGAACTATCTGTTGAAGATACGATAAGCAAAAAAATCAAAATTGTTTTCCTAACGTTTGCCTCCTCTCATGTTGGAAATCCGTTGAGCCTGAAGGATCTAAAATACACAACAAAAAGCAACTGGTCTTATACGATAAGTGTGAAGAGCATCTTAAATGCATCGAATGGAGAACTCGTAGATATCAATGGGCAAACAGTTATTTCCAAAATACAAGAAAATGCTATGAAAGTTTTGGGAAAACGATATCAGTTTAAAAGTGATAACATTAGGAACAAGCTAGGGCTTGGAAAAATGGCCTACCTTGCAGCGGATGAGAAGATATGGATCAAAGTGGTTGGAATTATCGTTGAAAACGTGACTGCGGATAGAAATGAAGCTTTAAATTTGACAACGTGTTATTTAGCTGAGATGATTGGAAAAACGGTGTCCCAAATACAAAAATTCACATTGAACGAGGTTGACATGTACTTGTACAATACAACAAAGTTGTTGGAGAAGCTACCTGAGTATAGTGACAATGTAATAATACGTCTTTATCAAACATTTAATATTATGCCCACATTCCTGGCAAGAATTAGCAACACAGAATTGTCAAAGATAAACGCTATGATGATGAAAGACGTATTAAATCTCTTTACAAACAGTGTGCTAAAGTCTCTCCGGGTCAATGCAAATGAAATCAGTGAAAAAGATTCAAGTTTTGATCCAAAAATGCTTCTTTCTTGCACCGATAAATGGGAACCATTTAAAACCATAATCATATCAGAATCTTTCCAAAACTCTGCAGAAGCTATGTCAGTGGAGACTGATATCCTTTCAGCACTGATTAACATCTCATATTCGGATATTCAAGAGTTTACAATCACCGTAATGATGAATACACTAGAGACAGTTATAGATCCGTTATCACAACAAAAGGAATTGATGGAGGCTACCAATTTGTCTGCTATCCTTCAAGATCAAGGCTCGGACAAAATAAACACTCTGAATGAAAGTGTTTTTAACGTTATCTACAGTCGCACAAACTTCACCGAACACCAACTGGGAATTTTATATGAATGGACCTCAAACGATTATCTATTTTCCTCCATGTTTACTCTTGAAGAAACAAATGATGTATGCAAAATCAATACGCTTAACTATGTTCTTCTCGCCTTGGCACGCCTTACTGTAGGTCAGGACGGGGTTATTCCTTGTAAATCTTTCGAAATGCTGAGAGAAATTTGGAGAAGGAAGTCTTTGAACTATCTAGAATCAAAACATTCCAAACAAAAACAACTGTCATTACACTCCTCGATCTCTATGTTGGTCAATCAACTGACCGACGCGTCATTTGCGATTAACTACCGCGTGCTGAATGTGTCATCTGAAACTGAAAAACTTATCTCGCAGTTATCAATAAACAATATCACGGCAATCACAACATATTCAAGTTCATACCTAAAAACCAAGTCTTTTCAAGATATCATTGAAATCATTGTACATCTGAAGCGTAATGGCTCGTTTGATCGTGAAGTGGTTAGTCATTACATATTAACATCATTATTAACAACATCATTATTATTCACTCCATCGCGTATTTTAACAACAGAGGACAACTACCCAACAAGTACAAGCATTTCAACACGAACCTCCAATGCAATAGAAACAACAATCTTGCCCAGACAGACAGGAACAACAACACTAGCCACAGCAAATCTGAACACGTCCTTCATTTCAACTGCTAAAAGAAATATGCAGCCTACATCAAATTACAATATCTCGAATACACACAATTCACGTTTTCTGAAATCTACACTAGACCAAGGCAACTTCTTTAATAATTCAGAAGATACAACGAGCCTTACTTATTCAAAAATTTCCGCAACATCACACATTACAAATACCATCATGAGTCATCCAATTTCACCTTCAATAAGGTTTGCAAGTAACGCTACTATCAAAACATTTCAAACAAGTATTTCCATTTTAAAAGAATCAGTTTCTTTTTCGAGACCTTTGTCCCCAAGTTACTCTAGTGACACAACAGACAATCAAACCAGCGTTGCTCAAAATAGTTCAAAACATCGCCCAACGGAATATATGTCAACTACCCCAATTGCCACGAATTTATCTAGCAAACATTTACCAATAAATATCTTCAAAACAGTGACTGAAGACAGTGGTAATAAAAATGGAACTTCTTCAACAGACACAGTAGGTTTCATGACAAAACAAACAAACAAGGTCATTTCATCCAAGTACATTGCTACAAACGTTGCACGACTGTATTCAGTTACAACATGGAAGCTATCGACGAAAATAAATGCAACAGTTTACCCCACCTCGAATTATGTTACTGGAAGTAAAATGCACACGAACACATCACTGTTACACACGCTTTTACACACAAAAGAACATTCTTTATCAAAATTATCAAATAAATCAATTCAAAGTAACATAAGTGTGAGGCCAACGATTGGCGATGAATCTCTAAATTCGACATATGATTTCTCTTGTTATTCAGACACGTGGAAGAGAAAGTACCACGCTTTCCAGCGTACAATCGAGCACACTTCTCGCACCACCTATGTTACCTACTTCAACTCTTGTTATTGCCGACAAAATGTCACTCACAAAATATCCGTCAACAACAAGCATGTTCCCAACCAGCACTGCAGTAAACCAAGTTGCATACTCTTCAAACATTCCGTCCCATTCAACTGCACCAATTGAACCACGTGTCCAAAACTCCAGTCTGTACTTGTCAACCTCCGTTCTACCGGCATCACCGACCGGCATATCGACAACATTAATATCCAGCATATCGCTCGTTAAACCAACTACAACAAAGACTGAAACAATAACATCCAGCATTCAAAAATCAGGTGAGTACAAATTGAGTAAGAATAATCCTTTTAAATACAGCCAACATTGGCTAAAATAGGAGCCATACCATTTGCTCGTTTCGCCATATGCAAGAACGTAACATATTTTATCATTTCAGGCTCAAAGTGTCAACCCGAATGCAAAACTGGCGAATTGTGCATCTTAGATAACCAGAATACAGTCTCAATGACATGTAAAGGTAGGTTGATTTCCAATATATATAAAAGTTATCAATACCCACACATTTGAGGGAAATATTCTATACATAAACCAGATTCACATATTTTTTTCATTACGTTTCTCAACAGATGCAAAAAATCTAGAAGGAAGATTGAGGATCACAAGTGGCGCTAACTTTACTGTACAGTTGACGGATAAAACCTCGGAAGCTTTCAAGAAATTCTCAATTCAAGTTGAAATACTGGTAAGAATTTCTCGATATAATTTCATTTGGATCACATTCATGCATGTTAGCAGGTATATAAGGCATAAGGTGTAAGGCACAAGACATAAGGTGTCAATTATATACTAAAGATCATTCAAAGAACAAAACCACTTTTTAGCAATAGATAATTACAAAGTGTAGTAAAGGCCATGGGAATAATACATGTTTTCCCATGTATATCTTTCAAATATAGATCGATTCAATCTGCAAACGTTCTCAATACAAATCTACGTTTCTTGGTTCTGAGGTCTTACGATTTGAGTAAGTATTTGTACTAAATGTATTTCTGCATTTCATGGTTCAGTTATTATCAATGGATCCACATGCACTAAAAAAGAAAACTGACATACTCAAATTTCCCTGTAGGTCAGGAAGCATAATTGTGCATTACAAGCTATCATTTGATAGCAAATTAGACTTGTCAAGTTCTACTGTGGAGGATATCGAACAAGTGTTCAGAAATGCCCAGGATACTAATTTTACAATTGACAATAGCAGCATTGCTGTTGAAGGTACGTTGGCTTCGTAATGCTAAAAATTTCAACCAAGTCATTTTAATTTTACACAGTCATTTTATTCTTAATCCTCTCGTATAGATTATGACGAGTGTTCCACAGGAAAGGCAACGAAGTGTTATAAAACAGCTACGTGTAACAACACGCTGGGATCCTATGTATGTATCTGTCCTAAAGGTTCAACTGGGGATGGCAGTTCATGTCGAGGTAGGAGCGTAATACGTTAGAAGAAAACAAGAAAACAAGACATGTATGAGTGGCCTGGCTATATCGAGAAACAAACATGTTTGATAAACTAATCTGTATTTTTTTATATTTATTCTATCTTTTACAGTGGCCAATACGAGAAAACCAAACGACAAGGGTAAGTTAAAAGCCGTTGTGCCCATGTAGGTCTAATATACGCTTACATTTTACAGCTGCAATTCCTCACATAACTTTTGCATTCTATATCTCTAATATTTTATACATTTCTTTCGCCATAGAAGACGTACCGTGGATAATATATGTAGTTATCGCAATTATGGTTGTATTAATTATCTTCCTTATTGTCGTAATAATCTACTGTGAGAAGAAACATAAGAAGAAACAAAGGTAAACAATTTGTTTCCTTTTCCCGGTCATGCATGCACGTACAGAGAGAAATTACTGCACCAGTCTTGTGAAACATGATTCTAATAAATAAACATCTATAGCTACTGTACTACTACCACTTCTATGCCAGCACTGTACAGGACTATAGTAATATTCACAAAGCAGGGCTTTACCTTAGTGGTTAAATGAAGCTGTGAAACGTCATAATGGGTAAGATCGGTCTGTCGAACCACTTTACCATAAATTTCGCAAAACCAATTTTACACTATTACCAATAGATCGAGACAAAACTGACATTATTTGCCGATCTCCTGAACCAAGGCTTAGGTAGTCTTACTATAATTTCATAGACGTACGTACTGACCTTTTTAAAACGAGTAACTGAGCATAAATTCTTCAATACAGGCCTCAAGTTTTAGATTTTCACCATGGTGGAATCAACATGTATCCTCGATCAACGCCATATCTTGCACAGACACCAGAATCAGAAGCAGACCTTGCGGATGGCTTTGGTATTGTGAACAGACACGGCCCTCAACTCAACATGGTCACATTTAATCCAACCCCTGAAGACAAGAAAGAATTAGAATTGCAGAAATCGTAAAATACAGAAAAAAGGCGCATTATCTTAACTTTGGTGATTTGTGCGAGAAAATAGGCCATGAACAAAAACGGTTGCAGTGTAAATAAGCATGAATACTATTGCAATCATCAACATAGAAATATTGCAATCATCATAGAAATATATATAGCTACAAACAAGTCTTTGAAATGCACGTTAAACATAGCTGCAAGTACTTGCATTGCACTGGTTGACGTTCGCCGTGCTAATGTGCGGTCCTCTCTCCTAGGTTTTCCACTACCGACTCTGAGCAGAACACAACATTGAAATCGTGGATGCCTCAGGTTGCATCACTTGCATGACAAATTTTCAGTTATTACCGACTTTGGTTTTAATTACCCAATGCCTCTCCCATGCAAGGAGAGTCAAATTACATGTTCAATTTAATATTAGCCTGATAATCAGGCCCTTAGTTAAGATGAAAACAACCAGAAATCCGTCCTTGTGGGAATTAATATGTGCCTGCTATTAATGACGGCGACGTCATATTGACCATGTGAAACGGCCTCTGTATGCCGGCTTATAAGACTAGGACTGCGTGGTTGTTTAGAACAATAAACCGACAGTGTTTCCACAGAAATTATTCTTCAAAGAATTAGACACAAACATATTTATTTTTCCACTTTTGATCATGGCGAATATGCAAAAGTGCATGCAATTCATGCAGACAAGACTTTTTTTAACTTTTTTGTTCTATATGGTACAATAATGTAATTAAAAATTCCTTAAATAGAAAGTTTCCTGATAATTTCAGGTCATTATAGGTCTACTTCGGACTACACAACAAGGAAGGAAATACAGGCAGCATCTGGCTTTTATTCCGCATGTTAAAATATACATTGACGGTTTCTATTTATGTCCAGATGGACAATGATGTATACTGTACATATGATTGCGTTAAGGTTCAACTTTGGATGACATAAGGTAAAATATATTGATTTCTAATATACTTTGCTGGTAAACAAGTCTTCTCATCTTGCATTAGTGTTGCGTATTAACTATATCAACCTTTACGAGAATTCATGCCATATTGCATAAACACTATCAGCGTCTGTAAATGCTTTCTAAAACGGTCGATTTTGGAAAATACGTGAAAGCATGCAACGCATATATGCACGACTGAATCGGACTGGTCTTCAACGGAGAGAAAAGATGAGTATATTTCAATGATTATAAATTCGTTTATACAACTAAACTGCATGGTGCTTAATTGTTTAGTTGAACCAAACACAATTATATCATACCACAATTATATTTCTGAAAATGTTCGGTAGATTTGGGCTTCATCACCGCTTGACATGTGCTGTTTCTTTCCTTTATATTAATAAACGTTTATTACGTTCTATATTTTGAACCGACATTACGATAACTTGTCTTGAGACAACAAATCTTGCGGGGAACAAAATCACAGCTATAGCCATGCACGCACTTCCTTGTAAGAAATGTTTTTCAAAATTTGCATGCAATCACTACTAGAATTAGTAAGCATATTGCCAGCGATCCTTTACACGCGCGTTCGTATATTTCTTTTTATTTCTTACCAGGCATGTATCAATTTTAGCCAATTTAATCCCGTCTCGTGTTTGCGATTCAACTTATTGGCATACATGAAAGAAAAAATAATTAACACTTATTTACTGCGAACGAAGGAAACATTATGTTTTGTGGACCCGAGACCTGTCGATATTTCCCTCGGCTTCGCCTTGTGAAATATCGATGGTCGAGGATCCACAAAACATAATGTTTTCTGCGTTCTCAGTAAATAAGTTTTTTATGTTATATTATTTATTGCATTCGACGAAGAACGCTTCCTAATCGTGACGTCACGGCTGGATGCCAGGTCGTTTTGAGATTTTTGTGTGGCATTTTTGCGTTTCCTTCGCCTGCAGGATTTCGTGTCGCTTCCTAATTTCACGTGCTTTCCGTATTTTGTTGTTGTTTAGGAGTTAGGACCGGGCAATTGGGCTTTCGAATTCGCCTGTTTCATTAAGAAGTTATAGGAATTATTTTGATTTTGAAGTGTTTGAAATATCAGTGAGGATTCTTATCAAAGCATCAGGAATCTATCTTGCAGTTTTTAACGATGAGAAATCTGATTACCGAACGCACTTGCTACAATCTTTGATTATACTTCTAGTATATATTATAGTGACAAAATTTTGATGTCGCCAGCGCGACCCCCTGCAGAGTGAGATAACGTGTTATCTCGTGGGAAATAACAACTTTTATCTATTTGAAATTATGTCTTTTATGAATAGATATTTCGTTGTTTACCATGTAGTTTGGTTTTTCTTTGACAAGTGGTACCTTGTAGTTTGGTTTTTACCAAACTACACGGTAAACAACGAAATATCTATTCATAAAAGACATAATCTCAAATGGATAAAAGTTGTTATTTCCCACGAGATAACACGTTATCTCACTCAGCAGGGGGTCGCCCTGGCGACATCAAAATTTCGTCACTCTCGCGTGATTCGCTCTCGACCAATGAAACGCTACGAAAACAAAACTTAGACAAGTAGTATATAATAACATCACTTATATACACGCTACTGTCAGTAACAGCAATAATCTGAGAGATTATACTAAATTTATTATTCTACGGGATCTGAGCATATGCAGGGACAGCAGACAACCGAACCGATTTACGGGATCAGGGCGGTAGCTAGACCGCTTAATTGGGGGGGGGGGGGGTTATATTCATATATTCATGTTTATCTACCGCAGGAACAATAGCGTACAAAAGAAATCAGTCGGGCATAAGATGAATTCATGAATAACACCCCCCCCCCCCAATTAAGCTTCTAGCTACGGCCTTGTAAGAGATTCGCGAAAAAATCACCAGCATGCATGATCATGCAATGTTCTCTCGACCAACACACCTAGGCCTAAGGCTAAGATTCATTGGTAAGTAAAAACAATTTAAAATAACATAAATTAAAAGATATAAATAAATTGGATAGAATGGACGATTTTTTCTTTTTAATTGAAAATAATATACACGCAATGCCGAATGTTCGTGCAAAACGTGCGTGAAAATTGCTCTTGAAAATTAAATTATTTTTTAATCAATATATATCATGCAGTGCATGCATGATGTGGTTATATTAATGCAGATTAATATTTGCACAAATAGTTGTTCCTATACACAAATATTATTATTCTCAACAGACCTAAGGCAAGTAAAATGAATATTGGTGGAATTATCGCCGGTTTCCTTGTGCTGCTATCTCTTGCATGGCATATCACATGCAAGGACACATATGACATTCCAGTTGCCATCAATGCTCTGATACAGGATCCCTACAAAGTAGACGAAACAGAAAAATTCTTTTATAATCAGGATAAAGACTTCTATTCTAAAGTCACACCAATTGATGTGGCTAAAAATGCAGAAGAATCTGTTGAAGAAACGATAAGCAAAAAAATCAAAATTGTTTTCCTAACGTTTGCCTCCTCTCATGTTTCTAAGCCGGTGAACCTGAGTGATCTAAAATACCCAACAAAAAGCAACTGGTCTTATACGATAAGTGTGAAGAGCATCTTAAATGCATCGAATGGAGAACTCCTAGATATCAATGGGCAAACAGTTATTTCCAAAATACAAGAAAATGCTATGAAAGTTTTGGGAAAACGATATCAGTTTAAAAGTGATAACATTAGGAACAAACTAGGGCTTGGAAAAATGGCCTACCTTGCAGCGGATGAGAAGATATGGATCAAAGTGGTTGGAATTATCGTTGAAAACGTGATTGCGGATAGAAATGAAGCTTTAAATTTGACAACGTGTTATTTAGCTGAGATGATTGGAAAAACGGTGTCTCAAATACAAAAATTCACATTGAACGAGGTTGACATGTACTTGTACAATACAACAAAGTTGTTGGAGAAGCTACCTGAGTATAGTGAGAATGTAATAATACGTCTCTATCAAACATTTAACATTACCCCCACATTCCTGGCAAGAATTAGCAACACAGAATTGTCGAATATAAACGCTATGATGATGAAAGACGTATTAAATCTCTTTACAAACAGTGCGCTGAAGACTCTCCGGGTAAATGCAAATGAAATCAGTGAAAAAGATTCAAGTTTTGATCCAAAAATGCTTCTTTCTTGCACCCATAAATGGGAACCATTTAAAACCATAATCATCTCAGAATCTTTCCAAAACTCTGCAGAAGCTATGTCAGTGGAGACTGATATCCTTTCAGCACTGATTAACATCTCATATTCGGATATTCAAGAGTTTACAATCACCGTAATGATGAATACACTAGAGACAGTTATAGATCCGTTATCACAACAAAAGGAATTGATGGAGGCTACCAATTTGTCTGCTATCCTTCAAGATCAAGGTTTGAACAAAATAAACACTCTGAATGAAAGTGTTTTTAACGTCATCTACAGTCGCACAAACTTCACTGAACACCAACTGGGAGTTTTATATGAATGGACCTCAAACGATTATCTATTTTCCTCCATATTTACTCTTGAAGAAGCAAATGACGTATGCAAAATCAATACGCTTAACTATGTTCTTCTCGCCTTGGCACGCCTTACTGTAGGTCAGAAAGGGGATATTCCTTGTAAATCTTTCGAAGTGCTGAGAGAAATTCGGGAAAGGAAGTCTTTGAACTATCTAGAATCAAAACATTCCAAACAAAAACAACTGTCATTACACTCCTCGATCTCTATGTTGGTCAATCAACTGACCGACGCGTCATTTCCGATTAACTACCGCATGCTGAATGTGTCATCTGAAACTGAAAAACTTATCTCGCAGTTATCAATAAACAATATCACGGCAATCACAACATATTCAAGTTCATACCTAAAAACCAAGTCTTTTCAAGATATCATTGAAATCATTGTACATCTGAAGCGTAATGGCTCGTTTGATCGTGAAGTGGTTAGTCATTACATATTAACATCATTAATAACAACATCATTATTATTCACTCCATCACGTGTTTTAACAACAGAGGACAACTACCCAACAAGTACAAACATTTCAACACGAACCTCCAATGCAATAGAAAAAACAATCTTGCCCAGACAGACAGGAACAACAACACTAGCCACAGCAAATCTGAGCACGTCCTTCATTTTAACTGCTAAAATAAAGATGCAGCCTACATCAAATTACAATATCTCGAATACACATAATTCACGTTTTCTGAAATCTACACTAGACCAAGGCAACTTCTTTAATAATTCAGAAGATACAACGAGCCTTACTTATTCAAAAATTTTTACAACATCACACGTTACAAATACAGTCATGAGTCATCCAATTTCACCTTCAGTAAGGTTTGCGAGTAACGCTACTATCAAAACAATTCAAACAAGTATTTCCATTTTAAAAGAATAAGAAGCAGTTTCTTTTTCGAAACCTTTGTCCCCAAGTTACTCTAGTGACACAACAGACAATCAAACCAGTGTTGCTCAAAATAGTTCGAAACATCGTCCAACTGAATATATGTCAACTACCCCATTTGCCACGAATTTATCTAGCAAACATTTACCAATAAATATCTTCAAAACAGTGACTGAAGACAGTGGTAATAAAAATGGAACTTCTTCAACAGACACATTAGGTTTCCAAAACAAACAAACAAGGTCATTTCATCCAAGTACATTGCTACAAACGTCATACGACTGTATTCAGTTACAACATCGAAGCTGTCGACGAAAATAAATGCAACAGTTTACCCCACCTCGATTATGTTGCTGGAGGTAAAATGTACACGAACACATCACTGCTACACACGCTTTTACACACAAAAGAACATTCTTTATCAAAATTATCAAATAAATCAATTCAAAGTAACATAAGTGTGAGACCAACGATTGGCGATGAATCTCTAAATTCGACATATGATTTCTTTTGTTATTCAGACACGTAGAAGAGAAAGTACCACGTTTTCCAGCGTACAATATCGAGCACACTTCTCGCAACACCCATGTTACCTACTTCAACTCTTGTTATTACCCACAAAATGTCACTCACAAAATATCCGTTAACAACAAGCATGTTCCCAACCAGCACTGCAGTAAACCAAGTTCCATACTCTTCAAACATTCCGTCCCATTCAACTGCACCAATTGAAGCACGTGTCCAAAACTCCAGTCTGTACTTGTCAACCTCCGTTCTACCGGCATCACCGACCGGCATATCGACAACATTAATATCCAGCATATCGCTCGTTAATCCAACTACAACAAAGACTGAAACAATAACATCCAGCGTTCAAAAACCAGGTGAGTACAGATTAAGTAAAAATAATCCTTTTAAATAGTAGCTGCCAACATTGTGCATGAGAAAAGTTATCAATACCCACAAAGCAAAAATCATTTTCTTATCGAGAAAATATATGTTATCTTAAGAATTTTTTTCTTATGTAAAGAAAATTTTTCTTAAACTGAGAATTTTTTCTAACTCTAGGATATAAAATCTCGTTTAGAAAGTAATTTCTTAAAATAAGAAAGTAGTCAGCCCACAGATTTACAGATTTTAACACAAGAAATTATATTCTTATGAATTGTAATTTTTTTCTTAAACTGAGAAAATAATTTCTAGATATAAGAAAGATTATCTTAACTTCTGAAATTCTCAATATGAGAAAAATAATCTTGAGCAATACCCCAAACATTTCTTAAAATAGGAAAGCTTGCCTTATCTGATCCTCGTTTCAAGAAAATAATTTCTTGGAATAAGAAGATAATAAGAAAACAAAAACTAATAGTAAAAAAACACTATATACAATAGAATTATTATTATTTACAATGAACGAATTTGCGCCTCCCTTCATAAATTATATCTAGCTAAGTCCTATGCACAAACAATTTTTGTTGAATTGAATTTTGGTCATCATGAAAAAAATGTATCACATTTTGCCTTTCAATAGGTGTGCTTGGTTATTGCACTAAAAACACCACCTTAAGCGCTAGCTAATTTCATCGGTCAATTATGTGTATGAAAAGACACAGACTCGGTCACAAGTCATAAATTCGACCGGTTTATCCCTTTTTAAAAATAAATATCAATATATATATATATATATATATATATATAATTATATATATATATATATATATATGGCAAAGGATTTGTTTTCCTGACCTGCCCTCTCTTTCTCCATCCCATACGCCTGCCACTTGTTTTATGATATGACAATCAAAAAACCTCTGCAGAGTACTTTCAAGTAATCATGCCATGAAAAACTCCTACAGTTAAGTTTAACGAAATACATATTTCACAATAACAACTCATTTTTTGCCCAAGGGCTAGACCCAGGTTCATCGAATCCATCTTCATCCCCAGACAGTGACACAGGAGTCATTATTGGAGCCGTGGTGGCAGCTGTGGTTGTCTTGGTAACAGTAATCGTGATTGTTGCTTGCTTTCGCTATCGAAGAATGTCGCCACGGGACAAGGAGCAAAACATCGGCGAAATTAAAAATCCTGCATTTGACGGTGAAACTCAACAAAGGGAAGAACTGCCATCGGTGCCCAAATCTGAGAGCGATTACGAGGAGCCAACAGAATATGCACAACTCGACAAACTCAGAAGAGCTTCTATTAATGCAAATTATCAAAGTTTAAAACACGGAGACTACGGGAGTGGTTCTGGTGCTGTACTTAAAAAGGAAGGTGAAGAGGACTGTTCTAAAGGTGATTATGAGGAAATGGCAGAATATGCACAATTAGACAGTTCGAAAAGAGTTCCCATCGATGCATATTATCAAAGTTTGATACACATGCAGAGACAAACAAAGTAGTTTTGGTGATACGAGAGACCGTACTGTCAAATAAAAAAGTTATACCTAATACGAACCAGAACTATATCAAGCTATTATCCTATAGTGGGAAATGCGGTCCCAAAATGAGTGCCGTTTAAAACACCACAGAAAGCAAGCATATCCTACTTGATTTTATACCTTTTAATAACCATCTTACATGTAATCTTGCAATTAATCCGAGAATCCTGTCTATCTTAATTCTCTAACGTGTCGGTGTTGCAATATTTCTGTTGGGACCCATGCACAAGTGTATAAATGTTTGCCATAGGCATTTTTATGCATGATACAGTAAAATTTGTTTGTACGCAAAAATATTTATTAACAATATTTACAATTTGTCCTTTGTCAACCTTTGTCGAAAAGCGTCTCGCACTTCCGTTGTACTTTGGGTACGCGTATAATTTATCACAATAAACACTCGTTGTTCCGCGGTCATCTGTACCATTTTCTTTCGAAACAATAACAAGGCTAATTTAAATTTAATCATATTCACAATTTCAAATTTTTGGGCTAAAATTTGTTAACACGGCATTCAAATTTTAACAATGAGTGATTTCAATAGTTTTCGTTTTTTTAGACACCCTGTTCAAGAGCCCACTTTAAGTCGAAACATTTCAAGCACGCATTTCGCATTAGGCATCACCGTCCTCCATTACTAGGCATCACTGCCAGTCAATAACATGTCGATTACTGCAGCTTTGCTGGCCAATCGACACGTTTAAAGGCGATGTTACACTGCAACTTTTCTTGCAACTTGCAATGCGATTCTACTCCAGCTCTATACGATCTGCTAACGTTTTCTTTAGAAAACTCTTTACAAATTGACATCCCTCAAAATTAAACCTGAGTGCATGGGTGAAAAATGTTGGAATGGCTCAGTAAAGACTTTGAATAATTGGTCACAAAGACCTATAGATTTAGACTTTTGATTGGTAGATAGGAATTCACGCTTCTGTCTAACCTTATACCGTTAATTAGCTGATGATTTTTGTTTCAAGCGAGTCGCACCGTTTTAATGCATTTTGTTATTATTACTTTAGTATAAAAATCAAGCCTATATAGCTTATAAAACAACCAATAGATTCGTTAAAGGGAGAGCGAAGTCCTCATTTCTTTCTAATCGATAATTCGGTATAATTTTATAATCAAGTCGATCGAGTATGACCGTTTGAACATTCCTGACTAGACGGATATATTTTTATCTCGCACAACTGTGCTAGAAATTTCAAGTTCGGGGCTTTAAGCAATGTAATTAGCTCCGCTATAGCTATACTCTAATTTATGTCACAATATATTTAGGCTACTGCACCGTGATCATGAATCGTCAGAAATTTATTTCAACCTATTACGACTGTTCAAAAATATGTTTCAGTTTATGAGATACCACCAACAGCTCAAACTATTTTATTTTAAACACCTACGTGTCCACAACTCATGCATATATAGATCTCTCGAAGATATTGTTTTCATTCATATATCATTCAAGGTTTCACATATTTTAATGTCAGACGAACATTTGTAACGCTTCCAGTCGCTTTAACACGAACAACTCAAGTAGAATTAAAACCCCTCATTTAAAATACTGAATAAATCGATTTCATCATAAGCCATACTCAGCATGATGTCTGCAGTTTCATGGCAACTTATAGCTTTGGAACATTCTATATATGCATTCTGGATTTTCTATAAAATGATAATTTGCTTAGAAATTGAGAATTCTATTCTATATCACTCTGCCTTTGGAATTTCACGAGGCAATTTCATAACTTTGTTAAAAGAATACATTCTGCAGTATACTAAATGTTGATAAAATTTATCAGAAACATGTCCCTTTACACATTCCCTTCAATGTGTTTTATTATGGGCAAATTACTGTGAATGTTGCGGTATTTATAGTTTGCTTATACTATTTTTGAAGCCAAGTAAATGGTCAATAGCTTAAGCAATTTATACAACTGATATTCAATTTGTTTTACAAATTTGAATGCCTGCATTCGCGTGAACTACACAGTAATCAACATGCCATTCAATGTGCACCCAGGGTGCCTAATTTTTGTCATACTGAAATCATTCGTGCGCTCACTCAATTTGTTTGCCAGTTTGGCATTCTGTGTGGATCGCGAATCTCAAGTCACAAATCTTAGGTATGAAAACATTAGTTATTTCTAGATCGAAAATACCATAACTTCGGCTTATGAATTAGCCAGTTGAAGTAGAGATATAGAATCAGAACTTTAGTTTATCGCTCAAGATCCAACTCTAATTCTTTTTGTATACAATCGATGTGTTGCCGTCATAGATAACTGTTTGACTTACATACCGCTTGCTTTTGCTCTTCGTTGTTGTGGTTATTGTATGTAGTTTGTAAGCTGCTAAAGCTTTATATACGCTGGATATTGAAGCATGATTAACGTTTTTATTTATTTTCAGATTTTGTATCCAGCCCAAACGACCAAGTCATATTGAGCTTACAAGCAGTTATTCATCAGTCGACTATCTGACTTGGCGCAGGTCGCCTTCAGGTAATTTCAGCCAGTTAAATTTTCTCAAGTCACTTTGCTTGATAACATAATATCATTAAATACATGCACTTCGGATACACCACGATAGTCATGCATTCATGGTAATTATCTTTGATGATTATCACGGAATCAGTTGCACGCTGTATAGTTTTTCATATCTATAACAAGGACGACTATCTTATAGCAATAACTTAAGTATTTTGATATGTTTATAGACTTATAAATTATGTTTAAGAAATGTACGCTTATATAAAGTATAATATCATATGTATGGATATTTTTAAGTACACGAATAAATTACCCCAATTCCCAATAATTCGGCCCTTAAAGGCTTAATGATCTTATATCGGTCGCTAAGAAAGTCAATTTTATGGAATAACAGACTAGACGTTATTTGCTGGGCTTTCATATACTATATTTACAATTAACGTATAGATTTTTGATAAATGCAATATGATAAATGATTTATAGCTGACTCCACCTAATTTTTTGAAGAATTTTAATCGTTCTATATAGATGGTTGTCTGTATCATTACATTTATATGAGCTGTGTTCACACTATAAGGACTGAGGATTAGCTGTAAACTTGATTTTTATCGGAAGTGTCAATCATTGCGTTCATACCAAAGATATAAGGGAAATCTGATAAAAAATATAAAAAAAAATATAAAAATATATAAAAAAAATTATAAAAAATTGGGAAATCAGATATAAAACTGATCGTTTCATAACCAATATACACGTAGGTATATATATACATTGGGAGATCAGATATAAAACTGATCGTTTCATAACCAATATAGCCTTTATAGGGGTTATGTAATCACCTTCGTGTTTCAAAGGTAAAAGCCGTGTCGGCGTTATATAAAAATATGCATTGTTGTTCACCGCACCACTCATGTTATCTCAATGAATGAAGGACATTCAGATAAATGAAAGCTATCTATTAAGCAAAGCTGTTATGAACTATGTTGTTTAAATACATTGTGGTATCTTTATCTTCAGTCAAATGTTTTGAAATATTTTTAACCTAATTTGACTCTAACCTTTACACGGCACAATGTAAACCAATCATGCATAGCCATAGATAATTAAGTGATATTTAAGTTAATAAAGAAACATTTCGATTTTTAATATTCATGTACAATTATTTTGAATCAAAAACAAACTGAGACCAACTAAAGCTAATTATAATATTTCAAATATATATATTATCTATCTAGTTTTTGTCGTTCAAACGAAAACAATAATTGTAACAGCCGCTTATTTTTCTACAATATTCTCTCTCCCTTAATTACGTCTATATACGTGAGTTGTTGCAAAAAATTATCTATAAATATAGATGGACCTTTGTGTGCAGGCATTTTTCAACATCAAAAACGCTATGTTTGATTTCTTGGAAAAGCCACTTCGAGATAGCAGAGAAAACATAACATTTCACTTGAAAAAAGAAAGAAAAATATTAACCTAACTTAGACGTTATTGTTGAAGAAGGAACCATATGATGTGTTTACTATCAATAAAACAAAACTTTCATAACTGCAATGTTTACCGATATAAAAGGCATGTATATATATATATATATATATATATATATATATATATATATATATATATATATATATATATATATTTATATATACATATATTAGGATAAACTTTCTATTCAGATAGGTCAATCCGAAAAATAATATCTGTGTACTTGGTTTTCAGTTTCATTTGGGTTTCGTTAGATTTTACAGGGCTCTTTTGCAAAAATACTACAGTGTCTATCAGGGATTTCCTCTTATAGCTGCTTTCCACTTACGCGTTTTTCATACGCGCGTAAGGGCTTAAAACCATCTAAGCTGCTGTATAATTACGTAATTCACGCGGTGTGATTTTCTTTATCCGGTTTCTTGCTGTTGAATGACGTGTTTTTTGTACTATTTAGTGACGACATGTCGGTGCAAAGGTGTGACGTTAGTCTTTGAGCAGAAGTTGTGTTATTAAAAAGTGTGTTATATAAAACACAAAGTTTTTCTGTCTCTCTTCTCGCAGCGCACCTTAATATACGTTGTGTTCTTAACGACACCTTGACGTACGTTATTTAACACAACTATTTTTACTACACAACTATATTAAATACAAAATTTTGTTAAAAAGCTCGGCGAATGCTGGCTGAAAGGCTTTTGGTGTAAAACAATTTTTTTCAATCTAAGCAAAAACGTACTATTGATTCGGCATTTGATTTTTCGCAAAAACACCGATTTTACATTCCGTCATGCAGTTCAGATGTCATGCCTAGTACACGTCACATTTATAGGTTACGTCGAACTCGAATGCGGTTCATAGCTTTACTTCCTGAAGTTCTGGTTTTCTTTTGAGTTTGAGACATCTTATCATGCAACAACCACACATGTATGCGCTTTAGATTGCTAAACTATCTTTCTGTTTTGTAGATCTCCGTAATTATGACTGCCAACCTGATAATCCGAAGTTTCCTTTTTTTCCTTTCTTTCGTTCCTGCTGCGGTATTATCAGCCAACTTTACCACAATCAGGGTCCCACTCTCCATTGCTCCCATAGTTGGTATTCCTCGAGAAGATTTTAAAGATGCGGAAGTCGCCAGAGAGCCAGACCTCTATTCCAAAGCTACAATTTATGATGATTTGACTTTATCAGTCATATATGATTTGAACAGAGTTCTCGACTCATCAATGTCCAGTGTAATCAGCAATATTTTTGTGTTAGAAGAACGAAAATTATTGGATATTGATTTGTTATTTGCTTATAATTGCACCAGATGGTGCCTGGATCTACCGATAAGTGAAATGACACGCGTCACTGGGAAAACAATGGAAAATTTGAAAGGTAACCCTGATCGTATCACGGTGCTTGACTTGCATAATTTGATAGTACAAACGTTGGAAGATATTTACTGTTTTAAAATGGATGTAATTGAACAAAGACTAAATAAGTCTTCCAAATTCCTTGTTGAAAGTGAATGGGCATTGTTCGTACCACAGATTGTTGCAGAAGCAGTCAAATGTAAGGCTGATATTCTTGGTGTAACTGTGTCAGAATTGGCTGAACTTCTTCGTACAGATGTCGCTACGTTACTTGGCTTCACCCTTAGTGATGTTTCCAATACTTTCTTTCCCAATTTTCTATTACTTCAAAGCCGCAAGAACTTGTTTGAAACCCGGTCACTTGATTTAGCTTATTTGTTCGCTGGATTAACGTCAGCCGAAGGCGAAGCGAAAACAATGTTGTTTTATGCTTCTCATTCAACAATAGCATTCAATTTGCGAGATCTGGAAATTTTGTATGATTGGGAAAAGCCTCAACTGTTCGCCATAGACAACGTGCCTCTCTCAAGTTACTTTGCTGAGTGCTCTGTCATAACGTCAAACTCATTATTTGCTGTATCAAAAGCAATTTTTGGTCAAGGAGCAACAGAGCCTACTTGTAACGTTTCCTATGTACTGTCAAGATCTTTGGACGAAGTAGAGAACAAGTTTAATACCCTGACAACAATCGAAAACAGAAATTCACTCTATATTTTTATGACTGCGACTGACATCTCAAGTTGGTTCGTTATGGATGGAATTCTTCAGTTAGATATAGACGAAGGTATCTGGGTCGAAATTCCCTCAGTGAGCCATGTTGCTTCTGCAGACGGTAAAAATACAACGTTCATCAAAACCTGCTCTCTCCCACAAGTAATTGCATTGCTAAAGAGCACCAATGAATCTGGTACACTAACTCCATTTTTGACAATCAACAATCCATCGTTCCGAAATCTTTTGCTTGCGACTTATGGATATACGTACAATGAATTAGTCAGCTTGACAGGAACACCTTCGGCACAAATATCTAGCTTACCAGTTGTTGATCTTCATGCTATGATACTAGATGCATTGGTCGACAGATACTCGATTTCAGATTTGCCCTCATTACTTGGCGTTCCTGGGGTTGTAAACATGCGTATACTTTCAACCCTTCCGTCTTTTGAGTGGTCGAGGATCGTTCGTTCTGTTATACAAGGCTCCTTCGCACATGCTGCAGATGCCTTGTCTGTCAACCTAGCCGCAGGTAGCCATGTCACAGTGACAAACCAGGCCGACGGCAATCCATCAATTGGAGTTAATCCTTCCCCTGTCTATTTTTCACCAAAAGTTACAACAAACACCTTGGCGACGTGTCTTCTTGCACGAAATGAAGCAGATATTTATGCAATGACTTTACCAAATTATCACACACTTTTTAGAGAAAGCATAATACCGATCGTCCAGGGAAAGATAACCATTGAGAGCACACCCTTTGAAAGTCTTCTTTCGAATGATGATTTAATTCTCCGTCAAGTCTGGAATAGGACTGTGGCCGACGTTATTGCACAATACACAGGTTTATCAGTGCCGCAATTGGGATGCCTCTATGGTTGGGATCAGAACTTTCTGAACTTCATTAATGGAACAACTTGGGAGGATGTTAGCGCTTTCCGACTTTGTAGCGAGTATGAGAAGATGACCCTTCATGAAATCTTGGTTCTTCTTTTAACAGCACCAAAGGTCAATTGCTGTAAGTGAAATAGTTATTTAACTTTTGAAAATAATTAGGTTTTATCCCATCTATAGTGCTATAATGTGTAGTAAAATGTTTTGCCGTTTTGCAATCATCTTTTATGGCCACAAATTGGGGACATTTAAAATTTGACCAAAATGCTTAGTATTATCATGTTTTTATTTTCAGTTGCGACCATCTCTTTGTCAGCAAGTAATTACAATGTCGACGAATCGGGCAGATTCGTTGTTGTTTTGGTTGAACTGTCTGGCGGCGAAGTTGATAAGGAGGTTAAAGTCATGTAAGCCTATGTTTAAAGTATTTTTTTTAACATGATACTGACTTTATGTCCTATGAAAGCCTTATGAGTTATTTCGGTACATTTTATTAAGCTGGAATAGCATTGCAAGTAATTTTTACTGTTTGCCTTACGTTTTGAGACTTAGGACTTCTACCTTTAATATATAATAACGTAACCGAACAAGATAAATTTATTTTAGATTGTCTGTGACGGCGGTATCTGCAACTGCTGGTAAAGATTTTGAAGACAAAGAACAAACTAATGTAACATTTGCGGCCAGAGATACACAAAGCAAACCTGTAATTATCAACATTCTCGAAGATGACATACTGGAAAATAATGAACAGTTTCTAGTATTTATTACAAGTACAGATTCTGATACAAGACTGTTAATATCATCAGCAACAGTGACTATCAAAGATAATGACTGTAAGTGTTATTATCACATACATTTTTACGAGTTACACAAAGATGAAACAATAATGAAAATAATGTTAGACAATGTTGCACAATGTTGCATGGATGAAACCGTGGAAACTAAGTCAAACCCAGTCCAACACTAACCCAAAATAAACCCCAAAATGTTGCCAACAACACTGTGGTATGATTTTGAACTCGTTAAACGGAATTTTAAAAATGTGAATTATTTTATTTGTTTTTTAGTCGTTTCTATTTCGTGGCAAGTTCCTGACAATTCAGTTTCAGAAAACATTGGTCTCGTTACAGCTAACTTGGTTTTAAATGGGGATATCGAAAAAAGCATAGCTGTAAAGTAAGTAAAGTTCTTGATATTTACCAACACGAAGAAAATATTTCACCTAGAAAATGCTTCATAGATAATAAAAGAACTATCTTACTATCTTATCTTATTTTGGATTGTTTATATTTGAAGGAACGAAATATATGATGCATATAGCGTCAAATGTATGATATATAGACCTTAGGTAACTCTGATAGTATCTAGTATAAAGTTTTTCCATCGTCAAAGATTAAATATCGCTGTTGTACATCAAATGCGTTTTGTCATGTTTCCTGCATGCATGTCCTTCCAACAAGTATTGTGCATGAGATTACCCAGGGAAATTGTTAATTAATGTACATTGTGTATTATTTCTCCGTATTACTATATCTGTATATCTTCAATTTTCTATTTAGCGTTGCTGTTAATGATATTTCAACGAGTACATCTGATTACGCATTACTAACTCCCTCAGTTACGTTCAATCCCAGTGATAACAGTAAGACCAAGCAAGTGTTAATCTCCATTACCAACGATGGCATTGTTGAGCCATCAGAAGCTCTGGAACTTCTCGCAAGTACAACTGACGTCTTCGTCAATACAACTAATACGGTGATCTTGATTGAAGATAACGATAGTACGTTTTCAATTTTATATTAATCGTCTTTCAACATAAAAACTACGTTAAGTAATGCGTCCAGGAGATCCGTCTACGTATGTTTATTCTAAGACACTAGTTATATCTTCCTACTACTCTTTTTACTCAATATATTTCTTGTCAAGCGTTATTTTCCCTTATTAGAACCGTGCATGAGTATACCGTATTTACTCGTTTATATAAGCGCTGATTCGTGGGGCGTCTATTGAGCGCCGCCTTCGAATGAGCGCCGCATTTGCGATCAATTTTTCTTAAAGAGCGCCGCCCCCGAATGAGCGTCGGACTATGACGTCACAATTTACAGAATACCAGGAATTATTTGTAAATTTGACGTCATAATTGCAATTACCATGAATTATTTGTAGGTGACTAACCAATCAAAACGGTGCTTGTATATATAGTAATTTGGGGAGACCTAATTTGTTAAAGTTAAAAAAAAATCGGTGCATCTAGTTCTCAGCTAATCTTTTGTTTGCTTTCTCTAGAAATAATCGTCTCGTTTGTTCAAAGCACGTATACGTTTAGTGAAGGCATCCTTCTGCATCAAATAGAAGTGAATGCTGTCGCCCCACAGCTAACTACTGATGTTCCAATAAGGTATATTATACTAATAAATCATGTTAGTTTTTATAACAAAACAATCTACATTTTGAACCACAAAGAATGTTGTATCTCCTACATTTTTAAAGTGCTTGCTGGCCAGGGCTGTCTATAATTATGTACCTAAAAGTGGCCGATAGCATGAATGGACCGAGATAGTTCAGTTCATCAACGGCTTAATTAACCCGCTAATTATATCTATCCTGTATTATCACTATCACACTTGTATACAAGGCGATATTGATTTTTTTAATGGAAAAATATGCTTCCCCTCTTAACCTTCTTACCCTTGGTGGTGAAAAGCAAAATTTTATTACCTCGCCTACACGGCTATAAAGAATTATGAACGTGTTTGCTCAGCCACTGAAAGTCATTATGTTTAGGTGTGACTTAATGAGCTTCCAATGAACGCATTTAAAAAATACTCTTTTTTGTAGGGCTAGGCTTAATGCATGTAACTACCTCCTGTGTGATTTTCTTCAAATTTCTTCATTTTGTATCAAATGGCCAGGATAGTTACGTTGAAATTGAAGATTCAATCTCGCACTAAATATTCATGTTATTGCTCGCAAAACAACGCTCGCTTCTTTCTTTTCTTTCAGTTTGAGTACATTTAATGACGGTGCATCAGCTGGTCTGGACTATATTAATGCGAATACGCTTGTGACATTCACACCTTTTGTTGGGAGCCAGATAAAAAGTTTCTCTGTTTCAATCCTTCCTGACACCTTAGTTGAACTTGATGAAACATTCGAAGTGAACCTTGCAATACCAACGGGATCTGCTGATCTCGCACAACTTTCTAATCCATCTAAGACCATCGTGACCATTCAAGATGACGATAGTAAGTTCAGCTTGTGTTAAATTGTGCTAAAATTCCAATTCGAGACAGAGAAATGAAAACATAATGCACCATGCACGCATTTCCCTAATTCCCTCATGCATGCATGATCTCGTTTCTAGCATCCTATAACTATTAGTGAGATATATTTAGTCCTCATTTGTGCTGTTATAATTTTTTCTTCCTTTTCCCTGCGTTTCATTTTCCTTTCTCTTCTATCTTTTTAATATCTATACCAAAATATTTTAGCAAAAATTTACATTTGGAAATATTTATTTGCATCTTAGAGGCAGTAATAAACTTTAAGAGTGCCACGTACTCTGTATTGGAACAAATAACGGAAGTTAATGTAACAGTCACACTGACCGGCGCACTTGGAAGACCAGTTTCAATTGGGTAAGGGTGGATTATATTGTTTTCTGCAAGGTTTATACATTTGCCCTAATACAAGCTTTTTTGAAAACACCCGACAAGATGTATCTCTTTTTTGATTCTTCAAATATAGCTTCTTGAATCATTGTTTACTATTTGTTATTTCAAAAATATCTGTATACTAAAAAAACTACTTCGCTTCCTCACATATATATATAAGCACGGGGTGAATGCGTTTACTATAGAAATTGACGTATATAATGATAACCTTATGCAGTGGCTACTAACATAGCCTGTGTCAGAGAAAATTGATGACATGCGGCGTTATTACATGCAAAACATTTACATATCTTACAGATATACGACCCAAACGGGAACAGCTTCTAGTGCTGATTTCACTGCCAACTCCGGAACCCTGACATTTAACCCAAGCCAAGCAACAGAGCAAGTCATTACAATTTCAATCGCGAATGACAACTTCGTTGAAGCCTCGGAACAGTTTAAAGTCATTCTTCTACTACAAGATCCTGTTAACACTGAAATTGGAAATACTGGACAAACAACAGTTACCATTCTTGATGACGATAGTTAGTATCGTTTTCTTTTAACTATACTTCGTTTCATCAATGGTTTACACTGCATCATGGTCTTTTATGAAATTTTAATTTTAGAGGCTCTTGTGGAACATGTTAAAACCAGCTACACTTTTCCCGAAGATGGTGGTCCAGCTATACTTGGCGTAAGACTACTGAACCTTGCTGGTCCACTACAAACAAATGTGGATGTCAGGTAAGATTATATCGTTCATGATTCTGGCTGTTTACCACATTAATTCCTATGACGAGGGATGCAGCATGTCCTTTTAAATCACAAACAATTTTTTTTACGCTGTATGGCCTGTTTTGAGTTACCGAAAAACAAAGCTATTCAGATTTTCTAATGACATGTTTTTAAGTATTTTCGGCTAAAACTTAATTGAAAATCCTAATTGACTGGTAAACTTGAAAATCCGGAAACCATTGCCGCGGAGACCGTCTCGCAAAGCTATAGCTGTAATATTGTTCATAGCTGTAATAATATTAATACTGTACAGGGTTCGCAGAAACCTGACGAAAAATGCTTTGCTGTCCTAACCATCGAAACCGTCACCGAGCCTGATTTGATTCCTATCACTACCAAAAAGTTAATTTTTCCTCCATTGAATATTTCTTCTCTTTTTTTTTAATTACTTGTAACCAGACACTGCAATTTTACTGGCCATTACGCTCAGCTTTGCATGGCTTTCTTTCAGTACCTAAAACTCTGTTTGTCAGTCTTCGCTATTGCTGGGTGTTGTTGCCTGATTTGACGTAATTTTCTTCGATTAACTAGGTCTTTTATTAACTGAATTAAACTGTAAAGCAGGACTAGTACATAAATCAATCATCCCATAATCCACAGAGTTCATCCACCGCGTTCACGCACCCTTTCGAACAATTAGTGATAAATTTTCATAACAACTTTCATAATCAGCTTATTTCAAAAGCTTTCTTACAAATTATAATCAACTTATCAGTTTCAGAAGAGTTTTTTACGCCCTGTATTTTACTTCAATTTTATTTTTATTTACTCCAACATTACCTTACAGTGTTGCAGCGTTAGGAACAACGGCAAGTACGAATGATTTTACTCCACCAAACTCCACACTCACATTCTTTGTGGGTGACTTTAACAACGAAAGAAACATCTCAATTCCAATCATTGACGACAATCTGTTCGAAGTCGATGAAGCGTTTTTGGTCATTCTATCTGCTGGCACGGATAATAAAGTTGAAATAGATCCACCATCACAAGCTACAGTGACAATCACAAGTGAAGACGGTATAGTTAATTTCCCAAGTTTTAATGCCATACTTATTTTTCAAAAAGTGAGAAGATTGAAAATTGAGGAATGTTGTTTATTCTACACACGAGAAATAACTGAATTTGTCATATCACAAGCATCACTTGACGAAATAAGACCATGTGATTAACGAAAAAGGTTAAAAAGTCTATTATTAAGCGAGATTGTAATTAATAAGATATTCAAAAATGGTTTATAGTTGCTTTTATGCATATACCACTGATGCAAGGATTTCTTTTTCTTCAAATGCAAATGTTTGGCTTATTTCAGGCGTTACGTCCCCAAACTGATGTTCTACAGCCTTGTTAATTTAAACTTGAATTTTCTTCTCCCAAGATGCCGTGATATCTTTTACACAGAATTCGTACAGTGTTACTGAAGGACAAACTGTCCCCATAAATCTTCAAGTTTCGTCTGGTACGCTGGGATCAAGTGTCACTGTGAGGTAAATTGTACAAATCTTTCACAAACGACGCAAAATTAAATTGTCTTTATACCGAAGGTTGTAGATGTTATCACATGAAAATAATTTCTACCTAAAAATGCAGCAGACACGCTAAAGAAAATAGTAAAGAACAGCGTGTAAAGGCGGATTTCCAGATTTATTAGATATAGTATTGCTAGAGGAAATGACTCTTTTGTGATTTAATTTCAGTGTTAGCACACAAGATGTATCTACAAGTTCGACTGACTTCGGAAGACCGACATTATCTGTTACATTCGCCGCTGGAGAGACTGGTCCCAAGACTGTGAATATTTTAACTACCGATGATGATATCGTCGAAGCAAATGAAATATTCACCGTTTCCTTGTCGAGTTCGTCTGGAGTAACACTTGGAGGCTCGGCATTCGTGACGATCAACAATGATGACGGTATAGGAGCGTTTTAGAGATAATTTTACAAAATCATATTATTTGTTATACTCTTTTCAAATCTTGGGATGCAATTATAGAGAAAAATAATTAACATGCTCGTGTTATCTCTTCCTGCTGCTAATAGTTTTCCCGAGAATATTTTTGTTTCCTTTACAGATGTGACTGTTCAGTTTACTACTAGTTCATCTACCGTTTCTGAGGGATCAGGATCCACTAGTGTCCAGCTTGTTGCCGTTGAGCAGAGAGAAATTGATGTAATTGTGAGGTAACATAACATAACTAGAGCTACCAATTCCGTTCGACGAAGTGTTACGCGAGTTTTGATTATTTTGTGAAGAAAAGTCACTGATACAATCACTGATACGATTGCTTTGCGATCGTTTTTATAGTGTCACCACACAAGCTGGTACTGCCTCTGCTGATGTTGATTACGACACAAAAACAGAAGTGGTTACATTCAAACCTACTGACACATTCAAAACGGTCGACTTTACTGTCCGCGATGATACCAAAATTGAGGAAGAAGAATCATTTAAACTTGTTTTGAGTGCAATTTCCGGCCAAGTGACAATAGGTTCTGTTGATGAGCACACTATTAAAATAGAAGACGATGACTGTAAGTACATCACATTACAACGTTCTTAACTCCTGGGTATAATTATTCAATTTTTAAGATTGGTTGAGGCGTTTTACTGCCTAACCGTTTTCTATATAACCATAATTATTCTACAACAATGTTATTATTTGTTTGTGGTTTGCGCATTGCTAATGAAGGGCCTCGTTATTGTAAGAGATCACAGCTGTTGATCAGGACAAGATTAACTAGGCCATATGCTTTGTGGATTTTTTTAAGTTGCGACTGTGCAGTTCACAAGCGAAGTATTCTCTGGAAATGAAACGTTTGGTTATGCTGACATTTGGGTTGTTTTGACCGGCGTTTTAGAAGACCCTACCTCAGTGAGGTATGTTGATTTTATTTGTAAGCTTGAATATCACCGTCATGTTTTTTTTCAAAGATATTTGCTACATACGACAATGGTTTTGCGGTTATTTTTATTGCAAATCAAAAATAGTGGAAATAGTTTGCCAATTAATTAGTCACAATACATTCGTGTTGAATCGTATACTATAGTGATATAATTTATTGAATGCTAAGATCAGGGAGGCGAATAAAGAATCCTTTAAGCAGCGGCTTGATATTAAAATGTAATTATAAAGACATACTTTTTTTTCGTTTCAGTGTTTCTACAACACAAGACACCGCTCTAGCAGGAATTGACTATTCCAGTTTGACCAATTCTCCCCTGGCATTTACACCTGGAGGACCAACATTACAAAGGATCAGAGTTAATATAACAGACGATGTATTCATTGAGGGAACCGAAAGATTCAAAGCTAGCTTATCAACCACTAACTCGTTTACAAAAATTGGAAGCGTTAATGAGACAACAGTACGAATTATTGATGATGATGGTATGAAATATTTACAAAAACCACTTGAAGTATTTGTATAAAAATGCATGGAAACTAGAGTAATTCTGAAAATTTTCTAGATAGAGTTTATACCCTATATCATTCTATTCTGTTTTCGTTGGACGGTACTGTAAGAAACAATTTCGACAAAGGGTGTTGTTCCTTAGTATGCTATAAGACTAACGCAGCGGCTTAAACGAAAGAATAGCAACCTAGATTGTTTATAATTGTTTGCCGACATCCCTTACAGTCGAGATAAATCTTTCTCCTGATAGTCAGGGAAACATTGAATGACATTATATCATGCACTATATTTTCAGTGGCCACACTTGGGTTCGCGAGCGTACTAAATTTGGAAGTGAACGAAGGAAGCCCTGCTGTTCTTACAGCTCAGCTTACAGGACCGCTGACAACTCAAGTTTCCGCGACGTAAGTTGAAAGATTTTATAGATCTCTACTTTAGCATTCCCTTTTTTTACATTTTTTGCATTAGAAACGAAAATCGCATACATTGATGTTTTCGTATAAGAAATTATTTTGTTTTTTAACTTTATTTTATAGGGCTACCGTCGTATTAGTCAGCGCTAGCAACGATGATTTTGATGTCATTTCATCAACAAACTTGAACTTCAGTCCTGGAGATGCTCAGGAAACTATAGCCATAACCACAGATGGGGACGTATTCATTGAAGGAAATGAAGTATTTCAGGTCATACTATCAACGTCAAGCCCAAATGTTCAAGTTGATGATGGAGTTACAACTATAACAATCTTGGACGATGACGGTATTAAATGCGTTTCAATCACTGCATGTATTTTCTCGGGGCCGAATAAATTATACACGGCTTTATTCTGGATTCAAAATACTTTAATAACAGCGTTATTGGTTTTGAATTTCTAAAGAATATTTTTGAATAAAAATCCACCAATGTCATTGCAAGTTAGAGCTGTATAATAAGTTATTTTACCTTACCCTGGATCCGAGACTGCAAAATTGGTATTCTTGAATACGTTTTTACTGCAAAAATGCCAAAATTGGTATTTTTGAATAATAATATTAATAATGATAATAATATAAATATATAGTAACTGTTTGGTTTCCAGTTCACCAGTTATATTTGCTTTCTAGCTCAGTAATCTTCGTCCCTACCTATATATTTTGTTAATTCTAAAGATACTTTTTAATAGCTAAATATTGAAGTGAATTTTACACTTAACGTCTTAGACGCGGAAATATCTCTTGCACAAAACAGTTACCAAGGCAGCGAGGACTCCTCAGTTGTCGAGGTTTCTATCAATCTCAGTGGTGACTTGAAAACAACGGTACAAGCAAGGTGAGTTCATTGGTGGATAAGGTGGATTTCCACTTACAGAGAAATGGTTCGCTACCAAAGTATTTGCATGCATATTTTCTTTGCTTATTAATTTATTTATTCTGTTAAAATTTAAAAGCGAATATGTAAGTATTTCGCTGGCGAACTATTCCTCTGCATGTCGGGAATCATGAACCCTAACTTTTCTTTATAATTCATATATATTTAGATCATAACCGCAATAGAGCCGCCCAACTGCTTTCCATGGTCCGACCTTTTTCCATGGTCCGACAGTGACTTGAACTTGTTTCACGTATCTTTTTGTAGGCTGACTCTTTCACCACAATCTGCTGTTTTGGGAGATTACGCAGGATTAGTTGATCCGGTCATAACTTTTTCTCCGAGTTCACCAACTACACAAAGACGCAATATAACTATTGTTAATGACGACGCTGTTGAGAATCTCGAATTCTTCCGCGTTGACCTGGAAGCTGTTGGCGACAATGTCAAAATAACACCGATCTCAAGTGCGACAGTTACGATAACTGACAACGACAGTAAGTATCCATCGTATAGCGCATTAGGGCCTGATTCCAGCCTTAGCCTCGGGCAACTGTTCCCGCTCAGTCGAGATTCAACGAAACGTGAGATGACTTATAAAAAGACCATATATGAAACTTTTATAAGCAAAGACGCTCAAATTTATTAGATTCTCCTCCTGGAATAAATTTGGTAATTATTAAGATCAGGCGGGGCTGTATTATTAGCATCCCACCGAATCTAGCATAAAAATTACATCATCTGGTCACCCTGGGGTGTATCAAAAAAAAGAAGGCAGCCACTAATATTCATTTGGTTATTAAGCACAATCGTAAACAATAGTTTTGAATTGTTAAGTGTTGTTTATTTCATACACCCTGCAGTATAAAGATAAACCGGGCAGCCATGCATGTAGTCATCCTGTCAGGAACATGTGCTTTTTTGATACGGTATCATGAAGACCAAACTTTTAAAATCGTCTCACGCTTTTGTGAAACTCGGGGAGCCGGGCTCCCTGGGAAACCAACCCCTATAGGGCTTTTCAATTGAGCGACAATTTTCGCTCGATTTTCCTTTCAATTGTGACCGGTCAAGGTAATTAATCCGGTTAAACTTGATCTCGGATGGTATTACTTATAATGGGATAAGGAATTAAAAATATGGGGATAAAATTTTTAAACAAAATCAATGACTCGTAATTATAAATTTTCAGAGGCAATTTTTGGATTCCAGCCTATAAATTATGCTCTTCAAGAATCTGCACCACATGCTAACTTATCGGTCGTTCTATTCTCGACTACTCCGCTTCAACGAACTGTCATGTTCAGGTAATATACATTTACTCTTCAAATGGGTAATAATAATTTATATATTAATTAAAACGGATTGATTAAGATGAACTCTGCTAGTGAACTGATTTTCTCTGACTGAGGGAGTGACAGGGAGGAAATACCGATCACAACGTCCCTGTTATACGTCACTTTGTGTCTGCAATATTTTTTAATATCTGATGATAGAATTACATCAGTTTCTCAGCAGATAGACCAGATCTTTTCTGCTGTCTTAATTAATAATTTTCTAGGTAACTACAACTGATAACGCCTTCCCAACACTAAAATAGCGCCCTGTATTCATGATCATGAGGAACGCTAATTGATCTATTTATAATTAAATCGGTTCCATCGTTTCCATTATTATTAGATACTCGACAATCAACCAAACCGCAAAATCACCCGGGGACTATGACGACATTATCAATGGACAACTTCAGTTTGATGTTGGGGATGGAAACGGAGCAGTTCGTTTTATCTCCGTTGGGATAAACGATGACGTCATTATTGAGAGTCCTGAAATCTTCCAAGTCGAGTTGACTGCTGTTGCAAGTGATACTATTTCGGCAAACACTGCAACTGTTACAATAATCGACAACGATGGTACGTGTGATGTTTTCATAGTACATTTCGTCATTGTTAAATTTTCAGACGCCTTTGATAATGAGTTGTAGACAGATTCGTCTGGCCAAGAGGTCGATTCGCCCCCGGAAGTTCTTGACCCGTTTAATTAGATCATGCATGGATCTTTCCAATGGGAAAGGAACAAGCATACACGAGGACAATTATTATTCATACTTAACTACAAAATGGTGAAGATATATGTCATTTAAGCTTTCCTGTTAAACTATATTTTTAAAGACTTTTTTCTTGCCCAGTCCCATCAATTCGCTTGATTGACACGACAAAGGATGTAAATGAAGGTGATGTTCAACTTAGTGTCCGTGTTCTGCTGACTGGAACTGTTGATAGAGAAGTCACTGCCAGGTAAATAAAATCAATCAAAACCGAAAAACAACTTTATCGAATAACATTATATTCATTTGGATCAATACAGGCTTCAACACTTGATTAGATCATTGGCATTAGATGAAAATGATTACTACACCATTTAGAGTCGACTGCAATCACTAAATAAATATTCGAAAGATAACATTTGACGTTTAGTATTGTCTTTGAAGATTTTGGAACAGGGGGGGGGTCAGCAGGGGCAAGGGTGGCAAGGATACCCTTTCATTTTCATGGATTACATTCTATATCCACAGTGTAAGTGCCACAAACGAGCATCACGAATAACACAATCGTCTTCTGAAAAAATCGAAATATTACAACCTTACCGTTGGCGTCTTAATTCAGTCTATATCTTAGATTTTCGAAGATGTTCATGTTCGGATTGTGTTTTGTTTTATACTTACCATTCAAGCTTTGTTGGTTCTAGTATCGTTCAATTCGTTTTTGTTCCGATATTGCATATACCTTTATACATCCAAAGGGAAAAAAATACCCTGCTAATGATACAATTCAGCCTTAGATTTTATTCATAAAGAATTTTGAATGAATTCTACTAAGTTTCGCTTTTAAATGTATTTATAGGCTTACAACATCGAATGTAACTGCTAGTGCAAATTCAGATTACCAACCAATTGATCAAGAAATCACGTTCCCTGTTGGGAACCCATTTGTAGAGGTCAAAATAACCATCAATCAGGATACTTTAGTTGAAGGAGCTGAGACTTTTGAAGTTACTTTAACTAGTGATGATGCCAATGTTGAAAACCCGAAGCTTACTGTCACCATTCTTGATAATGATTGTAAGTCAATGTTTTTATCATACTAATATTGTGTCCATACTTTCGGGGTTTTTTCCGATATTCTCGTATTTGTTTTTGCTTGATGTTCGAAAAAAAATGTTTGCGTTTCACATGCATGACGATGTGGCAGAGCGGAGGGAGGGTAGGGTGTAGGGGAAGAGGAAGTGTGAGGGGGGAGGAGGACGCATAACGATGGTGAGAGCATGTTAGTGACATTCAGTGAACTGTAATAAAACCTGGCCGCCACCTTTGATGCCAAATATGAAAGTAATTTTTCTGAGTTTTCGTTTGAACGTTTGAGACAGACGTAGAGAGCAATTATCTAGGAATGTCTAGAACTATGTAAGATATAATCATTTGCTCTTCTTTTATAAGAATTGAACAAGAAACAGAGTCAAAAACTCAGTTTTTTAATTCAATTTTTGGCTTCGAAAAATATTACAGTTCACTGGTGACATTTTAGTAAAAGTTAGATGCCTATGTGATTGCATCATCTTTCGTGCATGCTTGTATCATGAAATTGTTTTTATTTACTGAGTGATATTTAATTAGGTGTAAATTAAACTATACCAATTGAATTGATCGTTTATATGCTATCTCTATTGCAGTTGTTACCATTTCCTTTCAAAATAATGCTGCTGACGTACCGGAAAATAGCGGTCTCGCCATTGTGAACATACAATTAAGCGGTGATCGAGCAGTTCCTATAACCTTCGAGTAAGAACTTTATCAATTTAAACCATGACACTTTCTTCTTCTTAGATTATGTTCAGATTGTTTTCTTTCATTTGATAACGAATGTATACTTATTTCTATTAACTAATTACCGAAATTAAAACTTGAAGTTGCAAAATAAAGCTTTAATTTTGCTGGAGCAAAGATTTTTAATAGCCTTCCAATAGAAATTAGGTTGGCAAAAGAATTCACAGAGTTTAGGTCACTCATATCTGACCACTTTCGATCTTAACTTTTAGTTATTATAGATTTTAATTTTTAGGTAGCTTCTTTTATTACCTGTACTTATTGTAACTAGATAATTGTAATTATTCCCAGTCTGAAACGGGACAAACAAGGGTAACAGAGTTGCATGTTATATCAATTGTATATACTTGTAAACACTGATGTTTTTATCCTGTGTAAAGATTGATAAATGATAATAATAATAATACCCATTTTTTTTATTTAGCATCGATACTATAGCGGCGTCAGCTCTTAAAGACCAGGACTATGTTTATAATCGCCGGGAAATAACAATTAATCCTAGTGATTCGTCCTCATATGTTGAAACCATACAGATTAAAAATGATCAAATTGTTGAGGGTGATGAAGTGTTCAGTGTGACTATTGACGATAGCTCTCCTCTCGTTACTTACGATGGTTCAAACATGCTGATCACTATAAAAGATGACGACAGTAAGTAGTGAAACCAAGATTGCATGCCTATTCAATTTAACATTGCGCAGAGCGGTATCCATGTGGCTAATTTTTCCTACATGTTTCCCACATTGCATTGCTTGACAGTCCCGTGACATAAAAAGCTCTATTAAGATCCATAGCATTGATATGTAAAACTCTACAAATTTGTAGAGTTTGTATTTGTAGAGCAAACTCTACAAATTTGTAGAGTTTGTTTGTCTAGGTTAGTGTATTTTTAGGAGGTACTGTTGGTGTTGATAACTGACGTTTGAAAGTTTGGACTCTAAAGATGACTACAGCTTGGGAGGGGGCGAAACGTCAGTAAACACAACCAACATCAACGTACTTCTCAGAGCTATACACTAAGATCAATATCAACAAGGATGTGACGTTACTCCCCGGTTGAAACCATACAGTCACCTTTAACAAAATAATTTTTTTAACAGCTGCCAATGTAACATTCTCAAAGGCGTCTTACACCTTTAACGAAGATGTGAATCAGACTACTGTGAACATTGAAATTGATCGTAACTTACAAACAACGGCAACTGTAACGTAAGTTTATTAACTATTATTGATTTTGTTGCAAAAATTGAGGGTTGTATTCTGAAGAGATTTTAGATATCTTATATAAGTAAGTAATTTTATTATCTAATGCAACCAATTGCTGCATGGTCATCCTATAAATCATCCCATGCAGGCATTAACATTTAATATTTTTCTTCAGGGTTTCGTCAACAGCTAATACAGCTACATCTGGATTTGACTTCACTTCTATTGTAAATCAAGCGATTGTTTTTGGACCTGGTGATTCGACAAAGTCATTAGTTGTAACCATTAAGGATGATAATATTGTCGAAACAGATGAGTTGTTTACTCTAAGTTTATCAACCGCACCAGGTTCCGCTTTACGTGTTGGTTCACCAGGCACTACATTAATCTCAATTGATGACAATGATGGTTAGTTTGATATATAACACGCACTTTATTTTTACCACCCAATATTGTTTTGTGTGCGATACTTGATCAAGGATATATTTTAATGTGGCTCGATAGGAATGAAATTTGCATTTTTTAGGGAACAATGTAATTTGTCCAGAAACACAACGGCTAGAAAAAAAACTTTTCCATGCACGCTTTTAAAACCAGGGCTGTCCCATGAACTAGAATGAAGGATAAATCTTTATTACTTCCATAATTTATTCATAGCGAGCCACCTTTAAATAGATACTGTATTCATTGATTGTATTTGTTTAAAATTATAGTCGCTTCAGTGGAAATGAACTCACAAACGTACACAAGCAGTGAGGATGATGACACTACTCAGGTTCAGGTCAAGTTAAATGCACTTGCACCGATTGAACGAGAACTGACATTCAGGTACTATTTTTGTGATCGCGTGTTGTTAAATATAGCACAACCCCACATTCACCCCCGAACGCTACGCCCCTGCTACTGGGGATTTCATCCTATACATTATAAGCTCCGTGCTTGGAAGAATTGAAAAAGTCTGTTTCACTGACTACGTTTGTTGTAACACCATTCTTCATCCTTGGAATATAGCCAGCTACGTAACATGCTTACATTCTAATTCTTGCGCAAGGACCTCAATACTCAATCATCTGATTCCTTCTTTAGTATATCCACTAAGAACGGCTCAGCACTCTCTCCTCGAGATTTTACCCATCTTGAACAAGTTGGAAGATTTAGTGCAGGTCTTGGAAATGGTGCCACACTTTCCATTTCAATTGACATTTCCGATGACGTCGTTGTTGAAAATACAGAAGATTTCTACGTACAACTGGCTGAAATAGACTCTGCTTTACAAGTAGCAAACCCTAACAGGTCAATCGTATACATTCAGGACAATGATGGTGAGTGTAACCGCAATGCCAAGAGCGTTTTTGGAAATTGAAACTTGGAATGAAGTTACTGTTCTGTTGAATGTCTTGTTAAGCTAGCACTAGCTGTAATCAAGTTTTCCCATCGAAAACCTTTTGTAGTTTAAGTACCTTTATTGAGATCCAAAAAAAGACCATATGGAATTGAATTTTGAAAGTTATTGATTTTAAAGTTAGAGATTTTTTCTGTTGGTGCCGCATGGGGTGTAGACATATTCCGTAGTTCCTTTGTTTATGGGCCCATAAAAACACTTCGGCAATTGTTTGAATAAATAATATTCATTTGAAGCTTTTGAGGCCCAATTCACCCATGGTGATCTATCAGTTAACGAAGAAGATGGAAATGTGCGTGTCTCTGTTCGGCTGAATGGACAGCATGAACGAGAGGTTACGATTAGGTAAGAATTTTTTCTAGCTTTGTATTCTTGGTGTTTTAACATGGATGTGGATACATATAAAGCCACTCCAGGCATGTTTTATTCCATTCTCATTTTCGCAATACCACTTTTTTTTTAACCAGGTTGAATACTGTTCAGAACACCGCTACACCTGGTTCAGATTATACCACTGAAGATATCAACTTACGGTTCCCTGCGGGTGATTCGAGTAAAACTGTGGACATTGAAATATTGAATGACCTAGTCATTGAAGGGACAGAAACATTCCGTGTGACAATCACCTCGGGTGATCCGCAAGTCAAAATTTTGGAACCACAAAGTATCACAGTGTCAATCATTGACACTGATGGTAGGTTATTGTCTGTTATTGAAGAGTAAACTATACTTATACCCTACAATAGGCCTATATATGCATGGTTTTCATTCCTCTAAATCTGAAAAACTTTCCACCACTAATGCTTCTTAACTTTAGGCATCAAACAAAAGTAATACTAAAAGATAAAACTAATAAAATATTTTCAGACCCATTTCTTTTGCTCATACGTCATTTTGATTTTTTGTTTCAATAAAGTGGCAACGGTATCGTTCAATCAAAGTGAATATAGGGTGAATGAAGATGTTGGATCTTCCGCTCTTTGGGTGGAGTTGAAAAACGAATTGCAAATTAACTCGGAAGTAAAGTACGTACAAGCGTTATTACAACGTTTAGTACTTTCAATGATAATATTAGCAAAATGTTTTGAACAACAAAAATAATAGCACTTATAGAGGCAACTAAATGCCTGTGTTTTGAACAAAGGTGTCCCTTGAATTGATGAGAAATAATTTTGCCATATACTATTATGCTAGGACTCGCTGTTTATAATTGTTTTAAAACGTACAGTAGGCACAACTGCATGAAAATTTTGTCTTTACTATGCTAGGGTTTGTCTAATTATAGGAAGCTTAGCAAAATTTACGATGTCTATATCCTAAGCTTTAGTTGGTTACAAATGCTTAGTCATTTTTTATTGGCCAAATTGTTTTCCGTCAGTATTGCATCTTCTATTATAGAGTTGAAGTTTATAACTTCCCGGATACTGCAAAGACCCCAGCGGACTATTCATTTGCAAGTCCAACTTCAACTATACTAACTTTTCGCGGTGGCGAAACAAAACTCCTGCCAATTCCCTACACTGTAAATGATGATGACCATGTTGAGAACGCTGAAAGTTTCTATGGTTTGATAAATGCTGATCGGACGACTGTTGTAGCCGTTGAACCGCTGCTAGTTAGAGGGTTTATTGAGGATAATGACGGTGAGATGTCTTGTTCTTCACGAATTGCTGGGGAACCTTGAAACTTTATTTTTGTCCATTGCATGGAAGAATGTGAATTACTTGTACTCAGACTTTTTTATTTTTAAATGCAGTCGCCATTGTCGGATTTACCCAAGCCGAATATCCTGTAAACGAGAACCAGGATGCTTCAGTGGTAGTTGAACTTCAAAACACTCTGTCTGTATCTGTGACTGTGAGGTAATGTTTTGTTATACAATGTTAAAAAATGGTCAATCTTTAAATTTAGAGCTGGTAACCCGAACCAACGTACCGACATTTAGAAAAGAAACTGTACATATACATATGTTGTTTCGCTGTTTATGTTGTAATGATCGTTAGTGCTAACCGGGTCCACTGCTATATTTTTTCAGCATTAAAACAACAATTGGCAATGCTGAATCCGCTGACTTCGGTGTAATTACGAAACGGGATATAACCTTTGACCCAGGGCAAAGTTCAAAAACAGTCGATATTCAAATAATCAACGATGGAATTGTTGAGAATGACGAATCATTTATTGTGTCTTTGGAGACTACTCACCCAAGAGTACAGTTTAATAGAAGTGAAGCTTCGGTTAAAATCATAGATGACGACAGTGAGTATTTTTTAAAATTATTTGTCTACAAAGTAGCTCTCGATATCGTGAGCATATTACAAAATAAATTTTATACCGGCTGAGTAAAAAAGCGCACTCGTGCAAAAATCTAGGCTTGACGTGATTGCGTAAAGAAAAACTCGTGTTATAAATTGATTCCCATTATATTTTTAACCCTTATCTTTTCGGCTTACTTTTTTTTCCTTTTTCTCTCTCGTGTGTCGCTGAGTTTCAGCGATGTTTCAATTGCTCGTCATAGTCAAAGACGAAAAAATTGTCCGAAATAGCAAAGAACGTCGTCATTCGTAGATAATCGAAATGCATGTCGGTGACAAATCAGAACCATACAGACCTTATACATTTCAACTTGCAAACGCAAAGTGAATTAATGTTATTAATTACATTTTTTCTCAGATGTTTCCATCCGATTTCAAAAAGCTCAGTACATTGTCAATGAAGATGATGGATCAGTCCAAGTCAGTTGTCAAATAATCGGGTCCACTGCTATCAACCTTAATTACCTGTAAGCTCTGTATAATGTATATTATATTTCCCTTCTTTTGACTGAAAAATGAGATTACCAGCTGATCTGAGTACGAAGCCCTTACACATTTTGAGTAGGGTCTAATTCTATTATTTTTGACACGCTGTTTTCTCAGTTGGTTGTAAATTAGAATTTTTATTTTGCGCCCCCCATTATACCCTGAAACAGGGACAAATGACGTGATAGCTCCGCTTTGTCGAGGCACTTCATGACGTCATGATCCCAGATCAGTCATTATACTTTAAGTCATTATTTAACATGCAACTCCAGACAAGTTATAAAATAATAGAAATAAAATAAGAATGTATAAAAAATACAGAAATACTTAGGACCTATGATGGTAACATCTTTGATGTGCGTGTAAATAAACTTGTGATATGATCACTATATGCAATCATAATTCTTTTAAACATTCCGGTTAAAGTTTAGGGAACGATTGTTCGAAAAGCGTTTAGCTTAAACGGTGAATAAGCCAAAGTTTAAAACTATTCCTGAACCTGCATCGTATGCATTAAATATGTACTTCTATTGAAAATTAAACTATTTACATCGAAGTATTTCAGATAATTTTGTTTTTTATGTTGAACTTGTCCACCGTTTAGGCTAAACGACTTTCAAACCGCCGAACAACCATTATAATTTTGTGTCTCTATATATAGTGTTCATATTGAAGAAGGTAGCGCACGACGGGATTCTGACTTCACAGGAGCTACCAAATCATTGTTGATACAACCAGGAACCACTGAAAACACTATCAATGTTCCACTGGTTAATGATGATAATATCGAGTCAAATGAAACGTTTTCATTGCGTATGGATAACTTGAATAACGCACGTATTGTTCTTGCAAATCCATCAACTACAACGATTTTAATTCTTGACGATGACGGTAGGTTTTTTTAATCTTTTAGATCTATTTAGGCACTGTTGACCCCTAAACCAATATTTATACATTTGTTTAACTCCGGAGTCGTATTCATCATGCTTTATATTTTTGTATTGCGTTATAAAATGAAATAGTAATCGTGATACTTTTTTGCTCATACAGCTGCAACTGTTGAATTTTCACAACGACAGTATAGTGTTCTTGAAAATGGTGTGTCTGTAACTGTTACCTTAAATCTGACGGGCGTACTTGATCAGAATACCACAGTAAGGTACATGACGAATGAATGAAATAATTTAAAATGTGCATGTTTAGTAAATTGCGCTCTGTAGATTTTTTACGTAATTATTTTTTTCGTCTTATAGTGTATCAAGCTTTGATGTTACCGCTACAGCTGGTCAAGATTACACAGAGATTTCACGTAAAGAAATAAAATTTTCCCCCGGTGGACCAACTGAACAGGAAATTGTAATACCAATTAATAATGATACCCTACTGGAAGGAACAGAATCATTCTTACTGTCTGTTTCTTCCCAAAATGCTTATACCCGAATCGGAGAAAATGCAAATACAACTGTAAGGATCATTGACGATGACGGTAAGAAGACCCTCCAAATACAATCATCACCGTACGCGTATTCATTACTCGATTTTTATTACTTTATCATATCTCTAAGAATTAAAAAATCACTTTTGGAAATGCGAATTGGGTTGTTTTCAGGCTTCAACTTGTAATACAATAGTTTTTACTTGTTCTAATTTGTTGAAGTATAACATTAGATTTATTTTATAGCTACCAATAAATGTATTTTCTTCTTGACAGTTGTAAGTGTTGATTTCGTAATTACAACGGATGATGTGAACGAACAAGATGGTGCTATAGTCGTTGAAATTGAAATACAAGGAACGCGAACAAGACCTGTCACTGTTAGGTAAGTATAGCAATATAATTGAAACGACTACAAAATTTCAACCACCTGCGTAATCCTTTGTTATTATGAAAAAATCATCATTAGTGGCATATAAGCACGTTCTCTCGTTCAACGTCATAAATAAAATGGTGATCATCCTATTTTTCAGCCTTGAATCCTTCAATTTGCTTGCCGTAGCTGCAAGTGATTTTACTGCAGTGGACAGTACAGTCACCTTCCAACCGTCGGAAAGCAAGAAACTCGTTAGCGTTTTTATTACAAACGATGATTTGATTGAAAATGACGAAACATTCCTTCTACGCCTTTCAACCGATGATAATCAAGTTAAGATAAACGATAACCAAATGACAATAAAAATCTTGGATAATGACGGTACGAGATAATAACAGAAAAGAAAACAGATCATTTTAGCATGATTAAGCTTCAAAGCCAACAAATTCTCTCAATGCGCCATTGAACATTTTGGCAACACAAATTCTTACATTTAGTTCATGCTTGTTACAATAACAGGACAGAGGTTGTTATTGTTAAAAAATTAGACTTTTTTGCACGTATTTGAGATATAACGGTATAACATTTACGGTTTTATAGAGGCAGCCATCAGATTTGAGCAAACGTCCTATACATTCGATGAAAATGATGGTGAGGTGACTCTTGGCATACTATTGGCTGGTAATCTTGGTATTTCAGTCTCAGCGGAGTAAGTGGAACAACTCTTTCCTAAATATTAGCCTTATTGGAGATTATATCATGGAAGCTGCATGGCTCATTATTTTAGGCCTCGTGTGGGCGGTATAGTCGCACTGAACTTTGGTGTAAGTAAGTTTGAATGATTGGAATAGGTTAAATTAGTGCTAGTGTGAAAAGATGAGATCCCTGAGCAAAAAAGGATAAAATTCCCGCTCCTGTTTTCTGGCCAAATATAACAACATGAAGTCAGTCATGGTACTGGAGTTGATAGTCCTTGAGCGAAATAAATTACTTTCTTTCGCGCGAGGGAATAATCTTTTATGAGTATAATTTCAGAATTGAAGTATGGCTTTCGAGCATTCTGATTTGCTCCCTCACCAGCTCCCTCCATTGCTTTTTAAAAGAATAACAATTTCTCTGCCATGCGTGTGAAAACAAAGGCGGCAACAAAATATGCTGTGAAATTATTTAACAGTGATCTGAATTTAGCAATATACTTTTATTTAACGATTTATTTTGCAATTTAAGATCGTACGGCCGCAGAGAAAGTAGTTAGGAGCGACATCAATTATGTAATATGTTATGAAATACGTTATATTTTTAACGAACATACTGTACTTGAAAGCCCCAAAAATTGAAAAAAATAGGCCTAATAGAAAACTACTTTGTAGATAGCTTTTCAACTTTACTTTGCGAAAACAATGTTTTATATAAATAAATTTAAATGTGTTTACGTTTGTAAAACATGTATTTTCAACAACAGATTCGCTTTCTTAATAAATCACCCTTGTAATTATACTATAACAATTAATTAGAATGTTAAAAAGGTGTTATTAATTGTTTAGAAATTGTTATCGCGTAATTATTTTCCAGTGTCCAGTTCGATGCGCAAACTGCTGATCTTACAGACTACACACCCCCACAAACAAGGACAGTAGTGTTCACCCCAGGTTCCAACAGAGCTGACGTTAAATTTAATATTACCGATGACGATGTGGTGGAAACGACTGAACTTTTTTCGGCAAAGCTAGAAGAAAATAGCCCTAAAGTTGTACTTGGTTCGCCTTCAACAACAACTATCGGTATTCGGGACAATGACAGTAAGTCAACTTTTCACCTAGAAATAGTTGCGGTGCCTTAACCATACAAAGTGATTACCCTGAAATGCTGTGGCATTTTACCAATTATTTGAATCGTTATTTACAAACCGATCTTTTACTAAGATTCGATATATTGCCTTTTTAGATGCTCAAGTGCGTTTCCTGGTTGGATCGAAATCGGTGGATGAAAACGCCGGAAACTTGAATATGACTATCGAGCTTGTTACTGTTTTTCCTTTACAAAGAGATGTCTCTGTAAGGTATAATATAAACTTTTAAACACATAGCGCAATTTGATTGGCTTATAGAAGCGTTTTTAGAAGCCTTTTGGGCCAGTTCGGTCACCACCGGATAATATCGGACCTTGCCTGTCCAGCTTGGTCTGTGAGAAAAGAATAATTTAAAGGCCCGACAAGGCAATGGTCGGTCATTTTGGTATAGGAATTGGAAAGGTATAGTACTTTGGCACGGTTTGTTGTTGAACAGACAAATCTGAAACGGTTATCATAGTATCATGATTGTAGAAATCACAATTATATCCTGCGTGGCTCTGTATCGATATTTTTATTCTAGATTTTCAACCGAAGAAGGCACAGCGCAGTCTCCTGAAGATTTCTCAAATGTTGCTGGATCAACTGTGATCTTTAATGCAGGAGATTCCAATGGAGAAACACGATATGGGATTGTTCCCATTGAAGATGATGACATAGTAGAAGATCCTGAATCATTCACCGCAAAGCTGACATCCATAGATTCTGGTTTGACTACCACAACGTTTACATCGACTGTCATTAGTATCATTGATGATGATAGTAAGTGGCCATCGTCTTTGTATCCTAACTAGTCGGTATCGGCACATAATGCTTACAGGAAATGTTGTCAAGACATGTTTCATTACCCAGTACAACATCATACGTTGTATTTTATAAAGTGTAGAGGAATTCCGTGACACTATCTTCGCTTACATGATAACATTGGATTTATAGAAGCAACAGTCCGTTTCATACAGTCAACTTACTCAGTGAACGAACCAGCCACCTCTGTAAACCTTCTCGTTCAGTTAACTGGAACAATTACGAGAACTGTTACGGCTAGGTAAGGAAGTAAACAACTACTGCTTGAATAATTGCCGTTGTTGGTGTATTGATATTGGCATTACTGATGTAAGGCGTAATTAGCATACCTGCTAAACGCTTATTTTACAAAACCCACTAAAAATATATATGTTTCTCCTTTTTTTAGAATAACTACCGCAAACATTGATGCAATTGGTGGAAATGATTATGGTACTCTAAATCGACTTGTAACATTCACTCCAGGAGGGGGGAAAATTGAATCCATCCCCGTTACTATCGATGATGATGCTATCGTCGAGAATAACGAAAGATTCAGAGCCACCCTAACAGCAGACAATGGAGTTACTGTACCCCCTGATGGTGCTACAACTACTGTCTCTATCATTGACAATGATGGTGAGTTTTGTGCTTAATGGTCATAAATGCATGACTGATCACTTTGTTTTAGTAATTTACATTATTACTGACTAGCAGTAAAACTAATTGCGTTTGTGTTTGTGTTTGGATAAGTTTACTATGATTTTACACTTCTCTTCTAGATGTTACCGTCACACTGGAAGCTCTCCTAATTGATGTGAATGAAGCTTCCAACAACGCCATTGTCTTGGTTAAAGTGACTGGTACTAGAGAAAGAGACATACACGTCAAGTGAGTCGAAATATTATTAAGAGAGTCACACCTGTATGCACGTCTAGAATTAATGTCTGTCATAAATGAGTTGATAATGTTGCGACCACTGATTTATTAGTGATTTTGTGGAAGCCTTAGGTCTATAATGCAAACAAACCTTACACATTGTTGCTCTTAAAGGCTCTTCTATACTGTGTATATACATTATCCTGTCATATTTATGCTGTTTACGTCAAACAATCAACACTATATCGCCTGTACTCTAGCGTTCATGTCGTAACGATTCCATGAGGGTATTTCTACTTAAACATAAACTTTGTTGTCTATAGAAGCGCGTTGACAGTCACCTCACAGTCCCATATAGTTCTGAAATAAATGTCAATCTTCTTTTCAGTGTGTCGACGTATGATATTTCTGCATTTTCTGTGTTAAATGATTACACTAAGAAGTCTGAATTAGTAACATTGGAACCGAATAGCGTTCTGAAACAATTCCTGGTCAGTATTCTTGAAGATACCATCGTCGAAAGTACTGAACAGTTTGGAGTACGTGTAACATCCACTGATCCGCAAGTGAATATTGTAAATGGAGATCTTCGGGTTTCGATAGCCGACAATGACCGTAAGTAGTTTTCGAGTTTTCCTAATCAAGACAATCGCACTCTTCAACTATTATAACGTTTGTTTTAGATGCTGTTAAGACCTTCTAATGTAACCGGTTGTATTTTTCCAGGGATTACTTTAACAATGAGGCAAAGTACCTATGCAGTAGACGAAGATGACATTGTTGTATTGGTACATGTGAATGTGACTGGACAGACGGCAATCGATATCGGAGGAAGGTACTTCTCTACCTTTTAGCTGTTCACTGGTTATCCAGCCATGGTTCCTTAAAAACAGTGTACCGTTTAACAACCCCCTCCCCTCACTCCATTATAAAATGTTTAAGTACATTCTCTTTCCCTAGTAAACTATCAACGAGCGCAATAACTGCTGGATCTCCGGGCGATTATACCAATATTGAACGCACAATCCTTGTTACGCCAAGTTCGTCAACGTTCACGGTATCCATACCTATTCAAAATGATGGAATTATTGAATCAGATGAAACTTTCCGAGCTATATTATCTACCACCAACTCCGCCCAAGTCGATATCGGAACACCATCATTTAGTTTGATTACCATAAAAGATGATGACGGTGAGTGCCTTCAATATGAAGTGGATATATCCAAGTCCAAACATTTATGGTTTTTAATATGCTTGTAAATAGCTGTAACGAAATGTTCGATTCAATAACCCTGCAGAAGATTGGATTTTAATATAGTCAAGACACAGTACTCTGTCAATAGTATTATTTATTTATCTATTTTTTACTAACTAATATTGTTATTTATTTATTTGTTTGCATGTTTGTTTGTTTGTTTATTCGTTCGTTTGTTCGTTCTGTGAAATTTGAACGAACGAACAGACGAATGAATAAACAAACATGCAAACAAATAAATAAATAACAACATTAGTTAGTAAATGTGTGTGTCATTATCGAGTGTTTGACTTTGACTAAAACAATTATACTTCTTTTCCAGCATTGTTCATATCATTTGAGCAGCCAAACTATATTGTATCGGAGAATGATGGAACAATAACTGTTGGTGTGGTTGTTACCGGCTCCACATCTCTTACTTTGGAATTTGGGTAGGGTTTTAGCTTCTTGTTTTTTCAAGATGCCGCGAAATCGATGTTTCCAACTAAGCGAGTTAAATTTCCTTGGCTGTACGCTTTTCAAACAAAAGCAGTGCAATAATACATCATGATTCGTGTTCTGGCGTGTAAATATTATCACAGAGTAATAGATAGATACAGAGCTGGAACTAGTGTACCCACTTTTTAGTGCGCATGCTCAGCAGATGCCTGAGATTGAAAGTATAAACAATTCTGCAATTTATCTTAAATGCGTAAAATACTATATAAATGACATGCATGAAACAACGTTACCGTTGATTTAATGTATGACGAAGTTTAAAGTCGTCATTATTTTAAGCGCACTCAAGTGATTACATTATGCCAAAATACGAATCGCATACGACAAATCGCAATGTTTAAACCATAGGTGTAAACGTATCTTGACTTGTTCAATTGAGTTTGAAAGGCTTTATTTATTTATTAAAGGCGGAATTACCACTTATGAGCTACTTTAAGGAAGCTTGTCTACATAATTTGATGACTCACTACATTGATTGTCAATATTTTCTCCCAGAAGACACGATCTAGAAGACCATTTCTATATAATATGCAAATTTGATGCTAAAAATGCTGTGTTCATTGTTTCATCTTCTTTTTTCAGTGTCACAGCCACAAGCGGAAGCGCTACCACACCTGCAGACTATATTCTGCTACAATCCACGGTAGAATTAACACCAGGTGTAGCAAAGCATGAAATCAGTGTTAGACTTACCAATGACCTAAACCTCGAAAACAATGAAACGTTCACTCTGAATTTGAACAACAAAGGAGATACTCGTGTTCGTTTATTAGGACTTGGACAAACTACTATTTTGATCATGGATGATGATGGTATGTGATGTTTAGTTCCACTCATTTCGACGTATTTTTCTCTATGAATTTGGCATTCACTGTTTATATGGGCATTCACGTTTGTCTAAAAAAAATAGGTTTGTAGTTTTTCTAGTGGTCCGGTCAAATAATATTGGGTTTTTTTTCATTTTAGCTGCTACAATACAATTTACGCAAGATCTTTACCCTGTTAATGAGAATGATAAGTCAGTACAAGTGGTGTTAAATATTGTTGGAGTACTCGATCAACCTGCAACTGTTTGGTAATAAAAAATTAGACCTATAATACGACTTTTGTATTTGCGTTATGCAAATTGTATTTTTAACTAGCCGTTACTGCTACCTTTTAATAATTGAGTAGGAGTAATTTACAATGTTTAAAAGATCAAATGTTCCGAAAGAAGAATCGTAACAATGCTATTAAAATTCCTGATTGGTGGATCAAACACGATAATCTTTATAATAACACAGTACGATTGCAGTGGCAAGAGCACTGCACCGGCATCGCATAAGCGTAGGTTCGATTCCTGCCGGAGGACCGATAGTTGACTAATTTTTACGAACTGTTCCTGGCCTGAATTAAGTTGTGTATGATTCCACGCCAAATTAAGACCCTTTAAAAAACCTTTAGAATTTAGCTACATCGAGTGAAGTGCCACAAAATCGTAATTGATATATAACACTGCATATTATATGATAATTCAGAATATCCAATAGTTCCTTTTAATACTGTCGTATTAATTTATCATTAATTAATGAAGATCGAATTGCACTTTTTAGGGTGTCAAGTAGAAATAATTCAGCATTAGCAGGAATTGATTATGATAAAGTTACCAATCAGGAGGTGACGTTTGTTCCCGGTGGACCGACCAACCAAACTTTGAATGTTACTATTATTGATGATAACATTCTAGAAGGAACAGAATCGTTTTATTTGGACGTCTCATCTTCGGTTAACAACATAAAAATTGGCGACAGGGGATCCACTACGATACGAATAGTTGACGATGATTGTAAGTCAGCAACCTTCGTAGGTCGTAATAAATTTTCTTTCTAATAATCACGCAATGAAGGTTACATATAAGATATACACACGCGTGCAAATCATTATACTCGAGAGGCAACTGCTCAGAGCGGTGAAATTCTCGTGGTATTTTTCAGGCAGAATATCTTACCTATTCTGCATGTATCCCACCTGTTTTCCATCGATTCAACACCATTTAAACTTGCGACCAAGAAAAATTAGCACCTTCCAGCTTCCTTTTAGCGCTGCTCCAAACATCAGACTTTCAAAAATAATTATTTAAATCTATGTTTATTATTTTATTTTATTTATTTGTTTTTTTATATTTATTTAGCTATTAGTGTGGAATTTGTAAAGACGAGAGATGACGTTTTAGAATCCAATGGTGTACTTCCGGTTGACGTTGCAATAACTGGCCAACGTAGTGTGAATGTTGTTGCCAAGTATGTTTATCTTTCACTAAGATTTAAAAAGAGCTTACTAGTGAATTGAAAATGCATCTTCTAGCCTTAACATGTGGAAAATTTTAAAAACCTTTAAAAAATAGTACATAATTATTATGATAAAATATCAACATTGCTTTTTTTAACGTCTGGTTCAAGCACTTATCTTAATTGGTGTTTTTGATTTGCTTGTTCAGGTTTTTTAATGCAGTTTCAAGAGCTTGTTATACAGAATAGCTAGGGCGAAAGATGTACTTCGATATAATTATTCCAAAGTTATTGTTAAACCATTTCAAGTTACATGGCATTAGCATATCCCTCATAGAAGGCTGTATACTAATTTTAAAGTTTTTAATATAGAACTAAATATACAAATTATACAATTTAATTTTTTACTTTGGACGTTTAACAGAGTGAAGTCAAACAACCTCGGTGCAATTGCTGGTGCTGACTACAATGAAGTTGATGAAACAATTACTTTTCTACCAAATGAAACACAACCAAGGCGAATACTTGTGATTATACGTCACGATGTAATAGTTGAAAATGACGAACAATTTGTGTTACTTCTCTCCACTGAAACTGCAGGAGTTACCCTTGGCGATAATGTATTCACTGCTACTATTAAAGATGATGATTGTGAGTGAGGATTTTATTTACAAATTTAACAATGTGCACGAAAAAATAACAGGTGTTAAAAAGAGTAGATGTTCCGCTCTTGCTTGGAAATGTATAGAGCAAAAAATATATAAAAGAAGCCTCTTTTACTTTTTTTTTACTTTCCTCCTGTAACTTACTCTTTGGTGAATTTTATGACCGATTAGGTTTGTCCCATAAAACATTTTTTTTCGATTTGCATTTAATTTTCCGCCTTTTTAAACGCAAACAATGTTTTTATTCCTTCCAGTTGCTGTCATCCGCTTGGAAAAGAGTTCCTACACAGTCAATGAAAGCATTTCATCACTCAAAATTGGTGTTATAATGGATGGGCAACATTCCATAGCAATTGATGCTAAGTAAGCTTTTAAATGCATGGAAAAAGAATAATGGCAGTATTAATATAACCTTTTATTGGCAAACCGTATTGCGAACGGATTTCATCTATGGTCACATGAGTACCTACCTACCTTTATATTAACTGATATAAACGTGCATGTATGCATGACAAGTTCTTTTAAGAAATTTTTGTTCAGAATAGTTTATTGTGTTTCGCATTCTATTGTTAATTCCTGTAGCTAAATTGATTTTTCTGTGGGGATTTTATGCTAGTGTCGCGTTGACTCCGGTGACTGCAGTCGTAGGAGATTATCTCGTGGGTAATGGTGATGTTACATTCGATCCTGGGGAAACAAAAAAAGAAATCACTGTTTTCATTCCTGATGATGAGATTGTAGAAGCTTTGGAATCTTTCGAAGCAAAACTTACTGGTGACTCTCACACAGTTGTTGGTACACCTAGAGAAGCCACAGTTTTCATCCAGGATAACGACGGTGTGTTTAACTAGTTATTTCTATTGCAAAATTTTCTCACGTTCAAGTTAGTAGTTTTCGTTATGTTACGTTGGTGTATGCATTTAACAATCGTTTCTTCGTGGATTTCTAGTCTCTGAAATTCGATTCGAAATCAATGAATACTCCGTCAATGAGGCAGATCAAATCGTTAATTTGACTGTTGTTTTACTAACTGTCTTGCCATTGGGTCGCGATGCTTCTTTCAGGTGAGAACAAATAACTATGCTTAAACCATAAACACATTTCAACTGTCCTTGTGAACATCGTTAATATTTCATAAAATTAAACTAAATCTATAAATATATCGAGGGCAGCATGGCGTTATCACTAGTCTGTCGAAATATGTCGGTGAAATGAAGCTTTGAACATTGTGATTGTTCTTTAATAGTTTCGTTACCCAGGATGGAACAGCGGTGTCTTCAAACAATGTAGACTTCGACAAAGCAGTTGGTTCGATTGTAGTATTCCAGCAAGGTTCCAGCAATTATACAACAAAACAAATCTCAGTTTCAATTATTGATGATTCAAGAACCGAGTCGACTGAATCATTTTCAGTTGAACTCTCTGCTGTGACTGGTGGTGGCCTTGTCCCTGTAAATCCATCTAGTGCCACTGTTAACATTGTGGACGATGACAGTATGTCTATTGTTTTTCTTTACAAGTTCATTTAGCTGGCCTGTTTTACAGTAATTAGGTCAAGAACCGATGATCATCTCTCTAAATATATATATATATATATATATATATATATATATATATATATATATATATATATATATACACCCATTTGCAAAAACGTTGGCCGCAGATAGATAGATAGATAGATACTCGAAGTCTAATTAGAATTGCATATGAATACATTTGCATGGGATTTCAATCATATTACACAACATATGCAATTCTAATTAGATTTCGGGTATCTATCTATCTATCTATCTGCGGCCAACGTTTTTGCAAACGGGTGTATATATATTAATATATATAATATATATATATATATATATATATATATATATATATATATATATAACATTTTAGAATTTTTATTTGACACAACCCGTCACTACATGTTTATATTTAATTATGTTTATCAAACCTACCTAGAATTACAGTTGGTAAACTTATTTTCGTCGGAATTGTTCTTTCTTTTAGACGCAATATTAATGTTTGCACCTGACTCGTATACGATAGTGGAGGGTAGTGGTACCGTTTCTGTCATAATAGTTCGAATTGGAGCAATTGAAAGAGATGTCTCGGCATTGTAAGTTTACTGTAGTAGAATTTTGATATTATGACTTTTTAGGTCGTGCTATGTTAATTGTTATCTAGTAAAATCTATAGTAGGGAAAATATGTAGCAAGCTTTACATTGCAGTAAATTCGGAAAGAAGCACAAAAAAGACGCCGTTTTTATAAACCGGTTTTACTGCCACGATGCACGTCGTGGGCCCGTGGCTGCGAGGTTAAAATACGAATTTCAATATATTCTACATATTCATCCCTGCAACGAAGGGGTTCGGTAGAATGCCCTTTTTGAATTATATCGTTTATTTTAGTGTTTTTCTTGTTTCTCTAGTTTGACCCTGCAATCTGGAACAGCAACGGTTGCTGACTACACAGGTGTTCCCACAGTAGTAACATTTACTCCAATTGATTTGCGGAAGACTGTTTCCATTACAATTAAACAAGATGTAATAGTAGAAGGGACCGAATCTTTTACCGCCGGTCTAACTGCTGTCTCTGGGGCAACGATCCCCGAGGATGGAAAGTCTGCTACGATTACCATCTTGGACGACGATGGTGTGTATAATAATATAAATGTGTTATGATACAATATTGTTTTATAAAAATCTTTCTTGATGAATTTATTCCTGAGATTATATTTTGCTAATTACTGCCTATTTACCATGCGTTTTAGTTTTAACGATTGTCATGGAAGCTGTTCCCACAACTGTTATAGACGAAGATGGTGACAGCGTCACTGTTAACGTCAGAGCTGTTGGAGGTCTACAAAGGGAGATCAATCTTAAGTAAGAATCGCACATGCAGTCGGCTATGATTAAAGAACATACAGGGTGTCCCCAAAAGGCCAAAACCTTGACAGACTTAATGTTTCTGAGTGACACAATATACTTAATACAAATGGCATACCACTTCATTGTAGAAACCTATTTCCGCTTGATCAATTTGCAGATATTTCAGCAAGCTTTAATTATAGTATTCTTGTACGTTTGCATTGTGACATCAACAAGTAAATTAGCTGGATTTAAGAAAACTTTAACTAATTTCCGAATCAATTTTTTTCTCTCTTTTAGCGTGTTCACATATGATATAACTGCTGCAGCTGGTGATGACTATGTTTCAAAGAACGAAATAATTACATTGAATAGCACAAAAACTATAGAAACGTTTGTTGTTGCTATACGCAATGATAATGTCGTGGAGAACACAGAAACATTTGGCGTTAATGTCTCAACAAGTGAACAACAAGTCGAACTGCAAGATGAGACGGTCGTTATTTCAATCCGGGACGAAGACAGTAAGTAAAATGGATTTATAGGTATTTATATAATAACGTAAAGAATTCAAGCAATTTCATTGGTCGAGAGCCATGATCTATAAGAGGACAGACGCACGGAATGACGTCACAGCAATTTTCTTTTTACCGGTTTAATTTTGGATTTTTTTCAGTTTTACTGAAAAAACTGCGCTGTATTGTGTTACAAAAATTTTGAATTGACTATCTTGGACCGTGCTGTCCAGTAGGTACTATTTAACAAATAGATTACAATGAACCGTTGTCTGTTCAGTTATAGATACACGGTATGACGTCATATGACGTCATACCGTGTATCTATAACTGAACAGACAACGGTTCATTGTAATCTATTTGTTAAATAGTACCTACTGGACAGCACGGTCCAAGATAGTCAATTCAAAATTTTTGTAACACAATACAGCGCAGTACAACAATCCTTTTTACTTGAACATTACATATTTTAAACATTTCCTTTATCTTGTATCAATATAGAGTTGACATTGTCCATTGCTCAAGGAACTTACACCGTCCAAGAAGATGCAGGGTCTTTCTCTGTTAACGTAACCGTCTCGGGAACAACAGATGTGCTTGTTACTGGAAGGTATATGGAGTAGGGGTGTAGCATTTTTTGAAAAGAATTCTTAGTGTTACTTGGTCGGCGTTACGATTTTAACGATTCCGTACCATCCTCCATGAAATTAGGGCCACTGGTTTGTGAGTGCTAAACTGTTAAGTGTTACCCTCATTAAATAAAGTTGATTATTATTATTATATGCCCTGTAGTACGCTGACCACGCGAAACGGAGCAGCTGTCAGTCCTGGTGATTACGAAGCCAAAACACAGAGTCTCTTCATTGTGCCAGGACAGAATAGTCCTATTGAAGCAAGAATAACTGTTAATGATGATCAACTAACAGAAGGAAATGAGAATTTTATCCTGGAATTGTCAACGTCTAATGCCAACCAGATCTCTATAGGCAGATCCACTGCTGTTGTGACAATCGAAGATGACGATGGTATAGATTGCCATTTTTTGTCTTTTATATGGCATGCATGCATATACAGTATATTGTACTGTTCTCTTGTTAGTGTTTTTATTCCTTTCGTAACGTGTGATGCTGAATTCATGTACCAAACTAGTATTTGCACCTTTTTTCATTTTTAGTTGCAACTGTCCAATTTGTATCAAATCGTTATTACGTCAATGAAACCAATAATTCCACACGTCTCGGCATCCTTTTGTCAGGAAATCTCGCTCAACCAGTTCTAGTCGGGTATATTTTATATTTGGTTGACATGACGTTTTTCAGCTTTTCATATATATTTCTATAACTTGTAGACCTGTAGATTTATCATTACCTGTTGTTTATCATTTTTATGCTGCATGGTGCTCATGACATATCTATACTTTATTTGTATATCATGCACACGCACGTGTGCAATCACGACTTCGTATTTGCATGTCAAAATCCCCAACGATATAGCTGTGTATAAAAAAATAGCTCAACTGATTTTGTTTCAGGTTGAACACAGCCCAAGATACCGCTTCTGCTGGTCTAGATTACGTTCAAGTTAATAACCTCGAGTTAACGTATACACCAGGAGGAGATGTCCTGCAATATGTTGATATAACTATACTTAATGATGATTTGATTGAGGGATCTGAAGACTTCACTGCTGGCTTGACGCCGTCCCCACCATTAGTTAATCTTGGAACTATTGCTACAACTACAGTAACAATCATTGATGATGATGGTAAGTAATATTATATATGATATCTTTGTGTATATAGCTTAAATCATGCTCAAAACACAGGCAAGAAATGTCTATACCTTCACCAAATCATTTGACAGACGACAAACGTCAGCTGGTATATAAAGACGAATTTTAGGCATTAAGGCATTAAAAAAGCAAATATTGCTTTATTTGAGGAAGCCATGTAAAGCTTTAAATTCCTTGCCAGTGAATGTGATAATTATTTTCTAGTCGCTGGAATCGGATTTGCTTTATCGAATATTACTGTTCCCGAAAATGGAGGAACGGTTCAGATTGCAGTTGAATCCACCGGAGGTCTGAACACTACTGTAACCGTCAGGTTTGTAAAAAAAGCAATTCATTGAGCTGAGATATTCCATGCATTAATCATTATTTAAACGAAAACAAGATTTTAAACCACTGCGTTTTATTAGAATTTGACCATGTCTCGCGTGCGCGTGCGCAGTATGTTGACTTTGTATAATATAAAAGCCTGCATGGATATAAAAAAGGCCGCCGTATTTATGTTATTGTGCTGATATAAAATCATATAACACGTTTTTTGCCTTATAGTGTTACTGTGACGGGAAGCACAGCTTCATCAAATGATTACACAGTTTCTGATAATATCATATTCACATTCTCTCCAACTGGACCATCACGTCAGCACTTCAATTTTACACCAAATGATGATCCCAGAATTGAAGGCGACGAGGTTGTTTTGGCATTATTATCCACGACAGACCCTCAAGCAGAAATCCTTACTAGACAGATACGAATCACAATTCAAGACGACGACAGTAAGTTCTATTTTTCATTCGGGCTAATAACTTTCCGGATGGAAATGAAATCATACACGCCGAATATAGAAGTAATATACATATTTTTTAGCTCGAAAAGTTGTGATGCTGGGATTTAAAATGTCATAAAGTCCTGTCCCTATATAGCAAAATGAACAATTTCACGTTAAACACCAGCATATATTGCAATTTGGTCACCAGTAGGCAGTTTCTGGACGATAATTTAGTGAAAGTATTTTAAGTTCATTGCAATTAATGGCAATAATGATTTGAATCTAGGGAGAACGTTTCATAACTTCTGACGTTTCATGGGGCAATGAAACATCGGTTGAAACACTACTTGAAAATTTTAGATGTTAGACATCTTTACTTAGTTGTGTTTTCAACTCATCTAAACACGAAATCATTAATTCCGCTGCAAAGTCGTCGAATCGAAGAAATTTTGCGTGTACATCGCTTAATATTTCGTTAGTTTAGAAACCAACAGTGTCGCGAATCATGTCAATGTGCCGAATATATTTAAAGTAATAGCAATGTTGTAATTTGTTGTAACTATGCTATCTATTTGCAGAAGCGATTGTGCGCCTGGATAAAAGCTCCGTCCAAAATACTGAAGGAAGTCTGGCGTCTATAAATGTTTTGTTAACTGGGGAGCTGGATAAATCTGTAACAGTAAAGTAAGTTGTTATCTTTTTAATCGTTAGATATTATAAGATCTATGAATTTACCAGGGGTGTACATTTTTCAAAATTGCGTGACGAAATAACAATGGAAACCACCAATGACGTGCATGAAATTTAATATAAACCGAGGGAGGATTCTTTATGACGCTCCTCTAAAGGTTTTCTGCTATAATAAAGGTCCGACTGCATGTGTCTATATATTTTATCTTTCCGGCCATAATGATGGGTCGGGCGGAGACACTATGTTGATTGTATAAATGCTTTAGAAAATAATTATCATTGATGATGTGATCATCTGCATGAAATATTGTCTATTATAATCATTAATGCCAGAGATTTATACATCGGCAAAAAAAGCTATTATTGTTTATAACATAAAAAATACACAGTTTGAATTGAATTATTGAATTCTTTTTCACATAATAACTTAATATGAGTAATTATCAAACCTCAATATTATCAACCTCACTCCTAAGCCTTGGGTTTCTCGTAATTTAAAAATTTTCAATTATATTTTAGCGATCTTTAAGCTTTTACCCCCTCTAGTACGTTTAATCCCTTATTCTAATTCAGTTGCTCTTTCTTTTATTCTTTGTGTGTGTTTATTGATTTCGTTTCCTTCTAAATTAAAGCCTGAAAGCAAATGGATTGACAGCTACAAAAGGAGATGACTTTACTTTCGCCGATCAATCAGTTGTTTTCCAACCCGGAGACACACAGCAAACACGTCTAGTTGTAATTAATGGCGATAATGTGGTAGAGCCCACAGAATTCTTTAATGTGGTACTGACTTCTACCGATGGGAATGTTCAAATCGGAACTCCAAGCACAACTGTTGTGACCATTGAAGATGATGACGGTATTTATAATCTTTCTTATTTTGATTTTCTTAACTTCGCAGCTCAATTTGATTCCTCTTCGTTGAGAAAAAAACAAATGCTTATAGGGGGTAGTGTCTTTAAGAATTTTTAAATTTTTAAATGTTCAAAAACATACTCTTACATATTAGAACATTTATCTATATACCTGTATCTTCCTTCCAGTACTTGCCAAATATATATTTTGTTCTCGTTTATTTTTTCAGAGGCATCTTTATATTTTTCAAGCGGTACATACCTTTCTTCGGAAGTTGACAAACAAGTCACCTTGACCGTTGTTTTGGCGACCAATGCTCCACTTCAAAGAGAAGTTACAGCAAGGTAACTTTTGATAGGAACCATACTGCATTAATGTTGATTATGGTCTATAAAACAAAAAAACCTGTACCTTTGTTTTCAGCTTTACCTTATCGGGTTTGACTGCGGTGTCTCCTGAAGATTTTCCATCCAACACCAACGCAACTGTTACCTTTAACGTTGGAGATAGTAACTCGGCAACTCGAGACCTTGTAATCTCTGTGGAAGATGACGATATTGTGGAACCAACACAGACTTTCACAGTTACCATTGTTACATCCGACGAAGTGCTTAATCCAGGGACAGCAACAGTATTCATCGAAGACGATGATGGTAGGTTATCTTGAAATACATTCCTACTACAGTACAAGACAAGGCCATACAATCTAGATTTGCCCGCTTAAAACCTGTCGATTGACCACTTAATTGTTAATAATATTTCTAGATGTCTCCGTTCGCTTCGTAAAGAATCCTTACTATTTTGAAGAGGATGAAGTGGTTACAAACGTTAATGTCCTAGTCTTGTCGACCTCTCCGTTACAAAAGTCAATTACGATCGGGTAGGTTTCCTTCGTAGTATTCTCGTAAAATTTGCGGCACGATGTTTTTTGGATAGCATTCATGTAAATTTCCCGCGCTTGACACTACAGCCTCCTAAATTTCCCGCCATCATGGCTTTGCCAATATATTTTTTATTTTTTTACAAATCAGCAGCGGGTGTAATCCTAGCTTTCCCTGCAAACTGATTGCCTGTAGCAGCCAGCGGAAATTTACGATATCTGCAGATTGTTTTGTTTTCTTAAAAAAATGTTGCTGAATGTTAAATCGTTTGAATTATATAATTACGCGATATAAGTGTGAATTTCAGTAACTAAAGAATGATATTTTGATTGTTTTGTTGTAACCATTACTTAGTCGGACTATACTAGTGAAAAAACTCTTTAGTTCGGTCTGATTAAAAAAATATTTCTCCTTGTCGGTTTGTACAATATGTATCAGACCTTATATAGTCTTTCGTACAAACGTTGCCATGCACTCACTCGCATATATTTTATTTATTTTTACAGGATTGCTTCAGAACAAAATTCAGCTATAGCTGGTGAGGATTATATATCATTATTTGCGAACAACACAATAGTTATTTCTCCTTCGGATGGAAACGAAAAAGACATTCCAGTGGAAATAAAAGATGATTCGCATTTTGAAGATGAAGAAAACTTTAGGATTAGGTTGTCAACAACCGATCCATCAGTTAAAGTAATTTCACCTGAACTGGCGAATGTGTTCATTACTGATGATGATGGTAAGATACTGATTATTTGCTTATCATAGACATAGGAGTATTTCCTATCTTTCTATCAGTTATATTGAAATTCATTCAACTGTAATTAAAAATCCAAATATAGATGCTGTTGTTGGCTTCCAACAAGAAGTTTACTGGACTACCGAGGATAGTGAAAATGTTGAAATCTGTGTCTCAAGTTCTATTCAACTTCATGACAATATTATAGTAACGTATGTATATAACATATTTATCCTTTATGTGCTCCAAGATAATTATATCTGTAACAAATGTATACATGCATGAATTTATTTTATCAAACACCTCGTCGGCTCGTCCATGACTAAAACAAACCGAAAAAAACTCAACATCAATGAATGTGTATATAACAATTTTAAAAGTTTTTTGTATCTTTGCTGTGAAACATAATCTAGTACTAACTCTAGCCGGTGTAATGATTTTGTAATTCTTTTCAATGCTGCAAAATGATTTTCATTTTTTGTTTTAATTAGTGTGAGCACCATAGCTGGAACCGCTTCGACATTAGATTTCGTACCTGTGGCCCAACAGTTAACTCTTACATCAACGGCTGCCGTATGTTTGAACGTCACTTTAAAGCAAGATCTTCTTATTGAAGGAAATGAAACATTCTCTGTGCAGTTGACCACTGCTAACCCGCGTGTACAGATACCGAAAAGAGTTGCTTTCGTGCACATTGTTGATGATGGTAATTGATATATTTTTATAAAAGGCCTGGGTACCAGTTTTTCTCACAAAAGAGGTGTTAAAAATAGTCTGTTTAATCTATAATATTGCATTGTTGTGAAGAAGGCGAAAGAAAGGAAACGGTTGTAATATACATGCATATAGCTGGCAAAATCTTGTTCCTAGACCACTGATACAACATAAAGTAGCCAAAATATTTTTAAATAGTTTTTAGCAATTTTCTTTTTTATCTATCAACCTTGTTCCCGGACGAATGGCATGTCATAAACTATAGCTGGAATATTTTGAGATATTTTTAGCAATTTTCTTTAAAAAAAGACACTCTGACAAAGTGAATTTTTTTCAATACAGATGTGAACGAGTGCCGTGACGCGACTGATGATTGTCATCCTACACGTGCAATTTGCAGTGATACAGAAGATTCATTCACGTGCACATGTCGGCCAGGGTATACAGGCGACGGGCGAACTTGCGAAGGTGACTAATTTACAACAGTATTAGTTACAATGCCGTAGTTACACTCCCATTAGTTACTTTCTATAAGCAAATATGTATTGACTTTTGAACAAAATGAGTTCCAATCGCAATATTCAGTTCTCGAAAATCATAGTCTAGATGATTAAAAGTAAAATTTTAAATGTTTACATGTCAAATTAAAATTAAATTTTTACTCACCCTAAATATTTTTATCCCATGCAGACATAGACGAATGCGCAGAGAAAACACACAGCTGTGATAGGAATGCGAACTGCACCAACACAATTGGTGGTTACGAGTGCCATTGTCATGCAGGTTACACAGGCGATGGTTTCACTTGTACAGGTATAGAAAAAAATAACGTTAATCGCTGCATTTTGTTTAATTAGAGTAAGAGAATATGTTTTAATTTTTTTAAAAATTTAACTTTGTTTTAATATTTTAGATATCATCGAATGCAATCCTAATCCAAATCAGTACCCATGTCACAGGTTTTCATTTTGTAATGATACCATGGGCTCTTTCGTTTGTTGGTGTCCTGCTGGTTTTGTTGGTGATGGATACAACTTCTGTAACGGTAGGTCTCTCTCTCTTTTTATCGATTTAGAGATAATTTATATAGTTATAAATATTGCATTTTCTTCAATATACACTCACCCTATTTCAATCTCCAGCCTTTTTAACTGGAGAACATTTTCCCTTAACTCGTAATCCTTCCCTGGTACGTCATTACGCATCAGGTCTATTAAGCAATTTTTATAGGATTTACTTTCCAGTTTTAAGATAGGGATTTCCTATCGAAATTTATTGTGCTGTATCCATCAAAAAGCTTTTTTTCTCTTCAGACACAAATGAATGTGAATTGGGAACACACAATTGCGCCAGTGTCGCAGCATGTGAGAATACTCGCGGATCATACATTTGCCGTTGTCCAAGAGGTTTCTTTGGTGATGGCAAAACTTGTGTTGGTACGTAGAATTTCCTGTATGACCTGGGTAATCCTAAATCCGTTAACTCCAGCTATAGTGATAAATTAACTAATTCCAGACATTTGCCGGCATACCCATGACATTTTGTTTGAGTCTGTTAAATAAAACTTAAATTTCGGTGTGATCGAAATATATCTGGGATATTATATGCATCATAATGTACTACTACTTGCATGGAGATTTTTTAATGTGGTAGCCTTACATAAATTGGCTGATCACATTTTCGGACTGCATAAAAAACTAACATACTGTAACGAAAACCTTTCCATCAATAAAGTTAAAGGTGGTGACTATGGTGCTCTGAACAACGCCTGACAAAAAATTTGCTTCAACAAAATACAAACGATTAAATAGTCCTAATAGGCTAAAATACAAAACAATTAAAATTCAATTTAGATGTTAATGAATGCGCTGATGGAACTGACCTTTGCCATGATAATGCATGGTGCAACAACACCATTGGGTCATATTCTTGCACTTGCAAGACTGGCTATGATGGAAACGGGCGAGTCTGTAACGGTGAGTGATTTCTTTTCTTTTAAAGTTTTAGTGCATTTAAGCATATAGCTATTAAACGTTAACTTTGCTGAATTGTATTCAAAAACAATGATTAATAACCAGCGGGAAGGTGTGGGTAAGGTGAGGATAATCAAACGTGTGGGTCACTTAAGTAGCATATTCTATATATTCCTTTCTATTTTATGTCCTAAATTTGTATTATTTCTGCAATTATATAGTATTTATCGTTATTAGATGTCAATGAATGTTCAAACCACCCATGCGACGCAAATGCTACCTGTAACAATACAGATGGTTCTTTCAATTGTGTATGTAAGCTTGGTTTCACAGGAGATGGTTTAACTTGTTCAGGTAAGAGTAATAGGGAAGGGAATAAGAAAACGGAGAATTTAGCATTTTGAAAAAGATAAGGCTCCTGCAATATGACGTTTCACGAATGTTAGTCCGCTATAATAATTAGGCGACGAAAGTTTTCGATTCAATCGATATTGCCACAAACTAACAAATCAGAGAAACGTAACGACACTTCTGACTTGTTAGCCAAACTGCATTTCTTTGTTTGTTTTCAAGAACAAGTATTCCATATGTCGACGTTTTATCGCCGGGGAGATTTAAAAAGAAGCTTTGGTCAGCTGCACGAATTAAACGAAAACAACTGTTTGTAAATCTCGATTAAGAAAGAATCGATTTGAAAATTCGGTTGAAAAAAAATGTTTGGCGATAATGGCTTCAGCCTCCCAATTGAGATGGACCTGTTAGCCTATACGTGTGCTTGTAATCAATGGTGTTTCTTGCAATCTGATTGGTTAATTGAGAATTAATCAGATCATTTATAAGCAAATAAGATCATTTAGAAGCTCTGCACCACAATAACCAATGAGATTTAGTAATTCAGTGTAACCATCCAATCAAATTACAGGGAAAATGGCACAAAATTTTATTATTTGAATTTTTAAATGCCACGCAAAATTTCTTGACAAAAATAGATAAAAATTACTCACATTTTACGCATTTACGGTTCATTCAAAGTGGAAATTGCACTTCGTGGCGTGCAATTTTGGTGTGAAATCAAACTTGTGATTACAACGCGATTACCACTATTTATATGTGTTTATATTTGATCTTTGTCATTGTAAGCTCACCATAAAAACATAATTAATATTTTCATTGCCAATCTTTTATTGATAGATATCAATGAATGCAATGGTAACCCATGTCATCCGAATGCAACATGTGATAATACTCTGGGTAGCTATGATTGTGAGTGTAAGACTGGGTTCACTGGTGATGGCCGTAACAACTGCCAAGGTATTTTTTCTTTAGTTTATTGTATACCATGCATGCATGCATATCCTTATCCAAATAAACACATGGTTGTAATTTATATATTATAAAGCACATAATGTCCAGCCAACAAAGCATTTAATTCTTTTTATTCCTATTTGATAGACAAACACGAATGTAATCTTGGAACAGATAACTGCCACGTAAATGCAAACTGCGTAAATAATATTGGATCATTTATGTGCACTTGCCTGGCTGGTTTTACCGGAGATGGCGTCTCCTGTCGGAGTAAGAACACGTTTACTTTGTTAACTAAGAGTTTTCGCAGTAATCCTCGACTTTAAAATTATTTACCCAAAGCAAAAAACGGTGGATGTTGATAATCAATGGCGATTTGAAAGAGGTTCAACATTACAATAAAGAGACCGAGTCAAAGACTGATCATTATCTTCATTAGCAAACCTATCATATAATGTAGGTTTCGCAGATTTGCTTATGATCCATTGTCTTCTTTCCTTCAGATATCAACGAATGTGATACACCAAATGTTTGTAATACGTATGCAACTTGTAACGATACCCAAGGTTCCTTTACATGCACGTGTAATTCTGGTTTCACAGGCGATGGAAAAACGAACTGCGCAGGTGTGAAGCTCTAGAAGAGTAAACGGTTCTCTGAAATTAACATACAAACGAACAAACCACAAACATGCAAACAAACAAACAAATATGGTTACAAATTCCCATGCATCACGTTTCTTTTCTTGATAAATCACAATCACATTAATTCCTCCGTGTTTTCAGATATAATAAATTGTATCCCAACAAGTTTCGATTGGCCTTGCCATCAAAGAGCACGGTGTGAAGATAAGCCTTTAGGATCATATACTTGCACCTGCGATGAAGGTTACACAGGAGATGGAGCTATTTGCGATGGTAAATATATGGGAATAACATATACATTATTTTCCCATATCTAATAAATAGTACAGAAACGTTTACAAGTCAAGGAATTAAGTCCAATATCTGTTGGTTGAATTTGCAGAAGCAGAACTAAATACTTACTAACTAGGGTTTCTTGAGATCTTGATCTTTAGTATTTTTTAATTGATTTTCACTTAAAGATAGTGAAACAAACCAGTTTGTTTATTGTTAATTGTATATAGACATCGACGAATGCACACAGGGTCTTCATGACTGCAGTGAAGAGAACTCTGAATGTGTTAATGAGCCTGGAACATTCCGTTGCCAATGTAAAGATGGTTATATACTTGATGGGAAAATTTGTATAGGTAAGAAAAATAGATCACTCGTACACTATATAATCAAACCACCTAATTAGATAAATGTCATGTTTTGTGTTTTATGTTTTACATATAGGTTACCTTGCGTGCATGTAATTGTGGTATTTATTTCGGCACCATCTGATTCCAAAGGAACAGGCTTTTCGAACTTCGTATTTGATCTAAATGCATCCTGACCATCTAAATAAATTTCTACTTAATAGCTTTTCTTCTAATAGCACTTTTTCCCTATTTGATAGATTTCAATGAGTGTAATGACACCAGCCTTTGTAATGTTACAACATCCACCTGTGTGAATCTTCAAGGAAGCCATAAATGTATTTGTAAAGACGGCTTTACTCAAACAGCTGATGATCAAGACTGCTATGGTAAATTTTCAGTCCCTTTATATTGCTAGAGTGTTATTTAGCTAAATCATATTTTGTAAAGCGGTTTTGAAACGAGTAGCGGTGCAGAAGAACATAATAAAACAGCGGATTAAACAGCCTAGGTTATATCAATCTGGGACCATCTGAATATCATATATTCATCTAGAACCAGTTTTTAGTTATTATTGATTGGACAATTATTTATACGAAACTCGCGAAGCATGCATTGTTATTGGTTCATTTAAGCCCCGGTTACACTATACGCGCAATATTTGGTACGGCACGGATAAAATTCCGGCCGTGCCACTTTTTTTAGTTCAAGTACGAGCGCCAGTTTTATCCTTGCCGTACCAAATATCGCGCGTAGTGCAAGCGGCTCCTTAGTTAGCTACATTCCAGTTTGCATATGCTTAAAAGGGCCGGAACGTATTTGAAAAAGAAAATAGGAATGATGGAAGATGCTCTTTCACCTCCGCCATTTCACATTAGCAGATTTTATTTGAGATTATAGTCCCGTTTACACTACATTATTAGTGTTCAGGCTACCAAAACAAAGGCCGAGCACAAATAAGATGGGCACGGGTACCCATTTTAGCCGTGCCGTGCCAATAAATTGAGTATCGTGTAAACGGGGCTTATATTTCACATTAGCAGACTACTGTATAGGTAAAGGCACCCTATACCACCTGACATACATAGTAATGTATGACAACATATAATTTATATTAAACCTAGAACCCCCAAACCTGGAAGGTCATACATGCATATTAATATTTTATGTAGTTTATTTTCCCAACACGATGCTTACAAAGAAAATATGTCTCAATCATACAACCCTCCTCCCCCCACACACACACACACCTGCAATTGTTGTTTTAACATAGTTAAAATGACTGACTTATAAATTTTCAATGTTCTCATATTTGCAGACCTGAATGAGTGTAACAATTCGACTGACAATAACTGTCATGAAAATGCAAATTGCATCAATACGTTCGGCAGTTTCAACTGTACATGCTTGCCTGGATTCGTCGGAGATGGGGTGACTTGTCTTGGTAGGTAAATATTTGATAAGTAAAGTGCGTGTCATTGAGACTGAATTTTTGCAAAAGTGAGAACGAAAAAAAACTGCTGACTGGGGCAAACAGAGACAAATTGTAACTGTGAAACTACTATATTATTCTAAATGAGTGCATGCATGATTTGAAAAAGGCTACAACAAGGTTACCCAGACATATTTCTACTGATTCTTTTATGAAAATTTATTTTCATTTATGTGATTTGTGTATTTTCTTTTTAGACAACGACGAGTGCAAAGTTGACCCATGTCATTCAAATGCCAAATGTGACAACACTCCCGGAAGTTATACATGTTCTTGCAAAAACGGTTTCACGGGCGATGGCATTAATAATTGTTCAGGTATGATATTTTGTTTCCGAATAACAATTTCATCTGCCTTTATTAGTTAACTAGTTAAATGAAATTACATGCACCAGCGTGACAATTAGGAATAAAACATGAGGGTCTACGTGATCAATAATTTTATATGATATTTGCACGTTATCTGAGGACTATTTTCTTAAAAGCTGCCGGCACAGCAACTTCTATTATATTTGCCTTCATGGGTGCTTTGTTGTAGGTGGGGCGTATTAGACATACCCTCGTTATGATGTATACAATCTTGAAATAAAAGTTATTTGATTCTCTAAAATCTAATGATGAATATTTTATTCCATAGATATTAACGAATGTCCAGGAGCATGCGTTCCAATTTTAGCTAGATGTACGAATTCACCTGGTTCATTCAATTGTGAGTGTATCCCAGGTTACACGGGAAATGGAGAAAATTCGTGTGTTGGTACGTGTAAGACAATACTTCATGTTACATATTACTGTGCGTATTATAATTCAGCTTTAATGCTCAATGTTAGTGCGAACACAGGTATACCGATTTAACCTTTTAACCACTGCGTATATTTATGCTGTTTCAGAATGCAGGTTTTAAATACTACCATTATTTGGAGTCCTCTCTGAAAAAAAATTGTCTCAGCGTGTTTTTCTGCTCTGAACTTACCATAGTAAAGCGAAAACATATGTTTGAAAACATACTGTACAAAGTAACGCTAATGTTTGAAATAAAATTGGATAAGATTCCTGGACTTTATGAAGCCCATTGTAAACTGTGAACTTCGGTTGAATTAGCGATCCTTCGCAGTAATATGTTGAATACTTTAATATACTAATTCGTACACTGTATTTTGCCATTAAGATATCAATGAGTGTGAAAACCAAAATCCGTGTTCAGGAGGTACATGTGAAAACACAATCGGTAATTTCACATGCACATGTACTGAAGGGTACAATCTTCAAGGAAATGTCTGTGTTGGTAAGTGGGAAACATTTCATCCATTAATATGAATTCGTTGGTGTTACTTTGAGTTAACCACCAGGTAAGCTGGTTGGTAAAATTAGCTCGACCACGGTAGGAATCGAACCCGACTGAAGATTTCCTGTGGTCACAAAAACGTTGTCTTTGACAGTCTTAACATATTTTTAAATTGTCTTAATAATTTATTGTTGGAGGGTTTTTTATCTAGATATCGACGAGTGCCTACAACCTGGTATTTGTACGGCAGCCAATTCTAAATGTAAAAACTATGATGGGTCATTTAATTGTGAATGTAATCCAGGATACGAGGGCTTGAATTGCATAGGTTTGTGTGTTTTTTGTAGTTTTACAAAATGTCATCATGTTTGTCATTACTTCCACTTGCAAGGGTCGTGTATTTCTGTCGGTACAAGGTTTTATAATGTGTTTCCTTATTGTAGATATCGATGAATGCGCGAAAGGCACGGACGATTGTCATGAGAAGGCAAACTGTACAAATATTGAAGGAAATTTCACTTGCCAGTGCGATTCAGGTTACACGGGTGACGGTAGAGACTGTAAAGGTCAGTATGTGCAACCAGAATACCGTTTAATAACCCTGGGGTTAAATAAAAGTATTCTTATTCTGTGCTTCTATGTCTTAGATATTGATGAATGTGCTGAAAAGATGCATAATTGTCATCCAAATGCTACGTGTAATAATGTTATCCATCCGTTTTCATGTCATTGTAAACAAGGTTTTTCTGGCGATGGTGTACAGTGTCCAGGTATAATATCGTCATAGATGAAAAAATGGTCCATCTCGGTATTAAAAATGCCCCAAGGCAGCCATCTTGCTGGCAGGTGTTTACTGTTTATTGCGGGATATTCGTCATTTGTCATTAATTACATCATTGCTTTCATGCTCTCTGCCGTTTAACCTATTTCACCAATGTTTTGGCATTTGCGGAGATAAAAATTCATTTAAAAATAAATTTATTTAATTTATATCAATGAAAAGCCAACAAATTACTACTAAAACGGTAGAAATAGTAAAAAATTAACAGGCGGTCATGTTTCCAGCAAGTCTCGTGGCGTGTGCATGACGTGAACATTTGGGGAAAATTTGAGAACAAAAATGATCCCTAGTTATACTTCTGATAATACGTTATACGTATTCTGTTATATCATCATTTGCATTCTTATGTTTTCATTCTAGAAGAGCCTGGTTTGTAAGTTGGAGTTCTCGCTATGTTTCCACTCGTGTATTAAAATTTTGGTGTAATACATTTGACTCATTTTTTGTGTTGTGTAGATATAAATGAGTGTGAAAGTGGTACTGCCGATTGCGCAGATAACGCAACGTGTACAAACATCCTCGGATCATTCAAATGTGCTTGCAATAATGGTTTCACTGGTGATGGTAAAGTATGCGATGGTATGTACATTGTAATTTCTACTTTATTCTCAAAGTCAGAACCTAGAGAATGATAGTCAAATACTGTACACATTAAGACATATGTGCATGGTATAGCTATATATACGTGGTTTAGAAATTTCGAAGGGGTGGACCCACGTGGATGCGGGGGCAGTTAACGAGGGACTTCTTAAATTTAGACTCTCAGAAGCAGACCTGCGCTAAAATATCTAAAGCTAAAATATCTTTCTCTTGAACTATCACTAATTCAGCCCAACCTTTGGAGGTTGCATGCTGCCCTCTGCACCCATCGGTCACCTACGCGCCTAAAGTTCAGGTCCATGCCAAAAGTAACTTTTTTGAACCAAACTTTCCAAATTGTAGGCCTTAAAAACAATATATGGAAATATTTTCTAACTACCAAACTACAAATTTGTAACCGGAGGAATTTAGTTAAACCTTCGCCTCTCGGGAAAATTAAGGCTGTTTATCGTATTGCTCTACAAGCAATTGTTGTTAGTAACCTCTTTGAAGACATCATATTTCTTATTTCTTATAATGGTAGATATTCCAGAATGTAATGGATCTCCTTGTGACGTTAATGCTGAATGTTTAGAAGAACAGGGAGGGTTTTCTTGCCGATGTAAAATTGGGTACACAGGAGATGGACGCACTTCGTGTGAAGGTAAACAATTGTTTTATGAAATAGCGAAATCAATTTCATCCATAATGATGATATTTGACTGTTTCTGAATTCATGCCTCATGTGCGAGTCTAAGGAATGTCAAACAAGATGATTATATTTTAGTCGTTTAATTATAGTAATGATTTGACCCAAATTACTTTCCAAGACCCAAAAAGAAAAGCGATTCGCCAAGTATAATTTTCATCATATACGGACCATAATATACCTCATTTTCTATCATTTTAGACATTAAAGAATGTGACACTGATCCATGTCATCCTAATGCTAATTGCACAGAATTGCCAGGATCATATGAATGTAAATGTAACTCTGGGTATATAGGAAATGGAACAGCTTGTGATGGTATGAAAATTAATGCTGCGTTTCTTCCACTAATGGCGTACAGCGGTTTCTGCCCATCGATCAAATGGTCAAGATCGATAAAATGCCCACTGTGTTAAAAAAGGCTATTATTTCACTTTTTATTGGGCAGAAGTGAATGTTTTAATTGTTAAATATCTAGCTTGATACCTTTAAAATAATTGCATTGAAATGCCACGATATGACCGCGTGACCAAAGAACCTACATTCTTCATTCTTCCCTAAACTTTTATATATTTTTGTTAACCTTTCCTAAGTTAAGTATAGCATTTACCACAGTAAACGTGATAACGACTTGTTTTCCCTATGATAGATGTTGACGAGTGCAGAGACCGTGCATTTTGTCATGCAAATGCCAAGTGTGAAAACACTATTGGTTCGTATAACTGCACATGTGCTAGTGGCTATGAAGGTGATGGCAAAATGCGATGTGATGGTAGGTAACTTACTCTCACTAGCGATGTATGTTTATAAACAAGTTGTCATTTTGGCAGCAGCATTTCAGGCGCATATCAATGCTCTTGTTTCATCACTGTTGGTAAAACATGTTTATGAAACCTATACCGGTAGCTCGGATAGCTCCTTATCCTTGTAACTGGTTCTAGCTAGTATATTCTTACAAGCTTAAGCGTCCGTTTGTTTTGTTTACACAGACATTGATGAATGTATGGACATTAATAAATCTGATTGTGATGATAAAGCTAACTGTACGAACAAAAATGGAACATTTGATTGTACATGCAACCAAGGTTATTCAGGAGATGGAAAATCTTGTAGTGGTAAGTTTATTCCTACTTTTTTGGTGATTAATCAAATAAGGAGTGAAATTCATTGTTGTCATATCGTTATGATTAAAAGGGAACTATTTTAAATTAATTTTCTTTGTCACCGGTAAAAAAGATAAATCGTTGATCTGTAAGCCAAACCAGGCTTTAAAAAGCTTGTCTGGTTTTCATAATCGTAATTAGTAGTAAGATGTTCAGCAATCCATTCTGTATTCAATGAAGAAGAACATCGTACCATGAATTGTTATGAAAACCAGGTCGCTTGTAAACGTATGGTAATCAAGTAATCTTTTGTATTTCATGCATGAATTATAAACACTTGTGTATTAACCTGTAATTTATAAATAATTTGCTGCAGATATCAATGAATGTCGTTTAAATACTGACAATTGTCACGGGAATGCGACGTGTACAAACGAAGAAGGCTCGTATACTTGTGCATGCGACCCTGGTTTTACTGGAAATGGTATCTTGTGTGAAGGTAAATCACAGACACTTTATTTGCATAGAATTATACATGAAAAGTGAAAATATTCCAATCAAGGAAAGAACTACGACGTTTCATTAGGAAAAAGCTATAGGATCTGAAGTCGCTTAAGTAAACCTATATATATGCATTCATAAAGGACTAACTTAAATTGAGTTATACCAGCGTGCTCAATGAGCCACGTACAAGTTTAAATGCATATTTCGTGTTACGTAACGAGACATAGGATTCAACAATGTTTATACGGGAACTGACACACCATTTACCTTTTCTCTACACGAGGTCTTCCTCCAACTGGTAGCTAGATCGCCTTCAATTGTAGATCACGTTCGTGACACACACTTTTTAGCATTTAACATAAACATTGAAAATATATCGTATTAAATATTTTGCTTCAGATATACCTGAATGTTCTTCAAACACTCACAACTGTCACGAAAATGCAAATTGTACTGAAGTAGCTGGGTCATTTACTTGTTCATGCAAGACTGGTTATACTGGAAATGGAACCTTCTGCGAAGGTAAATTAGAGCCAAATAGTTTGAACTTGCCTTGAAAAATTTAAAATACCGTGATTACCATTTCGAGACCAAACGAAGAAGTGTGTGCACTCAACTTGATTTTGAAAAGTTTCTAAAAGTATGAGAGCTTTAAAAGTTTAAAATCGAAATTTGTCGTACGATTCTCAGTAACACAGTGTCTGCATTCAGTGAAGAAAGAAGAACATTTAATTGTGATCAAAACCAGGTTTTCTTAGTAAAACTTGTAAAATTTCGTAATGAACATGATGTTAAGAAATTCATCTCTTGCATTGTTTGCATGAAGGCTTGTGTATTATATAGCTAACTTCTTTGAATAATATGCTGCAGATATCAATGAATGTGGTTTAAATACTGACAATTGTCACGGGAATGCGAATTGTACAAACGAAGAAGGCTCGTATACTTGTGCATGCAACCGTGGTTTTACTGGAAATGGTATCTTGTGTGAAGGTAAATCACAGAAACTTTATTTGCATAGAATAATACCTGAAAAGTGAAAATATTCCAATGAAGGAAAAGACTTCGACGTTTCATTAGGAAAAAGCTATAGGAGCTGAAGTCGCTTAAGTAAAACTATACCTGCATTCATAAAGGATTAACTTAAATTGAGTTATACCAGCGTCTCAATGAGCAACGTACAGAAATTTTTTTAAGTCTATGAAAATGCATATTGCGTGTTACATATCGAAATATAGGATTGAACAATATTTATACGGGAAACACGCCAGTTTATTTTTCCTCTATATGATGTCTAGCTTCCTATAGCTGGTAGGTAGCTGGATGGCCTTCAATTGCAGATCACGCTTGTGATACACACTTATGAGCATTTTATATAATCATTGAAAACATATCGTATTAAATATCCTGTAAATATTTTACTCCAGATATAACTGAATGTTCTTCAAAAACTCACAACTGTCACGAAAATGCGAATTGTACTGAAGTAGCTGGGTCATTTACTTGTGCATGCAAGACTGGTTATACTGGAAATGGAACCTTCTGCAAAGGTAAATTAGAGCCAAATAGTTTGAACTTGCTTTGAAAAATTTAGAATACTGATTACGATTTCGAGACTAAGCGAAGAAGTGTGTGCACTCAACTTGATTTGAGAAGCTTCTAAATGTGTGAAAGCTTTAAAAGTCAGCCGCCGGGTTTTCAAAATCAAAATCACAATTAGTCGTATGATTGTCAGTGATACAGTGTCTTCATGAAGAAAAAAGAACATTTAATTGTGATGAAAACCAGGTTTATATACTTATAGTAAAACTTAATATTTTGTCATGAACGTGATGTTAAGAAATTCACTGATCTCTTGCATTTTATTGCACGAAGGTTTGTGTATATTATAGCTAACTTCTTTGAATAATTTCCTCCAGATATCAATGAATGTGGTTTAAAAACTCACAATTGTCACGGGAATGCGACATGTACAAACAAAGAAGGCTCGTATACTTGTGCATGCCACAGTGGTTTTACTGGAAATGGTATCTTGTGTGAAGGTAAATCACAGACACTTTATTTGCATAGAATAATACATGAAAAATGAAAATAATCCAATTAAGGAAAAGACTCCGACGTTTCATTTTTTTCTCTACATCATGTCTTCCTATAGTTGCCAGCTAGATGGCCTTCAATTGCAGATCACGCTTGTGATACACACTTTTTAACATTTTATATAAACATTGAAAACATATCGTATTAAATATACTGTAAATATTTTGCTCCAGATATAACTGAATGTTCTTTAAACACTGACAACTGTCACGAAAAGGCGGATTGTACTGAAGTAGCTGGGTCATTTACTTGTGCATGCAGGACTGGTTATACTGGAAATGGAACCTTCTGCGAAGGTAAATTAGAGCCAAATAATTTGAACTTGCCTTGAAAAATTTAGAATACTGATAACGATTTCGAGACTAAGCGAAGAAGTGTGTGCACTCAACTTGATTTGAGAAGCTTCTAAATGTGTGAAAGCTTTAAAAGTCAGCCGCCGGGTTTTCAAAATCAAAATCACAATTAGTCGTATGATTGTCAGTGATACAGTGTCTTCATGAAGAAAAAAGAACATTTAATTGTGATGAAAACCAGGTTTATATACTTATAGTAAAACTTAATATTTTGTCATGAACGTGATGTTAAGAAATTCACTGATCTCTTGCATTTTATTGCACGAAGGTTTGTGTATATTATAGCTAACTTCTTTGAATAATTTCCTCCAGATATCAATGAATGTGGTTTAAAAACTCACAATTGTCACGGGAATGCGACATGTACAAACAAGAAGGCTCGTATACTTGTGCATGCCACAGTGGTTTTACTGGAAATGGGTCTTGTGTGAAGGTAAATCACAGACACTTATTTGCATAGAAAATACATGAAAATGAAAATATCCAATTAAGGAAAACTCCGACGTTTCATTTTTTCTCTACATCATGTCTTCCTATAGTTGCCAGCTAGATGGCCTTCAATTGCAGATCACGCTTGTGATACACACTTTTTAACATTTTATATAAACATTGAAAACATATCGTATTAAATATACTGTAAATATTTTGCTCCAGATATAACTGAATGTTCTTTAAACACTGACAACTGTCACGAAAAGGCGGATTGTACTGAAGTAGCTGGGTCATTTACTTGTGCATGCAGGACTGGTTATACTGGAAATGGAACCTTCTGCGAAGGTAAATTAGAGCCAAATAATTTGAACTTGCCTTGAAAAATTTAGAATACTGATAACGATTTCGAGACCAAACGAAGAAGTGTGTGCACTCAACTTGATTTGAGAAGTTTCTAAATGTGTGAGAGCTTTAAAAGTTCAAAATCGAAATTTGCCGTACGATTTTCAGTAACACAGTGCTGCATTTAGTGATGAAAAAGAAGGTTTTCTTAGTAAAACTTGTAAAATTTCGTAATGAATGTGATGTTAAGAAATTCATCTCTTGCATTTTTTGCATGAAGGCTTGTGTATTATAGCTAACTTCTTTGAATAGCTACTTTCTTTGGTTATACTGGAAATGACACTTTCTGCGCAGGTAATTTCAGTCAAATTGTCGTTTGGGAAAAACCTATACGGGATTAGAATATTACGATTTCAAAACCAAACAACGTTGCAAATAGCACAGCGATTAAGGGCTAATGCCTAATGTTTTGCGGAAGTTAAATTTATATTCGGTATTTTTAGCAAATAAGAACCACGCCATAAAATGCTATCCTGGTTTACATAATTTATTGTGTCGTACGGTCCCCAACCATTGTACCTGTAACTCGATGAAGAAGAACGAAAAAAGAACATGTACGATGTTGTGCGATGAAAACTAGGGCGCTAGGGCGAAAACTAAATGATAAATGAAACATGTTGAATTATGGACGTGATATCAATTGATGCATCTCATGATTTAAAAATCTTGTACTAATATCATATCTTCTTTGAATAATTTGCTGCAGATATCAATGAATGTGATTTGAATACTGACAATTGTGACGTGAATGCGAATTGTACAAATATAAAAGGCTCGTATACTTGTGCATGTAACCCTGGTTTTACTGGAAGTGGTACCAAGTGTGAAGGTAAATTACAGTCAATGGTGGGTATATACTCTGCAGACTTTTTATAAAGCTTTAGGTTATTAACTCGTAGAGTTTGTCTTTTGACAAGACGAAATGATGGATACAGCCTTATACAATGGTTGCTATATTTATGCATTGATACTTTAGATATCAATGAATGTGAATCTAACCCATGTGGTGCGACTTTGACTTGTGAAAACACGTATGGAAGTCACCGCTGCAACTGCCCTCGGGGACAGAATTACGTAGATGACGTCTGCAAAGGTAGGCGACTTCGTCAACACTATCGTTTTCATATTTTGCTCTCAAATCCATCCTGAAATGTGGCGCCAAATGTATATGAAGAGCTTAAAATTTAGGAATAAATTCATTTTCAAGTAAATTCAAATTGATTAAACATTTATCAAATGAAATACAAAAATTAAAAAGTCGGTATATAGAAATACAATTAACATTATCTGTGTTGCATACATAATGACTGTTGATAAATTATCTATATAATTTGGGTCTTCAACCTTAGAAGAACCTAATTTGTAATTCCCCGCGGTATGCACGTGTGCGCGACGATCCAAAAAAGGCAATTATAATTATATAAACGATAGCCCCGCGTGCAAGGAAAACGCTTCCAAGAAATAGTGAGACATCATACTCATAGAGTGTCTATATCTCCATAATTATATCAATTCTTGAAACTTTTAGATGTTCTGGTCTTCAACCTGCAGTTTGTTATTACAAATGTGACATATTCTGACGCGCTGGGCAATTCAAACAGTGAAGAACATTTGAAGTTAAAACATCAACTTGAAAACTCGGTAAGATTTTGGGGAGTAATAATAAAGAGAGTAATCATTAAAAATATATAGTCGGTACATTATTTGCTTTCCACTTAGGTAAATAAGGTGTACTCACGTTCTGCGGAGGGTGAACATTACATTGAATCTGCACGTTTAGAAGAGTTAAGGTAAGAGATTATATATTTTCCATATCTGATCAAGAGATATGGAAAATTAAGAAGCATATATTTTTGTGATACTAGTTTTATAGCGAGAAGTTATCGATAAAATAGCTGCATGACTTTTCTTTCAATTATTATACTTTTATACAAGAATTTTTTTCATTATTGTTAAAATTGATAATGAAATTTTTAATTTAGCAAAAAGCCAGCAGACTTTGTGACAGCAAACTTTCGTATATTCTTCAACACGGATGTAAGAGATATGTCGATGACTGACGTCCAGGATATTTTCGTATCAAATGTGACACATGGCAACAAAAAAGCCCTCGAACCGCGTTTCGAATTGGACAGTATTAATGCAGGTTTGTACGTAATTTTTGCCACATTGCCGGATTTTTAACGTCTCCGATATAACCCCTTTAATATTGATCTCATGCACCACTATACCATCTCTAATCTTGATCTCATGCACTACTATATACCATCTCTAATCCTGATCTCATGCACTACTATATACCATCTCTGATCTTAATCTCATGCACTACTATACCATCTCTGATCTTAATCTCATGCACTGCTATACCATCTCTAATCTTGATCTCATGCACTACTATACCATCTTTAATCTTAATCTCATGCACTATACTATACCATCTCTGATCTTAATCTCATGCACTACTATACCATCTCTAATCTTAATCTCATGCACTACTACCATGTGGGGGAGTTAATGAACTTACATTGTAATACATTTGCATGTTAGGCAAAATACGTGTCTTAAGTAGATAAGCCGCTAAATCGCCCAAAACCAGTCTGAATCCATTCTCTTGCTACTCGCCTTTGCTTCGTACATTCTCTATTCGTGCTAATCAATGAATTCCATCAAACTGTACGAGAAATTGTACAATTGGTTTCCGTGAATGTTCTGTAGGTGATTATGATGAATGCAAGTACAATCCTAGCGTGTGCGATGCAGACAAGTTGTGCAGGAACTACCCAGGAACGTATCGATGTTATTGCAGTAGTCCTCGAGAAGTGAAGGTTCTAGGCGAGTGCACAGGTAAGACCTGAGCAAGCGTGTGTCCTGTAGCCAAGTTCGTGGAATGATCCTTTTGACATGATTACACACATCTGCACAAAGGTTGGCACGGAACAAAAATTAGAAATCAAAGGAACCGATATCAAAATGCCAACACTAATATTTACCTAGCTCAACTTGTGTCCAGTGCCCAACACGCAGCGAATCACGCACATTATGGCACTCACATCAAGAAAAATATTCATTCTCCGGCCCACATTTAATATAATTCCCTGAACTAGCTAAGGCAAAAGCCTAAGTAAATTTGCATCATTCGTTTACCGAAACATGCAATGACTGGCACCTCGAAGGCTATTTCTAAATGCCTCATGTTTACGAGGTTAAAGTACAAAATGATCGTGATAAAAACTTGCGTAGAAAATATGCCGACAATTGAATACCTTGCGGTGAGGCGAAGGCATGGTTTTACGCGTGTTTGTTCGTTGCCCCGATGAATTAACGTAATTTCACCATTTAAAGATCTAGACGCAGAATTTGACTAAGATTTAGTGTTACCTTAAGGCACGGATAAGCGCAGTGCATTCGCCAGCTTTCGTCAACGGACAGAAACCGCGGTTCGTTTCTTCTATACTGAATCCAGACATAAGATTGCCATTACTTGTGCTACCCTGGGCACAAATCTAAGAGTACAAAAAGAACAGCCAAAAACATCAAACTTCGCTGTAAATTTATATTACCGATAAATGCAAAGGAACACAATTATAACGGTAACCTTGTTCCTAATGACATGATCGATATTAATATGTCCCCCACACTGAGATCATCGTTCAATCAATAAAGAGATAAATGCTTGTTCCCTTCAGCAATCATCAGTTACGAAGCTTCTATAACAATCAATCTTTCATTCGTCACTGAACTGGGAAATGCCACATCTTTGATATTCCTCCAACTTGCTGAAGAGATCCAAGTGCAGGTAATCAGCTGTTTTTGCAATGTTTTTTCAATACTTCAACACGTATATGTAAGGGAATGAAATTCCTGAACCTTTGCCGAAGAACACGTCTCCGGATGTTTCGACCAAAAGGCATTCTTCGCCATAATTGATAACAAGTTGACGCAAGATGTTTCCGCACTGCTGACTGCTCCATGGATATATTTTTAAAGGGTTTTTTTTCTAATCATACCATGTTTTGCATTTTTTAGCTGAACAGGTATTACAGAAGTTTATATCCAGACACTTTCCAAAGCACCCAAGTTACTGGCATGAGGTATGTGTTGAAATAGCCCACCTTTTGTTGTATTGTTAAAATAAATACGCATATTATAGTCTCCTCCTAAGTTTTGTTTTCAAATTTTCTAACATTTGTTTTGAAGGGAACATTCTGACAGGTATAATAGGGACATGCAGAGTAATTAATTATTAATAATCTTAATTATAAAGAGTGCATGCATTTCCATCGGAAATCAATAATCGGCAAGTTATATTATTTTATTGCTGCATTATTTTAGCTCTGGGTCTGTTGTTATTCAGTATCTGGTCTTTTTCAAAACTAATGCCAACGTGACACAAAATGGTGCATCCTTAACTAAAGAATTGTCGGATGCAATCATAAAGAATGGATCTATGTTGGGAAGACATACAGTCAATACTTCAAAGTTAACACATGGCGGTAATCTCTATATAATAGATACTTTCTCATCGCACGTCCCACATTTCTCGGTCGCCATCTTTGATACATCCTCAACTTGTACTATACCATTCTTTTAGTCCTTATATTTTATCGCACTAGTTCTGATCTTATTCAATCACAACTATGCACTAATCTCAGTGAAAAAAATTTCTCGTTTTGTAGACTACGATGAGTGTCATATTTCAAATCTGGTTGATATAAAAGATTGCGACAAGAACGCCAACTGTACCAATGTTATGAGTTCGTATACCTGTGTTTGCAATGAAGGATATTACGGAGATGGAATCAAATGCTCAGGTATATGATTTAGACCATTTCCAACTCACTGAAGAAATTTTGATATTAGCTCCATTGCGACACTCCTTCATAGAGCCTATTATGCAATCTTTTTGAATTTTTCAATAATTCTTTATTTGATCGGCCCTTGACATGCTCATCCTGACTGACAACACTACTATATGGGCGCCTCCCATATAGCCACGCAAATGCAATCCCATGGGTAATCCCATTTGATTTTGCTGTCTTCGTGGCTTAGCTTTCCTCATTTCATTTTATTTAGCATTGGAAGACCCGAATCCACCAATTGGTGAGTTTGGCCTGTTTAGTATAAATTATGTAAATGCGTACTCGAGCGATATTGCGTCATATAACGTCCTGCGAAATAACATCCATTCATACATGCATAATTATATATGCTCAATGTCTAAAATGACCACGACGTCTCGGCGTCCTAATTAGGAAAATTTAGCATGAGGACGTGAACTTCAAAGATGACGTGAAATGGCGGATAAATGGCGTGGCATGTTCATAGACGCATCACGCCATTTATTTTTGCCATCTCCGGGCCTATTATTAAATATAATGATTCATTATACGTAACACGCGCTGCAAAACTTGATTTTTTTCCTTTTGTGTTCTTTCCTATAGACGATCTTTGGTGGCTGGTATACGCTATCGTATTCGGCGTTGCGTTCTTGATCATTGTCATGTTCATCCTGTTTGTATGCTGCTTGGAAAATGCCGAGGAAAGCCAGTATGTTATCTTTTTAAACAGTGATAAATAGAAACACGAACGTACTCTACCATGATTCAGGCACATGAACATGCATGCATATCGAGCTTACTATAAAAAATTATTGGGAACCTTGTTTTTGAATTTAGGATTAAAAACGTTTAGGATATAATTTTGAGACAAATGCATGATAGCGAAATATATTAGCTATATTTATTAAACGTCGTTTCGCTTTAAAAGATATAATATATAATATCCATTTCATTTGTCTCAAAATTATCTTCAAATTTGCTTCAAAAACAGAAAGAATACCAACCCAGGTCTGTGTCTGAATTTATTGTATATAGGGCATAGATCTTTCCAATTATATATAAAGAGTTTATTAATTTTATCTATTTTTTACATAAAAGGTACATGGTGGATAATACAACACTAGTTGACAGAAATAGATATTTCTTTGGAAATGAATCAGTGGGTATTGAGAACCCAGATATAGAGATGTCGGCCCGTAATGGTAAAAACCAGAACGCAGCCATATACACAACGAGTCCTCCACAACAAACAAGATTGGAATCCTACAAAGTCAACCCCATGTTTTATGAAACTAAATCACAAGCCGAACAATCAAGCGTAGGTGGAAAAAGCAGCGTCAGTACTGGACAAGAAGTAAGTTCAAAATCGCTTGTTTTAAATTTCCAAACACACTGTAGAAAAGTCTAATTTGTTCACATTAGAGTCTTTGTTCACATTCGAGTCATATTATAGTCACTGGTCAGTGACTATAGCTATATAGCTTTTTGGGTTTTTTTTCAAATAAGAAATTTGAAGTAATTTTTATATGAAAGTGAAATTCACCTTCGGCTCAGTGAATATAGACTTGTGAAATAGAGACACGCTTCTCGACCAATCAGCACGCGCGAAACATAAATGTTATATTATAAAATTTATTCGTTGTTATAGACCTTTAATTAATGCCTTTTTTAATTTTTAGGGATATATCGCACTTTAAGAAGCCGTTGAATCCGTATAATCAACTTATAACTAACAGTAAATGATAAAAATAATCTCATTATACTTTTGCACTGGACCTTTAGAATTCTTGCACATTTTCTACCTAATTTTTGTAACATGTATACCTTGACGTGGTGAAATATTAAACCATTTTCTATCATTCTTCTGTGTGTAATTGTGTTTATGGGGAAAACTGGAGAGAATGTGGATGTGCAACAGTTCGACAAGAAAGAACTCTAAAGGAATAAATATTTTTCATATGTTCAAATATTGATATTTAGAACACCGCGGAAATTTCATGGTAAGACTTTCTTAATACTTTGACTTCAAATTTGGTGGGTAGAAAGATTTATAAATGCTCAGGAAAATATGACTTGCACAAAAGATTTCAAAGTTTGCACACGGCAAAAACGAATCGTCTGAATTAATGATATTAGAGCTGACAACGGGAGATGCCGGTTGGTACAGTTATATAGTTATTATATAATTGTTGCAGTAGAAGTACTCAATGGCAAATTACTGCACATTTTCCTGTTATTGTCAAATGCCCCTAGTAGCTGTAAAGAGAACAATATTTTTAAGTTACCTATATACTTCCTATTATTTTTGTCATTCTTCACCATGGGCTCATAATTACAACCACCTATACTGACCAGTTACCATATTAAGATAAAAATATATTTACTTATATAACATAGTAGCTAGCTATGTTGATTTGCCTGATTGGAAGTCCGTACATAGGAAATATCCGAAAAACGGGCCGGGGGACGCTTTGTGAACGAGGGGAAATATTCAGTCTATACGGACCGACCAAACCCATAAATAATCTATCTTATCATTTAATTCTCCCCCGGATCTGAGGGAATTCAAGTGGCGCCAAATAAGCAAGATTGATCATACCTATTTTAGTGTGCAATGATAACCGGCAATTTGTGCAGTGATAAAAGTAGCATATGGTATTTTCCTAAAAGACTCACTCTTCTGAGATGGATCATAAGTAATTGTTCCCCAAAATGCTGGAAATCTAGTCATAGGGACTCAAAAATACAGAAAATTTCTGCAAGAGATCCTGCAGACCCCATGCGCTGAATAATCAATCCCTATTCCCTAATCTTTAAATTACCAATTTACAGTTAGGACCATTTTTATCCTGTCTCCCGCCTCTACTATACTATTGTGATGATATGGTTGGTATATATGATCGAATATACCGGAATATCAAAGATATAAAATATCTTCAGTCTCACACAGGTAAAATATACCATATTTTGGCACATTCAATTGAACCTTACTATTCACCTTACCCATTCGATGCATATTTGTTGAATATATTTTAATCGACCATGACCATTTTCCGGTATACTTGATCATGGTCGAATATACCATTTTCCGGTATACTTGATGATGGTCGAATATACTATTTTCCGGTATACTCGACCAGGCTCGAATACACAATTTTCCGGGATACTCGACCATGATCATGCTCTGACTCTATCACTATCAGATGGCAGCCTAGCAAGAATCGGAATCGCGGAAAAAATTTGGGTTTGTCGCGAAAGAATCTTAGGATTGTACAGATAGGTAGCGGCCGCTGACAGTTCATGAGCCAAGCTTTCCGGTAACAAGGCATTTAGGGTTGTGGTTTACGAGTCCGAAGTCTTGTCAACCTGTTCGTTTCTGTCAAGAGTTTTTTCATTTAAGCAATCTATTATACAGTCCTTTGGGATTGGATGTCCGTTTGCTTGAATTATTAACGACTGTTCATTGTGTTGGCTTGCGTATATAAACATTCACAAAGCAGGTCGTTTGTAACATACATCAAGGCGACAGGTATGATAGTATAAAAGACTGTTATGTATATCCCGCACTTACTGAGTGATAGTGTGATACTTTCCACTCTAGGCAAATGCAGTATCCACGCATGAAACATTAAAAATCGCGCTAAATCTAACTAAAAATATTGTGCGGTTGATTTGTTTGTTTAAATTTTTCAAGGTGCCGTATATGAACTTACATATATTTTGATTATTTTGGCTCCATTTGTTGTGCCGTATTATATTAATATTTATTCTTTTGCTCGAGTCAAGCCGGTCGTATATATTTAATAACCTGTTGACTGATCACACATTTGCGCGGAATCGTAATACAATATTGTAAAATTGTGTTTCTTGGCGAAGCCTATATACTGCACAGATACCAATAACACTCTAACAGTATTTGTGACCAGTTTAGCTACTTTTGAAGAGCTTATTGGCTTATTCGTATGCTAATGTCTAAATATTTGATATCTGTGTATGAATATATCGCTGCAGACTGTGTTCCTGAGCAAATAGAACCTCACAAATTATCTTTTTAAGCATAAAATATGAGGATTTCTGTACATATAGAATAGTTTCTTCTTTACTTCTTGTATGTAGTGTCCTGAATTTAACGAGGAATTAATATGAAAATAAATATACCCATCTGGGCCGTATTGCATAGAAACACTGTATGTTGGCTCAAGGTTCATGTTCATTATATTCTTTATTCACAACTTTGGACTACAGTATTGTGATGTTTTTTATTATGTAGTTCGGGCATATTTTATGTGAGTCATAAACATTTTAATTAGAATATTACAGCCGGATACAGATTTAATTTGAAACAAAAATTAACACAAAAATATGAGAATGGTTCCTGTCAAAACCAGGACTCTTAATTAAGACTGAATCAGAGTTCTAGCTGAGACTAACTGGCTTAAATCAAGTTTGCAATGATAGTGGTGTGCATTCTGCAACATATAAAAATAACAAGTTGATGTTACTTCTTGAAATAAATTTGAACTGTAGGAAAGCTTAACACTATTTATAGTTCCTGATTGTTCTGATTGTATATAAGTGTATGAGTTTATGATCTATGGAGGTACTTTCGGATCATGTGTATAGTGTCCCTTGTTATAAGGAGAACTGATTCACAGAAGCTGGTTAAAATTAAAAATGTTTGGTAACTTTTCTGTTTATTTTTTTAGAATCAAACATGCAGGGGAATACCAGGCTCTGGAAATATAGAAATTATTTCACTGCAGTGTTATTGATTTATAACTCAATTTGTAAGTGATTTTTTTAGAAAATTCTGACAGATTTCATGTTATATTTGGTATTTTTCATATTTTGGTACTCTACCAAACATGTGCGACTTCTAGTTAATGCATTTGTCAGTGCAAGTTTTATACACTACAAAATGATAATGTATAACAAACTTAAATGTAGCATCAGAAATTGATTTCTTCTAATAATTCGTAGCTTTGTATTGAAATTTGTGATACTACTCTTGTTAGATATTAGAGCACAAGGAAACCAATGCCCACTGAAATCAACTTGTCGAGAATGTATCCAGTACTCAGATGCTGAATGTACTTGGTGTTCAGATGTGGTGTGTATTATATTTTACTTTTTAAATCTTATCAATTGTATATAAGAAGATGTACAGCTGTGAGAACTACTAAAATGGTATTGATTGTAAAATTATTAAAATTTGCTGTGTTATAGGACTATACCAAACAAACATCGCCATTAGAAAGATGTAATTCAATGGCTAAACATAAACAGCAGAACTGTTCAAATATTATTAATCCTTTATCTAATGCAACTGCTACTAAGGTAAGCTTTTCAATATTTTTTTTATTTGCAATTGTTTGATGGTGGTGTTTAATCAGATTTTGTTCTTTTTATCATTGTTATCATTTGATATATCTGCAAAACACAATTGCTTTTCATTGTGATAGTGTAAATATATGACAAATTATCAATGAATCAAGGCAATTATCCACATGGAGACTGTGAAAAGTCTCAATGAATAGAGTCTGGATTTCACAGTTTAAATACTGGTCATATTGTTTTTCAGAATGAGGATTTAACAAATACAACAAAAGTTAAACCACAGGAAGTTGTTATTGCACTTAGGCCAGGTATGCAGAGAATAAGATACATGTACAAAGTATATAAAACCTCATCAAATTGTGTTGATGCCACTTATTTCCTCGTGTATATTGGAATGTATAAAATATCCTATTTTCTTTATCTAAAATACTTGTCTATCAACTGCATTAAATGATACCTTTTCTGATAATAAAGCAGTTAAATTTTTAAATACAATAAGACAGCTGATTCAGGCTTCCAGCCAATCAAAGCAATGTGTAAAGTCATAATGATGTTCTACTTTGTTGATTTCTTTTGAAATTAATTGTTTTTATGGTCAGTGAACATGAATATATGAATATATTTTCCATGCACTAATGGATGCTGGGTACACCACTGATGGAAAGATTATATTATACATACATACACTCTATGCACATACATGTAGTATTATTTACAAATCCTATGAAAAGAATTGTATTAATTTTTTGCAGGGCAAAAACGAGAATTTGATATATCAGTTCGAACACCAGAAAATTATCCAGTTGATGTCTATATGTTGATGGATATGTCGTATTCAATGAAAGACAATTTGAAGTCTGTTGAAACGCTAGGGCTTGATCTAGGTTGGTAAAGTGTGCAAGCACAGTAGTTTTATCTCTGCTTTCCTTGGAGAGGGAAAAAATTAAAAGCTTCGCACTATTCACGGAACTGTTTATGCTTCCATAATAGAACATACAACCCAAATACAGTATTCTGTTTACTCAGTGTTCGCTGACACTGTGTTCCAGGCATGTCACATGACAAATGACAAGAAACGAACGATCTCGATTAACGAAAGTAGTCAAAGCAAAGTTTTTGGAAAATCTGCAGTTACTGTGTATAAATTGTCATCCACAGTGACCCAACTTCCGAAATATCGTAAGGTGCAACAACAATGTGTTCGAGAAATGTGTCTTTTTTCCAGGCAAAGAAATGCTCAATATCACATCTAGATTTCGTGTTGGTTTTGGTACAATGGTAGATAAACCAATGCTTCCGTTTTCTCAGTCATCTGAAAGCTAGTAAGTTTTACTGTAGTGTTTGTGGGAACTTTTTTACCCTTGGCACATGACGTCACAGTGGGCATCTTTAATTAAGAGCATTTGACAAAATAACGTGAATTTTTGTAAAATACAGAAACTTTGACCACTGAAGACACTTCGCTTCGTTAACTGTTTGCGTCATGATTCAGTTTAGTTAGGCCAAAGGACGTGTCTGAAGAACAAATGTTAAGGACTATGACATCAGTGCAAAGGGTCTATACAATATGAATACTACTTGTTCAGAATATAATTATTACAACATGACTTTTCTAAATTTTCCACAAGAATATACCCACCTACACTGTATATTACCCTGCGTTCTACTGTATTGCGTGTTTAGCCCATCGTGTAAATGTTCCAGCCAAGGCGTTATAAGTCTTACAAGAAAGTATTTAAAACATCCAAATGAAATCATTGTGCATGCAAACACTCCATGATTTGATCGTATTTTTGTTTAACAGCTGGATTAAACAAGGGCAAAAAGACAAAACCCGGCCTTTCTCGTCTCCCTGGGTGTTTAGGAATGCATTGTCATTGACTGAAAACACGGATGAGTTTGAGGTATTTTTTATTCTTCTACCACACATTCTTCTGTTATGGCGGAGCACCGAGAGGTTGTGTTAACTGCGAAATCGATATATATTTATTTTAACGCCTCAAAGCAAACTTTTCAGAATTTTGTATAAAAACAAAAATAATTTCATTGCTGATTATTAACAATAATGTCTTAGGCAAGTGTAAAGTCTTCAAATTTGTCGGGCAGTATTGACGGTCCAGATGGTTGGGTCGATACTCTAATGCAAGTTGCTGTTTGTGAGAAAGTGAGTTTTCTTACCAATCATAGTATCACTAAAACCGCTTGTTGGTATTAAAATAGAAAGAACCCTATTCTTTGGCTGACTGCTTCCTGTATCTTGTTTATTCACGATGATTTAATATAGGCAGTAAATTGGTCTCCAAAGGAGAGCGCAAGACGACTGGTTGTTATTACAACTGAGGCAGACTTTCATATCGCCGGAGATGGCTTGGTAAGTTATCATCGAGGTTTTGCATTAGTCAATTTTACCGAACATAATATACTCTTATTTCAAATCAGCGCTGACTCAAACCTGATTTGTCATAAAATGCCTTCAGATATATTATCGTCTATATGTCCTGTATACTGTAATATCATATTCCTTAAATGTAAATTGTCTAATCGAAAAACAAAATCCAGGTAGGTTTTTTATTCTTAACTATGATTAATTCTGTAGTTAGGAGGCTTGGTTCAACCTAGTGATGGAAGGTGCAAGTTGGGGAGCGGTGATACGTATTTTGGTAAAGAGACGGTGGGTCATACCTAATTTTATCCAGGCGGTTTAATTAATCCTGTTTCGATATTCGAAATAACGACTAATATATTTATTTGTTTTCTAGGACTATCCCTCAATATCTTATCTTCGTAAAGTGTTATTAGATAACAGCATTGTTCCAATTTTTGCCGTCGATAGTACTTCTATAGACATCTACAAGGTGATTTTCTGTAACTGCAAGAGTTTTGAGGGCTCATACTTTTGTTTTTTGAAAGTCTTTACAGATTGTGTCACTTTTTGTCCCTATTTTTGTGAAATAATTTTTGGCATATAATCTTTTAGAGAGTGGCCAGGTACTTTGGCAGACAGATTGGTTCCGAAGCTGGTATACTTTATGACAATTCAACCAATATCGTACAACTGATTCGCAATACGTACGAGGTAAAATTTTAAAATTTTTAGTTCCAACCATGACCTGATACCTTATATCATAAAAAAAGGAGGGAATAAAAATGGTGTGGGAGAACACGTGTTTTGTATGAGGGCGTAACACGTGATAGTATGATAACACGGGCGGGAGTGGCCTATAATTTGGCAAGGGAGGATATTTAAACAAAGAAACGAAACAGCATTTACTGATATCGCACATATTTATTGCAGGCGGGTTATCCTTATGCAATCTCCATGCACGCTGCAATCTATATACTGTACTAAATCCTTCACAATGACCATATTTCGAGCATACAACATTTATGCATATTATTTTTCATTGAAAATTCATGATACATAAACGAGCCAAGATCTAAGTACTGTATACACTGAATATGTACCCGCAAACACTTTTTAGATCTACTGTACATAGTGAATACGTGTAAATACACAATAATTTTTGGAAAAAACATACGTCCGATACAAAAAACATACGTCCATATGTGGCCTGGCATTCAACAATTACTGCATTATCAACTTTATCTAACAACTATTACAAATCATATATTTCATTACCTTTCACTATAGAAAATTGGTACAACTCAAACTGTTTTCCATAACGAAGAAGATACCAAAGACCTCAAAATTGAATACACTGCACATTGTTTGTATGTATTTCTAGCTTCTTTAATACACAGCAATTTATTGTACTGACCTTTGCAGTTGATTTTTTGTACTTACTCTAACTTAATTAGATTTACAAACAGCTTGTTTCCAAAACTTGATATTCCATGGTTTGTCTAGTTTCGCTTTTAAAGATTCTTTTTACAACTTTTGAACACAATGACCTTCCGAATACGGATATCGGTTGTTTATAATTATTCTTATGCCGTGATAATTTGGTCCATCCAATCGTTACGAATATCCTTACGAATATCATGATATAAAATATCACTTTATTAACATTTTAGAAATGGTAGTTTTCCAGGCACAACATGTGAGAACGTCGCCATTGGAGAGACGGTATGAAACATTGCTGAATGCTGATTCTGTTTTCAGTGAAACTTTAAAGTGAAACCTCATAAGAAACCCAGATTCGTTTAGTCTAATGACCAATTTGACATGGTCGTAAAATGGTCGCCCCTTTCCAAAACTGACTATAGTGAATATGTATGTTTGAGATTGTCGAAATGGTTTTGAAAGAGAGGTGTACTGTAGCTAATAAATACAAATCCTCAAATCGTTTATAGGTAAGATTCACCGTTTCTGTGTCGTTAGAAAAATGTCCAGCTGGTGGAATGGGATACACCAAGTAAGTCTTTTTATTTCCAAAATGAACATCACATCTATAGTAATTGAACAGGATATGTTTTAAAGATGCATAACTAAACTGATAATGATTTATACGTAATTACATTCTGAAGTATCAAGATCTAAATTTTAATTTTTATTTATACAGATTTTTTATAACAACAGCTCTTGGTGATAAAATTCCTGTTAAAGTGACCTACCTTTGTGATTGTGATTGCACAAATATGACCGTAAGTTGCTGTCTTTATATATGCACAGTACGTTTTTGGCCTGTAGTTCGTAACCCTCATTTCTTTAATTGGTCTAATACACATGCAGTCAAATCGTACAGGCTACAAACACAACAGTTATATTAACGTCTATACGTCTAGCCGTATTTTCTCTCAAAATACACTAAATGTCTCTTAATTGATTTCTTCTATAAGACGCTAACGTCGCTTATAGTAGACATGAGCTATGTTCACACGAGACCGGACCAATTTGAATGCGTGCTTGAATTCGTCCTGTTTTCTTGTACACACGGTAAAAAATGAATGCTTCTACGTGTTCACACGAGGTTCCAAATTCGTCCAGTCCCGCGTGTGAACGTAGCCTTAGCCTCCCACTCACGAGAGCCAATCAAAAGTCATGTAACATTGGGCTTTTTGCGTTTGACGTCATTATGAGAAAAGCCTTTTGTCTTGGAGAATATATAGAATTATAAATCTATATTTAGTGAATTAAAACTTTAACCGGCAAATATTTTGTTCTTATAAGTGATCTTTATGAACTATGTGTAGGTTCATAACTCGACGGAATGCAGCGAACAAGGCTCCTTGACTTGTGGAGATTGTGTATGCAACGATGGATAGTAAGCGACAACGACTCATTGTCACTTTGATATTTGCTTGCAGAGGTTTGCCACCACATTTTAACACTGTAATTTCATTGTAGTCTTCTTGATAAGTGTGATTGTCCTGATTCAAGAATAGACGAACACAATGAAAAATGTAGAGCATCGTAAGTATACGGCTTTATATAATAACTATAGTGAAACACGCAATGTGATTGGTCAATAGCCGTGCAGGATCAGACAATCCTGCACGCGTTTTAGACAATCCTGCACGCGAAATTTAATTTTAATAAAGTTAACCGTTGTTTCACTACAGTTATTTTATAAAACAATTACCAAATGATTTTCCGTGCAGGATTGCGTGATCCATGCACTTGGGATGTTGCGAGACTTTCGGAAAGCGTGAAAATTCACTCGCCTACGGCTCGTGTATTTTCACGCTTTCCGAAAGTCTCGCAACATCCCGCGTGCATGGATCACGCAATCCTGCACGGAAAATCATTTGGTATTCCTTTATTCATGGTTGTTTTAGTAATTCAACCTACAGGGAAAATGTTTGAATTTACGTAATACCCGTGGAACAAGCAGTGCAGAATACGCGAATCATTTCCAGTTGAAGCAGCAGATTATAGGATATATAAACTATTGGTAGCTCTTGCATGGTACAGCTAAAATCTTGTAACAAACCGTGTCATGTTCCGGCCCACATTAGTAGCTTAATCATGGTCAGGTGATTTTAAGGCAAATTGAAATTTTTTTTCCAGAAATTCGTCGAGTATATGTAGTAATGCAGGCAGATGTTATTGTGGGAAATGCGAGTGTGACAAAAGAAAGGTTCGTCGTTCATTGTTAAATATTTTACATCTTAATGTTTGTCGGTTTTTCATCCTTGCTACGAAATGTTGCGAGCGCTAGAATGCATGCTATCAACTTTCTTAATCTTTTATTCTGTTTTTGTATCAGGAGGCTGGTGAAGGTCGCTCATATGGCGAATTTTGTCAATGCAATGATCAGCTTTGCGAGTCCGATGAAAAAGGACAAATTTGTGGTGGTAGGTTTATAACAAAACATGGGGACGACACAAGATAAATGTGTATATACACCAACAAATCTTGTATGACAACTGCCTAAAAGTACAAAAAAAAACGTCTCGACGTTTCGACCGACCTAATGGCCTTCGTCAGGAGAGTTAGTAAGTCATACTAAGTCAAAAAGTCTTTGAGATTTTTTTCTATTTTAAGCAGTTGTTATACCACATTTGATGCGAAGTTGTATTGTACACCGTCTATGTGCAGACAATATGCTTCTAGTGAATGCTTTATTTCAAATTTTAGGCGAGGAACGAGGATATTGTGATTGTAATAAGTGCAGTTGTTTCCCTGGCTGGGAGGGCCCGTCTTGTAGCTGTCGCAATGTAACCACGGCGTGTATACAGAATAATGTAAGCAATCTGAAATTTCGTTCATAACTCAACTCTAAAGTGCATGTGCGCACATATTGTCCTGTCATCCCGTTTACAAAAGTATGTTTCACAAAAACCCTGGTAATTAAAAGATTCAACTCTGCCTTCTTGCAGGTGACATGTTCTGGGCGTGGTCAATGTGAATGTGGGCTGTGTATTTGTGAACCAAAGTTCTCCGGAACGTTCTGCGAGACCTGTGACGTACGTACACGATATTTCCTTTTGCAGATAACAGTGAAATTAATCCAAAATCATCCAACATTGGTTTGTGCATGCGAAATTTCACACTGTGAATTATGCCTCTTCTGCGTGTGTGGGTAGATTGACTTGCTAATGTCACGCTGACTGATTTGAAAATTTGTGGTCAGAAACTTTGCAATTATGCAACGAGAGCAATAAATACTCTTTGTAGGTTTAAAGTTTTTGAGGGTGACCCTGGAAGGCAATTGCTTACACATGTATGGTTATATCTCAATAGGGTTGTATAAAAGGCTGCTCGTATTACAAGGACTGTGTGCGTTGTAAGATATATCAAACTGGACCATTGACTGGAGACTGTGAGAAGAGTTGCAATGCCACAATAACCAAAGTAGATAACGTCGAATCACGTAAGCTTATTTAAAGTTTTTTTTACGTAAGATTATGTTTAACTTTAAATGCTATTAATCATTACTAAGATCAACATAACAGCGAAGTGAAGAAAGAACCATACAGACTGGTGTATATAGAATGAAAAAGCATGAATTTGTAATAAGATATTTACAGATACCCCGATCCTTTTTATCCCGCGTTTGACATCACGCAAAAATATCGATTTTTTAGATGAAGGTCAGGGTACTACTTGCGTTGAAATTGACGATGATGACGATTGCACATTCTCGTATGTACTCATTGAAGGAAGTGAAAAAGTTCAAATTTACGCTGAAGAAGAGAAAAGTGAGGACTTTTTCGTTTTTGTTTGTTTTGTTAAATATAGCTAGATATGTGTGTCGTCTCTCCAAAAGCGTATGAATGAGTTTGATGAAAAAATATCGACGTTAAAGAAACCTTAGCAACAAAGCTTAGCGGACGTTAAAGAAACCTTAGCATTTTAATATTCTAAATGATAATAGTCAGCAATGGCAATAAATGGCTGTTGTGTGATAGTTGGTTGCACGACGTCGTGTTAACTACATTGTGTAATTTGCATAGATAATTTCTTATTTTTTTGAACTCTTCATGTGCGATTGTTAGTGTCCTTTTCTCATTGCGTCTATACGATATTTTCAATAGGATGTCCTCGTGAAGAGGGTTATCTATTAATTATTATTGGAGTTATCCTGGGAATCGTCGCTATCGGAGCTGCTTTACTGTTAATTTGGAAATTGCTGGCAACTATACAGGTACTGTTTCATTACTCATTAATTTGGTCGGTCAATCTATTCGCCATTTTCGGTGCATTTTTTGATAGATGCGGTGAAAGAGCGAAAATCACCTAAATCATCACGCTTCTTTTGCATCTCAGGTAACCAGGCTCAAATGAACAACTTTTTACATGTATTATAATTTTTAATTTTCAGGATCGTCGAGAGTTCGCCAAGTTTGAACGTGAGCAGCAAAACGCGCGCTGGGACACAAGTGAAAACCCAATCTTCAAACAGGCCACGACGACATTCCAAAATCCAACCTATGGTGGCAAGGGCTAGACCACTTCATTGACAATGGTTGCTAGGCTTATACTCAACAAATAAAATTAAATGTGTAGGCGTTTTAGGTTCGATGTTAGCGATCATCCGATCCTAAAGGAAAAGACAGTGAGCTTGGAGTAGCGCAGATGGGTTTTAGTATATAATGATTGTCTTGCATAGAGAAGTTTTATCGTAAATTTTTAGCATTTTTTAGTTTTGTAATAAGTAAATAGCAATAAGTGAGTGTTTTCTCTGTTCGTTTGCGTCATAGATTTCCCATGAATTTGTGTATCACATTAATGAAGCACAGTATGAAAATCTGTGTAATTTAAACGGCGATTGACCTGAAAGTTTCCCTTCATACAGCTTAACTAAAATTATCATTAGACGCTGAACTGAAATCTGCATGTTTGCAAGAACGCCCAAATGTGTTTTTTTTCGTTATACTTTCATCCTGGGTTTCATTAGGCCAAATATACTTGAAAAATGCTTGAAAATACTTGACTTGGAATGCGATGCAGGTGGAAATCGAATCTGCGACCTTTCCTCCTTCGCTAGTTTGACCGCGAAATAAAATCAATATGGTGTGGTCAATGTGCTTTCCCGAGGATACTCGATTGCACACAACTTGCGCTACTAACACAACTGTAAATATGAAACAAAAAACAGTCATGCATATATACATGGTAATGCACACATGTTTAAAGACGACATAACCCTATTTCATAATTTTAAACCCCGCGCAAGAAATTCCGAGGTTGTCATATTGCTGCATCAAAAATCGGTAGCCTATAGCAACTACGGTACGTATGCAACCTCGTACCCAGGGACTTGCAGCACTTGGAGTTTGGACTTCGCTTTAGGCCCCCGGTTAGATGTATCGTACATCTTCACGACATCATGTTCAACTGTTTAAAATTGCCTAAAATTATGATAATAACATAGAATAAAACAAAATGTACTCATAGGGAAAGTTGTAAAAGTCAACGCGAGTGTGAAAGGATAAAACTTAATGTCGTGACGATACACGCTGGTCCAACTTAGCTAAGTTTCTCCCACTCGTGCAGGCTCATATTGTCAGCGGACAACTTACATAAAATTGAGAGCAAGGCGTAAAACGAAAAGCTTTTAATTTTTTATGCGAAGACCGCTGAAAAACTGAGCCCTCTTTACCGGGAGAAAATTTGCCGAATATGACCAACGCGATATAACAGGATGGGTAAAAGCCTTTTGCTGTAAATATGAGCCTTTTCATATTCAAATTTACCACATAGCATCTGCAATTTAATTGACATAAGTTTTCTAAAGTGAATCATTAATTCTAAACATAAATCTTGTTCCTTCGGGAGTTCTGTGTGAGTGGAATTCTGTGATGCGGAAGAGAGATAATAAAGCTATAGTTAACTACGTCGTGTTGGAGACAAGGGTGTTTGAATTTAAACTTCAGTGTCAAAGGCATCAGTCATTTTTTACTCAACCTATTAGTATATAGATGGGCATTTCATGGGTCAATGCATGGTGCACCATTCTGCCCACTTAAATATATTTGCAATTCATATCACAAAAAAATATCACAACTCGCTGTTCAGTTACAGCCATTAAGGTGCATTTGATTGTAAATTGTAGTGTTGCATGTCAATGTGGCATAAACTTAGTGCAAATCTTCAGTATGGATAGAAATCAACTTCTAAATTATGAAGGCTACGAAACTCCTATGTATCCATCTTATGGCTCAAGCGATAGCAATCCTAATATTGATGGCTACGAGAATGGACGTCATTCACACTCTGGCCTGAGAAAACAAAGCAGTTTAAATACATTTAATGGTAGCAAAAGAAGTATTGATTTATCTTCTACATTTGAAACAAGCCAAATTGTTCTCGGTTGGGAAGATATTAATGTGTTTGTACATAAACAAACGGGCCTCTTTGATCGATGTTTGAAGCGAGGTCGGGGAAATATTGAATTTGTCGTGAATCAAATTTTAAACGAAGGTAATCACCATAATCACTGATGCACAAATCGAGTAAATGAATAACCGTAAGTCCAACTACAATATTGAAAAAAATTCCCTGCCGTTATATCTATAACACCCTCTCAGTTCCAGGAATAACGGCATTGCAGCTGTTTGTATACAAGCCGATTGTAATGGATCTGCATGATACCAAATATCCGACCCGTTCAGGCGTTCATATTACCTCTCGTGTGCATTTTGCATATACCGATCAGATAAGCCTTAAATCTATATTTTAGGAGTGAATATGTGATGGCAGCAAGGCTGTACGATACTCTAAATACAAATGGGAACAGTCAACTTGTATATTGTTTTGTACATGCTGTGTTATCATGTGCTTACAATGCCCAGTTTTTTTAAACCACGAGTTGCTATCTATGACTATATTTAGCCGGATTAACATATCATTGGAACAATTAAGATTTAAGTATATGTTAGGAGTACTTTCGAATTGAGAACGTAGGTCTGAATGATAATTAACCGAGGTATTTTTAACTCTGAATTAGTTTAATTTTTCATGAATCAAACTGAGCCAAAAAATGGAACAATGATAAGATTTTTTACATTGCAGTAAACGGTGAGATTCCCTCTAAAAGTCTTGTTGCCATCCTTGGTCCAAGGTGAGTAGCTTTTCGTGATCATGTGCTCTGTTATGGTAGTAATTGTCATGTTAATCTTACTGGAAGGTATTAGCTACATGGCGAGGCTGTTTGTGGTTTCACGAATCAAAGCAAACAAATTTCTCCGAAACAATGACTTTGATCCAATAACCGTTTATTATAATTGATATGCGACATGTGATACGTTGAATTTCACGTGGAAATACGTTGAACTATACAAGTGGAGAGGTTTTTAAGTTTTCACTATACAAGTGGAGAGGTTTTTAAGTTAACGGCTGGTCTTCTTAGCTTTCTCCAGCCTTAAACTGCAGCAAAACAAGCTCAACTCCCAGTATACGCTGTGCATTTCTCTCTTGCAGATAAAATAGATTCCCAGTTATGATATTTTTTCTCACTTGTCAATATCAACATATCTTTGATTTCGCAGGTCTAAAGTTTTAAGTTGTATAAACGCTTTCGTGTTTTTAGCTTATTCTATGATTTTCATCTTCGCCTATTATCTTCATCTTTTGTTTCCCAGCACATTTCATCCTAATTTATCTGAACAATATATTTAGAGGGGCTGGCAAGACAACATTGCTAAATGCATTAGCTCATCGAAGGATCGAGCAGTTAGAAGTGACTGGCACTGTGTATGTTCGTGAAGAACCAGTTGGAATTAATATTAGAGAAGTATCTGCATATGTTGAAGATCATGACGTATTTGTAGGATTACTGACTGTACGGGAACATCTAATTTTTCAAGTAAGACTTGAAACTGATCAAATATCTTTTTCTTGAAATTTGTCAGAATAAATGTGTTTATCTATTTTTCTCAACTTATCCTTTTCATTCTCTTGCATGCATGTATCACACACTGCATGCATGCATGTAACACACACTGCATGCATGTATCACACACTGCATGCATGTTACGCTACCACGTGGTCCTATTCCAAATCATCATTGGAATGGGATACTATTGGGATACTGGGTTTTGTATTGCAATTTGTCGCCCGGAACTAAAACGTATTATTATTATTGCTTGCAATTGTCTTATTGTTCATGCTGTAACAAAGAATTTCTTATTATTCATGCAGGCATTTCTTAGAATGGGAAGTGATGTATCACGTGAAGATAAAATATCAAGAGTAGAAGCTGTAATGGAAGAAGTAAGTTACATTTTTATTCCGTTAATACAAATGTTAACAACTCGATAAAGTGTACCTTAAAGCCTGTAACTCAGTAACTTATCTTACACTACTCTATAAAACAAAAAGAAATCGTATACCAACCGTTTATCACCACAGAAGTGACCTCGGGTTTCTATCCCCATATAAATGACTAGTGACAAAAAGGGTCACGTAACTATAAATCTTGCTTTGTTTCAATAATATTTTTTGCACCGACTATAGTTATTAGGTATAATTACTTCTCGTGACTCGGAAAAATTTCTGCTAAAATCACTCGTCTGCCCCACCCTCAAAACCTGTAGCAATGGTGATGATGCCGATCAGTCCGTTCGTATTCTCGTGTATATTACTAATGCTAACAATTTTTTATTAATAAGTTTGGTCTTAAAGATTGGGAGCATGCACAAATTGGATCTCCAGATTCACATAACGGGGTGCCACGTGAAATAACGAAGAGTTTGTCTATTGCATCTGAGGTAAAAACGCATATGCATAGCTCCAACGTAGTTAACATTCTATGTAAAATCATTCCTTTAAAAAAGTTAATTGTGCAATAACATGCAGTGATAACAGATAAATTGTTCTCGTTTTAGCTGCTCTCAAGTAAAAAGTTTATATTGTTCGCTGACGATCCACTGACTGGCTTGGATTCCCTTTCTTCAAACATGTTGGTCCATACTCTTCAAAGATTAGCTAACAGTGGATACACTATTTTGTGCACTTTAGATCAACCAACCTCTGACGTTTACGCGTTGTTCAATAAGTATGCCCGTCGTTTAATGCTAAGACGCAAAACTTGTTTCCTGTAAACATCATTTCATGCGGCGTGCGTTGGTAAAACTGTTGTAACTTTTTAAGGATTATTCTACTCGCAGAAGGACGGATCACGTACCTAGGACCAAGCAGTGAAGCAGTTTCTTACTTTGGCAGGTAATCATGTCTGCAAAGACAGTTGAAAGGAAAAATTGTATCTTTCTATACTCCTTCTATGCACGTCTTACACGTTACACTCTTTGTTCCTCTTCACTGGATGTTTACCATTTTGTGTTGAAACAGGTTTGATGAGATTATATAGCTATTGCCGTTTTAAAGATTGGTTTTTACCGAATTAACCTGCCTAAAATCGCGTCATGCACATAAAAGAATAAAGGAAAAGATAGTAATAAAGCTGAATGCATGCATTTTGTCTGTTTAACAATTTTCCCGATATTATTTCTAGCATTGGATTTCCATGTCCTGAAAATTATAACCCAGCAGATTTCTTCATCCGAACGCTCACAGTAAATCCGACTGAATATGAACAATCAGTGGAGAGAATTAAGGTAAATCAGAGCTGATTAAGAATCTGATTAAAAATAAGGCATTTCTTAAAATTTCTGGTAGCTATCTTAAAATTTCTGGTTACTATATAGCTTAACTTTTATATATAAGAAGTGAGATCCCATTTTTTTATAGTAACATGTATATATTTTATTTCATTCAGTACGTTTGTGACAAATACCGAGAAATTGAAATACGACCCAGGGCTCGAAGCGCTTTAGGACCAATCGTAAGTAGATACAATCACATAAGAATACGGAATGACAAAATTTACCAAATATGGAAAGTCAATATGGAAGGAAAAGAGCTGTAAAATTCATTATTCCTCTGACGCAGCGAGTATATATAAGGTGTATAGAAACAGTTGTTAATACCGTTTGTCATGACATGAAAATATTTAAATAGTTTATCAAGCATGCATAATTAGTACCAAAATACTGATGTTTATACATTTTACCTCAGGAATCGTTTGATGATCCAGATAAGAAGACTGTCCTGTAAGCGTGAGACTAAAGAAAAAAAACCTGATTTGCTTTTATTGATTATCAGCTATTTAAGAGAGAATAGGAGGAGTACTTGTACATTAAGAAAAGTTGCACAAACTATAAACAGGCTATATACCGAGTACTTGCTGCATGCATGCATGGGGATTGTTACGCGGAACTTTATTGTCACATTAACGTTGTCTATTTTGTTTTTATAGCTTTCATGCGGGACGGTTTACACAGTTTTTAATTGTCTTGTGGCGTTCCTTCATCATAGTTAAACGAGACAAAAACGCTTTGTTTTTAAGAACAATTCAAGCAGTTGTAAGTTTACCTTCAGTAAATCTTCACTACATAGACCATCATTGTTTTCACCAACTCGTCGTTCTAAATAAAGAAACTAAAACTCACTTGCTTTATAGATTCTTGGATTTATAACCGGTCAAGTGTATTTTCAACTTGATGAGGACCAAGAAGATATTCGGAATTTTTCTGGTCTTTTGTTTTTTCTTGTTCTCAATATAACGTTTTGTTCATTTCAAGGAGTGCTTTTTGTAAGTGATATTTATGACTTCATAGTGATGAAATTTCAAGTTAACAAGCCTCAGAGTAATTCTAGCTCTAGACAAGAAAACACAATCAAAGGCACCTCTACATATTAATTGTTCCGTTTTGTTGCATCCCAATTGTTTCATTTTAGACGTTTCCTTTGGAACGAGATATATTTATACGAGAGAATGAGAAAGGGATATACTGTACAAGTGTGTACTTCCTAGCAAAATCTTTAGTCGGGGTATGTGCTTTGTTTTGAAGATTAAAATCACCAAGCATCTCACTTAGGTTTACGCTATAGGATTTTATTCTTCTGTTGAAATGGAAGTTACAAAATGTGACCGTAACAATTGGTGCTGGAGTTCACTGTTCACTCCGAAAACATTTACATTTCATGCATAAACGTGTTTTAGATACCTCTTGATTCAATTCTGACAATAACTTTGATGTCCATTGCCTACTGGATGTCAGGTAAACGCTGAAAGATGATTATCTCTGCTGGTTGAAAATTTTCCCTAATACATAACGAACATGCATTAATCCTGTAAAAGACACCTTTACGAACATTTAGTTTAATCACATTGAAAGAAAAAAAAAACTACAAATAAAAAATTAAATATCTTTCAGGACTCAGAGAAACATCAGAGGCTTTCTTTCTGGCATGTGCTACTGCATTGTTGGTGTGTCATACGTCTGTTTCGTTCGGTATGCTTAGTTTTCTTTCAGTTTCTTTTGAAATTCGTTGTTTTTACGGTCTGCGATAACACAAATATATAAATCATGATCAGCCCCCTCCCCGCTTAACGTTTTTTCACAGTAATTCTTGAGAATATATATTATTTTCTATTCATCCTATATTTTTCGAGTACCGAAACACATTATTATAATTATGCGTACTATAAATTAACTTACAGGTTATTTTGTATCCACTGCAACAAATTCATTGTCACGTGCTATCGCTACTGGACCAATTCTTATCTTACCTCTTCTAATATTTGGGGGATATTTTGTCTCGAACAAGTGAGTTAACAACCTTTATATCCTAGAAGGAAGCTAGATATTTTATTAAACACCACCGTTGTTGTACTCAGTGCAGCTCTGAGCTTTATCGCACACGTGATTAGCAAAGTGATTACCACCGAAATCGGCATTCAGCAAGACAGTTTTTTTTTCAAAGGCTCTTCAATTTATTTTTACGCTATAGTACAATACCTGACAGCCTGAAATGGTTACGATATATTTCCTGGTTTAATTTTGGTTTTGAAAATTTAATGATAAATCAATGGCAAAATGTCGATAGGATAACAGGTAACTACATGCATGATAATATTATGGTATTAATTCCGATAATATTTTTGTAACAATATGCTAATTTCAAAATGCAATATTGTGCTTTTTTTCTCCAAGGATGTGGTAAAACAACTTCAAAGCATTGTCTACAAAATGGTGAACAGGTCTTAGATTTTTATCAGCTTGACGAGGTAACTGGTTATACTGTTTTCAAATCTTGATGCAGTTCAAATAATGCAAATCACGCATGCACAAAAGTTTGCATGATTCAGCCTTTTCTTTCATCACTATTAAGTTAAAACGCCAGTTCTACCCCTGAGAAACCCAACGTTCTGCTGCATCTCTCCATGCAGTGCGAAAATAATACCTGTAGTACTACTCTTAACCGTTAAATTTATTACAGCATTACCACCCAAACATCTTAGACCATGCGCAATGTAGCTAAATGTAAAATATTATTATTGTTATTACAATGCTGTTTAACCATCGTAAACATCTGTTTTATAGAACAATTTCAAGCGAAACTTTTGGTTACTGGCAGCTCTTTGTATTACCTACAGGCTCTTGGCGTATATTTTCCTGTTGCGAAATCCAAGTCGAACACGGTAACATTTCAAGAGCGATTGACGTTATCTGGGACTGGGGCTAGGGCCAGTTAAAAGTTATTGTTGGGTTGAAAAGCGCTATCCACTAAAGTTATACTAAAGTTTAAAGTCCACCTTTCTGGACTATACGTGTGTGTGTGTGGCGTTATTAGCCGACCAGCTGGTAATGCACAGAAGTCTGTAGCCAACAACCATATCAGATTTTCGTCAGTGGAAAAAATCAGTGAACGAATAAGGTAATAATGGCAATGAAGCAAAATTCTAATTATTATATTAATCGCTTAGTCAAAAAATCGCACCGATGAGAAAGGAAAGGGCTTACCCTCGTCAATGTTAAATTTTTTAAGTACAATTTCGCGCTTTTAATACCACCGTTGTTGAACAACGTTGTGCCGTTTTATTTGAGTGAATAATATAATTAATTGCATTGCGTTGTATCAATTTAGAAGATAATTATTGTAGTGAGAATCAATTGAGTTATTGCTTTGCGTGTTTAAAATTAATGTTCCAACAACTGTAAAAAAACTGTAACTGAAGAAGTTACTTTTTAGGATACATAACAATTTTGTTAATCTCTGGATTTTTGCATAGTCATCTGAAAGACTTATCAAATTTTATATTGCCGGTTTCCGGCAATTAAACGATAGTGCGTGTATATATATATCATTCCTTACACAAAAATAGAAATATCTTGATTTGTTAAATTAATTGAAAAAACTTTACATTAATCAGTTAGGATATGAGAATATTCAAAAGGTGCATTGAAGGTTTAAGAATTGAGACTATACCAGTCTTTAATTTATGTGTATATGAGATTTGTTATTCAAATTAATATTGAAGTGCAGTACAATCATTAACATAAGTTATCTTTATTTCAATGAGTGCATGCAATCAGTAACACAGTTTCCTGTGGCTTTGAACCTTTTCTTCCCTGCATGTTACCAATTATAGTTCTCGCAGGATTACATTATGACGCGAGCTTCACAAAGAACACGGTATCACGAAAGTGCTTGCACTGTCACATTTATCGTGATGACTGAATTGTGTGTGTTAAAACAAAGATTGTCTCAATCTTTGCAAAGTGCTTGGACAAAAGAATGCCCTAATATGGCAGTGACGAAATGTTGCGATGTATCCCCACTTCTCGACACTTTTTATTTTACTCATCCGCTTTTATGATTACACAATGCAATTTCAAACGTTTTCAGTTCGGTCTCAATAGCTTTATTTAGCTTTTTCGAATAACAGACCGCCTAAACTTGCACCCAACGACTAGCTTCCATGCAGAAACATGTATATAATTACTCTCTCAAGGGCTGAAACAATGAAAAGTATGTTACGAATGTTATTGTCACTCACGAGCTCACAATTCAACTCGTTAAGCACTGATGAAGAGACAGTGCCAGCTAGTCACTGACTGAGAAAAACATCAGCATAACGTCGCACTAAGTCCAAACGGATCATCGCAATTAGATTGCAGTCACCTAGTAAGTTACACACATGACATTCCATTTCGTTTCTCAATTCTCCCAGTGTCAGCGAATCTCAACCACCGTCTGCCTTCGTCCACTCTTATAAAGGTAAGCAGTGTTTACATGCGCAGGGCTATACCCCGGATTACCGAGTAATTTGGCAACAAGAGATGTTTTTGCGCCCAGCGAGTTTGATTAGGTTGGTCGCAATTACACTTCTTGGTCTGGACGAAATCTTATATGACAGCTAGCACAGAAATACCTGTGATGTTTATAAGGTATTGGAGCGAGGCCGGTTTGCCGCCATGTTGCCATGGTATAGTGCGGAGGGAGAAGGGGTGACGTGTCCCCAAGCCTTCCCAATAATATGCAATATTCAGAAAGTTGACTTTAGTCGACCAAGGCATTTAATATATAAAATTTATTGATCACCGACAATGGATTGTAAAAATCAGCTACGAATTACGACACATGAATTTTGCTGGATCCAAATCACTAACTATGGGAACCTCGTTCTTAGGACTTTTTCTGTGTTCCTTATATTGATGTTTTATTATATTCTGTTGACTTGCAACGTCTCAAATAGCAAAACAACTAAAGCCAATGCATCAAATGTGGCATAACAGCTGCCTAAAATAGACACAACACTTCTCGACGTTTCGACCTGAGGGCCTTTGTCGGAGAGTTACTGTGATAATAACTCGTACAAACTCTCCTGACGAAGCCCTTAGGTCGAAACGTTGAAAAGTGTTTGGTCTATCTATTTTAGAAGACGCTGCCATGCTGCCCTCTGCCTCTGGTTAGATTAAAACCAATGAAGTTAGATATCCACTGATCTGAAATCAGACAGGTCAGTGATTGGATCGTATGAAAAGACCTTTTAAGCCCCAGTTATACGATACCGGATTTCTGATCATCACGACATCAAATTTAACCACTTTTCGATCTTGTTGCCTTCCTACGAGTCAGATAGGGCTTAGTCACATAATGTCCGGACAATGCGAACCAGTGTTGTGTAACTGGGGGCTGTAAACCGCCACTGCAATATCTGGTTGACAGTATTTATTGGGCTGCCAGTTACTTCGGCCACAATTATCATTAAACTCAGTTCAGCCTATACGATAATGTTGTAAACACAATGTCAGTGACGTTTTTCTCATTCTTGACCTCTGGTCGGTTCATTTCTTATCTTGGATTCTTCACTCCTTAAAGACAGCTAGCTTTTTCCCTTGCCTTGCTCTTAGTCACGTGAAGGTAACACAATTAGTGATTGTTACAGTATATATAATTCATAATTGCGTTGTAGTAATTTATCGCTTGGCTGACGCTAGATCCCCGCCACTGAAGTCTGATCAGTGATGATCGCTAACTATCTATAGAAAGCAAAGACGAAGTGTTTTTCACACGTTAACTGTTTGTATGAAAATAAGAGCTAGACAATAACTGTAATTCCACAATAGTTATTCCCCACAGTTGAGACGTTGATGATATATAATCTAGCTATACTATACTATACAATTATATATACTATACTATAGCCGCTATAGCCGTAGGCTCGTAGCCATAGCCATAGCCGTATGGCTAGCCGGAAAGATTTAAAATCATAACTATAAGTAAAAGTGGTAGAGTTTAATAAACATTACAGCTTGGACCAGCTTGGTGAATTGAGAATTACATTTTTCAATCTGTCTCTCAAGCTTATCGATAAAAAAACATTACACCATGTACCACCAGTCGATAGACATGAGAAATATTGCAGGACCTGCTGTATATTACTATAATCTTGCGCGTTCTTGAATATATTAAGGCTTTGTTCAATTTCTTTTAATGTTGATATCATCAAGGCAAATCGTTATGGAGATGCAAGAAGGCAAATACACGAGACAAACGTCACAAAATTCAACGTCACCAGAAGGAGCTGGCACAGCAACAAGACCAACGGAACCAACCCAGGCCCAGGGCCAGGGTGTCATAATTATAAACTCTGTAACGATGGAAGACAAAATGGATCGTTCTATCGAAGAGCCACTTGTTAATGATAACCCGAATTCCACTGGTGTTAACAGCGGGAATAATACCTCTATTAAAGGTATAAATAGTGATTAAAAAAGATTAATTAATACATGTACATTTATACGTTTACCAGCTTCTCGTGCATCACGAGTCACGAGACCTTGTACGAAGTTAATTCCACTAGACATAAATTTAGTACTAGTGCTGTAGTGCACCATCTAGAGACATTGTGAATCACTCAGGGCCGTAGCTAGACCGCTTAATTGGGGGGTGTATATTCATATATTCATGTTTATCTACCGCACGGACAATAGCGTACAAAAGAAATCAGTCGGGCATAAGATGAATTTATGAATATACACCCTTCAATTAAGCTTCTAGCTAGTAGCTACGGCCCTATATTAATGAATGGTAAATAAATTTATCTATTTAAGTTCAAGTTAACAATAGTAGCGTTGACGGAAAGAAGCCTGCATATGACAATGTAATTGCAAACCCTGGATCTGCCAACAAGTTACAAGATGCAGTCAACTTGTCCTGGGAAGATATCAATGTCTTTGTTACCCGAAATCAGGGCAAGTGTTGTGGACTGGTTGGAAGCAACAAAGATGAAGGAGACGTCTTACATATTCTGAAGAATGGTAGGTTCTGCTTTAAGAAAATATAAGGGTATTTCCAAAGTTTGGACAATGATCCAGCAAGGAGTAAATTTCAAACCAGTACAATACAGATACGTTTCTGTATAAAAACCAAAGAGCAGCGCCTTCTAACAAGGTTGCAACATATGTCGCATTAAAAGTATTTCTATGGAAAATTTCAATTGTTGGCATGCACACTGCATGTGGCAATATATCATCTCACCCAAGAAGACTGTTAGGGGAAAATGGAGTTACGGAAACACATTTTAGCAGATTTTGTTTATATTGATAATTAAAACAGTGTATCTGAAATTAGCTACTGTGGTATTTCAAGTCTTAATTGTTGAACAAATAGAGAGCAAAGTGGTATTTCACAGGTCAAGGGAAATTGGAGTGAGGATGGGGCAGAACTGAGTAGAATTCCAGATTTCCAATTTGTGAATGTATTAAAAGACTAATAAGACAAACTTTCCAGCCTACTTACCTCCTAACTGCTAAAATAAAAGCTTTAGTTAATATTGTCATACAAACATTTGTAGCATTGGGAAATTAAACCAGTTTTAATCTAGGTGCACTGTTATGGAATATTCTATGTACAGAGTATACTTTAATCAATAGAAGTTTTCTTTTGTGCATGTCTATACTACCAAAAAGTATGAACAGATCTCTAAGGCCTTTTAATTTTGAGCTAACAAAAAAATTCCTGCTTAAAACATGTAGGTTCATATTATTTTTCATGCGAATGTGTCTAATCACAAACTATTTTAAAGAGGCTACCCTGCTCTAGCATTTAAGCTACCTCGCTCCATAAGACTAAATGTATTTTTATTGTTTAGTGGCTGGAGAGATCAAAGCTGGATCGCTTGTCGCTCTTATGGGTTCCAGGTGTGGTATACATTAATTATCATATATTAATTGTGTGTTTCCGTGTTAAAGTTGTTGCAGAATTTTAGAAGGAGCTCCCAGGCCCAAATGATGTATCCTAAAATCTATGATCGGATTCTGTTCTTATAAGTCTTATCAATTTCCAAATTTTTCATAATTCTCAACTCTCTCCAACTTTTAACTGCCTCCTGTTTAAAGAAGAGTACACCCCCATGCTCAGGCTTCTCTGGTTATCTTGAAACTCTTATACAAACTCCCACCTGTATGTTATTACATACAGCTTGGACATTTTCAAAGGTCCAGATCTGTTACATAACATGCAGTTTTAAGATAAGGGCTGACTCGAATTTTATGTAAGACTCGTGCCTTATGACGCAATACTGACAGTAGTACAGATGTTTGCAGTCCTTAATCGTTTTTAACCTTTATTTAGTGGCGCGGGAAAATCAACTTTATTGAACGTGTTATCCCATCGCAACATATCCAGTATCGAAGTGTCAGGAACCGTGTTTATAAATGGCAACCCAATTAGCGATGAAATCAATAATATGTCGGCATATGTTCAGCAAGAAGATTTATTTATTGGAACATTAACTGTTCGTGAACACCTGATGTTTCAAGTTAGTGATTATTTTATCGCGCAACCGTTTCATTTGTACCCAGATCTAATGTCCGTGTTCTTAAGGTTCCCTCGTTCTCAATGAGTAAGAGAGGAAAAAAATCGCCTTATAGTTTTAGTTTTGATTACTTTAGCTACCCAAAATCTAATCTCCTACCTAAAAAGCTGAAGCCATAAAGTATCCGTAGACATATGTATATGAAACCTTTTATTCAAGAATCGTAGATATCTTTTAGCTACAATGTGTATGCGTTTACAAAATGGTTACATAGCCTTATATATATAAACGTCAACTGTAGGACGATAACGTTCTGTTCCCAGGCCTTACTTCGAATGGACAGATATATTCCAGAAGACGAAAGAGTAAGAAGAGTGGAAAAAGCAATTACCGAGGTTTAACAAAATGTTAATTTGATATTACTATATACCAGAGGTCGAAACGTCGAGAACTGAGTTTTTTGTCCATGATTTTTAAACTGGATGTAGACGCTGCCACGCTGCCCCTGGATATTGTAAAAAATATTCAAGCAAGTCAACACTCCTAAATTTAACCTATAGTCTCGTTGTGTATTTTTAGTTGGGGTTGGCAAAATGTTCAAATACGTTGATAGGAATACCGGGACGTCTTCGTGGTATTTCTGGAGGAGAGAAGAAAAGACTCTCATTTGCCTCTGAGGTTCGCGTACTTTGCGTCTATCTTACACTCGTTATAGATTTCGCAACCGGCAACCCGATGTAGCTATATGTTTGATGGTTCTGAGAAAGAAAAATGGACCTAAACATGCAAGATGCTTGAACTCCTGAAAGACGGTGACACCTAAAATCGCAGAAACAAATTGCAAGTGCATGTGTAAAAAATTGAAAGGTTTAAACTATAAGATCTTGCATGGAATGGTTAGGTATTGCAACGTTTATTTTTGACGATATTTCACACCAAACTAAAAAAATTCTTCTCTGTTAGATATTAACCGACCCTCCGTTGTTATTTGTTGATGAACCAACCTCTGGACTTGACTCTTTCATGGCACAAACCGTGGTTGCAACACTTCATAGTTTATCACAGCAAGGAAAGACTATCTTGGCCACGATACACCAGCCTTCTTCAGAAGTCTACCAAATGTTTGATAAGTATGCTGTTTGCACTATATAAAGTAAAAGTAAGAATCTTGTAAAACCAGCGAACAAAACACTCTTTCTCTAATATTCCCACATGCAGTTTGATCTTTACTTCTGTGAATAGACAAAGAGAATCCGGGTTGTTTGGTTTTTAGCATGTAATTTTATTTTCCAGCATAATTTTGTTAGCTGATGGTCGTTTGGCGTACGTTGGCTCCAGAGAGGACGCGGTTCCATACTTTGAAAGGTAACAAAATTTGAACAAAAACAAATTTTAAGGTATGCTTATAGCCTATTTAAACCTATTTTTTCATAATTTTTAGGATAGGATATCAATGTCCAATAAACTACAATCCTGCCGATTATTTTGTTCAAATTCTCGCGTTTATTCCAGAGAAAGAGGAGGAGTCTAAGGAAAGAATTAAGGTATGTTGAAAACAACCCTCGTGGGATTTCATAATGTTGTTGGAAGAGCAACTGGTGGTTTCCTAGCGCTCTGGTGGAATAACCTATATATAGATGGTTGTAGATTGGATTTTCTGTTTTCCCGCCTGGATATATTGGCATCTTTTCCCTAACCCTTCAACTATATTAGTTGTGCAGATAGTCTGACTACCACGCTCTTACACACAGTGAACTATATTGGTTATTGTGAATACTTCAATATTTAATAAATGTTAAATGACTGTTTTCGTAGTTTCTCTGTGACAAACATGATGAAGGGAAAACTAGTTATGTTAAAAAGCAGCCAACGACTGAACGTGTGGTACGATAATTTATTTATAGCAAATATTTTTGATGCAGCTAAATTATTTGTAAATTCGGCTCTCCCGAACCCCTTTAGTATTATTATTTCGAATGTATTTCGAACTTTCTTGTAGAATTCCTTTGAAACAAAAATACTTAACTCTGGTCGTAGGTATGTTGTTATATGTTTTTATATAAAGCTTTGCTATCATTACGGTTTATATATTATAAGCTAGTGCATATATATGTGTTTATGGCTGAATCCAGCCAACAACATGGCAGTTCATTCGTATGACATGTATTTATTAATAATTATTGCCTTTTCTTCAGGTATCAAGCAGGATGGTTTAAACAATTCCGAGTTTTATTTTATCGAGCAATGTTAAGTGCAAAACGTGATAAAATGGTGTCCGTTATCAGAATCATGCAATCTTTGGTAAGAATTGAATAAATTTTGTCCGTTTGTTTTATTTCATCTTCTTTCGTATTTTATACGCTGAATTTTTTATTAATATCATAGGCGTGCCCCGTGAGAACCTGTAGGGACAGTTTATAAAGCTATAAAGCCATAAAATATCCTGTATAGTACTATATATTGTCATTATATTTTGATAAAACAACATATTCAAAGGTTTTTTTTGTATTAAAGGTACTTGGTGTTGTCGTAGGTTTGATATATTTACGCCTGTCATACAACCAAGAAAACATCCAGAATTTTGCAGGGCTGCTGTTCTTTATCGTCACTAATCTCTCGTTTGCTAGTCTACAAGGCGTTATTTTTGTAAGTACTAGTGTTGTTAGGTAGACGTAAGGTAGACGTAGAATATATTATTTAGAACTAGGACTCAGCAATGCAGTTGTGTAAATAGAAATAATTCAAAACAAAAAGGTTGCAGCATGATCAATGAATTTTTGAGAAATCCAATCATCCAAGAATTGAAAATTGCATGGAAAACATCGACTCCATGTTGTTGCCATATTACCCCATATATTCTGCAGGAATGTTTATCATCTTGAATCTTTTTTTAGGTTTTTCCTGTGGAGGTTCCTGTATTCTTAAGAGAACACAAGAATGGAATGTATCGCACTGACACGTATTATTTGGCCAAGACGTTGGCTGAGGTATAATGTTGGCACGTTTATCTTAAAATGAACAATTGTAGTATATACAACCTCATCTGTATCAGAACAAATTTCGGTGCAGTAAATACCAGCTAGGCAAACGTACACACTAATGTAATCTCGGATGAATTTTTGTAAGACCGCTAAGGGGCATTGTGAGATCCACCCATCGGTCCTTCAACACGAGTAAATTAATATTAGCCCCCATTCAACGATCTTTCGCGCTCACATACATAATGCTACAAATTCGTTTATTAAAAAAGAATATTATCCATAATAATTATGTGTATTTCTTCCCTGGACACAGGTTCCTATATTCTCATTCGCTGCTGTTTTATTAATTACTATATGTTATTGGATGGCAGGTATGTTTTTATGGCTTATGAAAGTAAAAAAATAACAAATATAGAAAATTGTTATATACTGTTATGTACAATATTGCATAATGATAAATATATAGCGGTAAAATGGAAAATACCGAATCAGTGTCTGGCTGATAAAACGCGTTGGCGAACTGAATTGTTGCAGTGTAGCGAAGTGAATATATAGCTGACTTGCTACAACATCTATCTATTTACCTGCTAAAATATGATGTGTATGATGCAAAGATATGTCCTTGTCTTCCGTTTTAAAAGGGCTGCGTGAAGAAGCTGACGCTTTCTTCGTCTGTGTTGGTATTGGTGTTTTAATCGTTAACACAGCTGCGTCTTATGGTTAGTAGAAACAGTTCCTAATCTGATTTTCCGTAAGTTTCGTAACAAAGCTTCAACATCATCTTAATAAAGAAAATAGTTTCTCACTCGGCGATTAGAGTATGGCAACTGTTAACATATATATTTTTTCGCAGGTTATGCCATTTCTACGATGACGTCATCGGTCGAGACAGCCACAGCGCTTGGTCCAGTTGTAATGTTGCCTCTACTTCTTTTCGGTGGTTTCTTTGTAAACAACGAGTAAGAAACGTGTAAAACCGTGCATGGTTTATGGTTCATTTTAGTTTATCTCGTTAAGTGTGTTGTTTTGTCTTTGTTTGGTCTTGTATTTTGCGTGTCAATAACGTCGAAAATAATATGACAAGACAATGAAATATGTTAATAAAAGACTACTTGATCATCACTTAGATCTTGATCACCATCTACACATGAAATAGCCAATGTGCTGAATCAATTTCTTTATTAACCTAGCACTGTTCCTGATTATTTCATTTGGTTGCGTTATTTGTCATGGTTCAACTATGGCTTTGAGGATTTAATGATTAATCAATGGGATGAATACCCTGGCAAAATTGGTAAGGAAATTTCCTTAGAAAAGTTTGAGTTTGAGGGGAGGGAGGGAGAAATATTTAATATATTCTTTTCAGATGTTCTTTGTCTCAGGTTATTCAAAACATCCTCTCCTATAGTAAAAAGTATGCATATTCAAATTGCGAGAGCCCTAGCTGTCAGAGTGTGGCCCATCATTTTCGTGCTAAAATTATTTCCCTTTAATAACCGTATTTTTTTTACCAGAATGTGGTAATAAGAATGGTACCTGTTTGACATCGGGTAGTATGATCCTTGAACGTTATCAGTTGCACGAGGTATATGCATTACGCACCATTTTATTTTTTATGAGTTATCTTTTCCATAGATTTCTCATGCCTAATTTATTTTTATTTTTAGGAGAATTTCTACCTGAACATTTATTATATGGTTGCTCTACTCGTAGCCTTCAGGCTAATTTCTTTTTCATTGCTATATATTCGAGCAAGAAAAAAGGATTGAATGTTGCATCTATAAACTTGAAATTTGCGATCTGTTCAGTAACAGAATGACGATAGTCACAATTTCCATAATAGCTTGGCAGTTGAATGTATCTTGTTAATGGCCTGATTTATTGACCTATTCGTCAGGACGTGGGCAAACATACTTCGTCAGACATGTATGTACCAACGTCACTTTCACAGCTCAAGAATTTTGGATTTAAGACGAGTCACGAGTGTCATGCTGAATCCGCCCTGCCTAATATCCACGTCACGTGTTTAACATGAATTCAGCATGCCATAAACAATTAGCGCGCTTTTCGTTCACATGATTAAGTCGATCCAATTGGTGAATGAGACCAACCTTTAGGATGAAACAAATTGGATGAAACGTGGATGAAAAAAATTTTATTCAACTTTCCCTCTTCCACATAGTGTCTTTAGCGGCGCCAACGAGAGCGCGTGATGATTCAGAAGGGATCGCGGGCTTTGGTTACGAAATTGCGCTAGTTGCCTGGTATTCAAGGGCTCATATCAGGAATCCAAATAAATTGTAGGTAAGGCCTGCTTCAGACGTCCAACTTTTTATGCGCCGAATCGAGTGCAAGTGAACTTAAACAAAGACTTTAGCGCATTAACTGATTAGGTTCGGCACATGAAAAGTTACGAGTCCAACAGGCCTGCAACCCTCAAAACACAAAACAAAATCATTTACATGATTTTAAGGTCAAAACCCATACTGAGTTTATTTTGTTTTGGCTGTGTTTTACAAAAAATTTATCCCATTCTTCTAACAATATTAACTGGTACTTGAACAATTTTCAAGCTGCTAATCAAGTATTCAAGTAATATTTAAATTCTTACATATAGTTTATGGTATTACTTAAGCATTCCACGAAACATTTTGCCAACTTTTTTGCTGGAATATACAACAGATTTTAACATCCCTGCTGTAATAATTCCTTTCAAACTTTGTGATATGCTTGAATATCTCACAATTGATCTTGCCCCCCTTAGTGCTAATTCTGAAGTCTTTTTATTATTGTGAGCCAAGCTGTACAAAATTGCATCTTGCATTTCATTGGATGGACTTTTCAATGGATGTAGTCTGAGCCCTGGCATCTGCCATTTTATGATTTGTCCCTTCAGGTTCTTAGGAAGTGATTGCAGGAGCTCAAAACGTTTCTCAGCATCACAATTCTGATGTATAAAGTTATTACAAATATTAATATCATATTCATTTAATAATGGATAATATAGTTTTCTAAAATGCTCTATGTTAGGTTTAACAATATTAGAGACTTTGTTTTTGTTTTCACCAATAACCATTCGAAAATCCCCTCCATAGGATAAGTTTGTGATTTGCATGAAAAGTTCTTCATCTAAGAAACGGTCTGGAAGACAAAGAAGTGAAGTTCGTATAGCATGGTGTAAGTTTTTGTTCAAGGCACATTGTATATCGGTGGGACAAACACTCAAGAATTTCACTGGTTTATGAAGCCGTCCACTAACATAGAGAGATGTCCAGTCCACAAGATCTTCTATCAAATATTGCTTGCTTATGACTCCATACTTTACGAGTCGTCCATTCCAAGGAACTAAAGTATTAAAATATATGTTCGCACTGAAATCGTTTTGAAAGCAATTGATCATTCGAAGCCCAAAAACACGTGCAAATATCGAGTAATGACTTTTGTTAAGTCGGAGGTTTGATTTGTGCCACTTAAAAGAATCCTCGACAACGAAAACGACATCCAACATATTGTCTTTTGTATTGGCATTATCGTTTTGAGTAAATACGCCAGAGCCATAAGCAAAAGCCAGACCCACTTCGGGAAAATCAAAAAGAAGCTGTTCGACCACCATCTTGAATTGTCGCCCGCGATTTGTAAGGAAAGTGGTTGTGAATTTAGTTTCCATAGCAACAAGAGACAAAGAAGACAAAGTGGAATAGAATAACCACAAAAGTCAAAAACACCGGTTTATTTTCCTCCAATTTATCATGTCGTTTTTTAATCTAACTCAGCTTGGTGCGGATGATGCAGTAAAATCTTCCGTGGCCGTTAATTCGGTGCCACGCAGTACTGGACCTAGCAATGAGAGACCGTCTGCTTGTTCTGCTGTTTCATCCAGGTTTGGTGAGACAATGCTGCCAAATTCTGAAGCGAATGGCTCACATGAAAAATACACGACAATGTTACAAAAGCATCAACGATCTCCAAATGGTAGGAACTGTATAACTGCTACTGACACATAATGTCTGCCCTCTTAATCATGTCTTTCTGTCTTGCATTTTAGTCAGTAAGTGTTGATGCATGTATACCATGCAACGTAACTCACTAGACTGTGGAAGTGGAGTAAAATGAATATGATTTATTCATGCATCTCTGCGTACAAATCACCTTCTGAATTGCAGTAATTCAGACTATAATGGCTATAATTAAATAAATCAATCTATGACCTCAATTTCACTTCAGGGCCAAATGACATTTATAACAAACCAGTAACAACAAATATGAAATATGGATGGTGGATGAAGGATGGAGTTGAAAAAGAATCATGGACTAAAACAGAAAGACATTCATGTGTGCACAGTGAAATGACAAGGTAATGAGTTTAACAAAGAATGGAAATATATAAAGTTTAATTTCTCATGTAGTGTTTGCATGCATGGGTATTACCATTTCAACTAGGGACCACAAGTGGGGTTTTTATGATGCTAAAATGTTTGAATACTTTTTCAGATTTGTTGATGAGATGACTCTAACAAACAGAGAATTTACACTATTTTAAACATTGACACAATTATATTAAGTTTACTTGTCAAGGTCAGGTGGACTTGATAAATGCTAATTATATGATGATTGGGTGTGGTTGTAAACTGCTCTGTATAGTATATATAGCTTAGTTGAAATTTGATAAAGAAACTAAATTATTTCAAAATAACCACATTAATTGAAACTAAATATCTGGGTTAGTAATGGCATACCTTTTCACTTTTAAACTTTTAGATCTTCACTTTCATATTTTAACATTCTTTTTTTACATTTCTTTCATTTCTTATTTTACTTTATTTACGGAACATGAGCCTCATGCCGGACAGGTACTTATGTGCATAGCAAAATGAAATTATGGAGGAATACTTTAGAATCCATAAGTCACAAGTGATGAACCTCATACAGCCTGGCGACCAGAGTAAACTATTTAAACAAACACCGCAGAAATTGGTGTTTTATATGACGTTTCAACCCGAAAATCTGATCACTGGTTCACAATTGTGAAATTCTTTATTGCTATCCAGGAGAAAACTATTGAATAACTTTAATATTAAAAATTTCAATTTTTCTTGTGAATACGCATTCTTTAATCTCTTGACAGCTCCTCACTCATACACATTTTGAGGCTTAAACAAGGTTATTAATTCAGATGATTCAATTTTTGCCTGTGCAAAGTATTTAGAAATATTTTTTCTCACCAAGTTTGAAGCCTAAGTATTGAGAATTGCAGCCGAATCTTTTTAAATTTTACCAATTTCCGCGGTGTCATTTAAAATGAATTCACCTTTTGTATAACTCAGTTACAGTGTATATAACATACATATTGTATTGATACTTTTACAGAGATCTGTATGCATCTTTTTCTGACATTAAACGTTTTTCCAGTTATATGCATGTTTGCTGAAAAATATTAAATAGATCAATAACCAATTATATAATAACAGCGCAGACGGAAACGGATATCTTACTTTCATTTGTCGATATATCTGAAAACCAATTCCGGAAAAAATCTCGAGTAAGTTAGGTTATATTTGTCGACATTTCCAAGAGGCTATTTCCGTAGACTTTGTCACATTGGTTGAAGTTCGTTTTCTCTTGCGTTTACCGGTTGTGCGAGTATATAGCAAATAAATAAGGTAAGTCATCTATATATTTTGTGATTTAGGTGTTGATGATTTCAACTATAGTCACATTTTAAGCCATTCTTTGCAATTAGACTTTGTCTTGTCCAGAGACATATTAATTAAGATATCAGAGGTAATGAGAGATCCGTGCTAGATGACTTTGGTATATGGCTCGTTTGCATCATAAAATATTTTAGGTTTTGGTCTGTAAAATATATGCTGTAACCGAATTAGCGTATGATCCTGATGATGATTAATAGATGATTAATAATTCTACCAAGTTTGTGTCGTTCACGAGTTTCGATATTTCAACTTTTATAGTCATGTCCATGCAAGAAATCATTGCCGGTTTTGAAGGTATGAGGACGTCAGTTTACTCCGACACACGGGGAATTAAAACCATTGGTGTGGGTTTTAACTTGGAGCAGCAGAACGCTCGTGAAATCTTTCAGAGACATCTACCTGGAGTCTCTTTTGATGACGTTTTTTCTGGAAAGAAAAGCTTAACAAAAGCTCAGGCTATGCAGCTTTTCCAGGAAACGTTGAACGACAAAATTCAAACAACAAAACGCCTTTTTCCAAGTTATGATAAATATCCCCCTGATGTTCAAATAGCTTTGGTGAACGGGGTTTTTCGGGGGGAGTTCAAATCCTCCCAGAAAACTGTCAAGTATATAAACAACGGGGAGTGGAGCAAGGTTGCTGACGAGTATCTTGATCGTGCTGACTATCGAGCGTCTCAACCTGGGAAGAATGGTGGCATAAAGAAAAGGATGGATTATAATGCCGATATATTTCGTCGTTACGCCGAAAAATTGAAGAAGTAACTAACAGAACTGCAGTATTATTAATGGTTAAAAGTTTAGCTTAATATAGAACTGCAATTCTTCATATCAGTAATTTTAGATAAGTTAGGTAGTCAATACGTAGATTGAAATCATGAATCGAAATGGAAAAATATGAATTAAATAAAAAAACGTTTTCAACATTTGTTTCGTATTAACGTTGGTAAAAATAAAAAGTCCGGAAACAATTACACGTAGTTATAGTATTACCCAATGTTATGCAGCGTAACTTCATACGCGTAACTTCATACGCAGGGGTTTAACCTTTACCTGCAAAGAGTCGCTCGACGGACTCGACCAGGCGCTAACCAGGGAATGCCCCCTTTATTATTGGCCAAGCTCCCAAATGAATGTCTTGAAGATAACGCCAAATCAGAGTGAAGTTGAACGGGCCTGAACCGAACGAAATATTATAAGTTTGATTATGGAATAAGTGCGGATTGAATTGTGTACAAAAATTCAGCTAAAACTATTTTATAAATATTATATTATGGTATATGTACACTTCATAAAAGCAAGTACATTTTGTTACATTTAAAATAATATTTTTAAATATACAATGTTTTTGTCTTACACATTGTGCACGGCCCTGGAGCTCACAAACTGCAAAATTACAGAATTAAAAATTAACGATTTAAAGTTTTCTGAACCTGGTTTTCGATCTCCAAGCATAAGTTGTCCCGAAAAGACCACTCACTATTCATTAGTTCAGATAGTTTTTGTTTTAGAACGTTGTGTGATATTTACAAACTGATACACCTAAATTACTTGAAACTTTAAATATACATAGAATCATAGTCAAGCATTGAGGACTCTTTAAATCCGAATAGATGATCTCGCCTTGTCGAGAATTTCTTTCCTTATTCTTGGGTATTTGGGATGTTGAGATAAAACCTGGAAGGAATATACAAGGTTTTTATGCTTGGGTTATGAGGAGTATTTTAATAATTGTTTAAGACTAAATTAAGACAAATGGAATATATATAGTCACAAGTTGATCACAGACATGCATGTGATTGAACTACTTGTACAGCTGCTTACTTTATGGCAAACATCGATCGCATCCACAAAACGTTTCGCTTTCAAATAATTAAACGCTAATTTGTAACCTGCAATGATAAATGTAGAACCATACGATAATTATGCATTCCACTATACACGATCCCAAGTATGTAGTATGTTCAAGTGCGTATATAGTAAATGTCAAAAGGTGCTTTCAATACGTGGTCACGAATCCTACCAATTCCAGGATTATTTTGATTCCCAAATTTCCAAGCGTTTTCATAATTTTTTGCAGCATCTTGATATGCTTGCTCTTTCTCCATGATAAATCCCAAATATTCCCAGGCTTTACAACATGACTAGGAATACAAACATCCAACAAATAACGCATATTCATGCCATAAATCCCCCATGCATTTCAAGTTATACAAAGCCTACGCCAAAAAAAACTGGACCTTGCAAAAAACGAACGTTTTTGTACCTTATTATGATCCAAGCATTTCCTTAACAGTTCACTGGCCATATCGTACTTTCCATTCTGAATAAAAAGGAATTAAACTGTAAAGCTATACTTCGTTCATATAGAAACATTTCGTGCATGGGACTGCATTGAGCCGTGCATCTCTATAAGGCAGTAATATATACCAGAGAGGGAGGTATATAGACTGATATGCATCACAACTATATACCTGAATATAAATATCAGCCAAAAGTAACCAACTTCTTTCAAACTCATCTGCCTCCTAAATGCCGGAACAAGATGAAAAATTGAAAAATTGAGTGTAGCCTATAGTCCCCTAGTGGAAGACAGTAACGTGTTGACTTATAGCATAGGCTAAGAAGTCCACAATGTATGGAATGCATTCAATATGGATATATTTCTAAGTACGAGCGTGGTTGACTGTGAAATGTCGCCTACCTCCACTGTCCAATTCATTTTAGAAATACGTTTAAGTTGATTTCGAGCTCGTGGTGTTTGTTTGAGATACATATAAGCCGTGGCCATGCCCAGCAGTGAAGGAAGGTGGTCACGCTAAATAGTAAGATAGATTTATTTGGAATACTATAGTAAACCTCTTATCACATTTTACCGCTAAATATTTTATCGTATGTATACTAAACATTTCTTTACTATATCTACATGGTATAGTTACAATATTCAAGCTGGTACGAAAAGCAAAAGACTAATTAGTAGTGTAGCTCGATCTTGATTATATGCAGTATCCACAGGAACAGTAAACAATAACACTAAATGTTTGGAAATGCTCTTTTAAAAAGTCTTTCCTCGAGCAATATACCAAGCTCGTTAAGCATCGTATTCACGAATGACAGTTGTAGCAACTTGGAAATGGCAGTAAAAGAGCACACAAGCTTACCTCATCAGTGGCTATTGTCATGAACTGCGACAGAGATTTCTCTATGTTTGATTTATTTTTACTCGCCATTAATGCATAATTCTCAAGAATACGATGTTTCAATCCGTTTGTTTTTGGCTTTAATTCCTTAAAACAGTTAAACAGTGTAAACATATAACTGTGACAGATATAAAAAACAGCAATATTTAAGTTCTCCAGCGATGAAAACTTATCATCATGCTTGTTCTCTATCTATATTGTGGTACACGATATAGCTGAGTATAATTATATTTTAGGTATTAACGTAGTTTTACCTTCAACAGTTTTTCAGCAGTTTTAACCGCTGCAAGACGAGAGTCCGTTTTTTCTGCTTGGTTTCTAGAGAAGAGAGTAGTTGTATCTCCATATAGATTCAAGATGTCATTGTCCATTTTTATAACATTCACTTGCCATACTCTGATTACACATGACGCTTACAGTAAATACATAGAAAGTTAAATATTCACATATATGTTCAAATACGGCACAAACAAATGGAACAATCACTTTCAAAATCGATAATTGATTTGCAAAATTAAGATAGCCTTGAAGTCTTACCCTTGGTCAGTATCCATTCCATCAAATGTTTCTCCACCTAAGAAGCATTAGAATATGAAAATTTATGATGGAAAAATTTCTTCTTAATTTAACGTGCAGTCTACGAAGACATGCAGGACTGTGGGTATATATAATTCTGTAGTGAGGTTTCTCAGGCCGGGCGACGCAAGTGCGTTGTACACATTACACTGTACTGATTAGTCTTGTTCTGATGAGATGAAAAACTCACCAAGTGTTTCGTTATCCGGGTTGAGACAAATTTCAATCATATTAAAGGTAGCTTTCTCACCCCTGTGTAAAGAATACGTACATTATTAGAAGTAGCTTTCTCCCTTTTATGTAAAGAATATGTACACTGTGCATGAACATTTATACCATTTACCAAATGGCACATAATCAATCTATAGGCGGCCTATATTTTCATTATGAAGAAGTAGACATGCAAGTTCATTGAAAAATACACAAACCATTCTGCGTCCTTTCTGGCCAAGTTGAAAAATTTCAATGCTTGAGTTGGATTATTTTTATACCTGGGAGAAAATGTTAGCATGTTCAAATGATGTAATATTGCATACTAATTCATGTCCCGCGTTATTTACCATTCATTCATTCCCTTGCAATAATTCAATCCGGCATCCCTGCCCGTATGAGGAGATGACTCTGCCTAGGAAAAAATTAAGACGCTTTTATATCCGTAATTTATCGGTCTTTATTAGACCTTACCGCTATATACCAAAAGGTGCAGTATATAGTGTATGTACGCGTTAACTGGACTACCGTATCACCACTGATCTGTATATGTAACTGAAATGCTTGACTAAAATTTAGTTCACTGCAAATTTAATTATTGAGATTCCTAAAGGTCACTACTTACTTGTTGTATAAATTTGTCACATTCTTCAAGCTTTCCTGCTCGTCGTAACAGATCAAGAAGTCGTCCTAAAGCTTCGTATTGGTCTAAAAATATTATCAGTTGTCCAGAATATAATTTGAAAAGAGAACGTGAAGGGTACATGCCTAGAGGCATGTGAACACGGTGTCCCCCCATTTTCTGAATGACTCTGCAGCCCTTGTATAAAATCCTTTTAATTTGAAGAACATATATTTAATGGCATTTTCCAGTCTTGCTATACCTGGCTTTCGTTCTAATAGTTGTTGAAAGTTAAACATGGCTGAATCATAATCATTCTTTCGAAACATTAACTCGGCCATCATCTGCAGGAGAATAAAACATGCAATCGAATAAATGTGTAGATATTCTTCTACTATGAATTTTTAAATTCCAATGCATCGTCATGCAGCTTGCCACTAATTATACTTGTGAATAATATTAGCCACACTTGTGTTATTGTATATAATATGATCGTGGTCCATGCATCTGCATTGCAGAAATACTGTATATTAGTACAACATGGGACAAATTTATACCATAAATGCGGAGTCGTTGTCTTTATCCATTTCCAACAATTGCGAGCACTGCTGCTGACAAGCATCCAAGTCATCCACTAACAAATGTAGCTTTGCTAGAGCCAACATTGCCTGGGTTTAGGAAATACGAAATTAGAAAAATCACAGATGTTCATATAATGAAAGGTCGATATAAAACGGAAGGTGTAATAATAAATAAGACGTTTAGAATGAACACCATTGCCCATTTTCGAAATGAAAAGGACCGTACATTCAAGATAAAACGTAAGCACCTTTACATGTGAGCTTTCGTGCGATAAAGCTTCCTTATAAGATCTGATGGCTTGCTCATATTCGCGTTTGTTTGTCGCTACCTCTGCTAGATCACAACAGATCCTGAAAAAAATATGATAATAATGCTAAGTATATATAAAGTAATCACAGCGTGTTCTAAAAATCATAACGATGGTCGATGTGTTACGTTATAGTAGCTGAATAACTGCCGTTATGATTATGTCCTTTTCAAGCTAACAGTTTTACTCACTTTGCCGCCTGTACTTTCTGCACTGATACTTGGTCAGGTTGCTCAAGTCCAACTCTCTTTAAAACGCTACAAAGAAAAACACCACAACTGAGAACTTACTTAAATAACATAGCTACAAATTTGGAAGAAACGTATTTCAAGTATTATTCGGTACTGCAGTGAAAGCTAAATTTTTCTAACAATTAATCTACTTCATTTTACCTTCTTTGCACATCTCTTGCGCTGAATAGTATTTTGGAATATTCTTCTGTATTATTCGCCTTTTGGTGTACTTTGGCAAGCAAAACAAAAAGTCTACTTTTCTCCATTAATGAAGCAATATCTTTTCCTAAAACACGTTAAAAAGTCTGTGTATTCAGAGATTCCAAAAATAATTACAAGATGCATGGGATGATATACTAAGCCAGCATCCTCTCTTTTTGAATGAAACATTACCCGCGGTATAGGGGTGCACATTAAACTTCATTAAATTAAATAACCTCCTACTATTTTACGGTATATCTTACCTTTTTGCTGTTCCAAAGCAGTGCCGATTATTTTCTCTGCTTTTTCGTAGTTCCTCAATTTCATGTAGAGTTCAGCAAGATCATATCTATAGTTACGGTTAAACATACTTGAATAATCACGCTAAATCTAGACAGAATGGGAAAAAATACCAACCTAAGGAATCCTTGAGTTCCTGACTTCAATGCTGCTTCGTAATAGTTTATAGCCTAAGAGAATACCAATATTGAAGCAATTTTTTTCACACGCAAAGAATGTAAACAGTATGCTTTTATACCATTGACTGGGATCATATATTAAAGTACCTTATTATAATTGTGTGTTTTTATTAATGCCTGGCCAATCTTGCTTGCTAATGTACTATCCCGAGGATTTCGCTTTAATGCAGCTTCGTAAACTTCAATGGCTTGTTCAGGCTAAGATTAAAACTATCGTTAATGGCACGCATAAGTTGACAACAAAGAATACAGGACAAGAGATAAAACATCGTAAAGGTTATGTGGATTAACCTCCCCGGCTAGCTTATATATAGAGTAAAACTGCACAGACAACATCACCAAAAAGTTATATGTACGACGTTGCATTCGTGTATCGTTAAGGTGGTCATGCCACTTGGTCGAAGCAAATTAATCAATATACTGCACCTCTTGGATGCTCATGTATGCATCTCCCAACAACAGGCTTGTTTGTGGACTTGGATTTTTTTCATGCAACTCTCTGAAAGATGGACAAAAGAGTAACAAAAGAGCAACAAAAGAGTAACAAAAGCTAACTAGTAACAAAGTACATATAGATTATAACGAAAACTTTCTGCTGGGATTGATTGACAATCTTACTTACCTATAGCAGCTTGCATAAAGTCTTTTATCTTTTCGATGGTTAAGATATATATCTGCCATTTTCTCTCTAGCTTGAATATAGTAGCTGCAATAAAATTAGTTAGGTGATTGTTAGTATATACCTTTCTTTAGTCATCATTAACGAAGAAATAAACACATTTCGTAAAAACAACATTAAAAAGTGATGCAAAATGAATTCACCTTTGTTCCGGAGTAACGGATCTGAGTATTGTCAAGGCTTCCTTATGATCACCTCGTTTCAGGAATAAATCAGCATTTGCAATGCTTATTCTAACATAGAAAATTTAATATCGTATGGTGTTGTTTATTATGGTGCTACAAGGGCCACATGTACATAACTCATAAGTGTGTACCTATGTTTCCCTCTTTTGTTCCAGCCGGAACTCTCCATGCAGCTCCATTAAAGAGAGAGACGGGGCCATTAAATTATCGAGTTTATGACATACCTCACTTCTTCTGCAGTTCCAGAAAATTCATTCATAGCGTCCTGCATTATCTTAGCAGCCTCGTGCTATAATCAATTTAATTCGTTTAGAACAAATTGTGGATGTCTGGGCAATGATGACATACATAATAGACTGACAGCCAAATCTTGTTTTGGTAGGCGTATTATAGTAAAACAATACATCCATGTGTTTTTTTATTGAATTTCAACTCTCTAGGCATGTGGGTTATACCCAAGATGATACTTGTAACATGATATCATATGTACTGACGCATTCTATACTGCACTTACTGCGTGATTTAATTGTGAATGTGCAGACGCTAGTTCCAGATATACTGACACGCGGTCACTTTGAGTGAGACCGCTGCCGCTTTTTCCACTTTGGCCAGCTGGAACTGAGATATAAATACATGCATTATAGTTAAAAACATTCGGATAAAACTACAGAAGGAAGAACGCATAGAAAAATATAATATGAATTGTCAATTAATTACAACGTACTTGCTTTCTTAACACCAGGCAAGGCCATTGCTGTATTTAGCGTCTTGATACATTCTTCGTGGTTTCCAAGACTCTTATGAACGCAAGCTTTGATCAAATGATACTGAGGGGAATCTCGGACCTTGAAAACATCAAAAAATAAATTCAGCATTATAGCCTACTACCAGAGTTTTATAACCGTGGAGAAACAACCTCAGTTACCACGCGGAAGTGTTCTAGCTCTGATATACTTTAGCCCAAGCGTGTGCTAGGATTTCTTCTATTTTTTGGCAGTCGCGATAAACTGGATTGTTTTCACTGTATACCTGCTGTGTCTAATTGATCGTACAACCAACCTGAAAGTTATAACTCAATCCAACTTCCAGAGATTGATCTGCCATTCTGTAATTTCCATCTTTAAGATGAATCTAAGTTTAATGATACGTTTTCAGGTTCATCATATAGTGCTGTACGTATAACAAACTCAAACTCATAGAGAATATGCTAGTATAAATTACCTGAGCCATCAATAGATGTCCCTCAGAGAATCTGTCGTGTTTTTCAAGACAGTGATTCAGCATTGTTTTAGCCGTCTCAATATCACCTAAAAACATGAGAACTCATGTTTTAACTAACTAAGAGCAAGTGAATCCTCTAAAAACTGATGCTGAAGTGTTAAAATTATAATTCGAGCACCTTTATTTTATTGTTTACCATACCTGATAAATATCGTACTTTTGCCATCAGATAAAGTCCTTGTAGAACACCAGGCGTGGCTTTTGTTAGCGGATCCAGCACTGCAGCACAACGTTTCAAAATTGGAGACACTGGTTGACCACTACTTTGAGGCTGAAAAAACATTATTTTATTATTTTATTCTGAAACTGAGGGGCGCAACAAAATGTACGTTACATGCAAAAGTGTTTCCATCACAGGCCTACAGCAGAAAGAACTTTCGATCATTTCGCATGTATACGATCATTTTGCATATACCACAAGCAACAATCAACAGCTTCTGGGTGTCTTAGAACTGCATGTAATATTGAATAAAATAACACCACAAATTAAGTATAAGCGCGACAACCAATAGATTCATAAAGATCATGTATACATTATATTATACATTTTTACCTCGTTTGGAGCGAATATGAGATATTCCTCAATGACTTGCAATAAGAATTCAGGATTCAACTTCAAAAAGTACTCGAACCCCAGAGGAATTCCCTAAACGTGGTAATACGAGATTTAGGATTAATCGTGATGATCCAGTTTTTAATTGACAGTTCCACATTTTATATAGCAAACCTGCAACTCTTTAAAATGACTGTCAGTGCATTCATTTAGTAAAGCAACGACTTTTTCAAATCTCCTCTCTTTCTTTCGGGCTAAGACAGCTTCCAGGTACGACAACTCCTGTAAAACGATCAAATGCATGGTTGTCATATCATAATGAAATTACTCACCAATCATGCAGGAATCTCAACTATTACATACGGTAGTAAACTGGCGAAAATAGCAAGAAAACTAAAAGTGTTAAAGTATGCGAGGAGATATGGGACGGTAATTTTCAACTTAGAGAGCGAGCTTGTATAGTAGTCTAGTAATCAGAATGTTTTTGTTCGCGCTTCAGAAGAGTTCACAAGCAGATGAGGGATAGGATAAATGTTTTCTCTATATTTTGCAATACAGCATGCTGATAAAGGCTTTCACAATAGCTTCGTACCGCTGACTTTCCAATTGACTGTTGAATTTCACTCAAAAACTCCAATTGCTGTTCAGCATCATCAACCATATTCTCCAGAAGTTGACAATTTATAATACCTGGTATATAGTACATATAGAGTTGGTAAAAATGTTTCTCAATACAGTGAGGGGACTCGACTGTTTTTGAACATCTAATATTGTTAAATACTACTTGAAATGTGTACCGACCAATAGTATTACACTTAGCATACTGTATAATAACCTCATACAACAAAGTAACACAAAAACTACCGGTCAGGGCTGGGACACTTGTTTCATCCAGTTTCATGGCGGTTCGATACGTTTTCATAGCATCACGAACTTTCTTTTGCATTATTAGTTGATTACCAAGCTGGAAACGATTATTAATTGACGTCAGGAATAGCAATAAATCATAGGAAACGTATATGTTAAAAATCTCTCGCGCCACAATCTTTTGCTTTTGAATGGGGATGAGGGATTAATCCCCAGAGAATGGGGATTAATCTCAGGACAGTGAGTCATACTCAGTAAGAGGGGAAGAGCTTTCGACCAAATGTTTAGGGTCCATAGTAACTAGTATATTAGCTATACAACACAGTTCAAAAACTTACTTCCACAGCATACTCAGCAGTTGACTCACTAAGAGTTTGTGCTCTAACAATCAGTTCAAATGTTTGCTGAAGAACTAAAGGATTACGTCCACACTACAAGAACAAACTTTGCATTTATTACGATGAATTTTGCTTATAAAGTTCTATGAACAGGGAGCATGCGCGCAGACGTGAATTCACGGAAACACGATGCGTCCGAACGCAGGCTATCACCAGGACGACCAATTATAGCCATGACGGAATTGATTAAACGAGAAGTTCATTGCTCTTAAACGTTCTACCGGTATACATACGAAACAAGAAAGACAAGTTTTTCAAGTTTTCACAACATAGCTAATGACTCACCACGCGACTAAACAGCTTTCCAGCTTCGTAATATAAGTAATGACTCTTAGGTTCATATCTATCATAAAACTGAATTAATTCTCCAATTCCTTCAGCTGCCTCATCATATTTTCCGTCGCGACATAAATGAGATATTATCTTCATCTTGTGAACGTCAAGAGAATATCGATTCAGTTTTAAACACCTAAAAAAATCATGTAGGAATAGATGCGAAAATATTTAGGTTCGGAGTTATTATAGTAATGTGTACTTCTTGGAGCCATTTCACCTAATAAAACTGCACGAAAGTAGTTATTCTGGGGTTTTTAAAAGGCTTATACTGCCAAGCACTGTACGGTACATATCACTGAGAAAGCCTGCTTACATATGCATTCAAATCTACAACAGCAGCAAATGTCAAATTATACGTGTAAATGGCTCTTTCATAAAATACCAGTCTGTCGATCGAAATAATTAAAATACAGTACCTTTGAGCAACGTCCATTGTCTGTTCCCAATCTTGTAAAGCAAGTTGAATTTTCATTTTTTCCACCAGTGCAGGTTCAAACTCAGGGTACGATACAACCACCTTTAAGAATAGGACGATATAGTCACTTTACAAGCTAGCTCAACTTCAATTCCTCTGTAACAAGCCCGATCGTTACTTACCTTATTGATAAACTCTAAGGCAGATGTGAAATTGTTTTTCCTCACAAGGTAAGCCGCCTGGGAAAAACACAAAAATGAAAGTTTTCTCAGTTGATGAAAGTTACTTGCATTCCTACTTATAATCTTCTATCATTGATTTATTACTTTGATATTGAAGTAAAATGAATTGCATTAAATTAAACCACGATTGTGAAGTCATTAATCAATTCGACCATTCGAACTTGACCATACCTTTCCCAAAAGGGCATCAATATTCTGTGAAGTTTCTGGTCTACAAACAAAAAATTCTGTGAATCACCTAATTATGAATAATTATTCATTTTAGAAGTTTTTTGTTATCTTTTCGGTCGTGAAAAGTCTCTTTTGTTCCCTCAACAGAGAGGGGTGCCAGTCTAAGTTTTCCCCACGAAATAGGCGTGGTTCATTATCATAGTTGGGTGTTTTCATTTATCAACGAGTATCTTTTTTTACCGACAACTCCGAATATAACCGAGGTTACACCCTAGGTTACCTACCCTTGTAAAGCCTCATCAAAAAATTTGACGGATTTTTTGAGAGCAGAGTCTTTTCCACTTGTAAGATCTATCCAACCACGAAGGATCGCTCCCTAAAGTTTAACAATATTTTCAGTTTCCCACGCACTACGCTTACACATGTTTAGTAAACACAGTCATCAAGTCAACAGAGTAAAACTAACATCTTACACCATGCATGTGGACCGATGCGGTGACGTAACTAGAACGGTAATTGAGTGTGAATATTCATGCACCCAGTTCTGCCCGACGGATTTCTTTTGTAAGTGCAATAGCTTAAAATTGAAATCCGTCGGGCAGAACTGATGTGAATAACCCCCCCCCCCCCCCAATTACCTTTCTGTAGTTACGCCCCTGCATGAGTAAAAAAACTGATGCCTTTCATATTCAAATTTGCCCCCAACTAAACTAAAGACTGGCCTAATTTGGCAATTCCTTTGTGAAGTTAGGACATGCAGAACGTAGTTAATTATGCGAAGGCGTCTGAACATTTCGCATCGCTGCGTTAGCCCGCCGCACACGAGAACTATTGTTTATTAGCTGATCAGCTAAACACTGTCAACTCAGCAAGTTTTCGCCTCGAGAGGCAAGTTTTTCTCGTGTGCGGATTGTTTTCGGGCTGAGCTAACTGCCTCTCGAGGTTTAATGTATTGAAATCGTCGAGTTGCAAATTTCTACAGCTTTATTATCTCTGGCACGATTAGGATTTATCTCGGGACAAAAGAGGGCAAGATTTATGTTTTAGATTAATTAATGATTCTCTAAAGTAAGTTACGCAACTTCTGTCAAAAATTTGAATATGAAAGGCTTCATTTTTTGACACACCCTGGTCCCTGTACAGCAAGCGGGATTATTTCTCGGAGGAGCGATAGAAACTGATAACGGATTAGAATTAAACAAAGACAATTATTTGAGATGTTTTCTACGTTAGAAACGGGCGTAACGAACCTCTTTGGAACCGTTCGACATTTTCAACATCCTATCCACATATTCTCTGGCTTTATCATGACGTCCAGTGTGCCATAAAAACATTCCAGCAAAATAGAGAGCATTTTCACCACAACTGGTACGAGTTTGTTTTAATTTTGCTTCAAGTTCCTGAACACTCTCCTTATCTATCATCTTCGCTTTTTTGTGAGCGTATATCAACGCCATCAAACAACACAAGACTACTTCTTGTCGCTCTTGGATAGATTCAAATTCACGAATTGCCTCGGAAACACGGTCTTAAAGAGAAGAAGACGTGATATAAAATCAAGCAGACCACAGAATAGATGTTTTTGACGCGTTCTCTTGGATTGGAGGGTGATTTAAGGCAGTTGTGTATGCAATTAATATAATGTCAAAGGGTAAGTTTTGAATTTCTTTTTTTAAATTATGCTGTAAGGTCATGGCAGCGTTTGCCAATAATTTCTAATCTAATGTGACATATTACAAATTTCTAAAATAGACAAAACACTTCTTCAAGTTTGAGTGAATGGGTTCAAAACACTACACTGAATACTCATAAAGATATTACACTATTATCCTTATGGGGGTGAGACCTAGCTGGTGGGTACTCAGCAGAGAGTTTATATATATAGATATTACTTTATCATGAAATTCAATGATATTGGTCAAAATTAGACAAAACAATTACTGCACAAAATCTGCGTTCTGCGAAAAAAGTTCTCACAGTTTCTATTAACTGTGGCAATATATACCTCACAGAAATGTGTGTGAAGAATTAGCAACCATATCAATGGTGTCTTATAACCACAAAAATAAAACTATCATTCAACCGTACAGCAATGCTTACATATACACTTCTATAGTAATTAAAAAGTTGAATAATATCTAAATATTTCTTTCTACATTTAGGTAGTCATGCCATGTAGACTAAAGTCATATAGAAGCAACCTGGTGAAGCACACCTGTCAGGCACAATAATGACAGGCTGTTCCTCTTGAATTAGTTCCACCTTGACTGAGGCAATAAATTATTTATATGCCAGCACAGCATTTGGTGTAAAACAGACATGGTAGCCATTCTGTCCCTGTGGGTCATTGCATATATACGGTGCAGTTGTACAGCAAGAATGCCTACCTCACCTGAACTGACAGCTCAATTATATATATGGGAATTTATCCTTGCAAAATATACAAACCTTCCATTAAAATTCCAAATGCTTTCCAAAACATTAAAACAGGGTCCCCACCATGCTTTTGTAATCCTTCAAGGCATACATTTTGTAAATGTCGATAGAATTTGGCTTGGCAATAATAGTTGATGCTACCCTATCGAAACATACAAACATCTCGAAGTTTGGAAAACGTCTTTAAACAACGGCAATGAATAAAAAGGTAATTGTACTAACCAGTATTAAAGTATCCGTAGCAGCCATATTTATACGTTATTTTCTTCGGGAACTGAAAATATATAGAATTTTGAAATAATTTTTAGTGAATGTGATCGTATATTTGGAGTGCACGGCAACCAAATGTCGCGATGTAAACATTTCGTAAGCAGACTGGTAACGAACTATCAAAATGGCGGCTGAATCGTCTCTAGAACAAGAAGCATTGAAAAGACGTGAAAAACTAAAAGCACTGAGAGATAAAAGCGCTTTAGCATCTCAGGTAGTATTTCAAAATACTCTTCATTGTAACTAACTCTATTAGTACCTCTAAAGTCACGTGAAATCAACGATAAGGTCAACAGTCCGACAATTTCCAAACTCCAGTTTTGTATATAATTTTTTTTAATAGAATAAGTAAATTTGCCCAAATTACTTTTCCAGTGATAATAAGCTACTATGTGTACTGTAAATTATGTAGTGAAGTAATGATTTCCTTTTTCCCTGCAGGAGGTTAGTGGTGAAAAAAGAGATGCTGACAATAGTACCGATACTGGGTAATTAATGATAATACACTGTGGTAGCTGTAGACTTTAGTTGCTACGTACGAAAAAGGGTGCATTGGCATATGGTAGTCATGCTTGTTTTTACATGTCAAAGTGATGCTATGTATATACTCAGAAACACTTAATACATAGAGAATGTTATATTAATTAGTTCCTAAGCTTAAATTAAATTGCATTTCTCATTGATAGAACTTTAGCTTGGACTATGCATAAGAATTTTATTTCTTCATCTCCAGTATACATGATTAAAGATACAAATATTAAAGACACACAATGCATTGTGTTCTTCTTTAGACCTCCTGCAAAAATAATAAAATTTAGGAACTATCAACCAAAGGATGAATCTTTAAAAGTTCAGAAGCTTCCAGTTACTAAACCTTTATCAGGTATAATATAATATCATATATATTGATAAAACATTGGGTAAGTTTGGTAGAACTCTTGAGCAGTTGAAAACCATCTACCTCTGGTGTCAGATTAACACAGATCTTCTCCTAACTTATCAGAAACCTCTCTTTGTTTTACATAACAATGCATCATAATACTTTTAATGTAGTTGAGGAAGAAGTGAAAGATCATGTGGAAAAAGCAAAATCTGATGTCGTCAATGAAGTGGTAAGTAATCATGAAGTAATGCCAGTTATTACACACACACATATATATATATATATATATATATATATTAATATATATATATATATATATATATATATATATATATGGCTTATATCTGTCTTTTTTAAAGGACTTGGCTAACCTTGCTCCCAGGAAACCTGACTGGTAAGTACATAAACTGAAGTGCATTCAGGAGAGCAAAGCTTTAAAATGTGTCAGTCCAATTTAGATTGGTTATAGTATATTTGGATTTGGCATAGTGGCATAAACAGTGCCATAAGTTAATTGCCTACATCACTTGATTGTGTGGTTTAATTTCTCAAGTATAGTGAATTTTTTTTGGCTGTAAAAATTATTTCACTGGTCAGAGTATACATGAGCAGTTGACCTCACCTGTTAATTAATGTTAGGATTGCATTACTACTGTACTGTACAGGGGATGGTTGTAGGAAAGCTGGATAGCACATTCTACCAGATAGTGATTTTTTACCTGATATGAGAATATCTGAATACTTCAGGGATTTAAAACGTGATGTTGCAAAGAAATTGGAAAAATTAGAGAGGCGTACACAAAGAGCTATTCTTGAATTAATACGTAAGTACTCTGGAAATTGGACTGTTATTTTTATGGATGCAATTCCTTCTGTGTCTTTGTGGAAAAATGAACCAAAATATGCGTGCGTTTTTTCAGGTTCGCGGCTTCAAGATGATGAAAATCTTGCAGATGTTGTCAATGCTGGTACTCCAGAGCAAGGATTTGATGCTGAGTAATCGCTCTGTCTTTGCCATATTTCAGCTGTGCTGTCCTGTACATATTGTATACTGACATAATGAACAAAAGACCAATGTAAACGCTGAAATTTCCTTACTTCAGGATAAGTATTTAAAGGCAGTTTTCATTATGAAAGCTTTGACCTTGTCATTCGGACTGAGCAGTAACGATGAGGCGTTCGACGAAAAAGCTTATGGTGGAGATGACTTGACATTCAAATTTGATGAAATGGAATTGAAAAGTTTGAGACTCAGAACAGATCATTAGCCTCATGCACAAGATATTTTACACTTAATAAAATTGATAATATTAATATCATTAAATAGCAGTTACAGTTCTTTGCCTCTATACTATAAATCCACGTTGAGAGCAACAGTCTGCAGTTTAAAATGAATTCACACACTCCGATGAATTCCAAACAGCTAATAAACTGTTGCACAACTGTTTAAAAATTTTTCTTCGATTTTTTCCTGGATTTCGTTGACTCGTATTCTTCCGTTAACGATAACTAAATTTCGACGACTTCCTTGAGCGTAAATTGTTTCAGGATATTTATACGGATAATCACCACCAACTTCATGGTTTGCTTTAGAAATTGTTGAGAATCGCGAACACAGTTGTCGTTTCTCTGTACTGGAGGAACTGTAAGAATTTCTTGTCTGTGGCCTTTCTGTTACTGAAAACGTGAACAAAACTTTAGCGTCCAAATGGTTGACCTGTGCTGAGCCAGCTGAGATATATCTATTTATTACGTCACCTCTTTAGCTTTCGCAACTTCCTAATTTGCAAATTAGGGTCTAAGAGGTGTTTATTTATGGTCTAAAACTTGGTAAAAGCTCACCATATGTCGTTTGTCGTGTTGTTGGTCGACTGGCAATATCCACGTATGTTTGTTTCTGCTTGACTGCACCTATTCCTGGTATCATGGATCCGGGCTTCTTTTCATATTTTCGTCTTTCGATATCATTTATTATTCGACCCATTAACACTTCCTTGTACGCATTCCACTTTGTCATCTCCAAATAGCATTCTGTCAAAGTTTCATCACTTGGGTAGATCTTGACACGTTTCTGAATTTTCCTGATGGTTTTGTAATCTGCATGTTTCTTCACAGTTTCAACAGGAATTATGATAATAAAGCAACCTTTACTTATCAGGGTTAAACGTCTTCGGCTTATCGTCTTATCATCATCTGTCCGCAATACTCCTTGAAGACCCTGTTGAACATGATATCAAAAGAACATTAGTTATTTATCACAAATTATGTAGAGTTTCCACCAAATTCCTGCAATGAAACTTATACGGTATATATGCCTTAAATCTCTTGTCCTTTGTTGCGAAGGACAGCTTATAAAGATATAGCTAGTCGTATACATTGTTGTATAGAAACATAGATTACCGCAGATTGCCCCTTCTCTATGACATCAACGCTTAAAAAAACTCCAACACCAACTTTGGTCTCTTCAGGTTCCATCTTAGAATAGTAATTTCGCTCTTGTGAGCTACAAGGATAGGATGCTCGTTTCACGCGCTTTGCAGAGTTTTCCTGTCTTCGAGAGACGTTCCAGCAGTGATCTGACTTTACCAATCTTGGCTCGACAAGCTGTGTTGTAGACGTAGACTGGGGATTAGAAAATGTTCTAGGAATTCTCGACTCATAACCAGTCGTATTGGATACTGCACTAAGTCGTGAGTAGGCGCCCTGTCGTGAATACGACGTGCTATTCGTTTCTGGGAACTCCGTGTGGCAGAGTTTCTTTTGACTACGTCGCAATTTAATCCACTTCTTCCTCTGTGTTAAATCCAATAAACGAAGCACTTGACATCTTCCCTAATGACGATAATAGGAGTAATCATTAAGTTATTTATGCTGTTAATATTGACTACCCTGAAATCTCTTTAAGACAATGCCGTGACGGAGGTTCAAAATTGTTCGTTTGAGCCAGGTGAATGGGGTTTTGTATATACATAATATACGTATAATATATTGAATTTAAAAGATCTCTTGCTCATTAGTGAATGATGATTGTGAAGATTGCTCTTCAACACGTCCGTGCGTACGTGCGTGTCAACTCGTGTATCTTATCCAACCGGGCAACGTACTTTGATAACAGCGTAGAGCATATCTGATTGCAACAGGTTGTTATCAATCACAGAATCGTTTCGATATTCCATAGAACGACTTTCTTCTGCAACTTTTTGAAGAACGTGGTGAGGCCATGTTGAAAACAGTTCGAATTCTCTAAAACCGTATACATTGTAATAAGGGTAAAATATAATATATATTTTTTTGTCAAATATCTGTGTTAGTCTGGGCCAACAATTGTAGGTAACAGGTAACTGCTCCCTGGTTATATTGCAATTGGAGTGTGTCTACTGTAGGCATGCAGATGGCTTTAATTTAAAATGTCATTAATGTTTATCAAGTTGTATAAATTTCGCATTTTTTTAAGCAAACAGACGTCTTTTGCACCTCAAAAACGCAACTCTGATCTCCATTTCTTTTCGTAAAATATTATCAATTCCCATTTCAGTAAAATCCTCTTTCTCCATGTACAAAAATTCGGTTGTTTGAAGGCAAACTATTGTTGCAGAACGTTCAACATTTCTGATTAGAGCAAGTTCCTAGAAATTTTAAAATAACAATAATTACTGATCTTCTCTTTCGCTGAGGACAATCCTAACGAAAACAGTCAATCGGTGTTTTATTTCAGCTTTATTAAGCATAATAGAGAACCATATGTCGACACATGATACAACTAAAAAACGGCAGAGTCTTACCCCGAAAGCATCTCCCTTGCCTAACTGATAGTATTCTGTCGGTTTTGAAAACACTTCACAGTCGTCTACACTCAATGTGTAACTCACGATTCCAGAATATATTATGTAAAATCTTCTGCCAACATGACCTTTCCGTATTATTACACGATGACGTCCAAACCTTTGAGGAAGAAGTGCTTGATTGGTTGGTTGGTTGGTTATGTCTAATTGTCTATATCCTTGATCCAGGCCAATGTTAATTTTGGTGGGTTTAGATCAGTTTTGAAATTAGCGAAGTCACAGGTAATAGATAAACGACTTCGTCGATTTCTCCTTGGGTTTAAGACTTTTTTCTTCGGTTCTTATATTAACGTGAAGCAGTCATTATCATGCAATTTCACTGAATATTCGCTTACCTGTCATATCTTACAACTCTACACATAAGTCGCTGTATTTCTGGTGTATAACGACGAAATTCTTTCAGCTGTTTAAGGATTTGGTTTAGTGAATCTATTTCTTTATCGGTTCTGTCACCAGGTGCTTTACAAGAAATTTCTTTTGCCCATTTTGGAAAGTATCCCTAAGTAATGAAAAAAAGTTTTCAGGTGCATATGAAAAACTGCTTCATGACCTAGCAGAGGATCCTGAGGGGGCAGAACATGCATGATCTGAGATGGAATATGGGATTTGTGAAATTGTGCTGCTGGGAATGGAATTTTTTCTAATTTTTCACTCTTGCAATGTTACTTTCATGAAAACAAGACCGTCGTTATTTTGACAAAGGAAAGAATGCATGATTTTTTTGTACCTGATAATCCGTCTTAAATCTTTCTGGATCAAATAATTTATCTTTATCAGAACGCAACTTTGCATGATCAACTTTGAGTCGTAGACGTGGATCCGATGTAATTTTCTCATGCCCACCTTTTTCCATTGCATATTTCAAAACATGAATAAATACTGATCGAAGGAGAATTACCTATAGAATTTTTTTTGATAAAATTTAGCTAAATTTCTCAGAATATCTTTGTGCATACATCTGTGGGTTTTGACTGCAGAGCAAATGAAATGAGAGATCTCTTTACTCTGTTAAACAACACCGTGTTTTGTGAGTGAAACAAATTCCATTAAATTTTGACAAGCCTTCACCTTCGTCACCACATTCTTGAATTTTTCGAGTGTTAACTGAAAGATTTTAAAAGAAGAAGTTTTTGGTTAAAAACTTAAAGCTTAATAGGAATAACAACGTTAGTGTTGATTTAATCCGTATTGCCTATTGGCTATGCAGACTAATAATTGCATGATATTAAGCCGTAAGCTCTATGGAATGTACTTCGTATGAATGCTATTATCTGTAGCTATAAACGCCAATTTCAAATCGAATTAAACGCACTTACATTGTAGGAAGTATATTAACGTGATTCAAACTTTGTACCTCTCGTTCCCGCTGTCGTGTTTCCTCGTTTTTTTCTTCTACTATCTCATCCGGAGTGTCCAAATCCATGGAATATCTGAGGTGTCTCGCATAACGAGATTGATTTGATTGTGCTTTCTTTCCACGACTACGATTGATCATCATTGATTTTACTGTTGTCCATTTCTTTTCACGAGTCTTTTCAAACATTCTTACATTTAGTTTTTTCCCAGTTTCCCATGTCATCACTTTAACATTGGCTGACTGATCATTCCAACTAAATACACTGTCTCTTCTTCCTCTCTCCTTCTTGTTCATTTTACTTATTTTCACTTATCGTCTAAATTACATTTTTTAGAAACTTTTTCAAAAATAATTACTAAACGTCACGTTAGCTTATTTATAACCGTCAAGATCCTAATCACGTATTTCGGATCCAGTGATTTGATCGCGAGATATCGCGTGTGCAGGGAACCTCCGTTTCGTCACAAGTTTCGTTCTCCTTTCAGTGCTTGCACGGTGACTGAGCTAACTATTGTAAATTTGCAATGACTATTTTTGTTAGATGTAAAAAATGACAAAACGCTTTTTTCGTCTCGTAAAAGACTTCACATTTCCCGTCGAAGGTAACGTTGTGTTAAAAATTTGACCAGTTCCTACGTGTTTACCCGAGGAAACAGGAGAGTGGACGAAATTGAGCACGGTCACAAATTCGTCTTTTCTGAAAGATTTTTTTCTAAAAAGTTTAGAGTTCACTAGAGTTCACAGGTCCAGGAGCACTGAGGGGTGAACGAACGTAGCCCACTGACGTAGTTATCTCAGTATCGCGGGCGCAAGTATTAAATCAAGAAGTGTGAACACTGATGAGTATTTTAAACATGAAATTTTAATTTTTTTGATATTTTAAGATGCAGAAAAGAAGTCTTATACTCCACAATAATTCATCGTTAAATGAGAATGAGTAAAACTCCAGTTAGGCAACTAACTGAATACTTCAGCACGCCATTAAGCGCAGTTCTTCAAGGCTCTGAAAATGACGTAAATTTACAAGGAGCTTTCTACAATGTTGCTGCATTTCTGTTTATATCTGTTGGCCTTGGGGCTGCAGTGGCGGCTTATTTTGTCTTGGAGGCCTTTATCAAGCCATTACTTTGGGCAGTACTTTGTGGTGCATTTCTATATCCATTCAAGAAGACATTGTCCACACTTGTTTGTTCATGGCTGAGATCTCTTAGTGATTATAATACACCATTGGTTGTGGGTGTGACTTTATTACCATTTCAAATTTTGAATGAAGTTTCAGCAGTTGTTGGTTTCTTCATATTTGATCATATTTGGGAGCTGATTTCATTAACATTGACATCCTTTGGAGTATATTTACTCTATCTTTATCAGCCATTTTATGAGATGTTTATCATGATAAATGGAATGGGCACATTTCTATACCAAACACTTGATTATTTTTCTAATCCAGTTTGGGTAAGGTCGATAGGTCAAGATTTCATAAATATGATCTGATTTATCCAAATTGTAGTTGCACAAGTTGCAAAATGGAGCCAATCAGCGTGTGCATGGATTGACCAGAGGTTTAAATGACAATAAGAACTTCCCTGAACAGATGATAGATTGATTGAAAATTTAGTGATTTCAGTAATACAATACAAGATTTGAATGTTTCATGTTTTTTTAATACCATGTACAATCTTTTTTTATAGGTATGGTCTATAGTTGTTTGTTATGTCACTATAGTGGTATTCTTTTGGACACCATCATATACACCAATGATTACAATCATGGCATATCCTGTCTGGAGTGTGTTAGTACTACACCTAGCTTCCATTGCCGGTGACTTCAGAGTACCCTTGTTCTTATTTCTGTTCATACTTTGTATTGTTGGTGTTTCTGCAGAATTTATAAAAAAATATAAACGTAAAGGTTAGAAACAAAATCAATACTGCAAGTTGTCAAGCATTCTTTGTAGAATTTTAAACAAATGCAATATGTGATGGTGTAACTATAATTTATTAGGGCTGAGATGAAAGATTGAGTAAGATTTTACAATGTGTGATAATTTTGATATGTCATATCTCAACTAGGACCTGAGCTAAAAAGAGATGGTAGTAAATTATTACGTAGTTTATCGATGGCTGCAGCTGTAGCATTGAATGATCAAACTGGTGCAGAATCTGAAGATGATTCTATGGAAGAAAATTCAAAATCTGGGGAGAAAACTGAGAAACCACAAGAACAGCATGTTCAGAGGTTTAAAATTTTTTTTAGTGAACATTCGTATAGTGACAGTGTTTAGGTCATTGTATGAAAACATTCTGTCCCTTGCCCTGCAAATTCTCTCAGTGTGTTTGATGTGCAAATCATTTTTAGCATGCATGTTCTGGCCTTGCATCCTCAGCTTCATGGGTCCAATGATTTATCTAATGCTGGGTTCAAACACATCCTCTAATTTGCACTGGAAACATATGACTAAAGAGAAAAAACAAAGCATTTCCATTTTCTTATCTTGCATAGTGTGGACGGTGAAATGAAGAAGAAGGAGAGACCAAGGCTGGTTAAACGTAAACCTGTAACAAGCGACAACACAAGTGAAAAACCACGAAACATGAAGGCCAGCAATATTTTTTTCCTTGCGCTATTCTGGGCAATCGGGTTGGTATGCATTATAAAGAATGTGTGGATATTGGAGCTCCTTACCATTCCGTTCGTAATATATTTGATCAAAGCTCTTCTGTCATGGATTGGAACGAACAGTGTGGTCCATGAACAACTAGATAACGCTCGGTCGAAATTAAAACTATGGGCGAAGGAAAGAAAGGATGTTTTGGCTCCAGCACCAGTACGAGGAATAATGAGAACGGTCTTGCTGGGTGATAAGAAGGTATACAGGGCTCGGATTTTAAGTGCGATGTTTTTCCCTTAATACATGTGATCGGATCGTCAGTTACGGATATTGAAATGATAGGACTTTAACCCAGAACGTTTAGAACTATTCACTCGTTTGCAGATGTCAAAAGAATACACCAACCACTCCGGTTGTAAGACTATTACAGTTTTAAATTATAGAACTTATACAGTCCACTTCTTTTACTGGCTGTACAAAGAAAAGAAACTCGGTGAAAATTGAATATACCTCAATTTAGACCCATACGGATGGAATTTATTACATGAACAATTTAAATGTTTATTTTATCGTTTTGGATCCGCCGAATCAAATGCAAATGAACTTTTAAAAACAGCCTTGAACTCATTAACGTTAGGTTCGGCACATGAAAACTTCGACGTGTGTTAACATTAATTTTCGTTTATACATAGATGGTCCTGTGGTTGGTACAATTTGCAGACAAACTTATCAGTATCTGTATGATCATGTGTCTTATTCTGGGCACAATTGTATTCAGTGCTGTCATTGCAGTTCAGGTACAGCTGCGTGAAACTTAATATTAAATACACACAGAATTATAATTATATATGTTCTTATTTGAAATGACGTAAGAGGTTTTTGCTTGAACCGTCATAAAATGATCTTAATTTTTTGTTAATTCTGACTTGGGAACCTCAGCACGGGTAGTTGCATGCTAGCAGGCAATTTAAGCATGCATATATTCCAATAATGCCTGTAATAAGTAATATACAGAATCGATTTTCAATATATCTGAATCTGAAAGTGACGTGTTACTAAACATTTCCGACCAGGTTCAACGTGAGAGTATGCACATGGTTCAAGTAACTGGCGATCTGGTGAATGATGCAATTAATCAGTATCCAGAACTTTTTAAGTGAGCAATCAAATTATGTAACATTTTATGATAGATTGAAGAAGGTATGAGTGCGTGGTGCATGGCTGGATACTGACCAATGCAAAATACATCAATAAAAGACTCATTTACATCCCTGTATCCCAATAATGGCCTAGCAGGTGAAATGGATAAACCTGAGAGATGAAACACAAGGTTTTTACTTATTTTAGGCACTGGCTTCCAGAAAATAAAGATTTCCACCATATTCTACAAAATGCCGTGGACCAAATGTATTTACATGGTAGAGATTGGTTGGCTAATAAAGTAAGACATTGATGGTGAATGTATATATTAGCTATAACTTTGTTATATCAGCTTGGAACTATAGTCCTGGTCATGATAACATCACGATGAAACAATTAACCTATTATTTATTTCCCGCCCCGGAGGTGAAATTGTGGTAAAATTCATAACTGCATGATATTTTGTTGTAGGTTCAGGAACTTGGTGGGGCGAAGGATAAGAACAATTCTCATCTTAAAAAGGAAATTTTGGAGTTAACTGATCGTTTGTACCACAGTTGGAAAGAGGTACTGTATTGAATTGGTCTTATTTATATACATATATAAGGCATAAAGAAATTGCAAAGAAAAGCCGCCCATGCAGCGCCGCCCTTATACCTGTTTCCCTCTTTAGAATATCAATTCCCTCGTGTATTAAGAGTTCCTCTTTATATAGGAAAGCAATGCATCATTGCTACCAAGTCATAATATTACATCAAGTAGTTCCAACACAACGATTCAAAAACGAAAATCTCCATTCGGTCTGTCATTACGTGGTATTTACAAGTGGATCACAGTTAAACAGAAAATTGATCTGAATACTGTTTTTAATGTCGTTAAAGAGAACATTGGTGTGTTGATGTCGGTAAGTATCGCTCTGGATTGAGTAGGTTCAATGGTTCTTGTAGATTTTCAGAAGTTAAAGTATAGTTATTACTATAAGAATCGACTCTCAGAGTCGTGCATATATGAGTTATCGGTGACTGTTTTAATTCTTCAGATTATAGAATCAATTTGGTTGATATTTAAAAGCAACGTGAACCTAGCTTTCAATATTGTCACAGTGTTGATATCCTTGGTTTTCTCCAGTGGAACATACTTACTTAATGCTGGTTTCTCTATGGTAAGTTGCAACTATAATTAAATAATATGTATGCTACACGATCAGTGTTACTAAGGAATTAGTGGACTGCCATGGGAATTGACGCATTTGGTTTGATTTGTTATAGGTAATGATTTTTTCTTCATTTTAGATCGTGTTTTTAACAGCTTTATTTTATCTTTTGAGTTTTTCTCAAAATCAATATTTGCCAGTTTATTGGGTCAGTACACTTTCTGGAAGTGAAGCAACTCTCTTTGGCGAGGCCATATACACAGCGGTCAGGTCAGTCATATATCGTCGTATCATATTTTGCCTACATATGTTATGGCCTAAACCCGGACCGGTCGATTATTGCGGTTTTTTTGCATGTACAGAGACCAGAGAGAATATATATTACATGTTGATCCGTCTGTTTTTTGCCAACATCAAGTTTGTACATATATTGCTGAACAATAAATAATGGCCTTATAGGTCAAGAAATCCAGGCAAGGCCCTGGCTGGTAAAATCATGAAGTTCACATCTATGCCTCTTATGTGGACACGGCTTTATGTATTCATATTTAATTATTTGAATTATTATTTTTAACCGAAAATGCTCTTGATTTCTTCTCAGGGGTGTCTTTGGAGCATCGTTAAAAATGGCTGCATTTTATGGCTTATACACCTGGCTTACTCACACTTTATTTGGAGTTAAAATTGTTTTCATCCCTTCTGGTTGGTAGTGTTGGTGTTCTATTTATTTTTTTCAGCTTCATTTGAGAACTTCCCTTTCTTGTGTCGTAACATTTTTGTATCAGCGTCTGAACCATCATAGTAAAGGGGAAAGGGGTGTTTTGAATTCAAAATGAATATCAGGCATGTAGTCACTTCTAACCTAAAAGATGTATTCTCCAAGAAAAAATTATGATAAATATAGTGCACCATTTTTTAGCATTAATCTTCAGAGGTCAGAAGACCGGATACTTAATACTTAATTAATTATTGCCTCACATATTTGTATTTTTGTTTCCACGTAGCTATCGCCGCTGTGACGGGTGTTGTACCATTTGTGGCGTCATATTGGGCTGCTGTTCCAGCTATTTTGGAATTGTGGCTCATTGAGAACTCAGACATACATGCTCTGCTCTTGGCGCTGTGTCACATATTACCTACCTATGTTGTGGATACTGTCATATACAGCGAAATAAAAGGGTAAGCCATTCGTCACCATCATTTTGTATTCACTGCAATTAACACTTCCACTTAACCATCTCCGTTTTTCACCATGGTCGAGTTGTTAAAGAAATACGACAGTTTTTAAATGAACCATTTAAACTTGCAGTTTTGGCATATAGATGTCGCTATTATCATCATAGATTTTGGTTCTGTTCAGATTTTAACATGTTTGGAATATGTCATGAGCAGCTGTGCATCCAGTAGGCGGGAAGGACAATGCTCCCCACTTTTTCCTGGACAAAAAAATAATATCAGATGTAATTTTTTGTGGGCTGTAAAATTAGCATTAAGGACGGATTCTGGCGTACTTCTAACAAGTAATGATGTCTGTTTTTACTATTTGTTATAGTGGTGGCCATCCTTATCTTACTGGTTTAGCTGTTGCTGGAGGCATATATTGTTTGGGTCTGGAGGGAGCGATCGTTGGTCCAATTGTACTTTGTTGCCTCGTTGCTGCATTTAATGTCCATAGAATAATAATGCATGGACAAGAAACACTAAGTACACCTCCTTAATTCTTATTGGTTATTGTTATTGAAGCGTTCCTCGATATTGTTTGACTTTGGCCTCGTTAGAAAGCTGTTTTTATCCTCTTCAACTTAAAGATCACAGTGTTGCCGCCACTGCCACTCAACAAGACCATGCAGCTGGAATTACGTAGGGACGAATGTGACGTAAAGATAGGCCTTTTTCTTTGGAAACTCAACATTGAAGCTTTCAATAGAACTTACAGTCAACTTGACTTCTCTCAAACGTGTAAGGACACTCGCTGCACCTGTGTAGTGTATATACAAAGGTTCCTAACTGTAAAACTTTGGAACTGTCCGGAACTTCGGAAAACAACGGGAGGAAAGGAATTAGGTATTGATGGTTACGTGATTGCTCTAAACTTTTTTCTTGTTCCATTACAAAAAAACAAAACCGGTATAAATTTGTTTTTAAAACTTTTTTCTGGTGTTATAAATTTAAAGAATTTTTGCTCATAAGAGTTTAAAAAATAAAATTTGCAAAAAAAAACTTAAATATGCACTCGTGGTTTCACCTCAATAGTTTATAGTATTTGTTTTATGGTGCTAGGGGGTTCAAATTCTAACAGTATATTGTGAGTAGTTTTGGGACCTTTGTATGGATCAATTTACGTCATTTCCGCCGTGGCTCCATCCTATTTAAAAACTATGGGATCAAACTATAGATCAATTCAAGTTATGGTCTATAAACCATAGTGAAAACGTGGCTGATTCGGTTGAAAATGAATGGTCAATTTTGATACAAACAGTCAAATGTCTTTAGGCATTCTCTTGTCTGTAATAATATAATGGCTGCAAATGATTCTACATCCTGTGTAGTTGTTGATGCTGCACTTATAGACAACGAGACTATTACAAGCAAACCACAACCCCCAGTTCAATCAAATCGTCCCGGAGAGGCAGCGATTAAACAGCAGTAAGTTGGATAATGTTTTGGGAGTAGACATATACATTATTGGATTCAATAACTAAAATAAACCACACCGTAATATACATGTATTGCTTGAACATATTGCTTGACAAAAGTACAATAGTAAATAAATTGTATAATAGTAAATTATAAAGAAGATATGGCTATGGGCACCAAGTATATAGACCAGACTTGTAAGACAAATAGAAGTTACAAATGCTATATTCTAAAAATTTTGGACTTGTAGAGCATTAGCTGCAACTCCTACAAGAAATCCTAGGTCATACACATGAAGCCTCACACTTTGTAAAAAATTTGCAAACTATCAACAGTTTGTGTTACAATTAATACCTATCCCAATCTGATGACAAGTGTTGGAACAACAAATTTTCATGAACTTAGTCAGTCATCAGCTTTATTCCACGGCTGTTCCAATATGGTGCATGTGCCACAATTTTAGTACAACTTCATGTTGTTATGGATTTAAAAACTTATTCTTGTTTTACTAATGGCTCAGACTTGGTCCACAACCACTGTGCGGGCTTGCAGGAACTTTTTTGTAGACATTGTGCACATTGCTCTACTAAAAATCATCCTACTGCACAATCTTAGTCCATTCATTCTCTGATTTATATTATTATGATATGAATTATTTTAAGATGAATAAACAGGTATGCATTCTATTGCCATGCAGGACAATTTGGTTTAGCTATGAGGGCATTTAGCTATGTCGGCAACTATAACTTAACATTGATCAATTGCAATTGTTTTAAAATTAAAGCCAAATAGACTTTTGTATCATGATCTTTGTCATATTTAGATATCTTTTACCCTATATTCCATTCCAACATGAAGAAAAACCTGCGAAGACTGGTGCTTTGGAAACCATTAATGAACAGACCAGCAATGTTGATGGGCATATTGATGGCCCTCCAAAAAAGAAAAGAGAACGAGGAATGAACAAAAACAGACCAAGAAATCCAAATCCAGCTGGAAAGAAGAAAATATGTCGAAGGTTTCTTCAACATGGCTCATGTCATTTTGGTGTTAATTGTAACTTCTCTCACGATATGCAAACAATCATAGACGATCGCTTGCCTGATGTTGGGGAGGTATGCAGAAACTTTCAAGTTTTTGGAAAATGTCCATATGGTATTGCATGTAGATTTGGTAAAAATCATCTTACAGAAGATTTTGAGAATGTTACTAAAGATACATTCGATGAATATCAAGTAAAAAATAGTTTAACTAAAGAGTTACAAGTGGAACTTCGAAAAAAGAGAGTTTCATTTCCCAGATCTGATGAGTATGTAGAAAAAATGAAAGACTTTCATAGTCAAGGAAGACCACTGAGAGATATAGGTGAATATAAAACATCTGGTGTTGTAACTGATGAAGATGTCATTAAACTAAGATCTGTGGAAATAAAGAAGGTATTAACGCAATTAAAAGGTTTAAATTTTATTGCTTTGACAGAAAGTTCTATTTCTTCTTTTAAATATTTTTGAAAGAGTTAGTACCAGTAACTAGTAGTTTAATGTCTATAGTTTTTTTTGTCCAGTAAATATTTTATTTTAATGTTTTATTAATTCAGATTGACTTCTCGGATAAGCTCTACCTTGCTCCTCTCACAACGGTAAGAAATAGATCGAGATCGATTGGGAAATAGGTTTGAATTGTGAATGAAATTGATAGGTTCTTGTTCTTGGTGAAAAAATTTAAATTTGTGTTCGAAATCACACCGGTTTCCCTATTACCTATGTACGGTAATGTGATATTGTCGAGTGATTAAATTATTTACCGCGGTAGGAAAAGTAAATTCTTTAGATATCGATCCATAACGCCTCGTACTGGGCAAATTTTAAAAGATATTTTTTAATTTCCTCAGGTTGGCAATTTACCGTTCAGACGATTGTGCAAGAGTTTGGGTGCTGATATCACTTGCGGTGAAATGGCGATGTGCACAAATTTGCTGCAGGTATGATTATAGTTCAGTATATTGACCATAATCTCTTCTTTTTGCTGGGGTTCGAAATTTCATCATACGGGAGTTGTAGGGGTCTGAGGTTTCTGTATCCACGAGTCTCTATATGATTTCATTTCCTGCATTTGGGGGACACAATTACTTGATGAATCCATCTCGCGAGGTTGTTGAGAGAAAATCGTTATAGTCTTCTGAACATGCATGGTTACGGATAGTATTAACTGCCGTAAATTGGTTCGTATTTGTTGTCGTTTGTTTACCAACCCTTGAAAGCTCCTAACTGTTACTATGTATAGGGGATGCAGTCAGAGTGGGCCCTGATGAAACGCCATCCAAGTGAGGATATATTTGGAGTGCAGGTATATATAATAATAAAACAGCAAGAAAGAGTGTTACATTGAGCTAGTGTCGTGATGATGAATTATCTTTGGTGTAACTTTGTACATTGTAACACTCAATAGAATGACTTTAGGTACAATTGATAAAGTAACATGTACTATAATGCATTATTTTCTATGTAACCAAGTATTTAGGAGAGATACGTAGTTAGGAGTTTTTTGCAACTAACCCCTGAAATATATAACGAAAATTTCAGGTAATATTTCTTCACACTGACACCTCTTTCCGTTAAAAGTACGGTCAGTTGCTTTGTACGGTGTCCATGATTAATAGTATTGATTATGATTTTTCTTTTTGCATTAGCTTTGTGGAAGTTTTCCTGATACAATGAGCAAGTGTGCTGAGTTACTCCAAAACAAGATTGAAATTGATTTCATCGATGTCAACGTTGGGTGTCCAATAGATCTTGTCTTTAACAAGGTGCAGAATAGTATAAGTTCATCACGTACGCTTAAGTTCACAGTGGTTTAACAAACATTTGAACAAGACAAACCCTCCCTTCGATGTATTCTGGAAGTGCGATTTATTTGCTTCCTATATAGGGAGCAGGGTCAGCATTGATGGAGCGATCAAGGCGTTTTGAAGAAATTGTTCGAGGAATGAATTATGTAAGTCTTCAAAGATGATTTAAAAATGGCAAAAAGAACACTTATTTTATGTGTAAGATATGGTTAATTATGTTCATTATTGATGATGACAATTTTCTCATTTTGGTTTGGAAAATTAAAACCCTATTAATTTTATTGTAGTATATTATTATTAGGCTTTCCCTGTTCTTTGTCATTATAAGAAATTTTGTATTCTTTTGTTAATATCATTATATAGGTACTTGACATTCCAGTTACTGTCAAGATGAGAACTGGCGTTCATGATAAGAAATGGAACGCTCTTCAACTTATTCCTAAAATAAGGGATTGGGGAGCTTCGCTTGTCACAGTGAGATTTTAATGTCCATTGCTAAGAATTATATTCAATCGTAAGTCCAGTTAGCTCTTTCTCACTATATACAGTACATGCACTGATATTTTGAGAAAGAACTTTTAAGGGCCTGCAAATCCTGCATGATATGTGTCGCATCTTAGGAAACGTTCGGTAAGAATAGATTAAAACAATTTCCCGTATTTATTTTCTCAGAAGACACGAAATCACGGAACCATATATTTTCCTGATTTTAGTTGCATGGGAGGTCTCGGGAGCAACGGTACACGAAATCAGCTGACTGGAATTACATCAATCAATGTGCAAATGAAGCTTTACCAATGCCACTTTTTGGTTAGTTTATACGAAGGATGCTGATAAAGGATTCTCGTTCTTTGTTCCCAGATTAAGCGCAGGTTTTATTTATCCGTGATGAGATTAGGTCTATTGAGCACTAATCAACGAGACCGCTGGATGTTCATTTTGCCAGAAATACATGTAAAAGGAAATTGTTCATAAAAGGAAAGGAGGTTTGAAAACTCACAGAAATAATTCTGTCACGGGACATTTGCAGTGAATGGAAATCCTCCTTAAAAGGCCAACTACAGCGGATTCCAATTGAAAGAAAATCGAGTGAGAATTTTGTTTTGACCGTTACTTCCGCATCCACTGTAGGAAATGGCGATATCCTTTCATTTGAAGATGTACAGCGACACAGACAAGAAACGGGTGCATCAGGTGTCATGATAGCCCGGTAATTTTAGTCATTTTTTGCTTGAATTTAAGGCAGTCGCAAACTGTATTGCATATCTATAACAACTGTAAGTAAGGCATTTTGTGACTTATACATGTCAAACACCCTCCTCTCGTGCCCTCGTGCAGGCCGGACGCAATTCCTAGAAGATCAGTAACGATACAAAATTCACTTTTAAAGTATTTTTACTTTAGTGGTGGTCTGATTAAACCATGGATTTTTACTGAAATCAAAGAACAAAGGTAAATTATTTGATACATACAGCACGAATATGTTAGTTTTATAATTGACATCCTCTCTGGTTCAAAATGATGCAAAAATACTCTTGATATTTCTCTTATCATCTCGATATTTTCTCCTGAAAAAGCCTGGCCCAAAAGCTTCTGTGTGTAGCACAACTGAACATGCGCCTAATTAGGTCTCTCCATGTTTTATAAGTATATTATTCGTCTTGTTTTCAGACACTGGGATATATCTTCGTCAGAAAGATTAGATATCATCAAAGATTTCGTAAACTTTGGTTTGGAGCACTGGGGATCTGACACTGAGGTATTGAACGTTATTTAACGTGCATGTTTCTACGCAGTTCTTGGATATGCATATGACCAGCGAATGAAGCCTCGGTTTAGTGCCTCGGTTTAAGCGTTGGGTCTTTTTCATAGTGCGCATGCTTGTAACAAAGATTGCAAAATCTCGAAAGGTCGCTCGTAGTGAAGCACAGAAATCGGGACTTCCCAGAAAACTGCAAATCTTAGCCCCAAAGAATTCCTGAAAAGACCTGATCGAGTTTTATTTTGATTCATTTGTGCTCCCAGGCTCTAGATGTATCAACTAGCAACATATTTTTAACACCATGTAGGGCATAGAGACGACACGACGTTTCTTACTGGAATGGCTATCGTTTCTATACCGGTAGGTTTCTAGTTATTTTCATTCATTTGAGTTTTTCAGCCTCGTAGGCTCGACGTACCCAGGCGCTGTGCTCTTTACCCTCGCGATGTAGCGCACGTGAAAAACCCTCGGAGAATTTGGCAGTAGTTTTGCTCTGTTGTGAGAACAATGTAGTCACAGAATGCTGTAGAGACGCAGTTTAGGCTTCGAGAACAACCACTCCTAATCGGATTGGAAAATAGCGGAGTCAGTGTTCGTTGTAGTTTATCAAAATTGCGACGAAGTTTTTTTTGCGAATGGCCGAATATGAATATTTACCCCCCATGCATTTGTGTAACAAACATGCTAAATGGTATTATTCCTATTTATGTATTGACTTTTTTATTTTTACAATTATATCAATTTTGTTTTTTATGAATCTTGCAACAGTTCATACTCCATGCTAATCTCTATCACACAGGTACATTCCTGTTGGTCTGTTGGAAAGAGTCCCTCAGCGTATTAATGAGAGGCCTCCACCATATTTTGGGCGAAATGATCTTGAAACATTGATGGCTAGTAACAAGTGCGAGGATTGGATAAAAATAAGGTATACATTAACTTCCAAACTTTATAGTATGTTCAATTTATTCATATTATAATAAGTATACTGCGCTGTGAAAAATAATGGTTTGTTGAACATGTCTTATTCTGTGCTTTTGTAGTATCGTAGTAATTGCTTTTTTGTTATCTTTTGACTTCTAGCGAAATGTTTCTTGGACCTGTTCCATCCGATTTTGTATTTCTTCCGAAGCACAAAGCAAATTCGTATGCCTCATGAATATACGAACTCTGTCAAATAGATCTATTTTGGCCATTGTTCGTTGCTTTTGCGTCCGATTGGGTGTTTAATCCTTGAAATTGTTCTGAATTACCGCTGTTGTTGTGAATTCATTTTAACATGTTTTAAATGTTAGTATACATTAATTGTATTTTCGTATGCATGATCAATAAATCAGTCTAATAGAAATTTTGTATACGAAAAATTTACAAAGTACCAGTACTAGTATTATTACTATAGTTAGTATTTAGTGTGTTATCAAGTGTATTATTGTCCTGACATTGCATGCCACCAATTTGGAGATCAGGTTTTTAGTTGTTTTCGGGACAGCTTGACATACCAAGCTTTTATTCTCAAACAACTCATCCAGCTTGACATACCAAGCTTTTATTCTCAAACAACTCATCCAGCGACAATAAATTAGTTCGACAATAAATAGTTCAATAAATTAGTTCACCTTGACTGATCTCAACGCATGGGTAAATATAATTTTGGTTATTCGAAATTATTCATTAGTTTTTCTTTCAAGCATAACCGCTTTAGTGAAAACTTGAGTCGTACGTGGTCGTACGTACATGATTTATTAAGTGCCAGTCGGCACTTAACTGGCTGTTTAGAGCAACTTGTAGTGACGATTGACGGAGGCTTAACCCTTATTCCAAACCTAACCCGGGCGAGAGGGTTGATCAGTGCATTTTTAAAAGTCCAAGGCCAAGTAAAATACACAAGACAACTTCTCAAAATCTTGCGATTCCGCGTTGTTTTGTTCAGGGATATGGTCACATAGTTTTTATCCTAAACGCGTTAGTAGAATTTCTAAGCCAAACTGTTGAGAATTTGCCTCCAAATGTGATCCTCAACAAGTCACAGAGTTTCAAATTATATATTTATTTTAACCAAATTACGATTTCTAAAGGTATATAACGATTTTCCAAATGATCCCACAACTCACACCGTGAGATAGCACACGGGCTGATATTTACATTAGCGAGGTTCAGATTTGACTACCACTACGACTACCACAACCTTTGAGGGAATATATATAAACCAATCAAATGCGATAGGTCTATCAGACTAACCAATCACGAGCTTGATAGATTAGCGAGAGGTAGCGGTAGTGGTAGTGGAAGCCAAATCTGAACCTCGCTATCCTCTCGCTCACGAAGGTGCTTTAGTGGTATAAAAAATTTTGCATTCAGTAATTGTATAGAGGTCAGCTGAAAAAAACGCGAGCGCGCGGGGTTGCTTGGGGTGGGAAACAAACAAAACCACCCCAAGCACCTCTATGCGCTTGCTTTTTTCAGGTGACCTCTATACAATACCTGAATGCAACGTTATATATTTTACAATTAAAGCGCCTGGGTACGAGGCTGCACTCCCTGAACGGCACAGTCCAACCAACTCCTATCTTGCTCTCGTGACCACACCACATACACCTTCATCCTCTCAATCACTGGGCTGTTAAGAATTTAATTAAGCAAAGTAACCATTTGTCAAAGTCATCTTATCTGTCAGTTCCCGACAACATAAACATCTTTATATATCAAGAGCAGTTTGTGCTGTTAATTCTTTTCTTCGCTTCGACAAAGTCATTCCAGAGCGAATTCGATTTTTTGAAATTTCTGTTAACAGGTAACTATCTCTATTTATTCTTATTAGAATGTCTTTTGGCTTTCCGAATATCTTTAATTTTGATTCTTTTGTCCGTCGCTTGCGGAATGATTTAAAGGATAATTTCGATTCCCGCGCATCACAAAATTTTCATATTCCCGAATCGAGTTATATCACTATGCCGGGTTTAGGTGGCAGTACAGTTGAGAAGGTGGTTAATTCCGAACTTCCCAACCTAATATTATAATTCTCGAGTTGGATACAAATGATCTGACCAGTGACGCCCCTGAGTTTGTAGGATCGAGGGTTGAAGAGCTCGCTCGCCTGCTTCGCGACGAATTTCGCGTTCGCGTCATTGGGGTGTGCCAGGTGATCGACCGTCATATCGCCAAAATACGAGAAGCTGATAGTGTTTTTAACTTTTTAACACATAAGCCACTCTTTTGCGCCAGTATTTGTCCGTGGTCCTTGCAGATGAGCAGATGATATTTTTCTATGGGAACATCGGGAATTTTTTAATCCCGCTCGTGTTCTGTTATCCACGGATGGCGTTCATTATAACCCACAGGGGCAATATTGTTTGTATAGGAGCTATTGCGGGGCTATTTTGAAAGCTCTGGCACTTTTGTAGTCATTGATTCTGTGTATATATTGTGCATATATTAAATATATGTATGTATATGTTTTTTGTATATCTCTTAATACTACACACACTCCGCACTTTTTAGTTTTTAGTTGTTGTTTATCATACAACTTAGCATCAAATGTGGTATAACAACTGCCTAAAATAGACAAAATACTTCTCCACGCTGCGACAGGAGAGTTAGTATCATGAAGACGATGCCACGCTGCTTGCTGGTTATATTGTTTATCATACGTTTTACTTACCCAGGTATGGGCTGTAGTAACATGACTGTTTACAGATGCCCACGTTGAGATTTCAACATTGGGTTTTTTGCTGCGCAGGACGAGTTTATGATTTTACTTGTTAAATATGCGTTGTCTGTGTTTGTGATGTCTGTCGCGTGATGTAGTTTTATGCATAGATCGTTTGCTCGTTTTGTGTGGGAAAAAACCATGTCTAAGACTCTAAGTGGGTTAGGGCGTTTTACGTTTCGGCGTTTTACGTTACGTTGGGCGCAACTGTTTTCTAGCGAAGACAGATATCAAAAGCGCATTTCGCATTACTCCCATACGCCCTGCAGATTACGGTCTCTTTGGTATCTTTTAGCAAAGCAAACATTATTATGATCGAGTCATGCCTATGGTATGGGCTGTGCGTCGTCATGTCGCACTTTCGAGATGTTTACTACTAATGTCGATTTGGTTGCTAAGACACACTAAGAAACTTATCAATCGCACATCTAATCCGCATTCTCGATGATTATCTCATGGCCGCACCTACTTATCACCAATGTTGGTATGGATCTTGTCTCTCTGTGAACAGGTGTGCCAATCGCTCCAGAAAAAAATCGGCCCATACAACGTTCTTTCCTATGCCGGCATTATTATTATTTATTATTATACAGGGTGTATAAAAAAAAAGGTAATCCAACTTTGGTGCGCTATTGTACGTGAACTACTCATTCTATTAAAACAAATATTTTTAACATTCCGAAAGGTTAGGCTTTCAACTATCGAATGACATGTTTTTGATACCAAATGGTGAAAAAATGAGCAAATAGGAGGCTTATAAAAAGTGTTAGTCAAAATCGCATATTTTCACCTCTGAGAGTTGGGACTAAAACCATTGAAAATTAACTCTCTTTGGAACTTAATTGAAGAATTTTGCTTTTGAATAAACTACCCACATATGCATATTAAGTAGGAATAAATCACATCAGGAGAACATTCCAAGCAATGCGGCCAGCGCAAGCTGTGACAAAACCAGTGCAAGCTGTGCCATGTTCGTGATTAATTGTTTTTTACTTTTGAAGATATGCGTTTGCGACTAATATTTTTTATGTAAAATTTTAAAATAATTTAAATGATACTTATGAAATCAACGATTGAATAGATACATAGGGTTGGATTCTGTTGATGATTTGGCGTCTTTTCTGGCATAAAAATAATCATACAACAACTCAGAAGGTTTTCAGCGTTCTACCACTGATTCTCCAGAAACAGTGAGACGTCGGCGACGAAATAGGTCTTATATCCTAAGTAACTCTCACTTAAAATATTACTTATATCTTAAGTAACTCTCACTTATAGTGGAATTAATATATAAGTAAATAATTCCGGGCGTCCAAAATGATCGATAGTCAGAACTAAAGATAAAAAAACCTCTCCGTATCTGCTGAATTGTCTTGGTTTCAATCAGAGATTCAAAATTCCTTGGTCTGAACTTTCAAAAAATCTCAATGAATCTTCAAAATGCTATGATTTCCCAACTTCCGTTTTTCTCCCGTGTACGTGACCGGTTTGTCTTGTGACGCCTTCGCTGGCTTGACGTTTCCGTTTGCTAACGTATTTCCGAATCATTCAGAAACATCCTCTTCCTTGATACAAGCTAGTAGGGTGCGTGCAGACATAAATCATAAAATTACTTGCCGTGTTCCAACTTGTCAGTAAAAATCTAAGCTTTAAGGGAGAGTTGTGAAAAGTATTGGCTATAGTACGAAAGAATATGTAAGTCTCCTTGTTTCTATTTCTATTCCTTACATGTGGTTTTCACTTTTCATACTAGATTTAGGTGCATGTGTAGCAACATATAGCTGATCGGATTTATATTTAAAATAACTTTGTAAATATTCTGTATGATATAGCAATGGCATTTAGGGCATTTTACATAGCCGTCTTTCCACGCTGGTTAACTATTAAGCCGCATATATATTAATGATATTACTTAGAGCTCGGTTTTAAATAATCTATTACCGTAATTACCCCTCTCAACTTTTGCTATGAATATTTGATTAAATCATTTCATTTGGAATCTTAAATAGTATAATAAAAAACCGTATGCATTCAAGCTCATATATCCTCCGGCTCCGTGGTATACTCTATAAGTGGAAAATGGGGGTGGAAAAAAGCATTTTCTGACGTTCTTGAGATCCCAAATTTGAAACATTCTCTCCATCGACACCAAGACCGTCGCGAAAAGCCTAATTGGGGAGGACGGGGGGATGTATAACCATGCATATATTGATATATTCATGTTTTAATAGCTAAGCGTAAAACAACTGCTATAAAAAAATTGAAACGTTCTGAGAACGGCCTGTATGGAGTGTGTAAAAAGTGTATCCCCTGTTGAAATCAAGCTTTTGTTAGAACTTTAACCCATGGTGTAAACATATATACAAATATACATATAAGCTGATATAACGATCAATAATTTGACCATTTTATTACTTTAAGTTGACTTCCCAGTATTACCTACTAAGTACAAACTATAGCTCTTGCACATCCACTGCATTAAGCATGCTGGGATTCCAAAGACGTGCTTTACACACCAGGGGCCAGTTGTTCGAAAGACGTTTAGCTTAAACGGTGGATGAGTTCAAAATGGAAAACAAAATTATCTCTTTATTCGACAAATGAGCTGAAATGTTTCGATGTAAATAGCTTAATTTTCAATGGAAGTACATATTTAATGCATAAAATGCAAGTTAATCATGCGTTTAAATTCCAATAAAAACACATTTTAAAAGAGGTAATTTTTTGGTAGGTAGCTATTATAAATATAGGATTATTGAATTATTCTTAACATATAAACAGTTCACATATGGTACAGAAGTTATATTAGTGATCACATGCAACTATTGTATTGTATCTAATGGTTCTTTTTTAAATTTTCATCTTTGCTTTAGAACACGTAAATAGGAATGAAAACTGTTCTGTTGTTAATAGTTTTACAGACAACATCTCACATAATTTATGGGCAGTCAGGTTTGTTTACCATAACTTTTGAATCTATGATTAGATAAATAGTTTATAAATTGTAATTATTATATCTCTGGTAATTATGAAAATAAGCAGGAAAATTATGAAGTTCAGAGTTAAGAACGTTTTCACTAACTATATACCGGTATTTCAGTGCAAACATCAAAACAAAGTTCAGGGGTTTTAGGTTAATAAATCTTTGATTTTTCAGTTACTTGCATGCCGCTTCGCTTTTTCCAAAATTGATATAGCTGAAGCCCCGTTTACACTCAATTTATTGGCACAGCCAGCTACCAAAACCAAAACAAAGGCTTTGCACAGAGAAATGGACACGGCCACGGGTACCTTTTTTGCCAGTATAATAAAGGCTTTAATAATGTTAATAATAATAGTACATGCAGCTTTAGAAAAAGTGTTTTTTATCTCTGCTCTCGTAATTCAGATGTGTGATTCTCCGAGCAGTGCTGTTCATTTTTCACTGTCATTTTTCACAACACCCAAGCAATGGATATGTGATACAGTTAGCGGAAACAATCCATGTAACGTGCGCAATACTTTTTAGCTAATTGCAGGCAACTTGCAGATAATAAGTGCTCACTGTGCCTGCAAATACCTGGGTGTGCGTGGGGCAAGCAAGCGGTAAGTGTATTGCCATGTTAGCATGCTGTTTTTTCCGTGGAATATTAGTACAGCACGCGATAGTACCATAAATAACGTGAGGATGTGTATAGGTATTGTCCATGCTCAAAATCGAAATTTAAGTAAGTTGTACAACGATTTCTCGTATTTCTTGAGACAATTAAAAACGAGCAAAAGTGAACTGCATGTGTGCAAGCATCATTGAAAATCTTATAATTTTTTTATATACAAAATCATGTTGTTTTTTATTTAGAGTATGTTTTCTCTCATATTAAGTTCTCTGCTCGTTGCACTGATCAGAAATTTATTGTTTAATTTATTGATTTATTTTAGAACTAAACAAGTGCGCGGTGCAACGCTGTAGAAGAACATACGAGGTTACAATGTAATATGACAGTTACTGGTAACCCAGATCCTAAACCAAAGGTGAGCTAACAAAATATATTTCAGTTGAGTATGTTTGTACGACAATTGCAATTTGATTGCATTTCAAAAATTTTGCGTAAGCGTGATTGCAATATTGAGTTTCTTAGCTAATTGAAATAACGATCATGTCGCTGGTACCCAAGATTGCTGTTTATCACTGTTATACATGATCTCAGGTACCCGGTTGTATAAACTCTTTGACTACCTTTTGAATAGTTAAAATCTAGTTAACTCATAAAATGCACGACTCTGATTGGACAGTTTTAAAAGTTAAAAGTTAACTAGTCGTTTATACAACTGGCCCCAATTCTATAGTAAATTAAATCTCGGTATACAAAAATAATAGATTATCACAACAAATTCATGACTGAACAATTTTAATTAATTTGCAGCTTGATAGAAAGCCACTTGGAGATTTAAACCAGATAACCCCGAGAAAAGTTTCATCGAGGGTGCGGATCGGTAGGTATATTTTTCCGCGCTAGATTTTAAGTTTATATATTTTTATTGATATTGTCATATTGACACTAGTAAACCTGGACTGCGACCTTAGAAGTCGATTTTCAAAACAATATCTGAGATGCATCGATCTAGGAACTACCAGCGGGGTAGCTACTTATAGCTAAATTAGCTGTGTCACTGATTTGTTTATACTCTGGAACGATAAGTTGATAAATTGGTTGCCATAGGTAAAAGTTATGCCACTCAGAAGTTTGCATGGCACTGCTCATGCAATTATTTGTTTTTAGGTGAACCTTTGAAACTCAAGATCGACATTCAACCTTCTGCAAACTATCCTGTTGATTTATATATTTTGATGGATTTATCTGCGTCTATGTCTGGTGATTTAGACAACGTCAAAAAGCTAGCACGCAATATTTGTAAGTCCACTAATATATGATCGCTATAAATCATTGACACGTATTTTATACATAACAACATCAAGTTCAGCCATACCTAGCTTTCATTAACTTGTGCTCGTGCCTCGTGATTGGTTAATCTGATGGAGTTGATTATTGCATTTGATTGGTTCATGCATGTTTCCTTCAAGGTAGCGGTTGTGGTAGTAAGAATCTGAACCTCGCTAGTATGTGCGAGCTTCGGACCTTCTTTGTTAGATTATATGACCGAAACAACCGCGCTAGATTTTATCTACTGCCGGTCATAATGACAACAAGTGCCATAGCTAGCCGAGGGCAGAATTAACGATATATGCATCATGAATATACGCCCCCCCCCCTATATTATCACATCCATACACATATTTATACAGCCCCGATACCCTCTATATATGAAACTCTCACATTCACATCACAATAAATCAGTGGTAACATAACTTGATATTTCAGCTCGCGATACTGAATTTTTATTTATTTTACTCGCTTACAAAGATTATCTTAGGTTTAGTTAGTATAAATGATTTTCTCATTAAAGAATGGGGACTAGTACCACGAGGCTTTTGTTTTGTTTTAATTTTTTTTACTATAGAACATATTCATACTACTATAGTATGTTATCTTTTCTATTAGCAACAAAGTTAAGTGAACTTACTAGCAGGCGCCGATTGGGTTTTGGATCATTTGTCGATAAAACAGTACCTCCATATGTTACGTATGAAGAGTGAGTATCTATATAGTACCATTCGGAGAAAAGAACCAGAACCGTCCTTACATATTTAATTAGGGAGGCCTGGAAATCAGGTTGCAATAACACATAGCCGATCCGCTAGTAATTAATAAGGCAACTTTTATGAACCAACTCGAACGCATTTTCGATATACTGTGTCAAACATACTTGACAAAAAAACATATACAGCGAAGGAGTTTTCTGTTCAATCCCCAATTTTGACCTTGTATTTTCCTTGTATTTTGACCTTGTATAATTCGTACACATGCATAAATAACTTTTTATAAATATGATATAACTTTTTATAATTAATAACATTTTTAGCTTAGGTAAACCGGTCTTACATCAGATTAATGGGAGGACATCAGTTGGAGATGTTCCATATAACTATAAACATGTACTGAATTTTACTGAAGATGTAGATGAATTCAGCGTAAGTATCAACCTTGATGCTTATATTTAACATGTCAGATCACGGTCAGATGCATGCACGTGAAAGTGTAAAAAGCAATCGATTGTCTACCTCGTTACAAGTGTTCTTTCACACGACATGCATGCATGACAGCGTATGTCATATACGTATATATTTTGATTATTTTCTCATACAGTTACGATCGAGGCTTGGCAACTTTTTAGAAAATCTTACTTCACAGGGTTAGGGTTGGTTTTCGATTTATCACCATACACATGAAGCATACTTATCGCACAAAAATATGATTTTAGTTCTTATATTATTTAGAAAAAGATTGGTGAACAAAAAAGTTCTGGTAATAAGGATTTGCCTGAGAGTACATTCGACGCCTTGATGCAAGTGGCAGCCTGCGAGAAGGTTTGTTTCTAACATAATACGCTTTTTTCTCTGGATTCTCTGACTCATGCGAAATCACGGAAAAGTTAACTAAGCATGAAGAGGTAGTGGTGGAAAAGGTTTCTTATTCGAGCACAATTTGATTTTAGGAGTTGGGATGGAACTCAAAGGATACGACACGTCGAATGGTGCTTATTGTAACAGATGCTACGTTTCATATGGCTGGGGAAGGCAGGGTATAAACTCGATAATTGATAAACTGAGTTTTAGGGTACTGCATTAGCTTATTTTAGCTATTGTTGTAAAACATCTGAATAGTACATGCAGATAGTATAATACATTTGACTATATAGCAGTGCGTATATATGTAACAGCTTGCTTTTTTAATTCTGTTGTCTAGTTTGGTGGTATTGTAAAGCCAAATGATGGAAAATGTTGGCTCGGCACCATAGAGAACGGTGTTCAGAGATACGCAAAGTCTCTGGAACAAGTAAGATTTTCACACGGTTACCTATTTCTAGGGCAAGAGTTATTTCACCTCGAAATCATTTTAGGCTACATTTTTTTCGCATCTTTTCTGCATGCTTCTAGGAAATAGTTTTAATGCACATTCACTAAAATTAAGCATTTATAGGTGTTTATTTCGAGACCGTAATTGATCGGTCGATCTTTTTAGGGGAAATTGATCATTTTATGGCAAAATAAAAACGTACCTTTTTTAGCCTATTAAACTTTTATTAGTGAAAAATCGTAGATTCATACTTGCATGATTGAGCTTTCTTTAATTTTCTTTGCATGGTTAACACGACTGCGCCGTCCCTGCTCTATACATGCAAAATTGCTAAATAGTTCTTTTCTTAAACCAAGGATTATCCCACAGTGGATCAAATGTATCAAAGACTTGTAAAATCTGAGATTCAGCCAATATTCGCAGTTTACATTGACCAAAAGTCGGTATCGTCGGCTGTAATCGCAAACACGTACACGGTAAGATGATATATGAAATTCTGTTGTGAGTCTACTATATGCTGCCACCATTTTATTCTCTCGCTTGATATTCTTCTCTTTTCAATTGTCATTGGTCATATGAACGGATTATATATCTGCTTGTTTAAAAGATTTCAGTATATACACTGTAAAAACTGAATGGTTGAAATGACCAAAAAAAAAGGTTGCAACCATATAAAATGGTTGTTTCAACCAATTAAATTGGTTAAAACCAAATTAAAATGGTAGAAATAACCAATAAAAAATTGGTAAAATGGATATGAAACTGAGCTCATATTGGTAAAAACAACCAAATATATTTAGTAGCAACAAATAAAATTTGGTTAAATTGACCAATTAATCTTTGTGGTCAATGGGGTATATTTGTAGACATCTGGTTCTATGTTCTATTGAATCCAATAAAATATGCTAGAATGCTATCTATAGCACATTCTAAATCCTATGGCTATAGAATATTCTATAGGACTTCTTATGATCTTATGCTATATAGAATTCCATTGCCGTATTCTATAGAATTTACAAATCATATAGAATATTAAATCTTAAAGTTAAAATTCTCAGCAAAAATCACTCGTTTTGTAAGGACAAATCACACATATTTCACACTTATCTGTAAACTGTTTTCATAATATACCTGTTCGCAGGTTAGGTGGCGGGCGTTTTGCCCAAAAAGGACCGCAAGGTTATGTGGGACTTGTATAATAACCGACACGCTTTTTTTTCAAATTTTGAGCGCGTCTTTGACTCTTTGTCATCGGTTCAAGGTTTTTCTTTCGTATTTTAACATAAAATACGCGTTATTTGAATTTGTCAATGAGTAGTCATGCGAAATTGGTGAAACACGCTGGATTAATATGTGAGGAGATCCGGATTATTTGTGAATAGTGACTGTGATCGCGAGGAAGAAGTAATTGTGTCATGGCCATGTGGAATTTCTAAAGTTGATAAGAAAATGATCAAAGGTTCCATTCAACTATCTACAATTTCAACAACAACATGTGTACAGCTAAAGTATTATAATTCAGTGGTGAGTGTGTTTGTATATAGTATATGTTTATATTTAAAATATTGACTATTTTTTCAGATCAGACTTTGTATGGCTGCTGGACACTTTTTCAAAACTTTGTCCAGCTGTCACATGCCTACTAGTATTAATTAAATATGAAATGCCCCTCTATATATAACCATGCACTGAGTCATTTAAAAGATTACTTTATTCACTCCATCAAGGCTTTAAGATCACCTTTAAGTGCAAGATTCTTGTGACTAATGCTGAATCAGAAATCCTCAAATTCTGATGCTGAATCAGAAATGGCAAGTATTATTGTATTTATGCTGTCAAAACTCAACAACTGCAAATCCTACTTCTGGTGAATCATATAGATAATATAATATACCTTTTATTTATATCATTATAAATAGGGCCATTACAACTATTCCGGTTTCTGTCAATGCTTTTGCAGTACATTTATAAATTCTATAGCTATATCATGGCATCATGCTAAGAATGAATAAGGTGTCAAATGTTTAAATTTCATATTTACTGTTAAAATTTACAGATTTTCTTATATCCAAACATATTAACCAAAGGTCAAAATTTGGTTTATGCAATTATGGGCATGTCGAGGATGCAAGAACAACTTTGCTCTCATTCCATACCTGGGAAACTTTAAATGTCTTTAAAGAAAAGGATGCAAAACCCCAACTCGACCCAGAGAAAGTTAAGAGTATATGTGGTAAGTAGTAATTGTTAGTAACTATTTGTGGAAGTTGATATATCTTATATACATATCTTGGTTTAGTTAATTGTTGACTTTTACTTTTTCTGTGTGTAGAGCATCATTTCGATGCACATGTTTAAGATGCCCAAACATTGATTCAAAGAAGCCATCAATGCTGGCTGCTCTGGAAAAGAACAAGAACAAAGATGTCCAACATATTATTGGTCTATTAGAGGATTGTCACCCGAACTAGAAAAAGGTATCTACAGATATATATGTATATAATATACAATGTTGAACTATGCAAATCACATTTATTATGTTGCCTGCTGAATCTTGTAATCAAACTTATTTAATAGAAATTGAAAACCATTGCATCTACACTGCCCCGCTGCATCAGTTGAGGCAGAGAAAGACCTGGACAATTATTTTGGGAAATTGTCCCTGTAAATATTAAACTATAGTTCAAGAGTTACTCCATAAGAACTAAAAATATGCTCAAGTGGCTGCTTGTGAAGTGTAGGGTCTTGCTCTTTTGTGTCCCAGGATTTTTCCCATATGTAAATGTTTTATTTCCAAGCTTAGGAATATAAAGTTTTATAATTTTTTGAATTTTATTTTGGGATAACAGTGGTGTTAAATTTAGACCATTGTAAAAAAAAGAACATTCCCGAAGTTGCTATTAACTGGATCTCTTGGTGACATCCATTCACTAGACCTTTTGGCTGAAGGCATGGTAGCAATAAAGTTTAAGCAGTTTTCCATCTTAAATGCTGTTGTGTGTTTGCTGACTGCATTGTATGTATCCAACGCAGAGAACCCTAAAGATGGAGGTGGGTAGACAAAGAATGTGTTCCTTCTTCTGGACCAGATATTACTACAAACAGACGGAAAAACGAACATTCCAATTGGAGTTAAAAACTTTTTACCGCAGCTTTGAGAACCTAGAAATGACTTAAGTATAGATAGATGAATCCTAGTAAGATAAGTGTTTGAATGTAGTAATTTGTATATATGTATGCAAATAACCATTAGGATAATTTATTTATTATATTAGATCTTTTATAATATATATGTGTGTTTTGACAAAATTTGATTTGAAGTGCTCTGAATTTCAGGATAATTTAACCAATCTTTAATTGGTTGAAATAATTGGTCAAAAAAACCATTGCACATTGGTTACATTAACCAAATTGAATATAGGTTACATCAACCTATTAAATATTGGTAGATTCAACCAATATTAATATTGGTAATTTTAACCAAAATGAATTTGGTAAAAAAATAACCAAATTTTAATTGGTTGTCCTGGTTGCATCCAGGAGAACCTTTTTTTTTTGGTTGTTTCAACCATTCATTTTTTACAGTGTAGATATACTTAGCTCGCCGTATTATAGGCATTCTTCCAAAAACAAGTTATAGCGAAATAGGTCTTCTGTAGCTTTATATATATAGATTCACGTATTTCAAGTACTTTGAGGAATGTTCGAAGAAATTTTGGCTAGATTATCCTTTTGGCCTTTTTACAGGCCTGCCCCGGTTTAGTTAGTTACTGCACTAAGCCACTAGCTCTTACGTTGCATGCATACATGTTTGATAAATATTTCACAAACAGTATTTTCAAATTGTATAATTTAAAACTTTCATCATGCAGGCTATCGCTGATAACTGGAAAGGTATACAAGCTGAATTTGAACATTTAGCTAAGGAGTCAGCCAACATCACTGAACTCATTGAGGAAAGTTACAATGTGAGTTTTATTTTCAGTTATTTACAAGACCAAAAACATGCGACAGTTGATATTATTACAAAGTCCTCTTTTTATCCCGTAATTAGAGGCACAAACAGGGCATATGAGTGCATATATATACCGGCCAAATTATTAGCTTTGTGCATTTTCCATGTCGTACATTTCTGGCGTATTAGTGAGTTTGGGAAATGACAACGGCAACCGCAACAACAAAATTATTCACCTAATATTGTGGTAATCAAAGAAAATACGAGTTAATATCGACTTGATTTGCCTCTTCAAGTTTCCTCTTTCTCTGAAACAGTTATTAACTATTATAAATATGGTCGAAACACGGTAAAACGGTAAACACTCCAAACAACATCGAACACATTAACTGCATGTTGCCGCGTTGCCGTAATTGCGTCACGATGCCGTTTCAGCAATTACGGCAGTGTACAACGTTAAAGGCCACGTAATTCACATTTTCTTTTGTCTAATGCCATTGTTGATAAGGACGTTGCGGTTGTTGTATTTCCCAAACTCACTATTATTTCGCACACATGCAGTAGGCTATACTGGCTAGTGAAACAGTGTAACATATTTATGCATGAAGATGCGCGTCACTCGCATGTTTGTTTGCAAAGGGTATAATATAGACGGGTATTTTTTAACCCTTGGCTGCATGAGCACATACCATCCGTATTATATTGAAGTAAGTTCGTTGTTCCCCCTTCTGTTTTTTTATGCATCATTTCCATACAATCCATGTGATTCCATCCAATCAATGTTGAGTAAAGTATAATTTTTATTAGCACAGCTTCAATCCAGCTACATATCTTTTAAAAAAGCGCTAAAGTTGGATTACTTTCTTATGCGTTTTGGAACATTATCAGACGCTTGGTCAGTTCTGATGTGTGATTTACATTGTAGTACAAACATATTAAAATACCACTGAATGTTTCATATCAATCATATGTAACATTTATTTTAGAAAATCACTTCTACAGTTCGACTTAATACCGTGCCAGCTAATCCTGACGATGTAAAGGTTACAATCACGCGGAACGAGTGTGGGTAAGTTCTGGACATTCATGCAGGCCTAATATTTTAGGGGGCGGAGGTTGATTAGCGAAAGTTAAAGAATACCCGTCGATTATCGCTAATGTTGGCGAATATTGGCTGAATTATGGCAAGGCAGATCATCAAAACATCCCAATTCCCAAGTAACCCATTTAGTCAAGGCGTAATTTTACTCGAGAAAAAAATAGTATGATGACTTATGGGATGATCTGATTCGATCATTAACCTTTCTTGATAGCTAACCAATGATATCTTATGATTCTAAAATTGATCGGTTAATTGCCAAAAAGTCGATTATATTTTATAATTGAAATAATTGTAACCTCAACGTCTTCCACCTGACTTCCAAACGGAAATTATAAATGCAAGATCTTACGCGTCATTCCTCTCTATAAGCACGCATGCCTGTCTAAAATTGATCTTTTCTTCAAACAATGGCCCTCATATTAGAAAATATTTATTTTACTGGTATTTGACAACAGTCGCTCTGCTTATAAGTTACAAATACACGTTTGAAGAAAATTCACTACACCCTGTGATGTAACATACGGTCAGTATATGGTATATTATATTACTCTGTATAGCTTGAACGAAAAAATAAACATATACTATATAATTATAATATATCTATATTTAGGTCTAATAATCCTGATAAACACGTGTGTGATAACGTCAAACCTGGAGAAAAAGTATGGATTATTTATGTGCATCATATATAGATTGCTTTATGGAAAAAGTGCAGACGTTTGGTAGATATTTGATATTCCGACTTGGTATTTCAGGTATCTTTCGACGTGACTGTAACTGCTACGTCGTGCAAAACAAACAGAACGAGGTAATAGTCTCTCCAGTCCAGTACCATCTCTGCAGTATTTATTAACTGTACTGATTCATTAATAATATACTGAAAATGTACTTTTAAATAAAGGGCTTATTTTAAAGAAAAGAAAACATTTATAGTCAAAATTGAGTGCCTAAATTATTATATTCCGTATTTACCAAAAATTTCACACATAGTTAACATAAATGCTAGTTTAAACAAATGAGAGGTAAACATTATAGGACTTGAAATAACGAGACCAAAATTGCGTCATGGGGCTGTTCTGAAAACATTCCATGCATGACCAACACCAAAAGGCGTCTACTTCTACTGTAGGAATTCAAATGGTTATCGGCTTGATTCGCTTTTAACCTCCAAATATCCAACATAAAAGATTAAAAGTGATATTTTACACTATATTCGGTATACGGGCTTTCTTTTGCCGCCTGTAAAGACTTCGAGAAATTCCCAGCGGATGGCCAACACACTCTAATGTTACCTAAAAAATTCTGCTTGCTAGTTTTGAGCTGAGTGCGTCATCATTTGGCAGAGTGGAGGTTGAACTTGATATTATATGTAGCTGTGATTGCGAGAATGAAGTAAGCATATATATGATTTATCGATTGACGAAGCTAAATTCCCTATGATTAGATACAGGAACTTGCATCTTTAGAAAATGTATTGTTGATATTTTTCTTGAACCAAACCATAGCCGTTTACAAGGTATTACTTTAACCGTTCTTAGGATGCTATTGTGTGTGAGCAAATAATAGTAGCTAATAGTAGGAGTTCGATCTACAATGTGGTGAAAATCGCATTTTTCATCCATCGTGTCCTATTAATTAAGCAGAGATGACAAATGCAACTTAATTTCACGTCATTTTCAAATAATTCACTAACTTTTTTCCCGTGGGACATTTCAGGCCCAATTAAACGGTAATCACTCCAGATGTAATGGTAATGGTAGCCTTGTGTGTGGTGGTTGCGAATGTAATGAAGGCTGGTTAGTATTAAACACGTTCACATGAGTTTTTCGTATTTGCCATTTTGACCCATAAGAAATTGGGTGTGGCGAGACGTAGTGGTTACACTCCCTCAGTTCCAGCAACCTTTCCTCAGTTATGGAAGATTAATTTTTGGTCTGAACGAAAATGGGGTTTTCCCCTTTCCGGGTTAGTTAATCAAGTGATAATTTATGATCGATTCTCTTTGTAGGTCTGGTGAATTTTGTCAATGCGATGCACGGCAGTTTCTAAATATCGACCCAGATAAATGCAAGATGACGAACGAAACTGGGAGTCTAGTATGTGATGGAAATGGAATATGTGACTGTGGTGTGTGCAGATGTAATTTAATTCCGGTGAGTTATTCAATTGCAAATCGAAATGACAAAAGAAACTATTAAAGCTCTTAATATTTTGCTGTATATTACATAAAATAATCATATTTCCGGTTGTGTTTTTCAGTAAATACTTCATATGCGAAAATGCATGCAGATACGTGAATGTAATGATTTTTTGTTCAGGGTGAAACGGTAAAATACTATGGACAATTCTGTCAATGTAGTGACTTCAATTGTGACAGGTCAAACAACATGCCATGTGGTGGACGTAAGTATTTCTAGGGTTTATTTTAACTCGCTATGAACAGAAATTTATAAATGGGGAAATATAGTTGCCTGTTTATCCTCTATAAAAACATGGCTCTTTATCAATAATTGAAATGGTGTATTTTCCGCACCTCCCGGAGCTTTTTACAGCTTACATTTCATCATTTTTTGTTTTAATTTAAAGTACTATATCGATAATTTAGTGTGTGACTACCACCCCAGACTATTGGTAGATATGCACTCAGGAATGATTGATGTGTTTGTTTTCTTTTAATCTAAACCACAAAAAGCCAGCAGCATGCATCTTTGACATTTTGTCATCATTTGGCCCATGCATTATAGTTCATCTGTGTGCACGCCAGAACATTTGTAATATACCTGTATCACACTAGTTGCATCCTTATTCCGTTATTCTCCTATGAGAATACATTTCTTTGTTTGTTCTCGCCATTTGTCCAATCAAAAAGGTCTTTGCTCGCTTTAGGGTATATTCCGGCTAGAACGAGTGATTTGTGTAGTGCATTAATTATAACGATACGTGCATTATTGTTAATGATCCAACGTGCATGGTCCAAGAAAGGTACAGTTACTGACTAAAATTTTTGTGTACTTTTAGCTGAACGAGGAAAATGTAAATGCGGCAAATGTCATTGTAAAGAAGGGTTCATTAACACTAATTGTGGTGACATTGATTGTTCTATACGCTTGCCTGACTGTGTCACTGTTAAGGTTTGTATTTCTGGCTTTATTTCCTTAATCTAGTTTATATTTTTATAACTATTATAGTCTCTGTAAATAGTTGTTCAATCGAACTATTATTAAATAACTTCGCATCAAATGTGGTATAACAACTGCCTAAAATAGATAAAAACACTTCTCGACGCTTCGACGTAGGAGACTTTGTCGGGAGATTTAGTATGAGCTATACGTAATATGCATTTCAACACCACGAAACTTCTTATCCAGGATGGTGGAGTTCAAGTGAACTGTAGTGAACATGGTTCTTGTGAATGTGGTGTGTGTAAATGTGATCCATTTTATCAGGGACGGCATTGTGATGAATGTCCGGTATGTTAACATTGTGTTATCTGAACATATATCTGAACATGCGCACCCTTCTATATCAAAATAATCGTTACTCTGGTCTGAAATTTGAGGGCAAGTTTACAATTTTGTGCTTTCATTTTATGGAAATTTTTCTCCTTTTAATTGATGTGAGTGAGTGAACGTCCAGTGTGGAAACACAGATACGGATCGCGCAGGACTAATGAACAAATTGTTCATAACCATCAACCTAAGATAATCACGTAAAACATGGCAAAAATAGTGTATAGACCTGTTGTGTAAACTCCATGCCCTTTAAGTGATGAGTGGTTATATTAACACCATATTGTATTCAGTGAAACTTTATTTACTTGAAACTCGATTTACTGCATGTGCGTACTGCATATATCTTTACCAGGATAACCAGGACATAACGCTGCTGTAAAAGCGAGTTCGTATATTGCGAAAATTAGAGAACTTACTGCATGCTCTAATTTTGTTAAATTCTAGTCTTGTGCTGGTCGTTGCGGTGATTTTAAGACATGTGTCTTGTGTAAAGTATTTGGTGTTTCCCCAAGTAATGCGACATTGTGTGAAAATTGCCCGGAAATAGCGAAAGTACAAACTCTTGCAAAACTTAGAGGATGTAAGTATATAAAAAATCTGTTTTTCATATTCTGTATAGAAGGGAACCAAAAACATACTATTTTAAAAAAACATCCATCATAGTATAATACGTTAATGCTTTCTATGATTGTTGTTTACTTTCTTGAGTTTCTTCATACTGTTTATGATTCAAAAATATTAACTAGATATTGCTTATATTTTTTTCTAGTGAACCTTCCGGCGGAATGTCAAGAGACGGATAACGATGGGTGTACATATTACTATACTTATGAAAACAAAGGAAACAAAACCATCGTTCATGTCGTGGAAAGCAAAGGTTGGTAATATTATATTTCAGTTAAATCCGTGGTTAAATTATTGGTTAATGGGTAAACTCATAGACAATCCAGAAGACATGCATGCAGACAGCCCTCAGACCCGCCCGGTGGGGAAATTGCATTTCAGATAGAGTTTCTACTTTTAGACGCAGGAATCGGATAATGATTGCGGTGAAATTAAGTTAGAATTAGGAGAGATATCACAATCGCTATTTAAACCTACATATACTTTGATGTAGCACGGCGGAGTCCTTATCTACGTTTGTTTGTTTCAGATTGCCCCGAAGGTCCCGATGTTTTGCTGATCGTTCTTGCTGTTATTGGTGGTATTGTCGGTATTGGTATCATCCTCTTGATTCTCTGGAAACTTCTTATTGCTATGGTGGTACGTAGAATTCACTTTTCAAAAGCAACCTCATACCCAGCGTATATCCTTGTCACGCCCACGACACATCCTACGGAGGAACCAAAAGGTTAATTCTAAGATTGTCGTGAAATGAATAGCGAGCAAGATTTCTGTTTGAAACCTGATGTGTACATACATGGTAACTAATCGATAGATCATTAGTCCTGAGTTTATTTACACATCCGTTTGCACACTATACGATCAGACGTTATAATTAAACAAACACGGGTGCAAAAGCTTTAAGACATTTTACAAATTTTGGTATCAGTTTGATAAGCAAATACATGGCATTTCTACCATTTTTAATCGCACACAACTGACAACTATCCGTATCTTATTTTACCAACTTAGTCTTTTTATCTACACTGATCGATGAATAGACAGACAAGCAAAGAGTACAGACGATGATAATACCTTACTAATATATTGACTTTTTATTGTTATTTTTCACAACGCTTTTTATTTTTTACAGGACCGACGTGAATACCAGAAATTTGAGCGGGATAGAGCTCAATCGAAATGGCACAGGGTACGTTAATTTATAACTTTGAAATCATAAAGTTTTCAACAAATTAACAAACATATTTTCTGTACGGTTGATTCGAATTAAACATGGTTCATTCTGAACTAGCACTGATCTCGGTGTGATTTTTCCCACAATACTCTAATCTTTATATTTTCAGGAGAAAAATCCTTTGTATCAACCAGCCACCACTACTGTTCCGAACCCAATATTTGTCGGACAAAAAAGTTAACGAATTGTCTCTATCATATAAAACATGCTTACCAATTTGGACGCATTGGTCAAAAGATTTGCAACAGGCTACATTTTAATTTATTTTTATTGTGTTGTGAGTGAAAATAATTCATTCAAGAATGCGAACTTCATTATCCAAAAAAATACCCCGACGTTGAATTTCTCAAGCTCTGGTTTGGGTTTTTAATTTTGGCTATTGTACATCCATATTTAGAAGCCTGGTAAAATTAACCAGTGGGTTGCACTAATCTCCTCGGAAGACACTCCATTTCATGAAAGTTTTCCGCGTTTTACCCTAATTTACACTTCCGCGTATTGCTCAACTGTTCGTCATGAATAACTATTTATGTAAATCTTTCTGTACACGTTACCGCCCACAACAACACGTTTTTTTTCACGTATGTGCACTATAAATCTGCGATTGAATAGACACATAGGGTTGGGTTCTGTTGAAGATTTGGTATGTTTTTTCTTCGATAAAATTAATTATGTAACAACTTAGAAGGTTTTCAACTTTTTATACGTGCATGCGTGTACGCGTACGTGCAAAAAACGCGACAGTGGAAAGCATTCCCTTCTCTGGAGAGGGAAGGGAGGGGAATCTCTAGCCTGAAGTACTTCCATGCAGGAAACGTTCCTCTCCGGCCTTTGTAGAATTGCTTGCCTTATTTTGGCCTAGTGAGTGAACATCGAATCTTTAAGCAATCTTCAAACAAGGAATTTGTATTGTGAAAATCATTGGCTAGAGCTATCTGTACGAAATAATACGTAAGTACATTCATACGAGATATAGGTGCATATTTAAATAGCTACAAAATGACCGAATGTGTATTATATTCTCAAAAAGACTCCATATTATTGAAAGAATTTTTACTGAGATCGACGGGATTATGATCGAATTTGGCTATATGTTCTAAGTCTAAGAGTTCTTTAATGTTTTCGTTTTGATTCTTTAACGAAATAATTTCAGCTTTCATGTATGCTCAATATCAGGACAAGACCGGTTGTTTTTATAACAATGTTTTCGAGTTTATGCACCACTGCCTATATCTCACTTGCTCTCGAATAAATTGACTTCCTTTTTGCACACCAAGTAACGAGTAGTTGCTCGCACTCGTTCGTAAACCAATTCGAGCAGCTACTCGTTACTTGCTATGCTTTGGGCAGTGGTGCAAAAACTCGAAAAATTGTTATAGAAACAATTCTTGGTCTTGCCCTGATATTGAGCATACATGAAAGCTGAAATTATTTCGCTAAGGAATCAAAACGAAAACATCAAAGAACTCTTAGACTTAGAACATATATAGCTAAATTCCGTGGGCCTAGCCTTGTCAAACATGTGCAACATGGAAATTGCAAACGAATAAACTAATCGCCTATCTTCAATCATTTTGACCCCCTCGCTAATGAACAGACTGAATATCGTTTATCAATCCATCGCCAAAGTTATAACAAATAGAAGAGTACCGCAACAATCAGAGACTAAAATGCATTGCATCTGGGACCTTCGATGCCCGTGAGAGGAAAATTAATCTGTGCCGTATAATGCGAGCGAAATCAAATCGCATCGGAACATTAGATTTCGAGCTGTGCACCACAACTCTTGGGAGACAAAACTGTGACATAGATAAATACGGTCACCAATACGGTCACATGCACTTTTCAAATACTAGTACATTTCGCGCCAAAACACACTTGCGACGGCGAAAAAAAATAAAAAACAAACAAACAAAACAAAACCGAGGTGAATTTTCAAGCCGTCGCTGACGCCGGAGTAGCCACTCCAGCTCCGGGTTCACTCGAATCCGGAGCCGGCTAAACCAGCTCCGTTTTCGCGGAGCCAGCTGAGTATCCTGTCATGTGACAAACAGACACAGACTCAGCGACAGACATGAATAGGAAGAAAGAAATCAAGAAATTTATATCATCGGCGACTCTGTTCTCAAGAATCTAAACGGCTACCGACTATCAAGTAAGGCAAAGGTTCAGGTACGTTCTTTTCCTGGCTGTACTGCATTACACATGAAAGATGAATGCCAAGCCGATATTGAGAAAAAATCCAGCAGAGATAATTATTCATGTTGGGACAAATAGTCTATGCGAAAATACCATGTCAGCAAGAAAGCGTGCTGATGAAATAATTAATATAACAATAGAGTTGATGTTCGCGGGCATGAATGCGTTTTTGGCCCGACTCTGAACTCATTTTATGCAATGGGTAAACATTTTAGTCATTGTTCTGACTGGCTTAGATCAGATGTTTTCAAGTAAAGTTAGAGACGGTTAACAAATATTTGGAACAAGAGAGCAAACAAAGAAAATGGCGATTTATGAATAATAGTAATAACGTAGTGGCTATCTTTAAACTGACCCGGAACGGGAAATAAAGGAACGGGGAAGCGAGAACGACACGGAACGAGAATCTCCGGAGATCTTTAGAATCCGTAAGGCGTCACGGGAATCTCCGGAATCTTTAAAACATGGAATTGCGAGAACTCCGGAGAACCTCGAACAGGGCCGTCGCTAGGGGGGACGTGACATCCTCTGTAAACTATATAGTTGTCGGCAAATGAACGATTTTTAAACCTCACATGACCTTTCGTTACTGTTTAGTTTTTTGACATTGTAACTAGTTTAAGCCCAGCATTTTTTATTGAATCCTAGCGTTTTCATCAATATACATGTAAAATAAAGATGTCGAATAGGTTTAATTACGCGTAATAATGTAGTCAATTTAGAAAAACCACACCCATTTATCACGCCCATTTTGTCGGCAAATTCGATACTCACCCCCCCCCCCTCAAATAAATCGACCTCAACATAGTTAATGAGTTATATTGTAGTTTTATCTGGTCTCCAAACCATGTATATTCTATTAGCTTTGCACAAACTGACAAACTGCACAGAGGAAGAATACATATGTATATGGTTTAGTTTCTGCAAACGGTAATGCGGATGATAACTTCCGAACGATCACGAATTTCGTACTACGTACGTGACATTCTTACTATCTATCTTAGACTGACGATGATTGCTAAATTCGCTTGGCTAAATTTTCCGCACTTTTAACAATATTTCGCAGCCAAACTTGGCAATTTCACTAAATTTATTATTACTTTTCGGCAATTTTCTTCCTGTCGCCTAAATCAAAAGTTAGTCTATTATGCAAGTGGTCCATTATGGGCTGTTTATTTGCAGCCGTATTAAAAGTGCCTCTTTTAATAGACTTGTGGATATGTGCTGTAAATTGTGTTGCATATCAAACGCTAGTTTCCGTTTTATGATGTCATAACGAATACAAATGAAAATAACTCGTTAGTAAATTAATTACGTGCGATCATATAGCATTGTTCAATTCTGTGTTATAAAGTATCCTTTGCAAATATTGCAATTGAATCTATGTATAAATATCTCATTTCTTCGTGGTCGTTATATATTTGTTTTTATTATATGAACATGAGTGTTATATAGAGATTTACGCCTCCGAAAAAAACACACGTAAAAATATACGATATCATTTTCGCAAGCCAATCAAAAACCGCGTAGGAAATATGTTTGACCAATCAAAAAATCTTTCTAGCTCACAGTTTCAGATTATAACTATAAGCGCATTTTACTGAACATTGTTATTTTAAACGTGTGCCCTTGAAGACATATTTGTTTTTGAGTTACTAAGAATTGTCGATTGCTTATAATTTGTTCAAAGACTTCATATAATAAACCGAATTTACTCTAATTTAGAAACATGGTTTAATTTGGTAGTTGTCCATACCCATCTTTTATATACTGTAGTAGGAAATCTTAATATACAAAACATAGTATAGTTTGCAACTTACATGTTGAAGAGAATATCAATATAATAAATTTTGAGTGTTGTAAGTGTTTTAGGTTTTCAATTTTTTCTTTTTTTGGCTTTTGTTTCAACTCTTTCACACTTAATAGTGACCAATACAACACACAGGCTAGGTAGGTGACCTCCTGGTGACATCAAAGTATAGTACACCTAGCGTTAATTATTCTAGAAATGACCTTCAGATCTTCCTTTAAATGGATAAAAATTGTTCTACCCTAGTGTATGGTACAGTAAATACTGACTAGTTGCGATTGTTATCATAGTTACTGTATGGTATTTTTTGTTTTGTATTTTTAGAACAAATAAATTGGAAATGAAGTCTCTTCTATTCCTAATAATTTTGCAGACATCTCGCATAATATATGCACAATCAGGTTTGTTCCTAGAAACTAATAGATTCAGTGTTAATATTGATGTATAAATAGTAACAATTATAAAATTGTGGGTAAAGTTACAAACTTCATAACTAATTCACATTTCATGATCACAGTTGATTTTGGAACCTATCAACACCATACCTAAATTTACATCTGGGGCCGGTTGTTTCAAGCCCGTTTAGCTTAAACGGTGGTTAAGTTCAAAATAAAAAGCAAGACTAGTCTATCGTTTTACTCAACAAGCAAACAAAGATACTGTTTACAAATACATACTTAAATGTATAATATTCAATAATATTCACCCATTCAAAACAGATGTAAGGGTGTAATTTAATTTTGACTTATCCACCGTACCGTTTAAGCTAAACGTGCTTGACACAACCGGCCCCAGAGGCCAGAACTGATAAGATCATAGGTGCGCAGAGATTTTTCGTTCTCGTGGCACTCGCGCGTGTGCTTGAGTCTCGGTCTATTATGACCGAGTAGACTATAATAAAGTAGACCGAGTGGAACACAAATATTGTTTTTTACACAATAAGCCTCGTTTACATGTTGTGCGAAGGCGCGGTCACTAAGTTTCGCAATTGGTCTATATCATAATAATAGACCGAGTAGACTCGCGTACACGCGCGAGCGCTACGAGAAGCGAAAACTTTTTAGGGCTGCCTATGATAACATGCTGCCCCCTAACTCTATTTGTAAATGCTGAATCCCCCCCAAAATACCCTACAAGCCAAAAATCGGTTTTGAGATCGTTCTGAAATTCAAATTTATTGCTCAACAACTATATATAGCTTATGCTTCGCGATCACTGACGTCACTGAACTCACAGCGCAACTGGACTAAGTTGTATTATTTCAAATAGTATTTTTATTGAGATTCCTATTGTCTTATAAGTTCTTTCAAAAAAACGTGATTTCACCGGCATGGTACGACAAACTCTGCTGTACAAAATCACAATTTTTGCCTATACGATGAGCTGCATGTAAATGTTATGAAAATGTCGGGTGACGATCATAGTATAAAAGCGACTTCAACACTTCATTGAAACACAACCAAAAGAAAATTTTCTTCTTTCCAAACTTTGTTGGAAATACTGTTTTCATAAACTGAGCATATAGCTTTCCTATTTTAATCCTCCACAAAAAACTAGAACTCCGCGTTTGGCTTTGATTTCCAGTAAAATATACAAACCGGCAATTATGAAACCCTTAAGTCACAGCCAAAGGTAAAAAGTCGCTAAGCACAACACTTTTTCATATCCAGTCATAAAAATATGCTCGCTGCATGTAAAAGTCACATATTTCATTAGAACTCATTAAACCTAAAGAAACATGATTTTTTGTAATACCGTGTCAGGGTCGACTGTAGCCTCCAGCAAATGACGTAATGTGAAGTGTGGACAATACAATATACTTTTTAGGAAACTGCGGGCAAATTGTAGATAATACGTGTTCATCGTGCTTACAAATACCTGGATGTGCGTGGTGTAAGTCAGTGGTAGGTGTATTATTTAATTTATGCAAGCATGGTACTTCAGTCATATACCTACTGTTTTACTGTACAAAATAGCATGGTTCTTACTTCTTACAACCTAAAATACCACTGTACAATTGTTAAAGCTCAAATCTTATTCTTGTATAAAGTTTTCTCTTGTATTAATACTAAATTAAATTGCATGCTGGTTGCAATAAAAAATTTATTGTTATGGCCCGTTTTTATTGCCATCTTAGAACTATACAAGTGTGCGGTGCAACACTGAAGAAGAACATACGAGGTTACAATGTAATATGACAGTTACTGGTAACCCAGATCCTAAACCAACGGTGAGCTAACGAATTATGGCTTTTGCTAATTTTGTGTTGCATAGTTGTAAAAAAATATAATGTAAAAGTTAGTAAGAGTGTGTGTTTTTGTGATGAAAACTTCACTAAGTATGTGGCTGCGTGATTTTTTACTTTGAGAGTAACCACGACCATAATCTCATCTAATCTGATCCACTAACCGGACCACGGAGTCATACTGGTGTGAGAATTGATATTTCAAAAAAATTCTATAGGACATTAACATCGGTATCGATCAATAATATATATGATCGTGGTTTTATTCCAACTATACAGTCAAGTATGTGGTTCCTCTCAGAGTAACGTCACACAAATAATTCGTGGACGTTCAAAACACCACAGAGGAGAGATTGATATCTCTTCTCTGTGAAAACACCAAAACAATCAACGTCGTTTTTAAGTTCTGCAGAGTGTTTTAAACCATGCATAGACATAATAAGTCCTTTTTTTGTAGCTTATCGAAAAGCCACTTGATGATAGAAATCAGATAACCCCGAGAAAAGTTTTATCGAGAGTGCGTGTTGGTAGGTAATATCATTTCAGCATTATACCATAGATATGAAAAAACCCGAATATCGAATATGAATTTTTCAGAAGCTAAATTTTGACTGCCACTCTTGGTACTCCAGATCCATTGTTCTCGAATCTCGACCTTGTGAACTCTAATAACACTTTTAGAGTTCATTGGTTTGGCTATATAGATGGGTCCCTGGTCTATATATATACTATATATCGAGTGAAAGTCTTAAATTGTTTGTAAAAGTGAGAAAAGTAATGTATTCCTGTATAAAAACATAACATGGCCGCCATCTTGAAGCTTGCATGTGGTTTGTTTTAGCGACTGTTTACATGAGGCCGGTTTTCGCCATATTCATGCATCCACAAATAAATTTTTAAGAATGGGACAAATTACAGCAATCCACATCAATATACACTTCCTACAAGAGACAATCATGAAACCGCATGGAATATGCGATTTTGAACAGCTGGATGGAGTATAGGATTTGAAGAAAAAAGAACTTAAAAGTTAAAAGCAAAGCGAAATCCCAACAACATTTACAATGTTCATGCAGTAATTTGTTTTTAGGCGAACCTTTGAAACTCAAGATCGACGTTCAACCTTCTGCAAACTATCCTCTTGATTTTTATATTTTGATGGATTTATCTGCGTCTATGGCAGACGATTTAGCCAGTCTCAAAAGGCTGACCCGGAATATTTGTACGTATACACTTATTTTTTTTGCAAAACAAGGAATAAACAGTAATTCAGTTCTTTTGACTTATAGGGCCGAGATTTTATCCTTGTCATAAGTACTTTTGGTTTAAGTACGGGGAATGTTTTTTTCTTTTTCTTCAGCAATGAAGTTGAATGAACTTACAAGCAGGCACCGATTAGGATTTGGTTCATTTGTTGACAAAACAGTAGCTCCATATATGAGACATGAACGGCAAGTGTTAATAGACCAAATATATAGATTATGCCTTTGCGCGCGAAACATGTACGTCAGTGTATTTGAATAATTAAACATATAGATTTAAACTTTTTTAGGGTTGGTAAACCGTTCATGAGTGGAAATGTTGCAAAAGACATCCCATATGATTATAAACATGTACAGTCCTTCACTGATGATATGGATAAATTTAGCGTAAGTTTCAATGTTCCGACTATATATAATTATACTATTTGTGTAACGTTAACTTTAGCGTTCAGTTTTACCTAAAATTTTGTATTTTCTGTATTTTCTTAAAATGCCACTTCCACAAATAGCAAATAAGTCAGAAGAATTCCGACGGGAGAATGTTCTCATTTGATTCAGACTTTGTCTTGCAATTTTTCTTGCAACTTGCAATGCAATTCTTCTCAGTGTCACTGTGACTCTTCTTTTGGGAGATTGGCAACTACCAAATTTTTGCCTTTATTAAAATACATGGCGTTTTTTCTTATACTTACATTTTGAAGCCTCTTCACTAATTTACATCTCTTAAAAGTAGAATTGCATTGCAAGTTGCAAGAAAAATTGCAAGACAAAGTCTGAATCAAATGAGAACATTAATTAATCAGATATACAAGTGTTCAAGGTGAAATATTCTTAAAATTTCAGTTTTTCTTTGTCCTCGCCCATTTGACAGTGATTGCATGATGCTCAAAACAACCGACAACCGCTATTATTGCGGCGTATAATCGCCAAAAATCCTGGAAAATTTCTATAATAATCTATAAGCTATAAACATACCTATATATATTTTGATGTCCTCCCTTCTTAAGGCCGGCCTCCACTTGCACGTACTATCAGTGCCTCGAAACTGGTCGCTAAGCCGGCTGTCGCGGCAAATTTTTTGTACGCATGACAGTAGAACTGTAAAGTGTAATCTACTGTCAAGGCGGGCCATAGGCGGCCGTCACCGCACATGAAAGTGGAGGGCTTAAGGGGACGGTTTTCGACTTTCCTCGTAATATGAAATTATTTCATTATTTATTATATAATTAGATGTATTTTTTTAGAAAAAGATCTTTGAACAAATAAGCTCCGGTAATCGTGATGCCTCAGAAGGGACTTTTGATGCTCTGATGCAAGTTGCAGCCTGCGAGACGGTTTGTTAATCTGAAATGAATAATAAATAAAAAAGAAATAAAGAGAAATATTTAATACCACAAAAATTATACCGTATTTAACCGTTCTGGGCCATGCAGCAATGGCGCTGACGTTCCACCGTGTTGATTATTCAAGGTGCAATGATGACCAATTTGTTAAGTGATAAATAGGATTTTGGTATGCAGTGATAAAATTTCGGCCTTAGAATATCCCCTGTTAAATAAAAGCTATTTTATATATTGACATTATATACGGCTGTATGACTGATGCACGCGAGTTCAGTGACTAGAACTATGCTAGAACAAACATTGAAACTATGGATCAATTAATATATTCACATCATTGGATAAAATGGCGTAGCTAGCACGATAATTGGGCGGCCCAAATTCATGTATTCATTTTGTTGGTGACTAATTTCTTTTGAAATCGATCGTCTTTACAGCCTGTTAAGTGTTAACATGAATATATCAATACTGATTGGATCATTAACATTAGCAAACTGTTATCTTCTGTTGTCGGCTTATCGCCTATGATAACGAACTGAATTTTATTCGCCTGTTCACAGAATAGACATACAGGGTCTCAAAAGAAACGAAAACTATTCAAATCATTCATTGTTAAAATTTGAATGCCGTGTTCACGAATTTTAGCTCGTGGGGATTTAATGCAACTTATAAAATACGAAATGCTTTGTGTTGCTAGAGAAAGGGGACATGTCGAAGGTCATGGTGCTTGAGATGCACATTTAAATATTAATATCCATATTTGTAAATTGTAAATATTGTTAATAAATATCATTTTTGCGTGCAAGCAAATTTTACTGCATCATATGCATGCATGAAAATGCTTATGGCAAACATTTACACACCTGTGGGTCCCAACAGAGTGTTTAGGCATTCAAACTCTAACAATTACATTGTTATGCGTGATTTCAAAGGTTTTCGTTTTTTTTGAGACACCCTGTACAGGGTGAGTCAGAAAAAAGTCCCCTCTATTGAAATCAAGCCTTTGTTAGAATCTGATTGCCTTAATATTATGATAAACCCAATTGAAAGCAAGACGCTTTATTTGAATGCCTCAACCTAATAACTATGCTATTTACACACTACTGCGTTGATCATGCATTCAAATCAACAAAGGCTTCATTTCAATAGGGGGGACTTTTTTTTGACTCACCCTGTATATTGACAGTATAATGTCCGTTGTGTGACATGAAAGTGGTGACATGAAACTAAAAGTAGCGAAAGTATTATTTTAGGATAAATGTAATAAAATCAAATTTATATAATAAGACAATACTTTTATCTCAAAAATACAGGAACCTTTATTTTATTACAATTTCAGGAGTTAGGATGGAACTCAAAGGATACGACACGTCGGATGGTGCTTATTGCAACAGATGCCCCGTTTCATATGGCTGGGGAAGGCAGGGTAGGGTTGATAATATTTCGAAAAACTATAGAATTTCTTGTTTCTTGTAAAACGCTTGAGTATAGTTGAGTAGAACAATTAATTCATCTGAATAGTATTTAAAACCATTTGAATAGTACAATTAATTAATTTCAATAGTAGAATCAATCCATGTGAGTAGAATAAACTGGACCATTATTCTATCTGAATATAAGTAAAGTTCCATGCGCTTATTTTTCACTTCCTAATTTATAGTTTGGTGGTATTTTGAGTCCAAATGATGCAAAGTGTTCGCTCACCCCAGAAAAGAACGGTGTTCGATATTATGCCAAGGCTTTGGAGATGGTAAGGTTTGCGTCCGCGTTTTCCAGCCATATTCTGGTATCATTTAAGCCCACATGAACCTTCAAAAACTCGCCATATGTTAGTTATTTGAATTTGCATTACATTTTTACGCGCTCCACGCTGTTCCCCTATATTATATGTAACTCGCTAAGCTATATACGTAACGCTGTTCCCTTAAATTACGTAACTCGCTAAATTACGTAACGCTGTTTCCCAAAATGACATTACCCATTTCATGCGCAGTTGTTTCACGCTGCTCCCAGGTTATATTGGAACATATAGGAAGATAATATAACATTCAACCATGATATTATAAATATTTACCCAATTAGTATGTGAATTGCGTGAATATAAACGAACTCAAGTCTATACAACAGACAATCACCATCGTTCAACTGTCCAGATATTTCCAGAATTTACTTGCTTTTATGGTTGAATAATCTAAATACGTTAAGCCTTTATTAAATATATTTTTCGTTTAAACTGCCTAATATTTTCTGCGGTACAAATTGCGCTATATAGGCACTAATTAGTATTAATTTTAGTACTAATTAGTACTAAAAGCATTAATGCTTTTCTACCTTTCATATGGAATAGATTTCGTAAAAATTAATATCTACCACGGAAATTCGTGAACCCGACAACAAACATATATGCCTCAATTATTCATTGCATGTGAGAGGAAAATTCACCTGCTGTAGTTTTCATTTTTTAACCTGTCCTAGGACTATCCGACATTGGATCAAATATATCAGAGACTGGTAAAATCAGCGATTCAGCCAATATTCGCTGTTTATGCCACGGATACATTTACTCCTCAAACGTACGGGGTAAGATTGTTTAGCGTGGATATTATATTTCGTATGAAGGTATCCGCCTTAACTGCTCTGTAGCTCTGTGATGTTATATATATATTTAATTATTTTGTAATCTATAATTATTTTAAAACCTTAGGCTGTCGTAGATAATTGGAAAGGTATACAAGCTGAATTAGGAAAGTTGGTTGATGACTCAAGTAACATCATCGAACTCATTGAAAAAAGCTACAATGTGAGTGTTTTAGCTCTTGATTTATTTACATGCATTGATTTATAACGTCAATTTCATGCACAGACGTTGTTTCCAATTGGGCGAAATCAGACACAATCCAATGGAGATTTTTCGTAATATTTTATAAATTCTAAATTGATTGGATTCTGATTAGATTACAGTTAAACTATTATAGAAACAACCTTAATCAGTTCACAGTACCTGAAGAGAAGATCTCAACTGATTGTCAAACTCACACAAATTCTGCTATCGTTCTCTCGCACGCTTGTCTCACAATGAATCTGATATGCTTCTGTTCTCTGATTGCACTAACACCTAATCACTACTGAATTCAATCACTTCTCATGCAAATCAAATAGGATCATGCTAAATTAATTTAAACTGCGAAATGATTAATAACCAAAATAATCTAATAATAATAGCTGAAATGGTCAAACCATATGTAAACTGTCCGATCCAGACGTACCAGAAAATCAATTGACATGCATGCAAGATTTCAGTCCAGACTTGGGAGTGCGGACTTGGGATTTCAGTCCAGACTAGGTCTCGCGCACGTCGCCGTCATTGTTGTCCGCAATTTCCCTAGCTAGCCAGTCGAAGATATTTCTTGCCAAAAAAATTTTGTTCCGCTTTCTGGCCAGTATAATAAAAAATCTGAGTGGCTTTTCTTGTCTTTATTCTATTCCGAGAGTGAAGCCTTCGACATATCACTAATTGATATATGGATTAAAATTCACAAAAATAGTAACTCCGAATAAAGTAAGCATTTTCATTCAACGTTTCGACTTTATTTAATCATCATCATTCCTGATGATGACTGTAACGACTGAGAAACCTGCACAGCGTCTGTTATGAGCATTAAAGCGGGTTTCCGAAAGAATTTGTTTCATGAAAAACGGTCATCGAGACCTAAAACTGGAAAAGGAATTCCCGCCCGGAGATTAGCAATTACACCCGGGTATGTGACAGAACATCCAAATTCAAAGTTGCCCATAAAAATCCTATGTCATGGACCTTGGACGTTCAATGGTCATGGTACTTGTTGGAATATTGAACATATAATGATAGCGATGTCAACAGAATCAATATACGGCTTTACCTCGAAAGCTTGGATTTATACGGACATGTCGATGGATCGGCTGTTAGTCCTGCAGAAGATTCTGCTGAAACGGTGAAACAAGCTTTTCGAACTGGGGCAAAGAAAGCATGAACTAATAACTGTCTGGCTATATATATTGAGCCTGAATAACAGATTCACGTTAGAGACACTACTACTGCCAAAGAAGCCTGGGATGCGCTGAAGACCCAATTCGCACGAGAATCAATTCTACGGAAAGTAAGATTGCGACAACAGTATTATACTTGTAAATTTCAAAGTGGTGGGAAAATGTTAGAGCACATTAACCACATGAGATCACTCCATGATCAACTGAGAGAAATGGGCGTCAATGTTGATGACAAGGAACTGGCAATGACGTTACTTGGAAGTCTTCCTGATGAGTATAAACCGTTAATTACAGCCTTAGACGCTGTTGGGCAGTTGGGAAAGATAATTTATTTTTTGAGGAAGTAAAAGGAATACTCCTAAATGATGTAGACCGGATGTCTGATGCCAAGAAGATGGAGGATACCTTTTCTGTGCAACGCAAAAGATGGTCTCCACATGAAAATCCCGAGAAAGGTGATGGAAAATTTAATGGTATCTGTCATTATTGTCAAAAAAAAAGGACATATGGCCAAGAACTGTCGAAAAAGAATTGCAAAGAGCAACTCAAATAGCAAGAACAAGTCGCCTAATGTTGTAAACAAGGAAGAGCAAGAAGATCACAAAGATGCTCACAAAGTCACTGATCAAGAAGCATTATTTATCTCTAATCATGCATGGTAACAATTCTGGGTGGATTATAGATTCTGGTGCAACACAGCATATGTCGTATGAAAGGCATCGTTTGAGAAATTATGTTGAATTTAAACGACCATGTAAAGTGAATCTTGGGGACAATCTTGGGGAGATGGACATGTGTCCATCTTTCAACTATGTCTATGCCTATGGTCCAGAAATGTTTTCGTTCTTGTGACGCTCGCGCGTGTACGCGAGTCTACTCGGTCTATATGCCAAGGTTGGCAAGTTTTTTTTTACTAAAATATACCACAACGTTTGCTAAGGCGTGAATATCTTTCAAAATTACAAATAAAAATAAAAAATTGCATCGGTTTAATTAAACGCCGGTAATTTGACTACAAGTTTTAACTCTCCTGAAGTTTTAACTTCCAACGTTAATTTTAAGGAAACTAAAAAGCAAATGTTTTTCAAGATTTTGACAAAATTTTATCGAAACTATCCTGGGGTCATCTACCCTGTGGTGTCGTCATCTTTTTGAATTGAAAATAAAAAGCTTAAATTTCCAACTGAAAGAACGACAGCCAATCAGTCATAATAATAGACCTGGTAGACTCGCGTATTTTGTTTACTTCGTGTTTGCATGCTGTACTGAGAATACATTTTATTTTTATAAGTATCAAGTATGAACTTGGTATGTCGTTTTGCGAAGACCTAACCGACTATTTAAGGCTTTACATCATCGTTTATTATAAACTTCAAAAATAATTCCTGAAAGTATAATTCGGATTTTTTATATAACAAATGTCACTTTAATTTTAAAGCTTTTATATAGTCGGCTGCAATCTCTGATTAAATCGAAAAACAGCATTCGAAGTTTAATGCTTGAGGATTTAAAGTATTTGTGCTGTTTTGATGTTTTGAAGGTTTAGCTATAGTGAGGTATTAGCTGTGAAAGTCTATAAAGTGCATGCAACATAGCCAATGCAGCAGGAAAATTGGTAATTCTACTTCACCTTTACGACCGTGCTTGTTTCCGAAAAATTTGAAACATCAGGTATCGGCTTTTGTCATTTCATAATCGTGATTAGGTCTGGCTGGCTCAGGAAATATTTTGATTCGTTTGAATAGCGAGGGTTACTGCATGCATGTATTTCCAGTAAATATGATGATGTACTTTATATCTAATGTTTATGAAGACTTTTTTACTGTACTTCAGAGAGAGACTTCCACAGTTAGGCTGAATACTGTGCTGGCTAATCCTGAAGGTGTCCAGGTTACAGTAACAGGGAACGAGTGTGGGTAAGTGCATGTATTTAGCTCTTTATTGGCACGGCATGGCTAAAATTGGTACCCGCATGCATGTACACAATTTTATTAACGTTCAGGCCACCAATACAAAGACAGGGCACGAATAAAATTGGTACGTGTACCCATTTTAACTGTGCCGTAACAATAAATCGAGGGTAGTGTAAAAGACGCTATATACAGGATGTATAAAAAAATTAGACAATTGTTGAAATGTCCATATAAAACTGAAAATCTTGTAAAATGTCTGAAGAACTTGAGTTGATATAGGTATTTTAGGGTCTCTTGACCACTTCAACACTGAGATTGAATGAAAAATTTTGTATCGAGATATAGGAAGGGTTATTTTCAAACACCACATAAAACAAGTATTGCCGCACAAAAATGGATGGCCTCAATCTTGTTTCATTATCATAGGCTGAACGTTTCTGTCATGTTTCATGAACTATCAAAGTTCCAGAAAATTTGTCTTGAACTTGCACTTTTTTGCTATGTTTGGCCTTTCCTGCACAATTTTTGCAGCTCACAAATGATTTGTTACATAAGCAATTATGCACGGGCGTTGCACAAGTAAACAATGAAACATTGTGAAACAATGAACAATGCTTAATTGTCAGACACTTGACACTCGGAAGCGGTGAATAATGAATAGTAGTTCGTTGAAGTTAGTGTGAGAGGCAACACCACGAGCCGAAGGCACAGTTTTTAATACATTTCTATAAAAAGAAGAAGTTATTGTTGTGGTTCTAATCTGATATATGTTACTGGGCTATTCCCCGGGCCTACGGCCCCAACGATTCCCCTGAAAGACACAAAGAATAGGGGTCGTGTCAGATTGCACGCATGATTAATGTAAAGATTATGCGGGAAAGACCAAAGAAAGACCAAACATAGCTTTAGAGCTAGCATAACTTTGATTGTTTATAAAACATTAACCAAACTTTCAGCCTAAAGATGATAATGATTTAATATTAAAGTCGTTAATGTTTCAATTGCTTCTCGACTTAGGGATGCATGGAGTAAAAACACACAGGCAAAATTTGTGGGAGAATGGGGTCAATTTTTGTGCGCAATACTAATTGTTTTAGGCGGTGTTTGAAAATAGCCTTTCCTAAACGTCGGTACAAAATATTTCATTCTATTCCAGTGTTGAAGTGGTCAAGAGACCCTAAAATACCTATATCAACACACGTTTTTCAGACATTTTGCAAAATTTCAGTTTTCAATAATTTTCTAATTTTTTTTATACACCCTGTATTACAATAGATGACATTACCTTCCTCGTTTGAAGCTATTTTTTTAAGCAAATTTAGGAAGTGTCCGTATACAAATGTTTTCTTAAAGATTAACGTATCGAACTGTATCTCTCGTCACTTTACTTTGACCCTTTTCAAAAGTTGCTATGAAAAGGATCTAATAAGTTTTCAACAAATTTCTTTTGGTAATGAACTGAGGGCATTTTTAGAATATTAAAAAAAATAATATTAAAATTGTTAATACGAATGTTGTTCCATATTTCTGTACAATCTCATCAATCATATTATGATATTCGAATATTTAGTTCGGAAAGTCCTGACAAACACGTGTGCGAAAACGTCAAACCTGGAAAAAAAGTATGAGATTTTTCTCTTCTATATATAAATTATATCCTTTGTGGTTTGCACCCTGTATACCCCATACAAATTAGTTTGAACAGATATGCAAATCAAATATATAGTGGTTGATCGGAACTGATACAACCACTAGTGTTTGTAACTAATTTGCATTATTTATTCAAGTCTTATTTATTACAAATTCTTTTACAACACTCGCGGCCGTGTTGTAAACATTACTTATAGAATGGTTTAAAAATGAATTTGAAAAGTTTGGCGGTATCAATATTTATTTAATGTTTCGACTTGCTGTTTCAGGTATCTTTCGACGTTACGGTAACAGCTACCTCATGCAAAACTAACAAGACAAGGTAATATAACTCTCACTCAGGATAATATTGTACATCAGTCTATAGATGTACCTTGCTGTACTTTAAGAATCAGGCGCCAAACATTCACAATTTATTTAAAATGTCATCACATGAATGTTTTCATTGGCAATTGTGCATGCAATTGACGATAATTTTGACAATGTTTTAGCGACGACCCCTCTTTTTTGCGCCCTTAAAGCAGTACTTTGACGCTTCGCCAAATTCTCACCAGTCCTCTGCTCTGACGTCAAAATAGGTAATACGTTTGCTTTAAGAATTTTAAAACTGAAGAATTGGGTTTATTCGAGAGAATTGTCCCCATTTATGTTATTGCATTATTCTATTCCATTCATTATAAACCATTGAAAAATTTCACAGATATTCTGCCCAGGTTTTGATGTCTGTGTAACAAAAATTCCTAACGAAAAACAGAAGACATGCACGTCTATCAAATGTTTCCTCAATTTAGTTTTGAGCTGAGAGCGTCATCATTTGGAAGAGTGATAATTGAACTTGATATTATATGTAGCTGTGATTGCGAGAAAGAGGTTGGTTTAATTTTCCTGTAAATAACAGAGTATATTTCCAGCAAGTTCTGTAGGTCATGTAGGAAAGCATGCATGAAAATACCACTGGTAAATACCTATATGCAAATATTCAACTGTCGGATCCCCTGACATTTTGACGGTATACGACTATTAATACACAGACCTGTAAATCTTTTGCAAGAATTTCCCTTTCCAGGAGAATTCTAAGACAGTTTAAAGTCAACATTTTTATAAGTTATACGATCGTAGCAAACCGCTAGGCGATACGTAATGTTTTTCCTCAATACTTTTAGGCCGATATAAGTGGTAACGACTCCAGATGTAATGGTAATGGAAGCCTCGTGTGTGGTGGTTGCGAATGCAATGAAGGCTGGTTAGTATTAAACAACATTCTAAGCTCGCCCGTTTCACATTTTGAGAAACAACACTTAAACAATGTATACTATAGAGAATTTTTTTAACATTTGGACATTTGGATTTTCAACCGTGAGTTTTTGCATGTTTCTCGTTAACTAATGAGGCTTATACATGCATGAAATTGTGTTTACCATGTATAATATAGCATGCATACGTTTACCATGACGGAGGCGACTAATTTTTTTAGTACAAATTTTCAGTTGTTTACAAAAAGTATTTTAAAGTTTTCTTTTAGAAAAAAGTTCTAAACCCTATATATATAATCAATTATGTATTTATTCGGAATCGATCGATTAAATATTGTTTTGACAGAAAATTTTAATTAGAATAATTCCCCAATTCTCCTCGTAGGTCAGGAGCATTTTGTCAGTGCGATGCACAACAATTTCGAAATATCGACCAAGATAAATGCAAAATGACCAACGAAACTGGGAGTCTAGTATGTGATGGAAATGGAGTATGTGACTGTGGTGTGTGCAAATGTAATTTAATTCCGGTAAGTTATTCAAATGCAAATCGAAATGACAAAAGAAGCTATTATAAGTCTTCTATTATAAGTATATTCTCATGCAAAAATGCAGATACGTGAATGCAATGGCTTTTTATTCAGGATAAAACGGTAAAATACTATGGGCAATTCTGTCAATGTAGCGACTTCAATTGTGACAGGTCAAACAACATGCCATGTGGTGGACGTAAGTATTTCTAGGGTTTATTTTAACTCGCTATGTACAGAAATTTATAAATGGGGAAATATAGTTGCCTGTTTACTCTTTACCATACGTCTCTACCAATGAAAAAACTATTTCCGTTGTGTAAAAAAAATTGCTATTAAACTTCTCAGGTATATTCCGGCTGGAACAAGTGATTAGTGTAGTGTATTACAACGATACGTGCATTATTGTTAATGATCCAGGCAACGTGCATGGTCCAAGAAGAATAAAGTTACTGACTAAAATTTTTGTGTACTTTTAGCTGAACGAGGAGAATGTAAATGCGGCAAATGTCATTGTAAAGAAGGGTTCATTAACACTAATTGTGGTGACATTGATTGTTTTAAACGATTGCCTAACTGTCTCACTGTCGAGGTTTGTATTTTTGGCTTTATTTCCTTAATCTAGTATATATTTTTATAACTACTTGTTTTATAGTCTCCGTAAATAGTTATTCACCCGAACTATTATTAAAATAACTTCGCATCAAATGTGGTGTAACAACTGCCTATAAAATAGATAAATACGCTTCTCGGTGTTTGGCCGTTTCGACCTATAAGAGCCTTTGTCGGGAGAGTTAGTATGATGTAGCTATACGTAATATGCATTTTATCACCACGAAACCTCTTATCCAGGATGGAGTTCAAGTGAACTGTAGTGAACATGGTTCTTGTGAATGTGGTGTGTGCAAATGTGATCCTTTTTATCAGGGACGGCATTGTGATGAATGTCCGGTATGTATAACATTGTGTTTTAAAATTGTTCATAACCATCAACCTAAGAAAATCACGTGAAACGTGACAAAAATAGCAGTATAGACCTGGGGCCGGTTGTACGAAAGCCGGATAGCGCTATCCACCGGATAGCGAAATTTTCAGGCGTTGTAAAAATGCTTAAAAACCTACAAAACTACCGAGATGAACTTGCCAATTAAGAGAAATATACTTTAATTTATAAATGCTAAGGTTTAATCTGGGTTATACCGATCAACGGACAATTTTAAGAAGGTTGAAAAACTCGCTATCCGGTGGATAGCGCTATCCGGCTTTCGTACAACCGGCCCCTGTTGTGTAAACTGCATGCCCTTTGATGCCCGAATGATTAATGATTATATTATTCCCCATGCATGTTGTTGTTTGAAACTTATTATTTGAAACTCGATTTACTGTACTGTAGCTTGTTTATACCAGGATACAATGCTGTTGTAAAAGCAAGTTCGTATATTGCGGAAATTAGAGAACTTACTGCATGCTCTAATTTTGTTAAATTCTAGTCTTGTGCTGGTCGTTGCGGTGATTTTAAGACATGTGTCTTGTGTAAAGTATTTGGTGTTACCCCAAGTAATGCGACATTGTGTGAAAATTGCCCGCAAATTTTGAAAGTGAAAACTCTTGCAAAACGTAGAGAATGTAAGTATATAAAACAGCTGGGTTTTTTCATATTCTGTACCAAAAACATACTGTTTAAAAAACTTGAAAACATCCTTCATACTATAAGAGAAACAGAAAAAATGCTTTCTCATAATTTCAAATTTTAAGGAAAGATAGGAGGCCCTCTTTAACCGCGGAGGGTGTATGCAGTCGTTCAAGCATTAAATTTTATACGGCGAACGTGAAACACATACGGCAAAGCTGAATTTGCTGCTTTTCTAAATACATCGGAAATAGCCTATTGCTTTCTTACATTACTGCTCAACATCACAAGTTTTATGTAGAACGTTTGTAATTTAGCGAAATTGCCGCACACTTAAAGAGAGTGGAGTTAAAACACAAACTTTGCTAGCGGTTTGGCGTTTGCCGTAAACGTCAAACTAAAGGTCTCTAATTTCTTCATACTATTTACCATTAAATGTAATAACCAAGTAATGTAATAACCAAGGTTAACAGCGGGGAAACCGGTTTAGTGATGTTGGGTTGTGACGTCAGGCCAACCACGTGACCGAAGGGGACGAAGGTGTTGAATGATTCAAAAATAAGTAAGGTCAACGAAAGTGTTGTATTATTCAAAAATATGAACTAGATATTGTTTATATTTTCCCTAGTGAACTCTCCGGAGGAATGTCAAGAAACAGATGACGATGGGTGTACATATTACTATACTTATGAAAACAAACGAAACACAACCATCGTTCATGTCGTGGAAAGCAAAGGTTAGTAATATTATATTTCAGTTAAATCTGTGGTTAAATTATTGGTATATGGGTAAACTACATTAAGGCACGGCCGTGTGAATCGAAACTTCGTTGGAGAGATGATTAGTGTTTAAAAAGTTCTTCAGAGTATCAATCCCTATATATACCTACATATACATTGGCGTCAATCGAGCGTTAATTGGGGGGACCATATTCATACATTCAGAATTATGCCAGGTTGATTTCTATTGAAAGTAAAGTTGTTTTCAAAAGAAATTAGCCAGGCATAGCGGAATATATGAATATGGTCCCCCTCGATTAAACGTTCGATTGACACAAATGGCTACATATGCTTGATGTCAACACGACAGAATCCTTATTTCCGTTAGTTTGTATCATCAGATTGCCCTGAAGTTCCCGATGTTTTGCTGATCGTTCTTGCTGTTATTGGTGGTATTGTCGGTATTGGTATCATCCTCTTGATTCTCTGGAAAATTCTTACTGCTATGGTGGTACGTAGAATTCATTTTTAAAAGCAACCTCATACCCATGGTAGCTAAATCGAATATATATATATATATATATATATATATATATATATATATATATATATATATATATATATATATATATATATATATATATATATATTCTAATCTTTAGTGTTGTTTATATATTTTCAGGAGAAAAATCCTCTGTATCAACCAGACACCACTACTGTTCCGAACCCTATATTTGTCGGACAAAAAAGTTAACGAATTGTCTCTATCATAAAAAACGTGCTTTGCCAATTTCCCTGGCTGGATGTTTGGACGCATTGGTCAAAAGATTTGCAACAGGCTAGATTTTAATTCATATTTATTGGAAACAATTGTGTTGTGAATGAAAATAATTCATTCCTAAAGATATCATAGAAGAGATACGTTAGCATCTGAGACACTGAAATAGAAACAGGCTAATAACTTTCAATAGAACAGGTTTATAACTTTTAACAGGGCGGGACCGTGCTGAATTTGCCTGGTTCATGGGTGTTCACAAAGTAAAAACGGATATTCACAAAGTGAAAACAAAGAAAAGCGGACGAATTCGAGCGCTGTCCCAAATTTGTCCGGGGTAAAATCATATATAGGTTGTCGGGCAAAACAGAATCTATGAATATGCCCTCCCCCACCGCCAATTATCGCGCTAGTTTACCCCCATTGAAGTGACAGCTTAAGGCGAAATGGCGGAAGTGAAATGGCGGATGCGGAAGAGGGTTTACTATTTCATGCGTGTTCACTATTTTTCATGTAGCACACATCCCAAGAATGCGAACTTCGTTATCCAAAAAAATATCCCGACGTTGAATTTCTCAAGCTCTTCAAAAAGTTTGGTTTCGGTTTTTAATTTTGGCTATTTTACATCCATATTTAGAAGCCTGGTAAAATTAACCAGTGGGTTGCACTAATTTTCTCAGAAGACATTCCATTCCATGCAAGTTTTGCGCGTTTTACTCAAATTTACTCTTCCGCGTATTATTTCACTGTTTCGTCATGAATAATAACTATTTATGTAAATCGGGTACTCGTTTACACACCTGTGACGCATTTCCGCCAGTGGTTTCCTACACGTTTCCGCCTACAATCAGGAGAGGAAAGGGAGGGGAACTTTCTGCCTGATTTTAGGGTGCTATTTGTCAGCAACTGTTTGAATTCGATCGTTAAATAGCCTTACTCCCAAACATCTGGAAACCCTTGGTAGAATTGCTTGCCTTATTTCGGCTTTGTAAGTAAACATCGAGTCTTTAAGCAATCTTCAAACAAGGAATTTGTATTGTGAAAATCATTGGCTAGAGCTATCTGTACGAAATAATATGTAAGTATCGTAGTTTATTCATTTAGGGTTTAATACCAGTTGTAGGTGTGTATATTATTAATAAAATAGGTATAAAATGATGGAATGTATGTTATATTTTCAAAAAGACTCCATATTGAAAGAATTTTTATGATATCGACGGGGTTTTGTGTGAATTCAGCTGTTTGTTTGTAGTCGGCATGTGTTTTTCTAATCGATAGCGCCATGTAAGTGGTTATTCGTAATATTTGACAGCCGTATTAAAAGTGCCTCTTTTAATAGACTTAATGGATACGTGCTGTAAATTGTGTTACATATCAACCGCTAGATTCGGTATCATGATGTCATATATATTCAACTTCTACTTTAAAAAAAACGTCTATCCAACTTTGTTTAATAGAAGTTTGACTTCTTGTTATGTAATATAGAAACTTACAAATACATATGAAAATAGCCTCGTTAGTAAATTAATTCCCTTATACAGTATATCGTTCGATCCATATAGAATTTTTCACACATTTCTGTGTCGTAAAGTATCGTTAACAAATATTGCAATTGAATCTATGTAAACATATCTCACTTGTTCGTGATCGTTATATTTTTGTTTTTATACCTAATTTAGAAACATGGCTTAATTTGGTAGCTGTCCATACCTATCTTTTACATATACAAAACATAGTAGCTTGTAACTTTAATACATGTTAAAAAATATTAATATAATTAATTTTGAGTGTTGTAAGTGTCTTAGGTTTTAAATTTTTTCATTTTTTTGATCTTGTTTCAATTCTTTCAAACTCAACTGCCCATTAACTTCTTAGTGACCAATACAACAGACCAACACACAGGCTAGGTGACATCCTGGTGACATCAAAGTATAGTACACTTAGCGTTAATTATTCTAGAAATGACCTTCAGATCTCCCCTTGTCTAAATAGATAAAGATTGTTCTACCCTAGTGCATAGTACAGTACTGACATACTGACTAGTTGCCATTGTTATCATAGCTATTATATGGTATTTTTTTGTTTTGTATTTTTAGAACAAATAAATAGGAAATGAAGTCTCTTCTATTCCTAATAATTTTGCAGACATCTCGCATAATATATGCACAATCAGGTTTGTTCCTAGAAACTACTACATTTAGTATTAATATTGACAATAAATAGTAACAGTTATAAAATTGTGCATAAAAATTATAAACTTCATAACTTATTCACAGTTGACTTTGGATAGAACAAAAGGATATGAATCCCACCAAAAATACCCACCAAGCCAGAAATCGGTTTTAAAATCTCTTTTTCACTATGTCAAGAAAGTGAATATAAATGAAAAGGAATGCAATAAACCATGGTCAGCCCAAAAATATGCATGCACCATCAATGTTTATCATATTATATGATCATCAATTTATATCCTATTATTCCTATATGATGATAAACAATGTTTAATCCTATATAATCAATGTTTTTCATCCTTTTTCTCATCCTATATGATCATCAATGTTTTTCATTCTATATGATCATCAATGTTTTTCATCTATATGATCATCAATGTTTTTCATTCTGTATGATCATGAATGTTTTTCATCCTAATGATCATCAATGTTTTTCATTCTATATGATCATCAATGGTTTTCATCTATATGATCATCAATTCTATATGATCATCATTATCAATGTTCATCCCATATGATCATCAATGTTTATCATCCTATATGATTATACAGGGTGATAAACATTGATGGTGCATACTTATTTTTGGGCTGCCTATAAATGAACTCATCATATGGCCTTGATGGTGTTGTTTTAACAATGGTGACAACCTCAGCTTCATGTTCCCTATTTCAAATGCATTGCCACAAGATATAACATTATTACTACCAATCCTTCATACTCAGCATAGTTCTTAAAGTGTTGGATAGTGTCTAATATTCAAAATAATTCATTTAAAAGAAATTTCTTTCATTAAAAAGAGAACATCTCATGAAACTGGAATTTTTTAAAAGAAGAATCTTTGTATATTTTCATTTGAGTTATGACAGTATACTTCATGCGAAACTTAGAACAAAGAAGAAAGACCCCTAAGGCCTAAGATTTCAAAATTATCTATTAGTGACTTATAAATTCTTAAAAATAAACGTGATCTCACTGCAACATATATTGTACATGGTATGGCAAACTCTGCTGTGCAAAATCACAATTTTAATGAACGCCTCTACGATGAACTGTGAATGTTATGAAGATGTTATGAAGTTTTATCAACCCAGCCGTATAGGCTTGAAATCAGAGTTGCATACTTTATTAGAGCTCATTAAACCTAAAGAAACATGATATTTTGTAATAGAGTGTCAGGGTCGACTGTAGCCTCCAGCAAATTACGTAATGTGGACAATATACGTTTTAGGAAACTGCGGGCAAATTGTGGATAACACGTGTTCATCGTGTTTACAAATACCTGGATGTGTGTGGTGTAAGTCAGTGGTAGGTATATTACCTATTCTTATATCAAGTTTTGTTTTCGGGAAAAGTTTTCTTTTATTATTATATTATGTTAAATTGCATGCTGGTTGCAATGAAAATATATTTTTATGTCCCGTTTTTATTGACATTTTAGAACTATACAAGTGCTCGGTGCAACACTGAAGACGAACATACGAGGTTACAATGTAATATGACAGTTACTGGTAACCCAGATCCTAAACCAACGGTAAGCTAACAAAATATGGCTTTTGCTAATTTTGTGCTGTAATATTAGTTATATAGTTGTAAAAAAATTGTAATGTGAAAGTAAGTAGGAGTGTGTGTTTTTGTGATGAAAACTTCACTAAGCATGTGGTGGCTGCGTGATTTTTCACTTTGAGAGTAACCACGACCATAATCTCATCTAATCTGATCCACTAACCGGACCACGGAGTCATACTGGTGTGAGAATTGATATTTCAAACTGATTGTATAGGATATTAACATCGGTATAGATCAATAATATATATGATCGTGGTTTTATTCCAACTATACAGTCAAGTATGTGGTTCCTCTCAGAGTAACGTCAACAAATAATTCATGGACGTTCAAAACGCCACAACTATCAACGTCGTTTTTAAGTTCTGCGGAGTGTTAATTGTAAACTATAGTAAGTCCTTTGTTTACAACAAATTTTGTAGCTTACCGAAAAGCCACTTGATGATTTAAATCAGATAACTCCAAGAAAAGTTTCATCGAGAGTGCGTGTTGGTAGGTATATCATTTCAGCATTACCATTATAAATAAACCCGAATATCGAATTTGAATTGTTCAGGACAGAAGATTGGACAGAAGCTAAATTTTGACCGCGGCCATTTTGGTACTCCAGATTCATTGTCTCGATTCATTGTTCTGTTTGAGCGTTTGTTTTAGCGACTGTTTACATGAGGCCGGTTTTCGCCATATTCATGCCTCCACAAATAAATTTTTAAGAATGGGACAAATTACAGCAATCCACATCAATATACACTCCACAAGAGACAATCATGAAACCGTATGGAATATTCGATTTTGGGCAGTTGAATATAAAAAAGCGAAGTGTACCATATTCAGAAGTTTTACAATGTGCAAAAATTTGTTTTTAGGTGAACCCTTGAATCTCAAGATCGAAATTCAACCTTCTGCAAACTATCCTGTTGATTTTTATATTTTGATGGATTTATCTGCGTCTATGGCAGACGATTTAGCCAGTCTCAAAAAGCTGACCCGAAATATTTGTACGTTCACCTATTTTTTTTTCAAAACAAGGAATAAACAGTAATTTCACAGCTATTTTTGACTTATAGCGCCGAGACTTGAAATTATCCTTGTCAAAAGTACTTTTGGTTTAAGCAGGGGGTCTGTTCTCTTTTCTTTTAGCAATGAAGTTGAATGAACTCACGAGCAGGCACCGATTAGGATTTGGTTCATTTGTTGACAAAACAGTAGCACCATACTTAAGACATGAACGGTGAGTGTCTGAGTTAATGGACCAAAACATACAATTTTACTGTATTTTAATAATTAAACATATATATTTAAACTTTTTTAGGGTTGGTAAACCGTTCATGAGTGGAAATGTTGCAAAAGACATTCCATATGATTATAAACATGTACAGTCCTTCACTGGTGATATAAATGTATTCAGCGTAAGTTTCAATGGCCCGAGTAAGACTATATAAATTATACAATATTTTTGACAGGGCCCTTATATAAAAGCGCCCTGATCCTTGATGTGTAAATTACAGTGGTGTTTAATGTTAACTTTAGGGTTCAGTTTTACCTAAAAAGTTGGACATCAGATTATACGTATTCAGCCCATGCACAAATATAAAAAAGTCGGAAGAATTCTGTATTATCCAAAAACGTTTCGTGTGCATTAGGAAACACTACATTTCAGGGCCGTCGCAAAGATGGTGTCGAGTGTGAAACTCCCAACTGCCCGCGTTGTCGGCAAAGCTAAGTAGTGATACCCCCCACTCTGGCTACGGAAGGGGGGGTTACCCCCCACTCTGGCTACGGAAGGGGGTATCACTACTAAGCTGTCGGACTGCTTCGACGTCTTTAAAGTGATCACTATGGAAAACATTTCACCAGAAGTAAAAATATCACTTCCATCCATAATAACAAAAACTACTTCACAAATAGAGCAGTAAGATATTAAAAAGGCCTTCCTAAAGAGACAAGTTCTAAATCAAACGTGAATTAATCAGATTATACTAGTGTTCAAGGTGAAATTTTGTGAAAATTTTAGTTTTTCTTTGTCCATGCCCATTTGACAATGATTGATGCTCACAACCAACCGCTGTTATAGCATCGGGATCGCCAAGAATCCTAGAAACATTTTTATCATTATATCTATAACCAATAAATATATATTATGATGTCTTCCTCTCTTATAGGAAACGTCATGTATGGTTTTCGATTTTCCTCGTAAACCAATCCACGTAAACCAATATTCATAAGACTAATATGAAATTATTTTATTATTTATTTTTTTAGAATAAGATCAATGAACAAATAAGTTCCGGTAATCGTGATGTGCCCGAAGGGACTTTTGATGCTCTGATGCAAGTTGCAGCCTGCGAGACGGTTTGTTAATCTGAAATGAATAATAAAATAAAAGAGAAATAAAAAGAAAATGTTTAATACCTCAAAAATTATACCGTATTTAACCGGTCAGGGCTCATGCAGCAATGGCGCTGACGTTCCACCGTATTGATTATTCTAAGGTGCAATGATGACCAATTTGTTAAGTGATAAATAAGATTTTGGTATGCAGTGATAAAATTTCGTCCTTAGAATATTCCTTGTTTATAAAAGCTATTTTATATAGCCACTGACATTATGTATGACTGATTAGCGAAAGTATTATTTTAGGATAAATGTAATAAAATCAAATTTATATATTGGGACAATACCTTTATCCCAAATACAGAAACCTTTATTTTATTGCAATTTCAGGAGTTAGGATGGAACCCGAAGGATACGACACGTCGGATGGTGCTTATTGCAACAGATGCTACGTTTCATATGGCTGGGGAAGGCAGGGTAGGGTTGATAATATTTCGAAAAACTATAGAATTTCTTGTTTCTTGTAAAACGCTTGAGTAAAACAATTAATTCATTTGAATAGTATATTTGAAACCATTTGAATAGTACAATTAATTCATTTCAATAGTAGAATTAATCCATGTGAAGTATAAAACAATTAATATATCTGAATCGTACAAATAACCCATTTCAGCAGTAGAATTAATTCCTATTTTATAGTTTGGTGGTATTTTGAGTCCAAATGATGCAAAGTGTTCGCTCACCCCAGAACAGAACGGTGTTCGATATTATGCCAAAGCTCTGGATCTGGTAAGGTTTTCCTCCGCGTTTTCCAGGCTTCCAGCTATGCATATTCTGGTATAACTTAAACCCATGCATGCGCACGAACCTTCAAAAACTCGCCATATGTTAGTTATTTGAACCTTTAAAAATTTGCGTTATTTTTTTACGCGCTCCGTGCACGCTGTTCCCCCAAGTTATATGTAACTTGCTAAGCTATATTTATTTATATTTATATTTATTCATCTTCGCCAATTAATGAATATACTGACATTTACATAAATACATATACTAGATATAGTTATGGAAACACACACGCATACATCTAAACAGAATTGGCTAGGTGCACGCTACAGCTTTAGCCAATTACAGCGGCCCTATATATAATGATAAACACACAAACTAAAAACCAAATTAAACGGATGCAATACATCAAACAAAATGATGACATAAATACTACTACTTTTGACCATTATATACGTAACGCTGTTCCCTTAAATTATGTAACTCGCTAAATTACGTAACGCTGTTCCCCGAAATGACGTTTCCCGTTTCATGCGACGTTGTTTCACGCTGCTCCCTGGTTATATTTGAACATATAGGAAGATAATTTATAATATAACATTTATAGTACGCGCGTGCTGATTGTTTTAGTATACACCCTGTACCTAGATATATTAATTTCGAGAAAATAATCGATACACCGCAATTACACCGGTCGCGCGAGTGAATTTTTCCCAAACGTTCACCATCACGAATAGACAGTCAGAATGTAGGATTTGTAATAGACAATAGTCGGGTGTATACGAAAACTGTATAGAAACACGGAAAATGTTTTCTATTTCTTAAAAAACGTGCAACCATGATATTATAGATACTTACCCAATTAGTATGTGAATTGCGTGAATATAAACGAACTCAAGTTTATACAACAATCAATCAATCTCATTCAACTGTCCAGATATTTCCAGAATTTACTTGCTTTTATGGTTGAATAATCTAAATACGTTAAGCCTTTATTTGATTTATTTTTCGTTAAAACTGCGTAATATTTTCTGCGGTACAAATTGCGCTCGGTACTAATGCTTTTCTACCTTTCGTACGAAATAGACCTCGTAATATCTACCACGGAAATTCGTGAACCCGACAACAAACATATATGCCTCAATTATTCATTGCATGTGAGAGGAAAATTCACCTGCTGTAGTTTTCATTTTTTAACCTGTCCTAGGACTATCCGACATTGGATCAAATATATCAGAGACTGGTAAAATCAGCGATTCAGCCAATATTCGCTGTTTATGCCACGGATACATTTACTCCTCAAACGTACGGGGTAAGATTGTTTAGCGTGGATATTATATTTCGTATGAAGGTATCCGCCTTAACTGCTCTGTAGCTCTGTGATGTTATATATATATTTAATTATTTTGTAATCTATAATTATTTTAAAACCTTAGGCTGTCGTAGATAACTGGAAAGGTATACAAGCTGAATTAGGAAAGTTGGTTGATGACTCAAGTAACATCATCGACCTCATTGAAAAAAGCTACAACGTGAGTGTTTTATGTGGCTTTTGATTTAATTGCATGCGTTGATTTATGTAACGTTAATTTCATGCACAGCCGTACCAGGAAAACAATTGACATTGGATTTCAGCCCAGACCTGATAGTGCAACCTGGGGCATCCTATAGTGCAGAAAAGAAAGCTATGTCTCGCGCATGTCACCGTCATTCTTGTCCGCCATTTTCCTAATTGCTAGCCATGCATGCAGTCAAAGATATTTCTTGCCGATAAATTTCTGCTCCGCCTTCTGGCCAGTATATTGCATTTTTGAGTGAAAAACCAAGACAAGTTGCACCTCTGAGTGGCTTTTTTTGTCTTTATTTTATTCTCAGAGTAAAACCTTCGACATATTGATTCATTGATATGGATTCATCTTAGTACATGATCCTATAGTGCATGAGGTAGTGACTGAAAGCCCGCCTAACGTCGCAACGTCTGTTATGAGCAAAAAGGCGGTTTTCCGTAAGAATTTATTTCGTGAAAAACCATGAAAGAGGCTTTATACAGAAGAGACAATATATATAAATATGATGATGTACTTTATATATTTAATGTTTATGAAGATTTTTTTACTGTGCTTTAGAAAATCACTTCCACAGTTAGACTGAATACTTTGCCGCCTAATCCTGAAGGTGTCCAGATTACGGTCACGCAGAACGAGTGTGGGTAAGTGTATGTATTTAGCTCTTGATTGGCACGGCACGGCTAAAATTGGTACCCGCGTGCACACAATTTTATTAACGTTCAGGCTACCAATACGAAGGCCGGGCACGGCTAAAATTGTTACGGGACTACGGTATACCCATTTTAACTATATGCCGTAACAATAAATCGATTGTAGTGTAAAGGAGGTTATATATTACAATAGATTACATTACCCGCCTCGTTTTGAAGCTATTGTTTTGTGTGCACATAAGCAAATGCAGGAGGTGTTGTCTTAAAAGTTAGTTCATTTCGACGCTTTTCAAAAGTTGCAATATAATAATAATAATAGTGATAATAATAATAAAACGGATCTAATAAGTTTTCGACAAATGTCTTTTGATAAGGAAAGCGCATTTATAGAATATTAAAACTTCCTTGCGACTTAATTCCTTAATGACAATTAAAGGTTAACTAGTCTTTTATAACTACAACTGGCCCCAGTACAATCTAATCAATCATGATATGATATGATATTCGAATATCTAGTTCTGCAAGTCAAGACAAACACGTGTGCGAAAATGTCAAACCTGGAAAAAAAGTATGAGATTTTTCTCTTCTATGTATATATCGTTTATATAGAATGGTTTAAAAATGAATTTGAAGAAATATTTATTTAACATTTCCACTTGCTGTTTCAGGTATCTTTCGACGTTACGGTAACAGCTACCTCATGCAAAACTAACAAGACAAGGTAATAACTCTCACTCAGGATATTATTGTACTGTACATCTATATATGTACCTTGCTGTACCTTAGGCGCCTAACATTCACTGAGCACTGCGATATTGTGCACTACAATTAACGAAACCAACGAAAAACAGACATGCATGTCTAATGTTTTTCAATTTCTGCTTGCTAGTTTTGAGCTGAGTGCGTCATCATTTGGCAGAGTGGAGGTTGAACTTGATATTATATGTAGCTGTGATTGCGAGAAAGAGGTTGGTTTAATTTGCTTATAAATAACAGAGTGTCTCAAGCAAGTTCTGGAAGTTCTGCACGTCATGTAGGAAAGCATGTAAATACCTATATGCAAATCTCCAAATGTGGTCACATGCAAACATTTTGACGTTATATGACCAGACTATTAATGAACCAGACCTGTAAATCCTTTGCAAGAATTTCCCTTTCACTAAAGGTTCTAGCAGGAGGTTTCTGGGACAATATTTTCAAAAACACATCGTAGCGAACCGCTAGTCGATACATAATGTTTTTCCTCGGTACTTTAGGCCGAATTAAACAGAAACCACTCTAGATGTAATGGTAATGGAAGCCTCGTGTGCGGTGGTTGCGAATGCAATGAAGGCTGGTTAGTATTAAACAACATTCTAAGCTCGCCCGTTTCACATTTTGTGAAACAACACCTACACAATGTATAGAGAATGATTTTTTGACATTTGGAGCCATTTTCAACCGTACGTTTTCGCATGTTTCTCGTGAATGATGCTATGAAGATTTTATAATGAGGATATATTCATTAAATTGTGTTTACCACCTGTAATATAGCCATACGTTTACGCCATAGGCGACTAATTTTTTGGTGTAAATTTTCAGTTGTTCACCAAAAGTATTTTACCAAAAAGTTTTCTTTTGGTAAAAAGTTCTAAACCCTAATCAATTATGTATTTTATTTATTCGGTCACCAGTTTATTCGTTCGAAAATTAAATCTTGTTCTGACAGAATGATTCCCCAATTCTCTTCGTAGGTCAGGTGAATTTTGTCAGTGCGATGCACAACAGTTTCTAAATATCGACCCAGATAAATGCAAGATGACGAACGAAACTGGGAGTCTAGTATGTGATGGAAATGGAATATGTGACTGTGGTGTGTGCAGATGTAATTTAATTCCGGTGAGTTATTCAATTGCAAAGAATGACTAGAAAATAGACTTTGAAGTTGTTGCTGCACAAATCTCACATAATATAATCGTAAATGTTTAATGTGTCGACATATGTATGTTGGACTTCATGATTGTCTATTGGCTGCCATTGAAAATCTGATATTTGTATAGGAGGTAGATATTACATAAAATAATCATGTGAAACCTCACATGCGAAAATGCAGATACGTGAATGTAATGATTTTTTGTTCAGGGCGAAACGGTAAAATACTATGGGCAATTCTGTCAATGTAGTGACTTCAATTGTGATAGGTCAAACAACATGCCATGTGGTGGACGTAAGTATTTCTAGGGTTAATTTTAACTCGTTATGTATAGAAATTTAAAAATGGAAATACAGTTGCCTGTTTATGCTTTACCATACGTCTCGATCTGTACCAATGAAAAAACTTTTTCCGTTGTGTAAAAAAATGATTGAAATGGTGCATTTTCCGCATCTGCTGGAGCTTTATACAGATTACAATTCATCCTTTTTTGTTTAATATAAAGCACTATCAATAACCTAGTTTGTGGTTATCGACTATCGTAGTATCGATATAAATCTTGGGGTCACATATATTAGTTCTTTTGTGCACGCAGACACATTAGTATGTAATATTCGTGTATCAAACAAATTCCATCCTTGCAACTCCAAACAGGTCTTTGCTCGTTCTCAGGTATATTCCGGCTTGAACGAGTGATTTGTGTAGTCTATTATAACGATACGTGCATTATTGTTAATGATTACATGCATTATAGGTGCATGGTCCAAGAAGAATATAGTTACTGACTAAAATTTTTGTGTACTTCTAGCTGAACGAGGAGAATGTAAATGCGGCAAATGTAAGTGCAAAGAAGGGTTCATCAACACTAATTGTGGTGACATTGATTGTTCTAAACGATTGCCTAACTGTCTCACTGTCAAGGTTTGTGTTTTTGGCTTTATTTCCTTAATCTTATAACTACATGTTTTATAGTCTCCGTAAATAGTTGTTCACCCGAACTATTATTAAATAACTTCGCATCATATGTGGTATAACAACTGCCTAAAATAAATAAAAACACTTCTCGACGTTTCGACGTAAGAGGCTTGTCTGGAGAATTAGTATGACGTATACGTAATATGCATTTCAACACCACGAAACTTCTTATCCAGGATGGTGGAGTTCAAGTAAACTGTAGTGGACATGGTTCTTGTGAATGTGGTGTGTGTAAATGTGATCCATTTTATCAAGGACGGCATTGTGATGAATGTCCGGTATGTTAACATTCTGTTATCTGAACATATATCTGAACACACCCTTCTATATCAAAATAATCGTTACTCTGAAATTTTGAGGGCAAGTTTACAATTTTGTGCTTCCATTTTATTGAAAATTTTCTCCTTTTGATTGATGTGAGCGAGTGAACGTCCAGTGTGGAAACACAGATATACGGATCGCGCAGGACTAATGAACAAATTGTTCATAACCATCAACCTAAGATAATCACGTAAAACATGGCAAAAATAGTGTATAGACCTGTTGTGTAAACTCCATGCCCTTTAAGTGATGAGTGGTTATATTAACACCATATTGTATTCAGTGAAACTTTATTTACTTGAAACTCGATTTACTGCATGTGCGTACTGCATATATCTTTACCAGGACATAACGCTGCTGTAAAAGCGAGTTCGTATATTGCAAAAATTAGAGAACTTACTGCATGCTCTAATTTTGTTAAATTCTAGTCTTGTGCTGGTCGTTGCGGTGATTTTAAGACATGTGTCTTGTGTAAAGTTTTTGGTGTCACCCCAAGTAATGCGACATTGTGTGAAAATTGCCCGCAAATGGATAGAGTACAAACTCTTGCAAACCTGAGAGAATGTAAGTATATAAAAAATCTGTTTTTTTCATATTATGTATAGAAGGGAACCAAAAACATACTATTTCAAAAAAACATCCATCATAGTATAATACATTAATGCTTTCCATTTAAGAAATAGAAAACATTTTCGCGTTTCTACACAGTTATAGAAACACGCGTGGGAGTTTGGGAGAACGAGAAATAATCAGTGGCCACGTTATTTCGAGAAACAGCTGTATAGAAACACAGGAAAAAATGTTTTCTATTTCTTTTATAACTCAATAAAAATATTTTATACAAATATTATAATTCGATTCAATTACAAATTCTCATTACATCGCATCGCTTGTCAAGTTCGGCGGGAAAATTCCCTTGTTTCTATACAGTTATAGCAACACGCTTCTTGACCAATCAGCTTGCGCGTACTATAAATGTTATATTATAAATATGATTGTTGTTTACTTTTTTGAGTTTCTTCATACTTTTCATGATTCAAAAATATTAACTAGATTATTTATTGTTCATATTTTTTTCTAGTGAAGCTTCCGGCGGAATGTCAAGAGACAGATGACGATGGGTGTACATATTACTATACGTATGAAAACAAAGGAAACAAAACCATCGTTTATGCCGTGGAAAGCAAAGGTTGGTAATATGTCGTATTTGACCTGCACAATTTGTCAATTTTGGGTTTCCAGTTAGTGTGGTCAAAGCAGCCGTATAAAACTTCATGTAAGTCCTCAGTCAAAGAGCCCCATGCAAGCGTCTTCATAACGTCTGCAAAAACGGCCTCATACAGGAAAATATTTTGCTATTCTCTTCAAAAAAATAGTTATTCACAGTTTCGTTACTCGATGAAGTAAATGCGTCCGTAATTCTGGGCCTCTCAATAATTTATTTGGAGGATAACACACCCTCACACCCTCCCGGTATGGAAATTGCATTTCAGTTGGAGTTTTTACGTTTAGACCCAGGAATCGGATGATGATTGCGGTGAAATTAAGTTAGAATTATGAGAGAGATAAATTTCTTCAGAATATCACAATCGCTATATAAACCTACATATACCTTGATGTAGCACGGCAGAATCCTTATCTACGTTTGTTTGTTTCAGATTGCCCCGAAGGTCCCGATGTTTTGCTGATCGTTCTTGCTGTTATTGGTGGTATTGTCGGTATTGGTATCATCCTCTTGATTCTCTGGAAACTTCTTACTGCTATGGTGGTACGTAGAATTCACTCAGTTAATTTGATTATTAGTGAAATGTATAAATGGCTAAGTGAGCGTCATTTCTGACTAAAATGCGTAATGTTTAATAACAAGTCGAATAAACATTTGGTAACGTGGGTAGATAACTCTTAGTTAGATGATAGTTTTTTAATATATAATGGACGACATTGACTATAAAAAAGTTGTGTCCTCCTCTGGGAAGTTTGTTAGGTTAGATAGTTCGTGTCACCTTCCACCTTGAATTTCACAACGCTTTTTATTTTTTTACAGGACCGACGTGAATACCAGAAATTTGAGCAGGATAGAGCTAAATCGAAATGGCACAGGGTACGTTAATTTATAACTTTTAAATTATAACGTTTTCAACAAGAACATCGTTCCAGGATCACCAGATATTTCTGTGTGCTTGGCTCGAATAAGCCCAGGAACAAGGTCATCCTGAATTAGCAATGTCTAAACGATAAATGATTTTGCCCACAATATTCTAATATTTAGCGTGTTTTTTTTTCAGGAGAAAAATCCTTTGTATCAACCAGCCACCTCTACTGTTCAGAATCCCACATTTGTAGGATCAAAAAGCTAAAGCCTTAGCTTTGCATTTGCTGCATCCATAAAATAAATTCTTTTCTAAATGGTTGGTCAAAAAACAACATCGATCGCATTGGTCAACAAATTTACAAACAAGCCAGATTTTGTTTTCGATTTTTGAATTTTTGTGTCGTTACATTAAGGAGGTGAATTGGGATCATTTCTGTTGTGAATAATTTCATCATAGTAATAGTGTAGTAGACTGTTGTCGTGATACATCAGCATTTGAAAGACTAAAATAGAAGCTTAGCAGGTTAATTTGTGTGTTGATAATCCTGCCACAAATATCTTCATTATTTTTTTGGTAGAAATACTTTGATATAAATATTTGTGAATTATTGCCTTATTAAATCTGTTCTATTCAAATATGAACAACTTTTCAAATTATTGACATTGTTTTGCTTTACTGGTAGCTTAATTAACTTCGTTTCTTCACCATGCACTAAATAATCCATACCAAAGTAAAGCAATGAACAGCTTCAATAATCAATAGGTCATTGACTGCAGACGAGCTCGGAGAACAAGATCTTTGACAAGATGATTGGCGATTAGCCAATAATGGGCCCATAGTGCGTTGTCAGTTTTTTGGAATTTGTAATATAAATAAAATATTTTCTTTGGGCGATGGGTCCCCCGCGTGTTCGTAGAAAATAGAGTTTGTAAAACCACTAACCAATAATCATTACATGTAATTATAAATCCTACTTATAAATGCTCTCTACTATGTATATCCCTGTACACGTGACTCAGTTCCCAGAGCCCGACCTGTGACCCAACCTGGAGCCCAATGGTATCACCCAGGTTTCCCTCAACGTCCATCAGTTTAACCCCATGTGTCCATTGTGTGTCCTTACTCCTTAGTACTTTTTAAAATAAATGTATAATATGTAAGAAATTAGAATTTTTAATAGTTTGTTATTTTCGGATGATCAATCTATTGAGATAGGAAACATGCTTTCTCGTGCACTGAAAGAACACCACGTTCAAAAACAAAGAATCAGAGATCAACAAGGTTTGCCGAGCATTCATATTTTAAAACGTATTTGTGAATTGTGATTTTATAATTTCTCTAATATCTTTATATATTATGAAATAAAAATTAAACCTGGTTCACACTTGGCCAGCCCACAAATCATGGATCCCTTTTGTCTGAGGTCACTATTTATTTAGAGTTGAAGAGAAAAGAAGCATTTGAATCTGCAAACGTAGTTGTTGATAAATTAGTGAGCACATTAAATGATGGGTGAGTGGCATTTAGCTTTATTTAATTATTGTACATACAGTACATTTTTGTATATTATATATTTAAATATTTAATACATTTATATATCTTATCATAAATTGTCAACTTGCTAAAGAATAATCAGGTACATATTTCAAGTAGTCTCATCAAGTTATTGCAGTAACATACTGTACAGACAGTACACTAGTAACACTACAGTAACTCACAGTGCAACTGGACTAAGTTTTTTTATTTCAAATAGTATTTATTGGGATTCCTATGTTTCAAAAAGGATTTATAATGCCCAAGTTAAGAAACTTGTTGTTTTTTATGGTGGATAATGTCCATTTAAAAAATGTAAAAGAACAAAGGAAAAAGCTGTCAAGCTATCAATCCATCGTATCATCAAATATTGGATTCTGATTTTAATACCTTGTTCTATGAAATAGTGTTGAGGAAGTTTATCAGAATCAGAAAAAATTAGAAGCTGAGGCGAAGCAATTACAATCACATGCAGGTAAATTCTAGTATAAAATATCATCTGAAATAAACTTTAGTATATAAATAAACATATTGCGGAGCAACAGATGGGAGACATTCAACTACTGTTATAACCTTGTCATGTTAAAAAATTACCAAGTGAGCTTATTAAATTAAATTTGGCATCACATCTGTATTAATTACTGAAGATCCTGATCATAGATGTCTGCAGCAATGTTTCTGTGCTGCTTGGGGCTATATATACATTCACTTTGTCACTGGATACAGCTGCTATTTTGTATGTGTGTAATAGACATGAAGCAATTTTCTTATAGCCCAGTTTTCAAAACAAACAATTCAATGGCTTCAGTTAGCTGAAGGTTTTAACCGTGCACTGAAGGCAAGTTGTAAAAACTTTATTTTTCTGATTTATTTTTGTAAATTATTAAAAATAGTTTTTGTATACCATTCTTTACTGTCCATTGTTTTTTTGAGAGTTCAATACTTATCTGCTGTCCATAATTTGACATATCTTTGTAAGATATCAAAATTGTATTTTTACACTATGTGCCATGCTAAAGGTTCATTTGGTTATCTGATAGGAACTAGGAGATGTTGAAAATTGGTCCCAGGTTATTGAAGCTGAAATGACGACAATTGCTGGAGCTTTGGAATACGCCTATAAAGGTGGGTTATCACTGAAAATAAGTGTTGTGTGAAAACATATATGGCAATGTGTGAATTACTGTCAGTAGTGAATTGGGTTTCCAATTGGCGTGAACCATTTCTTTTTGCAACTTAATGTATATTATCCATTAATTGAGTCAATTGCTATTTTCCTGCCTCAAAGCAAAAAAAGAATAAGTAGCTACAATCAATCTACTAAGATTTGTCTTGTTGCGTACACAAAACTGACAAAATCATCTTGCTTTCAGGGGATACTCCTGGCTGATATTTTCTACATGTAAAGATGAGACAATCATTCACGGGAGGTATCACATCCATTCTGCTACATATAATGCAATATTTCTAAAATTCTATCAACATTGATAAGAAACCTGGTGCAAAATGAAGGACACAAAGTCATATAGTAAGCGATTACTATACTTTGCTTGCGTATAGTATTTTGTAGATAAATATATTTTGTTTTTGGTAACTTCAGTTTGGTGACTTTTTGACTTATTGCATGACTTTTGGCTCCGCAATATCACTGCTCATTTGGACTACTATCAATTTAAAGTCAATAATAACAGTTGCTTGTCCGCTTTGAATCTCAGTAACAACAACATTGCAGGCTTTAATTGCAGCAAACAGTTCTTTCACTATGGGTTTTTATTCAATTACAAAAATAATTTTTACAAGAATAATAATTTTGCATAATAGAATAAATATTGCGCAGCATTTTTACAAGATGCATTATTCATAAACTTGGTACTATAATACAGTTACAAAGACGAGGAATACAGATAATTTCTACAAAAAATGTAGCTACTATTGTTTTAGAATCGCGTCTTTTCTTCTGAATCCCTCGATCTTAATGTCGGCGCAGTGAGCCTCAAAGACAACTTTGTTTCCTCGTATATAACGGCGACAAAAAGTATACTATACGCGAACTCGCATCGGCAGGTCAAAAGCATAGTTTTTATGACAACATGATCAGACATGATGAAGGGCTCGCCTCGGTGTTTTTGTAATGGTGGGGTTTCTATGTCGAATGTGTCTAGAAAAGTTATCCCCTCAACCACGAAAATCTTTTTTGCCTCGTTCCGGTGTATATTGGATTATACACAGTGTGTGTTGGGGACTGATAAAGTGGATTCTTTTCCTAGGAATGGAATTTTATTGTTTATTAATAAAGGAAAGAACGTGATTTGAGCTGTGCAGATGGTAGCATGGAATACCTACCCTGTGCCACTTAGACCTGGCTCGTTCTCGTTTAAATTTTTGATATTCATTGCGATCCTGAAAGAGAGATTGCTTTGGTAAAAGTTGTGAGACTTGTTCCAGCGACCTATGAGTAGATGACGTTTCGCTTGATAGAAAGCGTCATTTAGAGTTAAGATCACTTAATTATCTTAATGATCAGTTGAGATCATTTAGAGTTAAGATTAATTTAGAGTTAAGATCGGTTAATTAAGTAACTTAAGTTACATACCACCATTGCAGTAAGAAGTTTCCAAAGAATTAAAAGAATTATACCGATACCAACAATACCACCAACAACACCGAGGATGATCACTAGTAGATCCGGATCTTGAGGACAGTCTGCCAAAAAGATGAAAATGAAACTTACAAACATCGTATTTAATTCAGCATATATTTACATGCAAGTTGTACATGTAATATTTTTGAAAACGAAATATATACACGGAAATACTTTGTTGAAAATATTCATTCGACTAGAAAAGATACGAGTATATTTGATATTTCAGTATTATAAAAAGCTTTCAAAACATCTCACCTTTTTTTGCAACAGCGTATACAGTTATGGTACTCTCGTGCCGTTTTTTGCCGTACGTGAAATAGTATTTACACTCATTTTCATCTTCATTCTCACAGGTTACTGGATAATCCACTTAAAAAGGAATTACTATACTTTATTTTAAAGTCATTTAAGGCTAAAAATTCAACCTTTTTTTTAGGAAAGGAAAATTTTACTTCGATGCACAATGTAGAGATCACATGTTCTTACTCTTCCTTAGTTCATCAAGAGACTCCAGAATTTCTACTTTTGGACAACCAGCACAAAAGGACGAATTTGGAGTATTTTTGGCGAATACTTTACATAAAACACACTGTTTGAAATCGTCGCATTTATTGATGCATGTCTAAAATATTGTAATCCAATTTTGTTAATTCAACAGTTCTATTATAAGTATTAATTTTTAAATAAAATGTACCGCACACTTTTTAGGCCACATAACATTTCCCACTGGTTAATTTCATAAAAAAATTGTAAGCATTTTGACTTTCTACAAGCTTTCAACTTACCGGGCAACTTTCGCAGACATCACCTTCATAAAATGAATCACATCGACACTTTCCACATATACACATTCCATGGCCACTGCAGTTAACCTGTAATAATATATCAGCACGTGGTTAAATTATGTGAGCCAGTTCCTAAGCATCCATACTCGTTTGAGATGTTTACCACGAAACTACTGGTACATCGATAAGCACCGCATACTATAAGGTACCAAACACATATTTGAAACTATAAGAGATCATTATAAGAAAGAAATTTCACATACCCCATTAGTATCAAGACAGCGTGCGTTATGTATGGAACAATCGGTTGTACCACAATTTGATCCTAGATGCCCCTCCTTGCACTCGCATGTTCCACATTTACACACACCCCTTTCCTCACCTGCAAAAAAATGGACGCAAAAAACTTGATTTTCCGAGTTCAGGTGAAGATTAGAACTATAAAAACGTGTGGATAATGCATGCATGGAGAAACCCAGACGAACCACCACACAGAGATGCCGGGATGGCATCCTATGAATATTCGATTAGAATGGTTCTTCCAAGGTGTTTAGTCTGTAAATTAGGCCATGCAGCCATTTTATAGATGCCCTAGCTGCGATGCCCCAGCTCACTATACGTTTTTTATGACGAGTGAAAATTAACAATATTCTTTTATGTTTGCATGGTGTAATCAATAAGTAAATTAGCTTGTAGGTACACCACGTAAATATTTAATACTGCAAAGCTTTCGGTCCGTTAACTCGGGCCTTTAATTAAGTGACGTGTGAATGTGTTTTCAGGTAATTGCACTGATGAAGACCCGGGTTAACGGACCGAAAGCTTTGCATGCAGTATTAAATACTTATACGTGGTGTACCTACAAGTTAATTTACTTACTGAGTGAAAATTAGTTCTGAAAAGCGTTCTGCATGTATAGCATGTTATTTCAGTGATTGTAATTTTTCCGGGTTCGTCATCGCGCCCGCGGTATTGACTCAAGAGTGTCTGCGGTTTTCAATATCCATATTTATATATTAGATATAGCCTTTGGAAATTAGGAAATATAGCCTTAGGCTGTATCTATAACTGACAAAACTCACCTCCACAAGGCTTGCCTTCGTACTTGTCACAATTTAGGTCACTGCATTGACAATATTTACCATAATAACTCTGATCAGTATTCTGAAACGTTTGGATAAATGAAAACGTTTTTATCGAAAGAGCCAGTAAAAATGGTTTTTTTTTACCGTGTGTTCTATCATATACAAGGCGTTATATTAACGCATACACTTGGAGAATGTTTGCAAATATCAGCGTTTGAACTCGGTCATCAAACAAATTTCCAGGGCAATGAATCCTTATACAAACTTTTTTATCTTAAAGCATCTAAAGTTATTAATATTTCGTACCTCTATCAAGCGACATTTACATTCATTACAAACACAGTCGCCATTTCCCTCGCACACAGTAATGCTGGTATTTGTTCTTCTGCATCTATTTATTACACTTGGATTATTTCGACTTGATTCGCATTCACATTTCTTGCCATACCTTCAGAGCAAAATATAGACTGGTCACTGGTGTGTTTTAACGGTACACTAGCACATTGCGAGTGTTTGCATGATCTACAAACGAGGACTAATGAGGGCACTTAATATGTTTTGTTGAGTAGATGGGGCGAAGTATCTTTGTGGGCATCAGGAGATGCTGTACGGATACGATAGTGCTTGATTTTGAAAATTTTCTTAGACACATATTGGCTAGCAAATAGATTTTCGTTTGCCGTTGCAATAATGCATCTACGCGATTCAATCAATATATATTTTATGATCATCATTGCTGGACTCTACAATTTACTTGTATTTTTAGTCTAAACAATACATACCATCCACTACTACAGGTACATCCTCCACAAGATAAATCACCATTTTGCGAACAATTTGTAGATCTGTATTCCTTAAATTAAGAGATATAATTATCTAACATTTATTTTTAATAACACTCCGGGAGAAATACTTTGACTTATATCCTTGCTTCATATAGAAACGTGAATCATTCCAGTTTTTTTACCTTCTCATTATCGCAATCACAACTGCATATAGTATTGATATTGATTTCCACCTCTCCAAATGCAGCTGCGAAAACTTTGAAACTAATTGATAGAATTTAAAGCAGACAGTTTTTAAAAGCATCAAGCTTTTACTCTACATCACAGCTAGTTTATGCATGTATGTTGTCAAAGTATATTCACTTTAAAAGGATAGAATAACTAACGAACATTATACACAATCATGAATGTTCTTAATGAATGTCTTGATGAACCCTAGCTATACCTTGGAACCAAGTTAGTTGAGACTTTGAGTAATACGACAATACGAGGTGGGGTAAGAAAAAGAAAAAAACACGTCTTAAAAAATCTTCTAGTAGTCCTCATAGTCGTTTATGTAAAGCTCTCTTATATATTGTTATAGTGAAGACTAAAGACGAGGAGGTATTTTCTATTTAATTAAGCTACACTGTATTACCTGGAACTATTTGATTTGCACGATTTTGCTGTTACACTGATATTAAATGATACCTGTGGGATAGAAATATTATCATAATCCAGGGTCGGTTCAGAATTGGCAAATCAGTATTGTGTGTTATGGGGGTAACCACGATTTAACGATGCAAAATATAATTGAGTTTTATGTAACTGGCCCAAAAGAACAAAAACTCACAGTTTCATCGAGACCAACGCCTTGGCATATGTTGTTTCCGATCATGATGTTATCTCTGTTTGGAGAATAAAAGAGCATATATATATTACATTGCTTATTCGCATATAAGCTATGTGCATGGAGCTTTAAAAAATGCAGGCTGTAGAAAGGTAAATCGCGTACCCACAATCTGAGTTTATCTTTACATCAAAGTCTTCTGGAGGTTGTGAAGTCACCCGGACGGTTGATACAATTTCCTATAAAATATTGCAAATTGCTCCACATTTTATTTCTATGACAATTTGCTAATTCTTTTTGTCATTTGTTCGTCGTTTGATCTACATTACTAAACAAAATTTATAACTAAGTATAATAACACCAAAAATTCACAAGTTGTTCACAGACTTATCGATCGGTAATCCGAACTGTCAGTGATTGGCTTTTGTAATATCTCTAGAGCTCATTGATAGATCTCCAATAAATAAGTCCATCATTTGCAAACGAACACTCTCAAGTGACCCTTAAGTAATTGTTCCCGCCTTTGCTCAAGATGCTGAATGCACTCGGAGTGTAGAGTGTTTTTCTCATGTAGGTTTGGATTATACGCTTAATCATCTATTACCTCGTAGCTTCTTTCAATAAGTTCGATGATATTATTTGAGTCTGCGCTTAATTCCTCGTAAGTTGAACCCAGGTCCTCCCACGTCTTCGCCAATTGCTACAATTAAGAATTCAAGTCGTGCAATTCAATGCAAGATTTAACTTATACCTCTAGAGGTTGAGGGCTCACATGAAAGAAAAATCGTAAACAATATTATCGATATTATCATGTAGTGGCCTTTTCCTAAACAATTTAAGTCGAACTAAAAATTGTTCTAACTTCAACTTGTTATTTTTGGAATCATCCGAGGTTACGAACTACCTTTTGATCAAGGAAATGAGGATAAAAACATACAACAGATTTAAGGGCAAACTAGAAATTGAACTCAATCTATACGTCCTAATCTAACCCGCCTGTGAAATACCGGACTGAGCAGTGCTGGCACCACTAGGATACGAAAAACCTTGCTTGTGAGAAAATTCGTGAATGCGCTTTTATATTAGAGCACTGTTATGAAGGCGGACATTCACGGCGCAAAATTCTCACCTCGAACGTTTTTCTTTCATATTTCGAGACGGCAAATATTGGCTGAATCTTGGATTCGCGTAGTTTTTGAAAAACTTGATTCACTGTTGGGTAATCCTAGAGGGAAAAGTGAAACGCATCAGTCAGCGACTAATACATAAAAAAATGGAACATCTTAAAATCCCTTTTTGAGTTATTGTTTTTCTCATGAAATTTTAACTAATATTTCACTCATGGGATCTCTTGATCAGCATGGCAATATTTTAACTACACATGGCCTAGTTTGAGCTTAAAGTGATTCATGCATGCGTATTTTCTAAATATCTATTATTTTGTCGACTTAATTAAATTAGGTTGGTTCGGTGCTTCATTTTCAGTGGGGCAAAATAAAACACAAGCCCTGACCAACCTGCTCTAAACCAGAATATTTTCTCACTCCGTTTACTCGTTCTGTGAGATGACATTTTGCATCATTCGGAGCGGCAATCCCACCAAACTAATCAAGAATGACAAACAGAATTAGGAAATTCTTATGTTTCCTTAAATTCATAAGAGTCAAAACAATCCCAAAAAAGTCGTTCCGCGTATATATTATACACTTAATGTATGCCCCCGAGGGAAATAGTGCCGAAATTTTGTTTTCCCAAGCGTTTGAATGTTTCCCGAGACGAAGTAGAGGAGTTAAGTGCTTAATTTGTTATATAGGAACAAAAAAACACTTTACTTTGTTATGACAGTATGCGGGGAACAATTTTTCACTTGTGAAACATTGCATTTATATTTAAAGTCATGAGACTACCAATGAACCAATCACATTTAAAATACACAGCGCCTATATAACAAGTAAAATTATACCCTTCCTTCCCCAGCTGTATGAAAAGGTGCATCTGTTGCTATTAAAACAATACGACGCGTTGTGTTTACCGGGTTCCATCCAAGTTCCTATATGATTATAAAGAAAAGATCCTATATGTATAGAATGCTTCCGGGTTGGTCATTGTTATCCTAAACATGCATGAACTATTATTGTTAGTAAGACGACTTTTGAAAAATATGTTAAAAATGCATTGAACTAAAAAGGTAAAAAGACTGACATTGCTGGTTCCTTAATAATAATAACTCCAAGACAAGATTGCCTTTAGGCTTAATAACAAGAATACTGATAGTGCCGATAAAGAAATCGATGGTCAAATACATGCTTGACCGCAAGAGCCCGGAATATTGACGCTGGCCTATCAGGATAACGGGAGATCATCGAGACGTCTATAGACGATTAAAACTGAACCAACTGCCAAGCAGTTGAAAACAAACATGGACACCTACTATACCGCACATTCAAATTCCCTTCATTATTAGCCAATTAATCCATTTGTCTGATTTGATTTCGCTGATGCCACCTCGCTTGCAAAGCAATAGGAACCAGCAGCTTTCAATTTGATAAATATATTGCGCGATATACCTCAAAATGCATGATATATGATCTCCACATAGCCATAAGGCTTAATTAGAGAATGTTTATGTTGTGATATAATACAGTTTATTTTGATAGGGCTTATTTTGTTGATATAAAAACGAGACAAAATATGCGAAAGAGTCTTAATTCCTCAATTATCGTGTTTATAATATCGCAGGAAACTCTTCTCCCATATGACCTAGGCTTAGCTAACAGAAAGTTCTTAACCTCCCGATTTATATGCAGATCCCAATCGAGATTTTTAACTGGTCCTAAAACTGGTCTTATATGCATCTTACTTTTTCACAAGCTGCTACTTGCATAAGCGCATCGAGTGTAGCTTCTGGAATGTCTCTGCTTCTTGAATTTGTTTGTTTGTTTATCGTTTCCTAAATATATTATTTAAAAAAAGTTAATGTTAGGGTACAAGAAGGTTCTATTACTTTTTTGAAATGTAATACCGCTTGAAATGAACGTTTGACCTTTCAAAGATAATATCGTAGTTACCTTGAATAATTTGTCCTTTTCTGTGAAATCCAATACGTGTCTGAAGTTATATGAAGGCTCCTCGTTTGGATTATGACTTTTATTTATTCTAAAGATGTATGTGTCAAATTACGCCCGTTGTAGTGCTCGCATGTCAACTTTGAATATTGCATGGTGCTTGCATGCAATGAAAAAAGACACTCACAACTCCTGCTTTACGAACGGTGGAACTGTCTTGTCTACAAATGAACCAAAAGCCAGTCTTCGTTTGTTCGTTAGTTCTTTCAGTTTTATAGCTGTTATAAGAGAAAAGTTAAGTCGTAATTCGTAAATATAAGTGTCGTATAAGTTAAGTCAGAAATAGAGATATCAAAGTTGAAATTGCTTGTTTTATACTGCTGTAACAAATGTTTCTGTAGCGAAAACAGAATACAAATATGTAAAGTTGGTTTAAGATTCTTCGTCACTTCGTGCATTGTTAAAATTTTCCATTTCTGGAAATATGGTTTTAATCAATTTGTAAAAAAACTCATTGATAATAATCAGGAAATAATGTCATTCGGCAAGTTCTTTGAATTTTTTCACGGAAACAATGTTAATTCCCCTAACATGTTTTGAATATACTTACAAATATTTCCTGCCAATGATTTCAAGTTACTAAGATCATCTTGCATTGTTTTGGATAGGTCCATGAGAAAGTATAGGTCTACCGGATAGTTTTTTACTGGGCGTACATTCACTGTGAATGTTACTGGTTCACCTATTGATGACAACATAATAGACAGTGGGAACAACAGACGTTAAGAATTAAGATTTAGGTATGCGGTATTTGGGTTTAGCATAAATATAATGATTAAGGCATTTATGTATGTTCCAAGAAATTATCACGTATAAACCTAGATATATTTGTATTGATTATATATCATAGTTGCTCATCAATTATCTTCATCACTTTTTTGTACTCACCAACTCTGGCGGTTAATGAGACTTTCTTTGGAAATATTTGACCCTCGGGAACAAGACTTCCCTCATCCACCTTTATTATGAAAACAGACGAAAACCAGGTTTTGTAAGGAACACTGATTAGCAAAGATTCGTGTTTAATCGCAGGTTAATTACGACCAGTGTATAAAATAATCTTACTGTAACATTTTGCTTAGGATTAACTGTGTTTCCTGGGCAACCGTTGTTAATATGATTTTCCTCTCTGTCACAGCGAGCATGTTCATAATCCTAATAAAGAATAAACAGAAGCAAACATGCAGATTTGGACAAAAGTGTACATTTTTCTATATCTTCTACTAATGAAGGGCAATCGCACCAAATCTCTGTATATTATTTAAGATCTTCTATATTCTTTTTGTTATATATCGAATTTGTTAAATAATTATCTGTAAAGCGGGAATACCTCCAAAGTGCACCATGAACATCCGGGTATCTGCAAGCACAGGGAACATACTTCTTCTTTTATGTTCTCACATTCACTTAATTCATGCTGATGTCTTTGAGTACGACTATTTTCCATTTCTTTAAAAAAAAAATTTAACGCCTTTCTGAGTACATTTTTGTATATCGTTATCACTTTCATAACATGTTCATCACAAGTTATCTCTTTATAACATGTTCATAACAAGTTATCAATTTATAACATGTTCATTTTAAAAAGCTGTTGTTGTTGATGAAAAGTCGTGCAATATTTGCCTTGATTGACGCGAACGAGCTGGCCTAATATTGTTTACAAGTGATGAAATGATAGTAAAATCGGTGCAATACCGTCTCAAGTGGAAAATTAATTGCCTGTTGCTGTTGCCTGCATGTTGTTGTGCTAGAAGACGGCAACGCGGAACCTCCCGCGACGATTGCGGAGAACGACGTGACTATGCTATACAAACAGGTTTTTGTTTGTATAATGACAAGTTTCCCGGCTGGGTAATGAAAAATATCATTTCATTTCTTCATCTTGAATCTCTCATGACCAGAAAAAATACAGATGTATTTTCCACCTTGTGCGACGTCATTATTACATCACATTTTTATCGTTACATAGCCATCGTGGCAAAACATGTTGTTCGTTTATGTATTTCTGAGTCTCACTTGAAGATTCTTATAACTTATAGTGAACAACGAGGAATTTTGTTTTGTGTATGAATTTAACATAACTGAATGACACTGAAAAATATCTTCCCATACATATATGATTGTAAAACAGTTTATATAGAGAAAGATATGCTAGTTGCATGCGAGAAAGGGGCACGTGGACACCCGTGCCTACGTTTCACAGGTCACCTTTATATGTTGATGGTCACAAATATACCATGTCGTTTTTTGTTCTATTTTTCGAGGTTGAAAAATTACGATTGAAATTTAATTGCCTGCACCCACTTTTCGAACAAAAGTCCTTTGTCAAGATGTATTAAAATGGTCTACCTTCTCGAAATAAATCACCATGTAGCTATACAATCGTTACTTTCATACTGGCCTAGCTACCTACCTGGATTTTTTCCGAAGCTTATTTGATAAAATATCATAACTTTCAATAAAACAAACAACTTGGTATTCATCATCAAAAACTAAAGTTGATCGTCTACAAAAACGTGGAAAAATCTTTATTAGAAATTTGACAACAATTTGTATACTGTAGATTATACATGGCAGATTATTTTTTCATGCAGTTTCATATATATAAAAAGATATGTATACTGATATATATACATATAGATCGCTGTCTTTCGCGCGTTCATTTATATTTATAACTGGCTGGCTCATACCATTGAAAATTTCCATCCGGCTCAGTAAATCCTGTTGATTTTATTTGTATTTCTTAGACTAAAATCACGAAATTGTTTAGAAATGTTTTTCAATAAAGTCCTTCCTCGTGCATATAATTAATGAATTAATAAGGCAAAGAAAGTGTTCGACAAAGTTTTGCTATAACCCGCCCCATAGGCCCATAAATCAGCTATATTACAATTAGAGATATACTAATTCAAATTATTTTATAATTTCTAAGGATATCGTCATGATTGTTTGAAAATTTCCAACAGTCTGCGCGTGCGTGGAACACTTCAGTGATGCATGGTAGATCAGTTCTCATTATTGAAGTACTTTGTTATCATCTTCAGGTCCTCAGACGTGTACTTACACAATTGGAAGTGATATCCTATACATTGAATTTTGTTTGAATACCAGTAATATTTTGTTAAAGGACTTTTAGTGTTACTATATTTCAATAAGTAACGGCGTGTTCATAAGGTAAACGACTTTGGGTTTTTCATTTCTCTCTTCAAATTCGAACGAAGCATAAATAGCATTCATGATGCATGATGCAAAGAAAATAAAACTGATGCGAAACTGCTGCATTCGATAAACGCCATCATGTTCGCTATTTACGCTGATGATTCGCTGATGATAATCCGGGATTAGAGAAAGAAGTATGTGTAAGATAATGGTCATATATACTTAACACAAGAGCGCAACTAATCTAGATTACAAGACTGTTTTTGAGGCATGTTTGAGACATTACATCATTCTGCAGTGCGCAACATGCATGCATGCACGTAGCTAAGACCACGTTATTTCAGTTATGGTATATATATATAGGGTATATGTTATATAGACTAGCTAGATACATGCAGAGAGAAAAATAACGCGGAGAGAAAAAAAATACAAAGTTGACGAGGAAACATTATAATATATATACGTAAAAAGACGGTCTTATAGTTCTAATACTATATAGTATATGAATAGGAAACGAAATATCAAACCGGATGAGAAGACAAAGATTAATGCATAATAATTCTCCACACAATGCCATTAATATAATTGCATTGCATTCACTTAAATGTAAAATTACCGCTATTAAGTTCCTATTCTTTTTATTTGATCTCACGCAGTCTGATATTTCAGGCATCTGACATGATAGAGAAATCAGTAATATCAATGGCAAAGCGAAATTCACATTTAGTTACATTGTGAGTTATCCCATGCATCCGTATTGATTTTAAAGATGCATGCATGGCTTCAGTCGTGGGCTACTGTGAAATATATATGCATGCATTGAAATGTGTGTTTAATGTGTGTGATAGTAAAATACGAAATAAACGTAGCTGACGAACAGAAAATATCCCCGGCCAATTTGAAAACGATCAATAGGTATCCTCTAATTATTATGTATCCTCTGTATCGTCTAACGTATTATTATTCATATATAAAGTAAGCAAGTTGGTTTAGTATACTATTGACTCTGATTGTTCAATCTAAACCTGTAAACAAAATATTTTGAGCAACAATATAAAGGGTATAGTCAATAAAATGTTTACAAAAACCAAAAAGCGTATATTTGAAACGCACATGCAACGCCAACGGTCCATTTCGACTTTTGAACTGATTTTTTAGTTTTAACAAATGGCAAAGACTGCGCTTGTAGCTACATATTTTGTGTTAAACCGTTTTTTGAAACATCATTATACAACATCATTATTATACAAGTTTTCAGTTATCGTTAAGAGCTGTTATACTCCAGATATTAATCATATTATAAATTTCCATAGAAATTTCTCATCCACAGAGTCAGAGGAAAAATATATTTACAACAAAAAATATTTGATCAAGTTAAAGAAAATTTATACTCATGTGAATTATTCATATATATATTTATATTTATGAACTTACATGTCTTTCAATCGTATATCACGATAACTAAATTTTGTCGTCTCCCAAATAAGTGCTTTTCATACCAAGACAGATTGAATTAAATGTCCTCAAAAGTTGCCGTTCTTTATCTTTTATCTCATACATTTCAGGAATAACTTAAAGTTAATTTCAAGTTATCGCTTCCGCTTTCCGGTGCCAAGTATTACGCATCCTTTTTCGAGGTTTAAATACAGTTCATCGCTATGTGGATTTACAAGACACGCATCGTCATCAGCGAATGGCGTGTGAAAGTATATATTTGACTTTTAATTCTACAAATCAAAGTAACTAAGTAGCCTTAAGACTATTGTGATGTAATACTGAAACAACAAACGTGTGGAGCGTATATTTGTTATACTATGCGATGGTCAATTTTGGCAATAATTTCGTCATTGCAATATATATGTTCGACTCCATTGCCATACATGTAGTTCACGAGTAAATATCAATAATCCTCAAATGGCATGATGTTTATAGGCGGTGACGGGCCTAAAGGCTCGTAAAGACCAAAACATGCGGACGAAGAACCTTCCATTTGTCGGGTCTCATTTGCTCGATGCGAAAAGTTGACAATTTTTCTGGTTTTCAACGAGGTGCTAACTTCATGTATATGATCGTGCGTCAACGAAAACTTGACAAAGGCCACTCAACTACTTTGGGACTTTGGTATTCACGAACACTCTTAATAGACGGAAATACCAATTGATAAACGTTGTAAAAAAATCTAAATAAACTTTAATAAAGTGCAAAGAAAATATCGCTGTCCGCGTTGCGTTTTATAAAGCAGCTAGTGAATTATCATACACTGACCTTACAATATTCCCTTACCACGTAATTCATGGAGAATAGAAAATTATACCCCCGTCTTATCTATAATTGTGGATTGTGCGCCTACAAACATGTAGGGCCTTTTTTCAGGAATTTCAAGTGGGCAAAGTAGAAATGTTGATTGTGACCGATTAAGAATTTTTGAAATCATGCAGTTGTCTTATTTGAAGAGAAAGTAAAATAATATTTTTCGGAGCTCGACAGATGAAATTAGTGTAATTACATTCAAGAAAGATTGGCTTACTGTCGGGCTTACATACTACAAAGTGCTAATACATTATCTTGCACCTAACTCGTACTTTTTTACTGTGTCAAAAGCGTTTTTACTGCGGGGTATATTGGTATAATTTGATACGAAATTGCTAATCTTTTCTAGATTTCCCAGATTCAAGCACCACCGCCACAATCAGAATTTGGCTTTGCATCCTTCATTTTGTACTCAATATCCCCTCCTACAGTTTAACTGCGTGAGGAAAACTCGGAATGCAAGTTCAAATGTTCCATCTGCTAAAACCAACTAGTGCAACTTCAATTATCAGGTTAATTTGGGTTAAAGGTTTATATCGTTTATATATTTGTTGCATGTTTGAATTAAACAGCGGTAAACCATTGCACAGTTGGCACCGTTAGCAGGATAATGTCGTCACTGTTATTTGATTTAGGTAATCTCGTTGTCTGTTCCAACGGATTGACTAGTAAATCCAGTCCTTCCCCACTATCAACCTTGTCTTCAGCCATGTCGGCAGCATCTTGCTCAATATTATTCTCTTCTTTCTTTACTGTCATAACTACACCATAACTATTGATAATAACAATCATGGCTAGATAAACAAATATTATAGGAAAGAACATAAGATCTTTATCGCCAACATTGTCTGGTAAATTTTCAATAACAGCAATAGCGATACTCGAATGTCTTGCTGAAGAAAGCACTGTAACAGCTAGGATTGATTTCTTAGGTAAACGAAGTAGAGAAGCCAATATAAAGGATATCACAAGAAATGAAGTAATCACAGCTGTACCAAGAGCTGTTACGGCCAAAATAATCCACGGTGAAAATCTTTGAAGGTCTCCTTTCGCTGTTGCTTGACTAATCTTCACCCAGAACATAACAAGTAGAGCCCCAGAAGTGACGAACTTCAAAGATGTATTTATTTTTATCACAATCTTTTTTACAAGTCCGATAAATCTCAAGAGTCTTCCAACCTGAAAAATTGTTTATAACGCTCTTTATAGGTTAAACTGAAGGGCGTTTCAGGTTCCAGAATGTAGGCTGCTGTTATTAGTACTGTCACATGCAATCACCACTAACATCATTACTAGGTCCTAGTGTGTGCGAAGGTCCGTACTAGGTGGGTTTCCACTTGGCGGAATATTTCGATCAACGGAATTCTCTTCAATTGTGACAATTCGACCGTGGTTGATTCCCTTGAACGGTCACAATTTAAATGAGAATCAGACGGAAAATAATTTGTTTGATCGAAAAATTTGTACCCCAAGGGTGTTTAGGAAATCACTATAAACACTTACGATCAACGGTAAAAGGATAAACAACAGCACTCTAGGCAGTATGGTGAGAAAACTGACACTGGCATTTTGAAATGCTGGTATCAACCAAGTGGTCATGACGGGAACTGTGAAGACTGATATCATAGTCGCAATTACTGCAATTAATAATGTCAATGCTCGATCACCATTGGCTGTTGTTACCTAAAAATAGAGATAGCTTTAAAATTGAATTTCATCAGTAAATTCCCTTGTTTTAATCACGCGCGTTTAAGATATAATTTCTACATTATGGTCTGAAAAAAGTGACAGTATAGAAATTGTCCTCTCACTGTCCTCAGACGCGCGTAATTACTCACAAGGCAATTTAATGAAATTCGAATACTGAAGCCGGAATTTAGTGCTACAGTGCATGAAGACAAGGCCTTGTTGTTAATGTTGGGCAAATAAAAATGGGCGTAAACCAGCCGCACACAGAGCCGTAGCTATAGAAGCTTAATTGAGGGGTGTATATTCATAAATTTATCTTATGCCCGACTGATTTCTTATGTACGCAATGTTCCTGCGGTTGATAAACATGGATATATGAATATACACCCCCCAATTAAGCGGTCTAGCTACGGCCCTGACGGCACATCGAAAGTTTCACTCATCCCTGCAACTATTAGAAATAGACGAGGCTATGAATCATGCTGTTTTGGCAGGCTGACTCATAGTTATGATTTTTGACACTTCACTCGATGTAGGTAAATTCTAAAGGTTGAAAGGGTCTTAATTTCGAGTGGAATTATACACACTTCAAATTCAAGCCAGGAACAGTTGATGGGAAAATGAGTCAACTATCGGTCCTCCGGCAGGAATCGAACCTACGCTTTTGCGATGCCAGTGCAATGCTCTTGCCATTGAGTTAGTCTTTTTGCATGTAAAAAACAGCCTTCCGCAGAACTTCAGGAGTGCATGCATTCAGTGCATTATCCAACAACTTCATGAATGTTTTAAATAGAGTGTTTCACTGTGTTTGTATAATACCTTGGCAGCTTGGCTATAGTATAGCTGCTAGTATTAGTTTCGTCCTAGATCTTCGGCATGGTTATAATTAATAGTTGTTCCAGACTATAGTCTCCCTATAATCACTCTTTATCAAGAGGAATTTCATGTGGCGGAAAGAGGGAGCTACTAACAGCGGCATATAGATATCGTAAAATAAACAAAGACAAACATATCGACATAGATTTATAGTCGGGTTTTTTTCTAAAACCGGTTTAATTTGATCTGATTCGTTAGAAAAGTAATTACAAAAGGCGTCACGCTATTGGGAGAATCCGGCAACGGCATTTGGAGAATTATGTCTTGCATGTCAATTAAAGAACGGGGGTAATTTTTGGGCGATGAACAATTCTGCATGATGATCACAAAGACCAGCATTCCCAGTGAAAATGGCAATGTTTGTCTTGCTTGATGGTTCTCCCATAGAATTCTGGTCATTGTGATGAAGTCTATTGTGCTTTTCAACCGTGTTTTATTCGATTTTTTCCCGTACAAACCAATGCAAAAATTAATTAAAGGCATGCTTATGTGATGAAATTGGGATTTATAGCTATGTAAAGATCCCTGTGGCGAATTGCCAATTCCATATCGTAGACAATATGCATAATAAGAGAACAGTGCTTGTTCGCATGTCCTCAAATGGTTATAACTGAACTATCTAAATGACAAAACTGATAAGCGACTGTATTATATAACAGATAAATACTAGTACATTTTGTAGTACAGTTTCACTAGTACAGTTTATATTCCGTACAAAGAGGCTTCTGATCCTCAGTGAGAATGTCACTGTCCAGACTCGCTGATGGTTTATTCCGTATAATAGTGAATTCGCATGTTACACACAACACCTCGCCAGCTTTTACAGCATCTCATAAAAAAATAACACTTACCACTGCATTTGGAAATGCCGATGCGCATGGAGAGATACAAAATATCTGTAGCCCTGTACGAAATTCCTCCGGACCAAAATCTGGTAACTCAATTGACCAGCTTTTGTTCAATGTAACATTTTCGGAAAGTAAACTTGAGCTGTGAACATCACGAAACCTTGGTAACATCAAAAGCTTCGTTCCAACAACCGGAGTGAGCAGTAAGATAACGATTAATCCCAAGACGGTTTCTTTATAACAACGAAGAGCTGATTTAATCTCAGTTAAACGAAACTTCGTTCCGATAACAAAAAATAATGTGACAATACACATGTGCACAACTGGTAGTTTTTCATTCAGGTAGACCGCAGGAGCAGGGAAAATAATCCCAATCGGAATGACAAATAGTGTTCCAATAGGTAAGAAATGTTTGGAGAAAAATGCTGTGATAACGTTTCCCCTGCTCATAATGACAAGATAGGTTAGCTTTGTTTGCATGTATCACGGTACGTTGAATCTATGAAGCTATTCCAGATATCACTGTATAACCCAGTATGCATTGCCTTTGAATAATTAATCTTATTCGTCATATGAACCCTGGGAACGAGATTACATCGTCACAAATACGTCAGCAAGCACGTTAACTAGAGCATGCATTCAACTTGTGCTCGAACTTGCGTATGCGTTTGCATCAACTTGTGCGGAAATAGTGAGATGTGCGAATCAATGTTTGCTCAGTTTTTATTTGCGCAAATAGACACAGGTAGAATATCAATTGAATTAGCCTTGAATTGTTTTTCATCCTTAACATTGTGACAGCCAACATTGTATTAGTTTCAAAAGGCGTTTTATGTCAAAGGCCTTGTTTATACCCAGTCCGATTGCCATCGGGCAGGTCAAATTTTGTAGGTTATAAAAGACCGTGAACATTTTTATTGTTTAAGACCAGAATCTACATATCAAATTGTAAAATTATTAAGCATTACCTACTAACCATTACCCATTAAACGCAGGATGCATTAAACGGCAAACGGCGGTGTCGTGACAAACGAATTCCAGTACCGTGTAGACCGGCGGTGTCGCGTGACAAACGAATTCCGGTACCGTGTAAACAAAGCCATAATAAAAAAATATCATAAAAAAATTTGGTTTAAGTTATTATTTCTGTGGAGAACTTACGCACTTGTCATTTTGTTTGGTGGTTCATATAGATTCTACTTGGGCGTGGCTGGTCGAAAATGTTTGATCCAAGTCAAATATTGGATTAAATTTAAAAATGAAATATTGTTCATGAAATTAGAATCATTACTGAACTTTATTTCTTCAAAAATATCGATAGTTTTATCATTAATTCTGATTCCGGCGTGTTGTTTATCACATCATCTATACATACACAGACTGGGTTTCCGGGCGTGTTGTTTATCACATTATCTCACTCTGCTCTTGAGGATTGAATTTCAATTTTATAAAAAAAGGTCCGAAATCGGGGCGGTTTAGAAATGGACAGTGACAAAATAAGTGATAAAATATTTCTCCTGTTTTCTTAATTTTTTTTAATGTTTGACAATGATTCAGTGACGGTATCAAACTGCGAGACTGTGTAGATAACCTTTGGCTTCATACGTTTATTCAAAATTGATATGGAAATTATGAATAGTTACTTCGATTTCCCGAAACCATATCAGTAGCTTTTGTGACTGAGAAAAGAGTAAAAAAAAAACATTCAGGGAAGTCTTACACGCGTAAACAAGCATGCGGACAAAAATAATACCACAAAACTCAGAGTCTTTTATCTCATATCTCGAGTTCACAGGCGTTGTTTTCTCTATATGTTTTTGAAATTATCTTTTTCCATAAACCTGTGGAATGGAATGGAATCTATTACTGCATAATAACAGTACTATTAAATGTCATGTTAATTATTTGTCTCAGCGCTCTGCATGCGTTTGGGCTTAACTTAATTGTTAAATCAACTTTTGGCACTTTTTATAAATCTTACCATCATATCTGTAAAACTAAAAGAGATTTTTTAGTTGTTTCGATGTTAGTCACGGCGCAATTTGCGTTTTTTTAATTTTTGCTAGCGGCGGTGTGTTTTGAATGTTTTTTTAATGTTTTTAATACCCCGTCACCTGTAACAATATATTAAATTCCAAGACGAGGGGTGAGGCATTCCTGCAGTCCAATGTAAATTTCTTTTACCAAAGTTTATATCTGCTCTTATAGATCTCCGATGCATATAAAGGGACTAACGTGGTGTTAATCGTTGATATTGTAATTGGGGATGCTGATCGCTGGTCAGGTCTACGTTTTAAAATTGAATATTTAATGCATGCATTGAATATTGGAATGTTGATAACGCACTCCATAAAAAGTCTTCGTTGTAGTTAACTGCTATTGTTGGAAGACGCAAGAAAATTTTAATTCAAGCCGGTTATATCGTTCCCATGCAGCAAACTAAACTGATATGAAAGGCATCAGTCTTTGCACAAACCCATATACCCATTCGTGTAAAACACGTAACAGTGGAAGTCAGCTCTTTACCAATTTATATACCGTTCTCAGCATATTTCCCTTGACATTCTAGCTCTTAGACATGCTACACTGAAAGAATGTTATCATGCAGACTATCATGCAGTATAATGTAGAAATAAACTCCCCTAATGATGGACCAGCATGGGAGCTTTTTTAAATGAATTGTTCGAATATGCGAATGATGCGATTGAAGCCATTTGAAAGTATTTCAATTTTCAGTAGAAATTATTTTTATACTCTAAACAAGTAATGCTGGCAGTACAGTGTTCACCCTGGAAATCGAATCCGAATTGGAACGTGCAAATTGCAATATCAAGGAACGTAGTTTTCGGAACTATAAAGACAGTTCATGCAATCATTATATACCTTCCCCTTTTACCTATCAAGCGCGCAATGCGCGGCGGTAGTTGATTATAAGTCACTTTGATTTGAGATATGATATCATCATATATCGCTGTGCTCTGACGCGTTCTTTGCTAAACTTAATAAACATAGCGTTAATATATAGAACTTAAATTGGCGCTTAAGAGATAAAAGACGAAAAGGTACATTATGTGATATATCTCAAAAGCCTCTGCATGCAGAGTTTGTAATATATTTAAGGTGTCAGTATGGAATTTGACATTATAGCCCGTTTACACTAGATCCAATTGATTGCATGAGACGATATCATGTTGACGACACAAGTTTATCAGAGACTTTTCAGAGTTTTAAAGACTCATGCATCTTAAGAATATAAATATACGAATAATTATCGATTAATACGATTTCATGCTACCTGTCAATCATTCGTATGATGTAGTGGTTTTTTACTTCGCGCTGTGATTTGTTGTCTTTTTTTTCATTCACAATATAACTAAATATTACAAATGCTTTCTTATTAAGCTTCTGCACCCTTTTGGACATAAGTTTCAGTGCATGTATTCTGAAAAGAATTTGGGTTGCTGTCATATTGTTATACCTCGCTGAAACTCGCGGGTACTTGACACCTTTGTCGGTAGGCAAGCACATGAAGGACTTTTTAAACTGATTTAAGTCAAGAGAGTTTGAAGGTACGATCGTCATGTGCTCCTTGTTATAAGTAAATAGTAATAATTCTGACTTCCCCGTTGAGACGCCATAGCTACCCACATAGTACCACCCCTGCACTGGAACAGCAAGAAGCATGCGCCCCTATGCTATAGAGAAGATCAATGAAGAATAAGAGAGAGTTGATACTAAAAAGGCAATGCCAAACTAGTTCGACAGCAATAACTCAGTAGTGCATGCATTCATAAATTCGACAAAAAAATGAACAGTGCAAAAACATACCATGCAGTATTGAATGATACACATTACCTAAAAAGGACTAAAAATGGTAAAATGAAGTCAAACTTTGCTTAAATGACCGCTTTTTGACAGGTACCGGTATAAAAAAATAAATAAAAACATACACTAAGTAGCATCTCGTAATTTAGGTGCAACTGAGCCTTTAAACTTGGAATCTGGCCGACAATTCAAGCATGCAAATTTTTGGCATTTTCAAATCTGAAATAAGCACCAACATTAATATAGCTTTTCCTAAATATACATATGTGCATTTAAACCATGAATTAGTGAACAAGTCTGAAGGTTCCCTGCTATTGTTAGTCAAGACGGGTTCATTAAGTTGAAACTTGATTTTGGGGATTGCTACTTATGCGTTTTTAGTAATTAAAAAATTCCTTGCAGCCCAAAGATTTACTGTAGTCTGAATGTTTCCTGTTGGCCAAGGATTTCTGTATAGATAGATACTCTGAAATGATATTTTATCTGAAGATACCTTCTGACGATGAGTCTCTTCTTCACGCTTCCTTGGGTTCTTACTAACATCTGTTGGTTACACGTGATAAAAAACTGACAGAAAATGTCAATGACTGAATTGAGCACTTGTAAATGACCTGCACCTTCAGTAGGTTTATTAATGTGATTTTAAATATTTTGCGAGATTAGTTTGATTTTCACAATTAGTACATATATTTAAAGCTAATCGTTTTGAATATACTCTTGACTCAGATGAGGTTGATTTTGATATCTGTTGCATTATCCTTATTTCTGATTCCGTTCCATGGATCTGGCGCACATCGTGAGATTCAAACAGATAGGCCAATTATAGGAGTCATGGCACAGGCAACGAAAAGAATGACGTTTGAAGTTCTCGGTAAAAATTACATTCCTGCCTCCTACGTGAAGTTCCTTGAGTCCTCAGGTGCGCGCGTGGTTCCTATCTTCAACGATTTAACTGAAAATGAAACAAAGGAAATATTCCAGTTAATCAATGGTGTTGTTTTTCCTGGTGGAATCGTAAATCTGTTAACTTCAGGTTACGCCAACGTTTCGAGGAGAATATTTCACCTGGCGAAGAAGAGAAACGACGAGGGTGGATATTTTCCAATAATGGGCATGTGTCTTGGACACCAGTTTCTGGCAGCCGTAGTAAATAACAATACCGATAACCGTATCCTCACTGATTCGTACAACATGACAGCTCCTTTGAACCTTCCAAAGAACTTCCGTAACAGTAAATTATTCCGCGACATTCCAAAAGATCGTGTAAAATCATTCAATGAATCACTAATCACCCCACATTTTCATAATTTATCTCTCCCACTGAGATTATTTGAAGAAAGTAAAGAGTTGAAAGATTTTTACAATGTTATTACAACAAATCTTGATCGGCATGGCGTGGAGTTTGTCTCGACAATGGAAGCAAAAAATTATCCATTCTATTCAATGCAATGGCATCCAGAGAAATGCTCTTTTGAATGGGTGTCCATGAAAGCTATACCACACTTTCTCTCATCAATTCAATTAAGTCAATACATTTCAAATTTCTTTGTCCAGGAAGCGAGGCTAAACCGGAATCGTTTTCCATCAGACACGGAGGAAAGAGCTGCACTAATTTATAACTACAATCCGGTGTACATTGGGAGAAATGGAAACACCACTTTTAGCCAAATTTACCTTTTTAATTAGATAAAACGACGCTGATTTACAAGATGCTGCATGTATTTTATACTTTGATTACTTTCCATTTCAATTCAATACCCCCGTTTAAATCATTTGTGTATAAGTGAGTAGACCGTACTCAGTTATACGATACTGGACTCAAATCGTTACGACATCAAGTTTAACCACTGTCCGATCATGTCGCCTTTAACCATTTCCTGCGGGTACCTTAGGCCGTTGAACTTGTTGTGATGATGTCGTGATGATGTGAATCCGGTATCGCGTGCAACTTGGTCAGGTCTGCGTGGTTTAGTCTGTAGCTAAACTGAGTCGTTCACACTTAAACTGTGTACTGCAAACGAAAGTGCAAGCCCGTTCCCAGGATATCGGTGAAGCTTGTGAAAAATTTGCACTGACGAAAGGGGAAATTCCAACATGACTTGATAGTCTTACCGTATATTATAGTCATCCGTACTGTACTGATATTTTATGTGGGAATATTATTTATAAGCTTATATAGAAGTATAGACTATAGAGCTTGTTTTGTAATCATTCATTTACTTGCTGTGCATGGTTACGCATTTTTTGTCCTGTATGCGAAGTTGTTTAGTATCTTACGCAATCATATTAACATATTTTCATTTTTGTTTAATTTTAAATATATAAACATTATTTTTTGCATTCATTCTGATCTTATTCGGTTTGAAAACCGTTTTGCCCGGATGTAATTTAAACGTCTTTTTTCATATCTGAATCGAGATATGATGCTGTAGCAGTATAGAACAGGAAGCTACCAAAAAGTAAGCTATAAGGACTGGGTATAGGGCTTTGAAAGTTAAGGAGGTTTTAGGATTAGAATTTCAAACTTCTTGACTTTGATTCTTGATTTGATCATGCCCCTCACCTGAAACAATGTCCCGTAATCTATAAGACAAAGTCGCAGGATACGTCCTTAAGGAATTCGTCACTTGTTATTGCGGGAGCCGTCCTGCAATTACAGTTACTACCCATTTAGTTTAAGCGTTAAAAGTGCCGCTGAGGTGGCGTTTTTTTGGGGGGTTCTGATTTATCAGGCGGTGTGCAATGTTGATGATCCACCGGATCAGGTTAGCATAACAGAATAGGGCCAATAGGCCATTTCTTCAGCCTCGCACCCAAACGCATTAAATAACTATAAATATAAGCACACTACAGGCTCCGTGCGCGCTCGCTCAGCTTAGCCACTGATCTATGTAAAAGGCTATAGTATGCCTATATATTTATAGTTATTTAAAGCATCTGGGTATCTTCCTGTGCCAAGGTGATCTAGACCCCCTTACACTCACATGTACCGATCTTACGCCTGTATTCTAAAAGCTCACTCACTCACTAAACGACTCAGACTCATTGAGTAGGCGATCTTTATCCTCTCATAGGGTTCCCATAGAGGTATTTCCAGTCGAATAAAAGCTTGATTCTCAGTGTTTAAGTTTGTGTTGAATCTTTTCGTTCTCATGTTCCTTGAAAATGATCATGGTTGGTCGACCTTGGTTACATTTGGAGTTTACATGCGTCACTCTTACGTCGAAAAATGTAGTAGCTCAACGTAGCCAAAAACCATTCGCCTTCATGTCAAATCTCGCTTCGGGACTTATGTTAGCCGATCTCAGGTTAAATCTCTCGTTGTGAAGGGGTTGAAGATGAAGCTCCATTTCCACATTCTTGCCCACTTTACCAAGTTGTGTTGTTAGCAAATTACGGACTCCATCCTACCTTTGCGCCACGAACCTCCACTTCCTTTTAGTTAGAAGAGAGGGCATGATGGATGTTAAAGCGATCTCCGCATGCACAATGACTAGGTAAATCATCCAGAGTTATATTCGTAACGAGTCTCTGAATTCTTGCTTATTAAAGGCTAAACCTTGATCTTTGAGTGGTATCGCGTTTAGCCAGGAACTCGCTCCTTTGTCTCTTGATTGCTTTACCAAGACAGTACATCTGGGGATAGTGTTGCATCAATGGTATCCATTGTTGACTTAACAGTTTCCGTTTTGGCTGCTTGCTGTATTCACTTCAGATCTTCTATAGGCTGCTCTATCGATGCTCTATTGGTAAGATGAGAGGCAGACTCGATTTAAGTACACGCGTTATCATTGATAACTAAAGCGCCTCCCATTTTAGTGTGCCCTTGGAAAGTTTTTTTTTCACCGTGGATCACGCTAAATCAGGCCTGAAGGAAGGTTTTATCCATCGAAGACATGATGAGATCAGTGACCCTCTTGCAGCTCCTATTATAAAAAAACTCATGATCACGATATTGTTTTTGGTCAACTTGATACTACATCTGTGATCTACTCAGTATAGTAAAATTAAGAAGTAGACTATGACTATAGCTCGTTCCCAGTCCATTGCGGTCAAACAATGTTCGAAGCGCACTATACAGTGACGTCACGATGAAAAATGTAAACTTCTGAATCCACTTGATCTGGGAAGAATTTATCGAACATTTCTCACGATTTGACCATATTTGAGTCGAATTACAAATATCCATTGTTTCTAATGTAAAATGGAGTTGCTGCGAGCTGTTATTTCACGTTAGCGGGTTTCGGAATGAAGGATTTCACGAGCAAACCCGTGCCTTTCATCCGCCTTGATAGATGTCTGTTGTTTTACCCGGCTGTTTGAAGATTTCTTGATCTAAAATATGGAGGCCGATAGTAGCGAATGTAACATAAAAGTTGTGTGCCGGTTTCGGCCTCAATCACAATCCGAAGTTAACAGTGGTGGATTAGTAATGACAAAATATCCAGCGAAAAGTAACGATACTACAGTATTTGGGGTAAGGCTACATCGCAATCCAAAGTGTATCAAAAGTTTAAATTTTCGATTTCTTTATCAGTATATGATGGAATTTAATGGTCCTACTTTGTTACAGAATCGTGTGTATACATTTGATCATGTGTTCAGACCAGCAGCTACTCAGGAAGAGGTTTATATGCTCTCAGCAAAGCCGATTGTGAAAGGTTAGCCAATTTCTAAATTACACACACAGTATGACAGATGCACCGGGAAAGTGCTTTATAAATGCCATTGATATTCCTGATATTTATGGAAAATTCTTGATTCTGATGATGTCTTTCACAACTATTATTCTGCTCTTAATACTTTATGTGCAATCTGTTTGCTGTTGTCAAAATCGTAAATCTGAAGGAATGTCTATCACAAGGTTCACCTTGGGGTCAAGACGATTTCGAATGTTACAAAAATATATCATATTTTTCTGTGTTTGTTCAGAAGGTTATTTTTGTGTCTAAACCTATATTTACTGTTAGGTTCTCTACAACATGTTTCAGTAGTCTTAGAATGTTATTTCACGCTCATTGGTTGGCTATTGAGTTGTTGATTTCGTCTACGGTACTGTTCAGACATCATAGAAAATATTAAACCGACAGTTTGACGTTTGTCAACGCCTATATGTTTTATTATATACGATGAACACAAGTATTTTAAAATATATTTATAAAATTGTATTATTATTTTCCATCTAAGGCGTGCTGACCCCACAAACGTTTTAATTATTATTGTATTTGCACAAGGCTACGAGTATCTGCTTCCACCGGTTTTCTATTGTTGCAAGGAATTACTTATTCATAATGACAAAAAGTAGTGAGAAAGGCCCAGTTTTGCGCGTTAGGAGACTTAAAAACGATTGTCTGGCTATTTTACCGTCCAGTAGTGACTTTGTACTTCCCCTGAATGTGTTAGTTCAGGCAATGTTTTTGACAAGTGTTGTTCTATAATTTTCGTGGGCGGTGTTTTAAATGCTTTACATATAAATACAAAGACAAGTGTTACATACAATACGGCTTGTAGTTTCTTGTTCTGTCTAATAATACAATATAAAATAATGTAATAATCACTTTGCTTTTCTTCCATCTAAATGTTTTAATAAACGCTCGAATATTTTTTCATTAATATTATGGCTATAAGGTATTCCTATGAGGATATTAAAGTCATTAGAGATGCGTTATTTATACAACTGACTTTTTAATTATATATTCGAATTCTGAGATTTCATTTTAAGCTGTTGCTTCATTTATTTTAAATGTATTACTCATTTAAATGTATAGTAGAGCCTTGCTAATTCCAAATGTCAAAAAAAAATGGAAATTTAGCCTTGTTAGTATGGGTTTAGGGTAACAGAGGTGGTGGTAAATGTTGTTTATTAGGTCATAATTAATTAGTTACCATAAATTTATTATTTATTAACAATTTTGAGCCACTACAGTCTATAGGGAACTTAGAGTAACCAGCACTCTCTAGATACCTGTGCTTTAAACAATATGATTAGTATCAAAATTCTGTGAATGAAACAGAATTTCCCATTCGAGCTTGGAGCTTAGTTGTTCATTTAGTGATTAGTTACTAGTATTTAGTTATTACTGGATGTATATTTTTTGAGCTGGAACTTTGCTATAATAAACTATAGGAAACTATCAGAAACTGTTTACATTGTCCAGGAATAGCCTGCCGATTTTTTCGGAAGTTTTCTTGTTATTAGACCATGAATGATTCGTCTTGGGGAAGATATCTCTTGGGATAGGGTAAAATGTATCATAGTGTGTTTCTGCTTTTAACCTGAGTTCCCTCTCTAAATAAAGGTTGGGATTAATTTCTGCTTTCAACCTGAGTTCTATGTATCTATCTATTTACATATTGCTATTTGATTAATTAAATACCATAAACCACCTCTATTTAGACAGCACCCCCTACTGACAGCAGCCCCTATATATCTACCTGAAAAAGTCCACAATGATCTTAAAGAGGATTTGCTGTATTTATATAATTTAATTTATTATTTGCAGATGTGCTAGGAGGTTATAATGGCACAATATTTGCTTATGGTCAGACATCCAGTGGAAAAACACATACTATGGAAGTATGTAGAATGTACCGTGTAGCTTTCCCAAAAAATTTATAATAGAAAGTGGAATATGTAGTCTAGTGAAAATTCATAGTTGAACTTCCTAAACCCCAAAATAAACATTAACTTTATTGCAGTTAGTGCAACATGAACCACTATTAACCAAACAATTTTGAGGAAAGGTCTAACTTCATACAACACTTAATATTAAGAACAACTGAACAACAACATTATCATGCATAAGGCAATGTAATAAAGTAAACAATTCAAATAATACTGTAAAAAGTGACATTGCAAGCAAGCATTTTTCAGTTGTGGGATGTCAATCAGACAGAGGGTATTTGCCAAAGACTCAATGTTCTAGTTTGTCTGATCACACCACCTTCATATTCTGCTAGGTTTATGTCTTATCACTTTAGACCCAGTTATATCGATAGTTGCTATTTGTTTAGGGTATCCTTGGAGATGAAGACATGCAAGGAATAATTCCAAGAATTGTTGATGATATTTTTAATTACATTTATGATATGGATGAAAATTTGGAATTTCACATTAAGGTTACTAACAGCAGTAATGTTTATCATATAATAATAAGTTTTTATCGATTCAACATTACGACATATTTGTTTGCTGTAGTGTACTGTACATAGTAAATGATTACTTATCAATTTTGCCAAAGTTTACAGATAATTTGGAAATCTTCATCATTTGAACTTTTGTAATAAAGAACCCTTGTTTTCTTGTTAAGGTATCCTATTTTGAAATATATTTGGACAAGATAAGAGATCTGTTAGATGGTATGTATGCATTATATATGATTTATCATCTTAAGTTGTCTTTGGATTAGACATCTACTGTAGAGTCTTCATTACCTATGAACCCTATAATAGGTCTAAAATGTTAACATGATGTTGAATTACAGTTTCAAAGACAAGTCTTGCTGTACATGAAGACAAAAACAGAGTCCCATATGTGAAGGTATTGTCAAGGTCAATCTGTTTCGTGATTAAGTTGGGTCTCGTTTGTGCTGAAGTTTGAGACTTCCAAGATGTAACTAGGTAGAAGTACATTTAAAACAACAAACAATCCAAATCTTCTTGGTAGGGGGCAACAGAGCGTTTTGTTTCCAGTCCTGAAGAAGTTATGGATGTTATGGAAGAGGGAAAAGCAAACCGACATGTTGCTGTCACAAGTACGTGTTCAGAAACCTTGATGAAGGTTTTAATTCAAATTTTACGCTTTCTTAGTTTTTTGACAGCGCATTGACATTGTGTTAAGCGCTAGTAATAGCTTTCAGGAACTGTGTGTGAAAAAGTACTTACTATATTGTTAGAAGAAGAACCTGTGACATACTTATATCTTGTATATATATTTGCCACCTTTATAAGGTTGGGATTTAAAGTTATAAAGCCGGCTAAGCGTACTGTACATAATGCGAGATTTGCTGTTTTTCACTTCATTTGTTTTGCAGATATGAATGAGCACAGTTCAAGGAGTCATAGTATATTTTTATTGCATATAAAGCAAGAAAATACCGAAACAAACAAGAAATTAAGTGGAAAACTGTACCTGGTTGATTTAGCAGGATCGGAAAAGGTAAATAGGACAAGTGTTTGGTTCTAATGCAGACAGTATTTACGAGGTTCGTCCATTTTAGTCGCAGTAAAACTGTAAAAGTAATTTTAGTAATGATTTTAGCCACGGTTTTTTACAAATTAAGTGGTTGGTCATGGATTTGAATTTTGAAGATCAGTTAATATTTTAATTTTTCAGTCGTCTTACAACATGACATTTTTGCCCCCTCTTGACGCAAAATTTCGGGCACAGAGGGATGTTATTGAAAAGTACTTGTACACAAAATGTGAGCATGAAGCTTGTTTTTTGAGGAATTGAACATGATAATTTAGACGGAAGAATCATAAACAACGTTCGCAGTTGGGTTTTTCCGCATAACAGTTCCGTAACAAATTGTAGCATAGAATGTCCCCGCGTATACTGCCAGGTATGAGTCACTTGAATAATATTTTTTATATTTTTGTCGCATAATATAGGTCAGCAAAACTGGCGCTGAAGGTGACGTTTTAGAAGAGGCGAAAAACATCAATAAATCATTATCTGCGCTTGGCAACGTTATCTCTGCACTTGCTGAGGGGACGGTAAGTACCCAGGCTGCGGCGAAGTGTAGGTAGAAAAGCCTGGCTGGCGAGTTTGGGTGGAGAGGATGAAAGCATGTTTCTCTGCATTTCGTATTCCTGGAAACTCGTTAGGAACTTGCGACAGATTTATAAATTCTGAAAAAATCACTGTGGATAATCAATAATTATTACTCTATCACGACTCTACATTGCACATGAATGACATGATGGTATTGATTAGATCGTAATTAATCATCAGATATCGATTGTTTCTTTCTATATTAGCATTAATACATTACGTTTTCTTCAGAAAAGCCATGTTCCATACAGAGACAGTAAAATGACGAGAATTCTTCAGGAAAGTTTGGGTAAGAAGAAGGAAATCATTCTTTGTTGTATTCTTTAACTAAACGAGGGCTCTATAGACAATCAGGAAAGCGGGCATCTATAGTTAAAACAATGTAGGTTAACCTGCAAAGATTCAAGAGTACTTGCAGATATTACTCCATGTTGCATATTTTCGCAATACAGTTTAATATTTATAACTCAATTATCGATTCTCACAGGTGGTAATTCCCGCACCACAATCATCATATGTTGTTCTCCGTCAACATTTAATGAGTTTGAAACAAGATCTACGCTGATGTTTGGTCAAAGGTAAGGCACGAGGCTGAAGAACGTATATTACTAAGTTTTCTCTGATGAACGTATTGTACTTTTCCTTTAGGGCGAAAACAATTAAAAATACAGTAGTTGTAAATGAAGAATTAACAGCTGAAGAATGGAAGAGAAGGTATGAGAAGGAAAAAGAGAGAAATGGAAAGCTCAAGTCGACGTTGCATCGTTTTGAGGCTGAATTAAATCGCTGGAGAAGTGGTGAGTTGTGTACCCTAGCGTGCCAGTTCTTATATAACCGTGTCATACTGTACCATATATAGCCCGCCGCACACGAGAGCAGAGCGCTATCAGCTGAGCTAACGACCTCGTGAGGCAGTTGGCTCAGCCTGAAAACCATCCGCACACGAGAAAAACTCGCCTCTCGAGGTGAATTCCTCACGAAAACTATCCGCACATGAGAGAAACTCGCCTCTCGAGGTGAATTCCCCACGAAAACTATCCGCACATGAGAGAAACCTGCAGAGCTAACAACCTTGCGAGGTCTTTAGCTCAGCGCTTGTGCAGTGGGCTTATGGTATATGTACCTTACCATATAACTTCCATATATACATATCATATGTACCTGTACCCTATGAGAACAATTACAAGTGTGACAATCGTATGGTATACCAATACCCTTATAAGGCCAACATCATTTATCCTTCAATAGTACGCAATCTACAAAAAAAATCTTGACAACTTTTATCAATCTAGGCGATGCCGTACCAACAGACGAGCAGGTTACCTCGAAAGATCAACATAGGCAATCTGGTGTTTTCGATAATTCATCTATGATTGGTTCCCCAGCCTCAGCAGGCAGTGGCTCACCAGTCGCTGCATCTTTGTCCAACGATGAAAGAAAGAAGTTTGATGATGAAAGAGTTAAACTTTTTGTACAGCTTGATGAAAAGGTGGGTTTTCCATTAACAAGAGCCCAAAGATATCCCCCGTAATCATCTCGATGATCGACGCCTTTTATCATATAATTTATACAGTACTGTACATGTTTGTGATCGGAGACCCGCACGTTTAATTTCTGCGATTTTCATTTGTGCAGGATGACGAAATTCAAACGCAGGCTTCGGAAATTGCTCGCCTGAAAGAGCAACTTCAGGATCAAGATGAGGTAATATGTTTTGTATTCATTTATTCCATTAATTCGTTTTTATTCATCTAAGTTTATTCCTTCCTCCAAACCTGGCCCATTCTGCATAATACAGTAATCTTATACCGATTATATCAACAGCATTGTTTGTAAAATTGTGCAACATGAATCCTGGGTTTTTATTGTGTCTCTTTCGTTTCATAGAAAATGTCAACTACGAAGTTTGATTCTGATTCACTGCAGTCTCAGATATCTTTGTTGCAAAGTGAAAACGAGAAGTCCAAAGATGAAGTGAAAGAAGTATTACAAGCTTTAGAAGAACTCGCAATGAATTACGACCAGAAATTACAGGAAGTAGACAACAAAAATAAAGAAAATGATAAACTTCAAGAGGACTTGTCCTCGAAGCAGGTATGTAGTAGCTACTGTACCCTCAAAGTGTTTGCCACTACAGTACTGTTGTAGTGAAGTTTTTCTTCCATGTCTGCTAAATTCGCACCTTAAGGTGATGTCAGTCAAAAGCTTTCAAGTTCTGGTATATTCCCTCAATAATCTTACTACCAATGATATCTTCCATAGAAATTGCTTGATCAAGTAAGCAAGAGTTATGAGGAAACGAAGGATGTCAATGCAGTGTTAAGAAGACGTTTGGCTGAGATGATGAACAGCCTTCTGAACGACTTGGTAAGTGCGCACTATTTTTATAGATGTTTATTTTATTACATGAGTGCAATATGTACGGTGTATCCTCACCGAGTATTTGGAAGGGTCCTTTTTTGGGGATATGAACATGGGCTTAGGAATTTATCTTTGTCGTCATCCATTTTCGAATGTTTTTGCAAGACATTTCCCTTAATTGTGTCGATCTTCAATCCACCGTAATCTTTTTTTGCTTTCGTGTGTTCAGGGAGATATCGGAACAGCTGTTGGTGGAAATGCTGCTGAGATTAAGGTGAACATTCTAGTCAACTGGATTTAAGATGTTTAAAGGGTCTTAATTTCGAGTGGAATTATACACACTTCAAATTTAAGCGAGGAACATTTGGCTTGAATTTGAAGTGTGTATAAATCCGCTTGAAATTAAGACCCTTTAAACCTCTAGAATTTACCTGCAAAAATCGAGTGAAGTACCAAAAATCATGATCGATTTACCCTCAACTGGATTTAGCTTCATTCACAAAAGAGATTCGAATTGCAGTAAGGAAAAAAGTAATTTCTGTTAAAATTTTTTGTGTTTCTTTTTAGAAACCAATTGTAGATGCTTCTGGTAAATTAGACGAGGACTTCACGATTGCAAGATTGTACATCAGTAAAATAAAAACCGAAGTAAAGTCGTTGTCCTCGGTAAGAATTTGTATAAAATCTATTTTAACTTCAGCTGTGACAGATTGTTGCTGTACACATTTATACAGCAGGGTCGATAGGAAGGATCTGAGAACTTTGCTAACGTCTTTGTCCTCTCATTTCGTTCATATTTATTCAAACTATGATGAAATTCAAAAGCTGAAGACTTTGTAACCTACAATAAAGTACACATAGTCTGCTTTAAGTCGACCTTGTAACTAATATATCTTAATGTTTTTAAAGCGATTGCACACGATGGAAGGAGAAGAGGTGCAGATAAAATCTAATCTTGAAAAATCGAACAAAGATCTTATGGCTTCACAACTTCTCATATCTCAGGTAATAAATGTTCATACTGTATATGAACATTTTGTACATGACTTGCTGATTTCTACATCAATTGGATTTTGTCTCAAATTTTCGTATCAACACCAACTTCTATTTCTTGTACAGTGTTTTAATCCTGTACTACTGCTTAAACCATCTAACCACTCGATAGTGAAGCAAATCAAGTTCATGCAACTCTTTTTGCTCTTTAACGAATAGCACGAGGCCAAAATGAAAACGTTGCATGCAAGTATGAAAGAAATGGAAGGAAAGAAACGTGTTCTAGAAGAAGCAGTTGACGCTCTTAATGAACAAATGAGCAAAGTCAGAACTGAAGGTGCACTGTCTTGTATTATTAATTTCGTTGTGAGTGGTTTAGTTATGTACAGTATTATGTACACATAATATGTGTTAGTAATTTGCTTTGTGAGATTTATAAATACAGGCTGATGACTGTACAGCAATAAATAGGTAATATACTGTGTTCAAATCTACAATACCGTTGGGTACCATCCAATGTAATGTATTTTGCGCGATATTTCATTTCAGCTAACGTTCAAGCTCTCGCTCTTAAAGACAAGGAACAGGAGCATGCTGGCTTGCTTGAATCGGCCTCAGAAATGAAGGTATACTGTTTATACCACGCTATCTAGTATATATACTACCTAATATACTGTATACCGTACTGGTAACTATATGCAGTGTTAGTATTAGCGCCATGGTTTGTAGTAATCAAACTTTTGACAATCCTCCCATCACTATTGTCATAAAATATTTCAGGTTGCCTTGGAAAAAGAGATGGAAGTTCATCGTGAGTCACAACAAAAACAAATTGCTAAACTGCGTGATGAAATTCAAGCAAATGAAGCTTTAGTCGCAGAGTTGAAGGAGTAAGCAAAATGAATATTCTTGCCACTGTACCAATCTCTGCATGTAGCTATACTGTATATTGACCTCCCGGGACAACCTGTTACTATATAAGTATAGGGCAAGCACATGCTGTACCGTAACTTCTGTTATCACAATCAAATAGGGTGTGTACTGTACTTAACTTGAAGTCTTTCATTCTTTAGAGCAAACCAAAGACAAACCCTTGCAGAAGAACAATTACGGGTGGGTAAATCAATCTTTTTTAGTATTATGGTCGATCTCTAATGTAGGAACACTTTATAGCTTGCAGCTTGTAGAATAATGGCGTGAGTTCCATTTCTACCGATGAACAACATAAGTTGCATTTTCGCAACGTTAGCGTCTATGTATGAATTTATCGTATGTTTCTAATCCACCCCCTCCTCTACTGTAATTTGACTGGTAACGAGCGTATACGTGCGTGCTTTAGGTCGAGAACGAGAGGATTAAGAAGGAATTACAAGACAAGACGAAGAAGATTAGCGAATTAAAGTAAGCTATTTTTCTGTTGTATAGACTGTAAGTGAGCACACCACGTACATAGCATGATTTATTACTGCAAGTATAATATGAGTAATGTTACGAGATTATGTATCTATTCCAGCATCCTTAGTACATGTACTTCAAAGAGTGATATTCTATCGCGAGGGAAGCCTAAGAGAAATCTTTTTCATTTGCAGTGTTGAATCAGACAAGAGAGAACAAGCAAAAGCAGATTTACGAGGATTGGAGGAAACTGTCGTATGTTTTTCTTGCCCTTTTCATTTTACATTATACGTACTAAATCTGCCTATATCCTAAACACAATAAACGTATTGTCTACAATATTTTCTTTTCTCTTCAATCATCTAAGACACTGACTTTCATTTAGGCCAAAGAATTAGCAACTCTCTACCGATTACGACAGCTGTTCGTCAAGGATTTGCAAGCCCGCCTGAAGGTATTTTCATGCAAATTTCTACATGGATTATTATATAAAGCCAGATATAACTTACTTAAAATTTTAAAGATAAATAGGGCCTAATGCAATGGGTTGTAAATTAGAAGTTCGTACAATTTTCCCATTACAGCCTCACAGTAGCGAGGGTGACACAGAAGACGATACCAGCAGTCACGCACAAAAACAAAAGATTGCTTTTTTAGAAAATAATTTAGATCAACTGACTAAAGTTCACAAGCAGGTAACGTTATGACTGAAAATTACATTGCAGGCTACCCATGCAGTGGCTGTGCTGCTCGCGGATAAAATTGGTCTGGGTAGCAATTTTAGCCCTGCCGTTCTAATAAACCATGTCTATGTTTGTTCACAGGGCCTTAGAGACAAGATTACAATATAGTTGTACACTTGTTAAGCTCCGCGTGTAATATTTTGTAGTTGGTCCGTGATAATGGTGAATTAAGGTGTGAACTTCCAAAGTTGGAGAAACGTCTTCGTGCAACTCAAGAAAGAGTAAAAGCTTTAGAACAGGCTTTGAAGGAAGCCAAGGAAGGAGCACAGAAAGACAGAGCAAGGTCTACGATTGTTATTCATTATTCGCTATGTTTAATATGCTGCTGTGTATTACTGAAATGTATCATTGGACCCTAATGTAATGTTTTAAACATTTTTCTAATCTTCTTTAAAGATACCAAAAGGAAATGGAGAAAATGAAAGAAACAATGCGAAATAAACAAGGTACAATTGTTTTCTGAAATCATCTAAACGATTTCACTTTTGGCACTGTCTGTAATGTATTAGAACTGATTTGATAGATTACGATAGACTACCATTGTGAGCAAGATATACTTCCAACCATGATAACATCTCGAACATTGAGTTGCATGTGTCAGTGTTTCTTATATATTGGTATTGTGTAACAGGTGTTATTCATGTCACCCAGATTGTTTCCGCGAGATATTTACGTGTATTCGTGCATTTACAACTCCCACTCTCTATTTTCTAGTTGCTGCAAGAAAAGGTGCCCAGGCACATATTGGTGAGTATTGCCCATGCGTGGTACCGCCTCTGCTAAAACCTTAATGCTGATTATACATGTTCCTATTTTAGCTAAACCCATACGTGCTGGTCACCAGCCCTCTAGTTCTCCAATACGCAGTGGTGTTAACACTGTAGCCAGTGCTGTATTAGGAGTGGGCAAGGTAATAGCTGGAGCTGGTTCAAAGACTGTGGAAGAGCTTTCTTCTCAAGTAGCAATGCCTGTCATACGAGGTGGTAGTAAAACTGGCGAACCTGTGGTTACTTACAGCAAACGTATCAGAAGTGCTGTCAGTAAGGAAACGTTGGCCACTCATCCTAGAATTAACTCAGGGTAGGTTATTATTGAGAGACTATTAATAATCGGTCCCTTGAAACAAGAGAAAGCTAGCGAAAAGCTCTAGGGTGTTGTATAGGAGCTTCTATCTCCAATTGAGGTCCTACTTCAACAATGTCCTACCGCATTTTACCCTGGGCTTTTCACAGTTATTCTATTCATGTATCATATTTAGTAACGGTGAGCATCTTCCTGTTGGCGTTCCCACGAATTCCTCGCCAATCAACGGCGAAGGTCGTGGTTGTGACGTCACTCCTCGAACGACAAGCCTTGATCGGTTGAACTTTATGTCAAATGAAGATCATTCCCGTCAGAGTACTGAGGTGAATCATAGATCTCCTTTAAAACCAACTGGAAAAGAAGCAGAGTTAGCAGCAGCGTTGAAGAAAAGTAGAAGACGTTCAGGATCGTCTCCTGGAAGCGGAGGTTTGTTTGCATACATGCACTACGTATTATATACATTGCAATGATAAAACAAATCATCGGTGATCTACATACACAGTCAAATTCAGTTGCCAGAAATGTTTGTCTCCTGTTTATAGTGACAAACTCCAGCATTTACTAAAAAAATATCTCAAATGAACCTATGGCTCAATTAACGCAAAAATTTTATAACCCTTCTTCAATCTTCAGGTGCCTGAGTCCCGATTATTTCGCACATCGTAAACACTCGATCCAATAGATTTTCATAATTTTTGTTAAAACAGGGCCCTGGGAAGTCCGAAAACCTGATTCTTGAAGATGAAATATGGCCGCCATGTACTTCATAGTTCGTGGTGCAATGGATCACTGGAATTCTTCAATACCAAGATAAAACAATGACATGGAGATGTTATGTACAGATCAACGCGTGTTTTATCTACAAAAAATAACTAAAATATGGTTTGGGGAGCACTAGAACTTTGATGTCTGATGTTCGTAATGTTTTACTCTATTTAATTTTGGAAATGAATTCGTTCGCTAGTTCGTGTTTGTGGAGGATAGTCTTTATTGTGCGGTTAACGATTCGATGTGTCCAAAAACTATTGTGTAACCAGCTTAGGGGAATGTTGTTAGAACGTTTTACAAAGTGGTCGTCAGGGGTCACTTCAGGGGTATTCCAGTAGGGGTGAAGAATGTATTCATTTCCAAAATAGGCGTAAAAAGTTATATAATGAATAAGAGAAGAAAATAACATTTATTTAGCGATATAATTGTTTTTGACAATTTCAAAGTAATACTAATATTAATTTTAATTTATTCAGTTATTGGTCTTTGAATTTTCCACATAAATGTGAATTGACTTGCAAGGTGACGAACGAAAATAGCTGGAATGATTGGCTTTTACTGTGTATTTCACCGAAACATGCAAGCTTTGTAAAGCTACGGTTCACAAACACTAGTTTAGTTTACTAACTTCATCATCATCACAAACAAGTTAAAACAAGTTACAACAAATGATAGGTGAGCAGACATTAGACATACCAAAGACCCAAATTAATTTGCCAAACTGAACTAAACTAAACGATCATCATCTGTTAATCATCTGTTTCGACTTAGGCATTGATTGTGCCTGAAGTTTTAAAAAATCGGCTATATTTGCTCCATTCCCTTTTAGCTATTTTTTCTTGCTTACCGTTTGCTGTTTTACGTATAACGTCGAGCTTAAAATCTCTCATCATATTACGTAATATAGAAATGATTTTGGCTCAGTTTATAAGGGGCACTCCCTCCCTCCAGAATATAGACAGTTCAGTGGGTTGGTCAAATTCAAAATAGCGAAGGAAGGTGACGTCAGGTGGTGAAGGCAACTCTCGAAGCAAAGGTTGTTTGGAAATATGATAATTGGATTTTCTTTCATTTTTGCTTTGTTTTGGTTTATTTTTCTGACATGCAGAAGCTTCATCAATATGTAAGTTGAGCCATTTAAAGAAAAGTTATATAAAATTTCAGATTGAATATGAGACGACAAAAGTATCATATTAGTATATTTAAAGGTCAGGTTTGAACGCCTATCCTTTTGCTGTCATAATAATTGCAGGTTTGCATAGCAAATCGTTGGCATTACTGGCAATTATCATAACTGATGCACAATAATTCAGAAAATTTCACAATGACACTGCACAGGGTGTATAAAAAAAGGCAATTACCTAATATTCGTATTGTACAATAGAACAATATATATAGTACTTTTAATTGCTTTTAATTGAATTTTTTTAATGTTAATTAAGTGGTTGCCTTTTTTGATACACCCTGCTTTGATTACTGTTGTCCTCAAACTGGATCTTGTATGTACAATTGAAATGACTTGTATGCCAGAATGTATGGTACACATAGGTCAGATATGGTAAAGTGGACACCCCCAGGGAATGTTTGACATAGTGTGTTTATCCTCATAAGCTCATTAAACTATATTTTTTACAGTTGCGACAATAGAAGAGTTCCGAAAAATATTGAGTAATTCATTTGCTCAAATTTATCAGTTGGCTTACAGAGTTCATCAAATATTTGAAAAACTCCTAACTTCCGTTTCGAATTGACCAATCATATGCATCTATTTATTTAATTATCCAATAGGATTAGAGATTAGTCTGGAAGTTAGGAGTTTTTCAAGGAGTTTTTCAAATATTTGATGAGCTCCGTAAGCCAAGCGATAAAATTGAGCAAATGTATTACTCAATATTCTTCGGAGCACTTATATTGCTGCAACTGTAATCATTATTTTCTTTATTACATGTTGTAGTTTATTGTCTTTGTTATTGTCCCAACTTGTGAAGAAACTGTTCCCAGAAAAAAATTTAGAGATAACGGTTGAAGATTTTGGATATTTTTGTGTAAATGGAGTTGTCATTCAAATCAACAAAAACAGAGTGGTGGTATGTTATCATTTTTTAAATTTTATTAAGTAATTATACCAATGAAAATTTATCACCATTTTGTTCATTTTGATTTTTAATTTTGGCAGAGGATTGAACATATTGAGCTACAGTTTCTTTGGGAGGAATTCAGGTGTGTGTTGTTATGATTTATTTTTATTAAAATCCTCACAAGCACATGTACATCAGAAGTAACTCTTATTCTTACAGTATATGCATTTTTACTTTAGTCTTAAATTGCAGTCATCAGCCAGAGATATAACACTAAAAGCCCAAAGGAAGTCTACCAAACAAGTTAAGGTTTGTTCTGTTTGTTTTACGTTGAATATGATTGTTTTTGGTGACTTCATATTCCATATGATTGATTATATATTTTTACCTGTCATTTAGAATGGTAAAAGAGATGACTGTGTTGTGATAAAAGCTTCTATAACTATTGGCATAAATATCTTCACTTTCAATCATCCTACTGAGCTGGTAAATCATCATGCACTTACTTACTTTTTATTTCATTCATTCCAGTTAGTCTAGGTTACTATTTCAGTAATTCAGAAAATTCATACAGTCCTAATTAATTTCCATTCTGTACCTAGTGAAAAAGGTATCTCTGTATCTTTTGAAAAAGCACCAAAAGGACATTTATTTTTTACTAATTTAGTTGATTGGTTGTTTTTTTTTAGTTATGTATTGCACCTGAAACAGAGCATGTACATGATACAGATATCAAGGTTTCTGAATTATCCTCAGTTTGGTTATTTGCACGAAATGCCAATGTATCCATTCAAGAAAAACTAAATGAGGATGATCTCATTACTTACAATATATCGGTAAGCCAATAACAGTAATATGTATTGCTTGCCTGATGATGTGGCTTGACCTGTTTATATATAATTATCCAGCATTTAATTTATTGATTTAAAAACAATTCATTGCATCATTTTCATGCAATCCACTAAATTATTACTTTGTAGATAATGCGCAGCACTTTATAACTGCCCTTTTTTACCTTCAGACTTCAAAAGCAGATGCGCTCGTCCTTTATAACTCAAGTATGGCCCGTCTCATATTTTTGTTCAAAAATACCAACGCAACCTGTTTGCCAAGCATTAGTGGAAATGCTATGGAACTCAATACACAGGTGAGGGAGTTTGTTAGGTACTTCATTCATGTCATTTAATAATTTGGTTTCCTGATGATCATAGCTACTATACATACTGTCAGCAGCTGTATGTGTCAATTAATATAATATGACTATTAGTAAAAAATGTAGCTGAAACCTAGACCCAAACATTGCAGGTAGCAAGTAGCGAAGGTTTGATATTGGTTTACAAATTTGAAGATGGTTTGTTAACAAGTTCTCACAGTCGACTTAAACATACAGAAATAAATTTGTCACCTTCAACGATCACTTGTTTGGAAAGCGTAATAACCAAGATTTTGAATGAACATTTTGGAGACAGCCATGGAAACGCTTCTGAGGTTACTCACAATGATCCTGGTAGGTTTTGTTTTATGTAGGCCAAACACTTTCTGCAGACTTCTGTATACAGAAACGAGGAAATCATGCGTTGTAGTTAATTGGATAAAAAACGAAAATTGGATGAAAAGAAAGTTTAAAATATTATAATCTTCCTTATATTTAGATCCCAGTACGGAGAAGTGTGAAAATAAGTGTGAGGTACTGTGAATGATTTTTGACATCTAGTCAAACAAATTGTTAGATTTGAACTAAGTATGCAAACGAGCCTAAAATATCACAAATAGCATGTCAGACCTCGAGTGTCCATTCAAAGCATCACCACCTCATAATTTTTTACAATCTTACTCGTATAGGTGGCGACAGAAGCGGAAAGTGTCACTGTAAACCTGTACCCTACTAACAATTCAAGACATTTTGAGCTAAAGCTGGCATTTATTAGTTTAGGTACTCCAGAGAAGAACACGGTATGTTTGTTCATGGAAAAATCATTTTACGATCGTTATTTCACAGTCTGAGCATTATATCCATGTTATTGCTGTGGTTTATATTGGAAGAGATTGGAACTTTTAAAATTTGTAATTTTCATTCTTTAGATACAGCGGAGTATTAGTCTTCCTTTTGAACTGATGTTCATCGATGACCGTTCTGGTTTAGAGAGAGAACAAGTTTTAGGCTCAAAGATAAAGTCCGAAGGATTAGTAAATCCGTGTGTTTTAAAGGTCGAGGTCTGTATATGTGCGCATGTGCACCATTTCACTGCAAGTTCTTGCTGCAGTATGTTTCACTTATTAAAGTATTGTCTACCTCGATTTGCTATAACTTGTTCAAATTCGCTAGGGAGAAGAAATCTCCAATGATACGACGAAATGGGATGTCTTTTTTCACGATGAGATTCTCATTGAAATAAAGCCAAAATACGTTGACACTCTGGAGACTTTTATCAAAGTGAGTTCAGTGTGTAATATTCATGACTCATTATTTTTGTTTTATTTGTCGGTGTTCGTTTCACATTTATTTTTTTGTTGTTTCATAGGCCTACAAACAAGACTCGTGCTCGTTACCAGACTCTTTAGAGCACAACAGTAATATGCCACAAACTGATGACGTTGTAAATGAAAGGCCAATTGAGAATTCTTACGAAATAACTCCGGGAACGTATGAGGTACATAAACCTAAAAATAAATTAAAATGCTCTAAATATAGCAACTAGTGCATGGGGCCGGATTGTTCGAAAGGTGGATAAATTTTTAATGTGTCTTTAACTACATATTTAATTCAGATTAATGTGTCTTCAACTACTGTCCTAAGTGCTAAGATTCAATTTATTATGTACACAGATATGTGCAAGTATTTGCGATATAACCATTGATGTTAGAGATACTTACGACGAGAAATTACTACAAGTCCTCATGATAAAACCAAAGGTGCGGAATTTATTTACTGTATATATATAATATATAGTACAAAGACGTGCATATGTCAATCTGAGTTGCAAAAAGAGTTCATCCTTCCTCCGGTAGGATTTCAAGTTTTGAAAATCTTCCTCAAAATGACGTTACGTCACTGAGTCAAGTGGCAGCCGGCAGAAAGAAATATTTAGTTTTTTGTTACATGCATATGTGATCAATTAAAGTGCTCAGCTTTGAACCTTCCTCACAAACCTCATTCAAAGCTAATCCTCCGGGTGGTACCCGCGTACCCGCAGCTTTTTTGCAACTCTGATGTCATTACAAGTTATATTCAGTTTATGAGGCTGCCCCATCACGGGGCTTATCCTAAGTTCCTGCATGTACCTATTATATAAACTCTAATTCGGGAAAAAGCTCCTCCCGCATGGGTTGTTGAACCTACGGTTCTGGTAATTCGTAGCTGAGCTCTCATTATACTATAAGGATTCTCAAACCACGTATATGAAGTGATCGATTTACTATATAGTCCGCGTCAATGTAACCATACAGGGTGTCTCAAAAAAGACGCAACCACTTAAATATGCAAGAATATTAATATTGTTCTGGTTTGCACAACAGTTCAGCTAAAATGACTTTTAGCATTTTAAATGAAGGATTAAGAGCCATTTTCAATTCCCAGAGGTGCTTATCTATTGTGCTTTAGAGCTGTATTAATGTCTTGCATATTTAAGTGGTTGCGTTTTTTTTTGAGACACCCTGTAGATGTAACCCATCAAATAATCCTGGAAACAAAAGACATAAGTGTCTCTAGATTATCTATATTCTCGAAAAGATTTGATGGCATTTTATTATTTTATACTATCCGTAATCGCTCAAATATATATAGCACTGCAACTTCCATTTAGTTTTCGCTGTCACAAGATCGGAACACAAGACGTTTTGGTTTTGAAATTGATACACTCAAGGTATTTTTACTGTATAAGTCTATGTATACGTATATATTACAGTTTTCTATAGTTTTTCTATAAAAACAGCTTTCTCACTTGGTATTTTAAAGCATTCACTGCTTGCAAATATCGTGGTTTGATCCAACAACTTACCTACAGTCCGTTTTTTTATATCCATGTAGGGTTTTAATTGTGTCCAGAATAAACCATTTTTCCATCCAACTGAAGAATCTGACGAGGAAAAGGCAAAAACTTCATCCTTGGAATTATCCATCGTAGAAAAACTAACAAATGATAGCAACAAATTGTCATTTGAGGTATTTGAGATCGTATAGCTAGTATATACATACCTATAAATCCTTTTTAATTTCACCCATTTTCCCGCGTAAATCACTAATCGTTCGGAATACCATGCGACTTTTACAGTATTTGTCTGTTGATATAATCTTAGGGAGATTTAGCACGAGGACCTGAACGTCCAAGACGACTGAAAATAGTGAATAAATGGCGTGGCATGTCCATTTATAGACGCACCACGCCATTTATTCGCCAGTTTCACGTCTTCTTTGACGTTCACGTTCTCATGCTAAATCTCCCTATTTGGGAGTAATATCAGAGTGATAAAAACAAACAAACGTACAATTGAACAGCAGGGTGCAAACGCCTGGAAAAAAAGCCAATTTAAATTCAATATTTTTTTGTTTATCGTATGGTATAGAAATTTTCATTTGGAAGTTGCGATACAACTGTAGTTGTGGAGGAAACATTGATTTATGCCATATTAAAAGACTTCGGATTGCACACAAAAGTCGCCCAAGTATTTCTTGAAAGGTAATCAGGTTTTTACTTATAAGGAAGCTAGGTTTTTACCAATGAACCCAATGAAAACTGAGTGAACAATATTGAAACGCCATGACTGGGCGAGGTGATTATGGTTTCAATTGCATGGTTGATTATGATACCATGCATAGTTATAACCATGAACTACAATAATTACTAGCTCGTGTGATTTGTTGCTTTACAGTGCTGAAAAAGAAAGCGCAAATATATCAAACTTATCGCCACGAAGATTACACTTCGAGCATATTGAGTTACGAGCTGTTGAAGTTATCTTAACCTTACTACCAGCTATTGATCTGCCTGTTGATCTTAAAGTTATTAAAAACAACTTAGGAATTCCTCACCAGTTGCCGCCAAGATTTGAAAACGCTTGTTTATATTTTGGTGAGTTACTACTGTATAACAAACTTCTAGTCTGATTTAGTCGAGAAAAGTTATTCAAATATCGATATTTCACGGCAAATTTGCACGAAACACTGCGATGCCTACAAAACGGTTGACCATAGTTGAAAGTAGTAGCTAGCTTAAACGGTTATTGGAAAGGAAAATAAGGTTTAAAAATGTCTTTTTCTAGAGACTGATTGATGCATCGTTGTCCGCCTTAGTTCTGAATGTAGGCGAATTGCAATATTCTCATGTTAACATTTACAATGCATCGTTTTTGTTTTTGCAGACGCATTCGTACGTAACAACATCCAGTATGGATCATATAAATACATCTCATATGATATTAAGAAACACTACTTAAAGGTAAGAGCAAAAAATATTTCAGATACAAAGCTTCTTTACACTCTGATAGAAGTGCGCCTTCTAAAGCAATCGAAATAGCCATAGGAGCTGTAATTTTTGTAATTTTACATATTACTCACCGGCCTGTGTGATAGTAAACATCGATGTGATTCAACACTAAATTTTATTTCGTGGAGATTATGAAGAGAAAGATGTCTGTGCGTCGTACCCATAATGATAACAGGTCTATACAGCAGTACTCAACCACTCTCCTGGTCCTATATAGATAATTTGAATTGTGATTAATAAGATTTTTCGCGATCGCATGATTCCTGTGCATGAGCTGAATTCAATAGAGCGTGGGGGTGGGTACGAGAATGAACTGAATAGGTATTCAATTTTCCTTTACGTAAATTATCTTTGCCAAGGAATTGGGAAGTCAGTCTGGACGAGTGCTTGGTTCAATGCATCTTTTCGGAAATATATCTCGTCTGAAACAAGACATAATGTCTGGATTTACGACTCTTAGAGAAACAGGAGAATTTATCACGTTCTTTCATCAGGTCACTACTGGTGTAGCTAGTTCATACAGCAAGGTAGGCAACAAGAAATTTGCAAATGAGATATGCGGTGTTTCTTAGAAGTTTTTTCTTGGGTTACTGCATGGGGAGAGTGCAGGTGGGGTGCGCACCCCCTCTAGGGTTCATGTTTTGGCATCAATTCAATTTTAAAGGAATTATGTACGATTTGTGTACGACTATCTACTACCACTCTCTTTCCTACGCTCGAAATCAATAGAATTTGTGCCATTTGATTTTGGATTGAGTCATTTCATTTGGATTGAGTCATTTCATTTGGATTGAGTCATTTCATTTGGATTAAGTCATTTCATTTGGATTGAGTCATTTCATTTGGATTAAGTCATTTCATTTGGATTGAGTCATTTCATTTGGATTGAGTCATTTCATTTGGATTGAGTCATTTCATTTGGATTAAGTCATTTCATTTGGATTAAGTCATTTCATTTGGATTGAGTCATTTCATTTGGATCGAGTCATTTTATTTGGATTGAGTCATTTCATTTGGATTAAGTCATTTCATTTGGATTGAGTCATTTCATTTGGATTAAGTCATTTCATTTGGATTGAGTCATTTCATTTGGATTGAGTCATTTCATTTGGATTGAGTCATTTCATTTGGATTAAGTCATTTCATTTGGATTAAGTCATTTCATTTGGATTGAGTCATTTCATTTGGATTGAGTCATTTCATTTGGATTGAGTCATTTCATTTGGATTGAGTCATTTCATTTGGATTAAGTCATTTCATTTGGATTGAGTCATTTCATTTGGATTGAGTCATTTCATTTGGATTGAGTCATTTCATTTGGATTAAGTCATTTCATTTGGATTGAGTCATTTCATTTGGATTGAGTCATTTCATTTGGATTAAGTCATTTCATTTGGATTGAGTCATTTCATTTGGATTGAGTCATGTACAATTTCTGATAACTGATTTTTCTGACTTTATAGTTTGCTGGATCATGGTCAGATTTATTTGGTTTTAGTTCTGCAGGTCGTTCTGTAGACGAGCCTCAAGTAAGTCGTGAACGACGACATTCAGATCCGAGTGACCTTGACGTTGCTGTGTTGAGAATGTCAGGAGAGTGTCTTCAATTAAATAGTACGCCTGAAAGAAAATGCAAGGATGACAACACAATAGTAAGTAAACATTTTCAAAAATTTGAGCGGATTTCCAGTGTCGTTATTTTTGTACAGGCGTACATGCAAGCAAAATCTATCTTTACGACTGCTAAAATGAACTAGAGTTTATCAAAATCACAGGTGCTTGATACGGATGAACCTTCAGAAAGTATTTGGTTAAACACAAGTTTCCTACCTGATGTTACAAATGATACGGATGGTCTTAATTGGGATACAGAGAGTAGTGATGGAGAAGGAAATCTAGGAATTCCTCTGGATCTTATTCCACGAAATGTGAAAAGACAATTAAAAGGACAAGAATTTTTACGAAGATTGAAAGAAAATCTTGGTGATAACGAACATGGTGAAGTGTACGTCATCTTGCTTAATTTGATGGTTGTCATCTCAAGGATCTTCCGACTGCATTTTTTACATTAGATAGAGCATGTTGACCACGACAAATCTATATCATTTTAAAAAGCTATGATTAACCATTAAAGAAGATTTTGCTATTCATTAATTTGAAGACATGCTGCAATAATATTCCATGTGGGTGCAGAAATTGATCGCGATTTATAGACGCGAATCTCCTGAAGGTATTTTAACATTTTTGGTGTATGTTTTAGGTTTGCTTGTTGTTTAAAAGTACGAAAGAATGTCGCGGAAGCAAAGTTAAATGCGTTGTTTTCAAATCGCAAAGTTTACTTTCTCAAGGGTCGACCAAGTCATGAGTCTTTAGTACTTTGTGCAAAGTATGAGACTCTATATAAGGCGCAGTATACACTCAAAGGTATGGTATGCCAAGATACGACCGTTCAATCTAAATAATACACAAACATAAATTAACTCAAACAAAATTTCAGTACTCGATTATCAAAACTCAAAGGAAGAAATAACATCTGTATATAAGCGTGAAATTTAACACCTCTCCCTTGACGTTGTAATTGCATTGTACTACTTACTGTACATGTAGTTCACTTTTCTGGATTCAGAGGTCATTTCGTGACTGAAATACAGAAATGAACACCTATTGTGTTGATTTTTTTTCGGGGGGGGGTCATCAGGAGGGCTAACTTTGTGTTATGCGATCATCCCCATGCATGCAGTTTTTCGTCTCGACATATGCGCTGAGAAAAACATGTGTTGTTTTCTAACAGATAAAACCTATTATGTTCAGCTGGTGAAAAAAATGAAAGGAATTAAAACTTTATCAATACCTTCAAGAAATCCCAGTGAAAGTCCTCTAGTGCGTTGCGATAACATGCTTATTGCGAGAAAGGTGGGTAAAAATTTTAGTCTCGATTGCCCTGGAGCTATATTTGTCTTTTATTATGGGTACAAGATCTATTTTTGGTCTGCTTTGTCATTTTCGTAACGGGAAACAATTCCGGGTGTAAGTAATATTCAATCCCTAAACTTAGTAAAAACAACCTGAATTCCACAACGCGAATAAAACAAACATTTCTGCTTCAAGGTTTCAAGCAAGATAAATGAATTAAAAAGAACCTACGATCATGAATACTTGCATAGTCAACATCAATAAGTCGTGTCAGTATATTTATTTCTAGTACTTGTGCAAGAACAAAAAGCGGGGGGTGGGGGAATATAAAATCGGGCAAGGTGCTTTAACCTTCGAGCAGAGATTTATTTTCGTTTCTCCTGGTCCTACAGCTTGACAGTACCGAGGGCTCGTATTTGGACATTGGTTGACCATTAAACTAGTATTGAAGACGAACGCCGCTTGAGCGATATATTAAGAACTGTTTAAGCGAAATCAACACGAAAACCACAGTCTATTCCATTTCTCTTTCTGCACGATCGAAGAAATTGAAAATGAGCCTCTGCTTGAGCGGTTTCAACAAGAGTACAATCTATCAGATGAAATTAAAATTATATATTGCATATATATTTAAGGAAATATAGTGATTATCGTTTTTTAATAAAATCCATGATTATTTTCATATGTTATAATGCTTTTTTTCACCTTTCAAGATAAAAATCTGTCTTGATTTCAGCAACGAATAATTTTTTTTCTTCTATTGTGAAATATTTGGTCATCTTTGCATGGGTGTGTCGTCTGGTATTCGTAACCTTACGATGGGAAGTTTTACGATCGCCGACTTGACGACTTAATTTACTCCTAATCCTCTCATCACCGCGTCTTGATTTGCTATTCTTTTCGGCGCCGTAATGTTAAAATTTTAAAATTTTTAAAATTTTTAAAACTTTTAAAATTTTTAACGAATTTAAGTATAGCCAAATATTATTTTTTTAAGTAATGAGCATTTTTTAATTTTACCAAGTATTTTTTAATTATATTCAGTTAGAAATTTTGCATATGCATGTGCTAGATTTTTTTTAAATATTTCTAATTTTTCGCATATATTTGTCATATAAAATTTTGTCAGACTCTGTTCGTTTTCTTCTTTCATACTCCTGCATGATAATAAGCCATCCATCGACGAACATTCCTAAATTGCTTGATTTACTTCGTGTGAGAATGTCACATGCAGGAAATGCTTATTTGTGCGTACGTTTGGTAAAAAATTTACATACCTGGGAGTGGGGTGTGTTTAATTTGATTATCTATAGCTATTCAATAAATAGTCGGAATCAAAAAGAAATAACTAAAAATTCGTTCTTTATAACTGTCCGTGTCTACAGTGGTAACAGTAGCACACTGCTATGTAATTTATTGCAAACATTTACCCAAATACATGACTGCATGGAGTGCACGAGTCTGCATAATAAGGATAATTTTGTGTATTACAAACATGCATGTATAAATGCATCACTGGATTAAGACTAAAGAGCTACGTATATAGCGGGGGCGATATCACGCCATACTGTTAAGCCTTGAACTGTTCAGGATAATTATGGTAAACCGTAAACTTTGCAAGCGTGTATGGTAATTATCAACCAGAGATTGGGGCACTCGGCCAACTAAAATATTATGCTTTACGCTATGGAAACCAAGTGGGTTTGTCGAGAAATGAGTGATAAAGTTCTTTCCGAGCAGTTCAGATAGGTTAATTTATCTTATAGTTATTTATCTTCCTCTTACCTAATAGTTTATCTTATATCTCGAATATTCCGTGAGTTACATCGAAATAAGGTCAATATTAATAACTAAGTTTAATTATATTTCTTTATTTAAAAGATAAACACTTATGATATAAAGACTAAACTGTCAGGTCTACAACAGTAAATTAATTTTAGTATAATTATGCTGACACTGTCTATTTTTATTCTTTGACTTTGTTCTATATCTTTCAGTGAAAGTACTGAAAGCTATTAACCCATATACAACATTAATATTAGAATATATATTGATACAGTAAGAAATAAGTTATCGTGGCTCCGACACCACTGCAGGCATTGCTGATGGAAAACAACTGATTTAAATATTTTACAGGGGCCGGTTGTATCAAGCCCGTTTAACTTAAACGACGGATAAGTCAAAATTAAATAACACTCTTACATCCCTCTTGAATGAGTCAACTTGAATATTGTGCACTGAATATGTAGTTGTAAACAGTATCTTTGTATGAAGCCAGGTTAAAAACATTTAGTTTGCTTCTTGAATAAAACGATAAACTTGCTTTCTATTTTGAACTTAACCACCGTTTAAGCTAAACCTGCTTGATACAACCGGCCCCAGGTTTATAAGTTACAAAATATAGCCAGGTTAATAAGCAGTGATAGGGAAGAGACGTCTTCAAATGACTTCTTAAAAATGTGACATTGTAACAACTGCCCAAAATACTTTCAACCTTAAGAGCATTGTGATTAGGGGAGCCAGCATGACGCAGGCGTCTGACTCTACTGACGAAGGCGTTTGATTTTACTGACGCAGTGATTCTACTGACGGAGGCCCTTTCGCCGAAACGTCGCGAAGTTTCTAGTTGTTTTACCACATTTGATGTATGGGAAGTTATGCATGCGAAATATATATAAATTTATATAAAGCTAGGTGATGGTTATTGAACTGAGCAATATACAAAGACTTACAGTTACTATACCCCGTAAGGGTGTAACTGAAGCAATAAAAATACAAAAATTGTAGAACGTGGGACAACAAAAACATCCTTTAAATTCCATTCGAGAATGTGGTTTACCAACGCACATTTTCAGCTTAAACAGAGTCAACGAAGTATTCGAACAACGCGATAAAGCAATTAAGTAGCTAACAACTCGGCCAAGTTAGCAAATAAACTGTCTTTGTACATACGTGATGTAGGAAGTCATTAGAATTCATTATACGCTTATTGCGGTCTCAATGTATGCATGTGTAACCTTCCGGACACTGATTCGTGCCAATTTAGCTACGTCTGAATATATTTGAGGAATACATTTTTTTTGTTAAGTGGCCTTCAACTGGGCCAACCGGAAACCATGAGAATGATATCAGTACGCTATTTATCTGCCTTGACTCTCCGCTCAGTAGCAATCGTGCTTTTGACACGTAACAGTTAGTAGGTAGAAGCAACGATTCGTTATACAACAAAAAAATGAGCAGGGGAAAGGTTATCACGGCATTTTTCTCCAAACATTTCTTACCTATTGGAACACTATTTGTCATTCCGATTGGGATTATTTTCCCTGCTCCTGCGGTCTACCTGAATGAAAAACTACCAGTTGTGCACATGTGTATTGTCACATTATTTTTTGTCATCGGAACGAAGTTTCGTTTAACTGAGATTAAATCAGCTCTTCGTTGTTATAAAGAAACCGTCTTGGGATTAATCGTTATCTTACTGCTCACTCCAGTTGTTGGAACGAAGCTTTTGATGTTACCAAAGTTTCGTGATGTTCACAGCTCAAGTTTACTTTCCGAAAATGTTACATTGAACAAAAGCTGGTCAATTGAATTACCAGATTTTGGTCCGGAGGAATTTCGTACAGGGCTACAGATATTTTGTATCTCTCCATGCGCATCGGCATTTCCAACTGCAGTGGTAAGTGTTATCTTATTACATATCATATAATATTGCGTGATTTTTGTACAGAAGAACTGGCTGAACCTCCACTTTTTAACTACTTTTTTACCGTCATATTTCGAGCAGAGTTAGCCTACTTAGATATTATTCCGTGTTGATGACAGGATATTATGATTGTATATAAATTAATATTGCATGAGAGTGAGTCGTGTATCTTAAAGTAAAAGCAGGCATTAAGCAGCCAGTCAGACTTGTAGGACCGTTTGTACCGAGCCTGTCAGTTAAACTAAACAATCAGCTAAAGCTCGGAACGAAAAATTTAGGGAGCGACATTAAACAATCATTCAGAAATTTGTACACTACAGCTGTACGAGACTGACCATGCAGTTCAATCAAAGCAAAGAGGCCGAATCCATCCCCAAATCTTCACAATTATATGAATGAAGCCTGTTTTGATGCCGGAATAACCCGAGGAGTAGACATAGTTGAACATGCCAACACAACTATGATGAAAGAGTTATCCATCGCAAAATACTCTCAACTTGAAAGCACGTTTTTAGTGCGTAACTGATAGACAGAAACGGAAATGGTGGGTTAGCTGAGCAAACATAGTTTATCCAGGGTTCGGCATGATATTTACAGTTTTTATATACCGTTGCGGTCTCTAAAGCTATTCATACACACTTTCTTTGGCAACATCTATGTGCATGTATAAATTATAAATTGAAACTTTTTGGTTTGGTCTTATGACGATTGTCTTATCTGTATAGGTAACAACAGCCAATGGTGATCGAGCATTGACATTATTAATTGCAGTAATTGCGACTATGATATCAGTCTTCACAGTTCCCGTCATGACCACTTGGCTGATACCAGCATTTCAAACTGCTAGTGTCAGTTTTCTCACCATACTACCTAAAGTGCTGTTGTTTATTCTTTTACCGTTGATCGTAAGTACATCAATTGTTACTGCAAATACAAGGTGAATCCTGAGCCAAATACGACCCTATTTTGGTAGTACTTTTCAAAATCACCGCCACGTATCGCTGGCAATTTTAGGATAATTTTTTCCGTAGTTGGGTAATTTTTAAAACTGAGACTGCTTTCCATATTGTTATAGCTAATTGTTTTTTAAAGCTATTTAAGGAAATTGAAAGGACCTCAAAAATGCCGGATGTTCGTTATCGTGAGAAAGCCTAATTGTATTGAATTTTTATCCACCAATCTTGTGCTTAACAATAGAAGTTTATAACTTCTGAAACTCCATATGAAACTGTTTTAATTCAGTCAAGCAATATCGCATTACATTGGTACAAAATTACAAAACTAACTAGTGTTCAAGGGCCCAGTATTTATTTCCAGGGCCCCAAAATATTCTGTTTGTCCTTGTATGCTGTGTATATACACCAGTTAATTTCAATAACCAAAGCTTTGTTGTGTGATTTTTTTATCAGGTTGGGCGACTCTTAAGATTTATCGGACTTGTAAAAAAGATTGTGATTAAAATAAATACATCTTTGAAGTTCGTCACTTCTGGGGCTCTACTTGTTATGTTCTGGGTGAAGATTAGTCAAGCAACAGCGAAAGGAGACTTTCAAAGATTTTCACCGTGGATTATTTTGGCCGTAACAGCTCTTGGTACAGCTGTGATTACTTCATTTCTTGTGATTTCCTTTATACTGGCTTCTCTACTTCGTTTACCTAAGAAATCAATCCTAGCTGTTACAGTGCTTTCTTCAGCAAGACATTCGAGTATCGCTATTGCTGTTATTGAAAATTTACCAGACAATGTTGGCGATAAAGATCTTATGTTTTTCCCTATAATATTTGTTTATCTAGCCATGATTGTTATTATCAATAGTTATGGTATATTTATGAAAGAAAACGAAAATGACATTGACGGTGCGGATACCCTTGAAACCACAGGCGATATTGAGAACAAACTGACTGTAGTTGTGAATCCGTTGGAAAAAATAACAACACAAGGCAAATCAAATCTGAATGAGGAGATTACGTTGCCAGTAATACACTGGCATACCTCTGTATAGACTTATAACGTTGAATGCAGGGTTATCAGAAATGACACAGAGTCGTTCAACATTATGTTCAACATCACAGGCATCAGCGTTGAATGACGTAAAACAAGCGCCAGCCAAGTGAGCCGACTTTGGTTTACGGGAGTTGATGGCCTGTCATTCGCAATGGATCACATGCAAACAGAAGCATTTCAACTAACAGAAGTTCCTGGAGAAGCTTGAAGTTCCTAAAAGTACAATGCGACATCAACGCAATTAAGTTGCTCTTATTAGCGTTGTCTTAACTACCGGGATCATAATGAAGTAACAGTACATTGCGTAAATATTTCACAGAATTCACACCGAACATAAAATCATTGATATTCAGTTACAGCATGTAGAACAAGCTCGCAGTCATATTCACATATTTTTTAGATACCCACTCGCAACATTAAAAAGAATATCTTGCCGCATTTCGTCATGCTACACCATGTTGAGTTGGTTTTGGCGAAATAAAATGATAAAATGAAAAGATACGAATTACACATGCCTTTCTATAATTTTTTTCTATATATATATTTATATCATCATTGTTAGTTCCAGAGCAGCGTGCTGAAATTTGAGAGATGTTACTGTCAAGGAGTTTGGGATATATGGTCACCATGCAGACTATTCAAAATGTACTATCGTATATATAGACAATTTTGAGGAACATCAAAACACGCGATCAAATTAAGCTGCATGCTTTTGAAATTTAAAAAATTGGGAAAAAATCACGTCGCGTTGGCGCATCGCGTCCGGGGTGTGGGCGTTAAGTCGTGTTGATTAATTTCCCAAATTTGTTTCGCCGACACAATGCGTTACATGCACTGAGCTATAATATAATTCCTGGAGGACCGGCCCGCGACCAAAAAGTGAAGCAAAAAACATGGCGGATTTTGGCGTTTGCTGACGCCAGATTGACGCCACTGGTTCCTATTCGCCATGGTAGTTACCACTGACCAAGGCTCAATTCTGAGCCCGCTACAAATGCACTCCCCCCTGGTTTTTGTTAAAAATAGTATTCAGTTCTCATTATGATATTTTACGAAAAAAACTTAAACGTCAGTCGATATTTTTGAACTGAAAACTTTTTGATCAGATATGTTCGACGTTTTTGTGAAGATATCAAAGTCGTACACGTTACTTCTGTCAAAAACAGGAAACAAATAACAGATAAATAATAAAGCTTCAAGAAATTTGCCGAAACGAAAATGCAGTTGACTGACAGGTAAATATATTATTCATAAATTTCATTTTTTAGATAAAATTTCACCATTTTTTTTCGTTAACAGTCTTTAGATAGATGTCGTTGTTTGTATATTTTAATATTTGACCAAAAGACGGCGGCACGAGAAGTGAAATGTATAGTTTGAAGTTTGAACAACTACTAAAAAGATTACCCTATACTTTGGAAGTAATTTATTTTACATATTACATACATATATTACAGGCATTTTCTTCCAAAGAACGCTAGAAGGTAACATGATGTAAATTCAAATCCAAAGAAACAGAGACTAAGAATCATTGGGAGGATGAAGATGTGCAATTTCAACCAAGGGTAGCCTGCCTATTTGTTTAGCTGGATTTCATTAGCCAGAAGAAATAGTTTTTCTGTACTGAACTATATCAGCATATATCATGTATATTGATGAGCTTATTAGCTTAAACCTATAAGGATGAACTATTAAGTTGAAAGCTTCCAGCAGTCAGCACCATGCAGTGGTCAGCACTATAATTGTCTGACTGCACAGGCCATGCTCTTTCCATGGTATAAAACCAATAATTATGGCCCCTGTGCAGGTCATATGCTTTTCTATATTTGCAAATGATAATGCAGAGGCTGCATTAAGGAAGATTAGAACCAGGGATGTTTATAGGCCAAGATAGCCATGGTAATTATTATTGATTATATGCAAAAGGGGCTTACCACTTACCAGCTTCTCCCAGATTAGCCTGCAATGACTGGAAAGGTTCTTTGGAAATGAAATAAACAAAGCCTTACCAATTGTAATATTTATTTTCTTTTAATAAAACATTGTAATTTGTAAAAATAATAAAACAGTTTCTGTATTTAAGAATGTGTGTAGTTCCTGGGTATAATAGTATGGTTGTCTCAATTTAATTCTCCAGAATTTTGCATAACATGCCTCCACTTGATCTACCAAACCCTATGTTATCCCTGCAAAAAGAAAGATATGTCAGAGATTAACTGCATGTATAATACACCCTGTAAGTGTTGACAAAATTAGTACAGATAATTTAGTGTCAGCTTCTGAGGCCATGATGATGCCTCAGTTGGAAGTGTGAGTGAATTTAGGCAAGTTATTCTCAGACCTCGCTCCTTCAGATTATATTTTTGTTCCTATTGCATCCTTTATATACTTTGATCTAATATATCTTGTATGATTTTTCATGAAAAGATGGGCTATAGACACATTGATGATTCATCTGGTTAGACCTGAGTTTTGGCTCAACTACATGGATTTAAATCAGTGTAAAATATAATGGATAAACAAATATTAATAGAAATATGTTGTAGGTAAACAAATTAAATGTTAGTAAATATATCATTTCTGTTTTCAGATCTTTCATAGCCGTCGAACTACGAAGCTAAATTTTTTACTTGACGTTCAGAGTTCAAACATCAAAATTGCGAAAAACTCTTACCTGAGTGCAAATCGCCAAAAATTTCCTCTTTAATGAGTAAATTGCGGTAGGAACAAGCAGAAAATAGCTGCTTCTTTGTTGAAGTTGAAAAGAACCAGCAAAAAAGGAAAAAAATCCATGTTTTTGTTCAAAAACAAAAAATTTCGTAAAAACCAAATCCTGTTTTTATCGAAAACCAGGAGGGTGCTCGCATTTTTTCATGCTTTGGATCGCGGTTGGTCAGTGGTAACTACCATTGCAAATAAGAACCAGTGGCGTCAATCTGGCGTCAGCAAAGGCCAAAATCCGCCATGTTTTTTGCTTCACTTTTTGTATTTCAAAACATTAGGAGCCGGTCCTCCAGGAATTATTATATAGCTCAGTGGTTACATGGCTCCGGTTTACAGCACGTAGGGTCTTTGAAGCGATATGGCAATAAAAATTATTTCTGTTTTATTGAACAGATAATTTACACTTCTTATAGCGTCTTTTTACAAAATTTGTTTATCTTCCTCACTTCCCAAGATATTGGCGATCAAAAACATCGGCTATCGCGATATATCCGCCATCTTGTTTTATAATGAGATCTAATTACGTGATGTCAAAAGCAGGGCCAGGGGTGACGCCTAAAAAAAACAATTATATGTTTCCGCTTTAGTTTAGAACTCTTACATTTCAGACGTTATAATTTGAGATACGTGCGATTGTAATACCATGGAACTATCACTTCGCTGGATCGTTAATTTGAAGTTGCAAAACGAATTTTCACCCAGCTTATGACGTAACGCATATCAAAGCAAGAATATGTATATCAAACTTTGGTCCCCCGTTACCGATTTCCTAAAATTTTGAAATTCATCAAGGCATGATATTTTGTGCTCAAAGGTTTTTGTTTCATGAAAGAATAAAATTCTACTTAGTTCTCGACCATTTCGACGTATTTTGAACGGATTTTTGAAATTTCAAAAAATTGACGAAAATCAGGATTCTTCCTTTGGCCCCCCGTTACCGATTTCCCAAAATTTTGAAATTCATCAGGGTATGATATTTTGTGTTCAAATGTCTTTGTTTCATGAAAGAATGCAATTCTACTTACTTCTTAACCATTTCGAGGTATTTTGAACTGAATTTTGAAATTTCAAAGAATTGACGAAAATCAGGATTCTTCCCTTGGTCCACCGTTACCGATTTGCCTAAAATTTTGAAATTCACCAAAGTATGATTCTTTGTGTTCAAATGTTTTTGTTTCATGAAAGAATGCAATTCCACTTACTTCTCAACCATTTCGAGGTATTTTGAACAAATTTTTGAAATTTCAAAAAATAGACGAAAATCAGAATTCTTCCTTTGGTCCCCCGTTACCGATTTCCTAAGTTTTTGAAATTCATCAAGGTAAGATATTTTGTGTTCAAATGTTTTTATTTAATGAAAGAATGCAATTCTACTTACTTCTCAACCATTTCGACGTATTTTGAACAGATTTTTGGAATTTCAAAAAATTGACGAAAATCACGAATTTTCCTTTGGTCCCCGTTACCGATTTGCCAAAAACTTTGAAATTCATCAAGGTATGATATTTTGTGTTCAAATGTTTTTGTTTCAAGAAAGAATTCTACTTAGTTTTCAACCATTTAGAGGTATTTTGAACCGAATTTTTTAAATTTCAGAAAATTGACGAAAATCAGGATTCTGCCTTTGGTCCCCCGTTACCGATTTGCCTAAAATTTTGAAATTCAGCAAAGTATGATTTTTTGTGTTCAAATGTTTTTGTTTTAAGAACGAATGCAATTCTACTAGGTTCTCAACCATTTTGAGTTATTTTGAACCGATTTTTTTAAATTTCAAAAATTTGACGAAAATCGGGATTTTTCCTTTGGTTCCCCGTTACCGATTTGCTTAAAATTTTGAAATTAATCAAGAGATCCATCAAGTTATTTTGTGTTTAAATGTTTTTGTTTCATGAAAGAATGCAATTCTACTTCGTTCTCAACCATTTCGAGGTATTTTGAACAGAATTTTGAAATTTCAAAAAATTGACGAAAATCAGGATTCTTCCTTTGGTCCCCCGTTACCGATTTCCTAAGTTTTTGAAATTCATCAAGGTATGATATTTTGTGTTCAAATGTTTTTGTTTAATGAAAGAATGCAATTCTATTTAGTTTTCAACCATTTCGAGGTATCTTGAACAGATTTTTGAAATTTCAAAAAATTGACGAAAATCACGAATTTTCCCTTGGTCCCCCGTTACCGATTTCATAAAATATTGAGATTCATCAAGGTATGATGTTTTGTGTTCAAATGTTTTTGTTTAATGAAAGAATGCAATTCTATTTAGTTTTCAACCA